AAAATAAATAAAATAAAATAGGTAAATTACTAAAGGAGTTCTATAAGAGTTCTCCTAATAAACTATAATAATGCTAAGAGCCCTAGCAATAGTAGAGCGTAGTAGAGAAGGTAGTAATTTTAATAACAGTACTACTAGAAACTATAGGCAGTACACTAATAAGTACTCTTACTAGGGCTAAGAATATAGGCAGCTAAGGAAAAATAAAAGATATAGAAGCTATAAGAAAATAAGTTAATAAAGATAAAATTAACTACCTATACGTAGTAAAGAGAAGAGAGAAATAGTAAGAAGCTAACTAGCCTAAAGCTAGTAAATATCTAAGGTATCTATCCTATAAATACTAAAGAACCTAGGAAAATACTAGTAGAACCTATTTCTAATTAGTATTTATAGCCTAAAAACTATCCTCCTACTTATTAATATACCTATTAGGCTTACTATTACTAGTAGCCTTAAGTTTCTAGAAGATAGTACAGTTAAAAATAACAGAGACTAAACCCTCTTATCTAGACTAAAAAAGATAATTAAAAGAGCTAATAGTAGAAGCCTAAAGGCTACTACTAAAAGAACTAAAAGCTAGAATACTAGTACTATAGCTATAGAGTAGTAGAGGATTAAACTTAGTAGGTAAGTAGCTTAACTCCTAAGATTTAATAACCTTCTTAAGGGCCTAAGTAATAGAGTAGGTCTAATTATTAATAGCAAAAGCCTAGAAAACCTATAAATTAGCTAGAAAAATAGGTAGAAAATAAGGTTTTAGATACTAAGAGGAAGACTTATTAAGTTTATAAGGCCTTAGTTCTACTTCTAAATACTAGTATATATTAAGCCTAACTTATTAGTAATTCTATAGAGTAAACTCTTAGTAACTAAGTTAGAAGTATAATTATCCTAGTACCTCTTCTAGCTAGGAGTAAGCTCTTAAGCCTTATTCTAGGCCTCTTTTAAATCTTAAATAAAGTCCTTATTAATATCCTTAAGTAACTTAGAGAACTATAGGTCTGTTTTAATAAGTAGTAAAAGCTTATAGATATAAATAATAGTAGGCTTAAGTTTATTAGAGATCTATAGAAATATTAGCTATAAATAAAGAAAAGAAAGTAATTCTAGTAGACTTATAGTATAATAAGTAGAATTTACCTTAGTAGAGTAGTAATAGTAAGTAGCCCTACTCTTATTAAACTTATAAATTTTACCCTAGGTAGCTAGATATATTACGTAGTTAATATAGTAAAAAGAGTTAAGCTTACTAATAAAGAGAATATTAACTATAAAAGTAGAGTAGTTAGTAAGCTATAAGGTAGGTATCTATTTAGATAATATTAGGAAATAGGTAAGAGAATAAGTAAAACTTAAATAAAAAACTTATACTAGGTTCCTTACTAAATAAGTTAGATATAGATATAGAAGTAGTAGTAGAGAGCTTAGCCTTAGCTTTAGTAAGATTAGCCTTTTAAGTATCTATCTTAGCTTTCTTTCTTTTATACTAGGTAGGCGTAAGCGTAGTAGGAGTAGACTACTTACTACTAGAAATAGCACTAGCGCAAGTATTAACTATATTAATAAAAAAGAGTAAGAAAAGTAAAAGTATATATAAGTTAAAGCTAAAAATATACGTATAGATATAGGTAGAGGCGTTAGTAATAAGTTAACACGTTATATTATAGTAGAGTTAAAATATAAGAATTTTTACTAAAAGAGGGCTTATATAATAGGCTAGGCTTAGTAGAACCTTAGTAAGTAAAGCCTTAGAGCTTAGTAGGCCTAACTACTAATACCTACACTACTACCTACACTTTAGAAACTCTTAGTACGCTACTAGAAGGACTATAAGTAGAGAAAAACTAGTACTATAGATCCTTAGCAAATTTATCTAATTTATACTAGTAACTACTCTTAGGGTTAGCCCCTTATATAAAAAGGTATATAATAGGCTTAGGCTTTACCTATACCTTAGCCTTAGCTTAGTAGAACTAGATATATATATATATATATATAGAATTCTTCTCTACTTCTTAGAGAATATAATACTATTATTAATACTTATTATAGCTTAACTCTAAGGCTAGTCTATAATATAACTATACCTTTAAAAATTATAATTTAGAAATAATAGTAAATAGAATTCTTTATAAAAGTCTAGTAGTTACTTATAATAAACTAAGCTATACTTACTAAAGTTATAAAAACTTAGTAATAAGAATATAGGCTTAGTATTAAGAGCCTTTAGGCTAGATTTAAGAACTAGCCTAAGAAAAACTTTATTAATTTAGTACTAAATTTCTTTTAAACTATTTTCTTTCTATAAAAGGTTTTTATAAAGTTTAATTAAAGTAATTATATAAATTAAATATCTATTTATTTACTTTTAAAATTCTAGTAGTTTAGAATAAACTATAAAAAGAAGAAAGGCTTTATTATAAGTATTTCTATCTTAGCTCTTATTAGCCTACCTTTAGTAAACCTCTAGGCTAAGAGTATAAGGCTTTTAAAGCTCTAGTATATAGTACTTATAAATTTCTAAGGCTTATACTCTAAGGATTTATCTAATTTCTTAATATATACTTATTTATTCTATATTATAATTACCTATTTATAGTGCTCTTATATAGTAGCTATATTTTAATAGCTATAAACTAAACTAAATATATAAAAATAAATATTTAAATACTAAAAAGATATAAGAATACTAAAAACTAGTAATTAAGATTAATAGTAGATAAGTATTTATTAAAAAATTAAATATATCTTTTAAGTATTATCTTTAGAGATTTTTAAGCACTATATACTAAAGCTTTAAAAGTCTTATACTCTTAGCATAAAGGTTTACTAAAAATAGATTTATAGAAGCTAAACTAAGTTTCTTTATAATATTATAATAACTACTTTAAGTTAACTTTTATAAGTTTTATATTAATTACTTAGTAGAAGAGAATTACTAAAGTAATCTAAAAAGTATAAAGTTATACTATAGAATTAAATAGTTTATAATAAGAATAAAGTTAACTAATTAATCTAAAAAGTAGTAGTAATAGTAACTAAAATTAGAGTAATATTAAAAGTAATTATTATTTATAGTAGAGAGTTAAATTCTTTTAATTAAATTTAATTCTTTCTAAATAAATATTAATTAGTAACTAAGACGTATATAATACTAAAATATATAAATATTATAATATAATAATATCTATCTTTTAGAAATTAGAAGTAAATATCCTATATTTATAAAACTATTATTAATTAAATTCTAAAGTTTTATTTCTTTAATTTTAAGTTACTCTATATTTAGTTTATTACAAAGATTAATAATAAAAATTTAAGAACTTTATAAATAATTTTATTTATTATTTCTTTTATAAAGAGTAACTCCTTTTACACCTTTTATTTACAGTACTTACTAAATTATTACTACGCAAGTTACGTCATTCCTTAGTATTTCTGGAAGTACTATGACGCCTTAGAGTTGCATACCCCGAAGATCCAATTACTCAAAAGACCCAACCCTGCGGAAGCAATGTCGCGCCTTAAACTCCACCGTCACTTACACCCCAACCCTGTCCTCAACAAGTATAATATTTCGTATTTGCCAGCGCATCGAACCTAGGATAGACTGCAGAAATGAGATGACAATCGAGAACATCTGATCTTTACATAATACCACAACTCCTCACCCCTAACACTGAAGGTTTCGACAATTCTATCGAGGTCACCAGTGTCAAGTACGGACCAAAGTTCGGGGGTAGAACATTGCAAATGCAAGTACTATGCTCTGATCCCAGTACCCATCTATATTGCGCGTGACCCGGTCTAGACTTCTCATGCGTATGGCATTGACATTGCAGAATCACTTGACGATACAAAGGAAACGAAACGTATGGATTCGACACGAGATTCGACAGCGCTTCAACTTCCTTAGTTCTGCCTCTTCTCAAAAACTGTGTTCTGACCTTTTGATCCCGACATTGCGGGAACTGGCTGAACTGCGCAGCCATGTTGTGTTCTGACTTGTTGGTCAGACGGCGGAGGGGCGGTTTGAGTGAGCAGATCGGCTTTTTCTCTGTCTATGCTTCTAGATAGAGGCGTTATGAATAGGTTGGTACTTTAGTGTATCGCTTCTGTAGACAGGCAAGATAGTGACAGTCGTGTCACGCCATCAACATCAGCATCAACGTTCTATCAGCCGACTGTCCTACTATCCAAGCATCTCCACAAAACAAGCCAATCGTACCTAATCCCTCACACACAAGAATATCTACCGTAGATAAACTTCAGTGTTCCTCTCGCTTCCTCGCTATAACAGACTACGCATGTTCGTGCCCTGTACTGTTGTTCAAACTCGACTATGCGACTGTCATGCTCGATGTATTCTGTAGCGCTCATCGCGTTTGTCTGGCATACACACAACTTAAAAAAACAATCGACTTTTTCCATTATTCATTTATTTCAATACAATATTCCTTCGTTTCCAATGTTTCGTATCAGGCACCAGGCCTTCTTTTTCCCCAACATTCATGATGACTTCATGCCTTCGGATCCTCATAAAATCACATTACGTAGGTTCTCCCCGTGCGGGAACCCAAACAAAGTCTCTCCTTCTATCTCGCGTCAAGCGTGATAGTTTTCTGGCCATCGACCTCGTCTTATCGTGACGAGACACTCCAGAACAGTGACACCTGAGCAGAGTGCCAAAAGAACGGTAGGATCACAGCCCACCCGCTTGTTTTAGGCTAACTGCCTATGCTCATCACTTGGAAGTACGTCTCTCGTATACTCCTTTCGCTCGCTCGAGTGGTTTCAACCATGACTGCTTGATGTAAGTAGGACGTACCACGATGAATACGCACAAGGGTCTCCTCACGAACCGTTGGGGTACTTACAAGTCGTGTGTCGATGCGTCATGCACACCACGATTCTGCGCTGCAGGAACAGCCATCTCCCACAACCCGGAAACGCCTCTTTATATCAATCCTTCCAACCACGACTGCTCATCACCTTCCCTCCCCACCCCTCACTTCCGCTTTCGTCCACCCTCTCCCCTGCAAATGCACTTCCTCCAGCTTCGTAAGTTTCAAGCTGACTCTTTGCATCTCTCTGGTCACCAGAATGCTCTTCCAACTCTCGCTGTCTTTGACACTGCCCTCTTTACTTTCGAACCCGTGCGTGGGTTTCGGCATCTCACGGCATCGTCTACTCTCAAAACGCCGAAGGAGGAGAGCGATGATGGGGATGCACATGAGGAGGAATACAACTGCGGCCACAATGCCGATTATGGCCAATGGACTCCAGCTCTGGCCATTTGAGTGCCACGGTGAAGAGGCCGGTGGTGCTTCGGGTATAGACGTTTGAGATGACAGTGTTGTGATTGAGGATGATGTGGTCGCAAGTGGTGATGTTGATCGAATGACTGAGGTTGCGAACGATGTCGCGTGTGATGAAATCGATATTGGTGACATAGTGAAGTGTAAAGGTGTGGCGAGTAGCTTAGTACTGAATTAAATTTCTGCAAATAGTATAATGACGTTTCGACAAGAAAATAACGACGGTCGATTGAGATCAAGAAACGAGTAACGAGTGTAGAAGAGAACGAAAGAAATGCACAAAAGCGAGCGTAATCAAGTCTAGCGATGAAAAGAGAAGGATAGGTATGCCTGCACAAAAGACGAACCCGAGGGGCATTCTTCTGCCTAAAAACCAGCACCTCCCTTCCAGAACACCACTTCCCGTCTTTCATCGCCTCATACCCCTCATGTGGGTTACCGAATTTCTTAGCGTGGTTGTTCGCCGTTGATGTTGTACAGGAATTGGCTGGTGACTAAAGTAGGCAGCTTAGGCAGCGTTTAGTCGCGACCAATCATACCGCGTAGAAGTACTTTCGGCCTTACGCGAGGGTAGTCCTGCGCCACCTTCTTGCGTGTGCCGCAGCTACATTTTGTGAAAACCGTATTGCTCGCCAATCAGAGGGATATGGTTCCTGGATGGTGTTACGGTTGATGGGCGGTGTAGGGTGTCGCAATGTCGTTGGATGACGAGATGATGTTTAACTAAAGAAGGAACTTGCGATCTGCTCTTCAGCTGGTCATTCATCACGCACAAGACGGATTGTGGCAGTTTGTGGTATCCGTAAAAGCCCAACATGCCTCGGTCGGAGAAGAGCGGTCAAGGAATAAGCATTTCCATACGATTTGCCAGTCACCAATGTCCTTTTTCGGACATGAACTAACTTGGAATTGCAACTCACAGCCCAGTAGGAAGCTGGACATCTCGACATCGACCAAGCTCACTGGCTGTCTGCACCTTCTGCTTGGACTTTCATCTCGTTTGTTAACGCTCGCCACACGTCCATTTCCTGCATTGTCATCCCACTCATCTCCTTCCACCAGCCGTCTGTAGTGACGTTGAATGGCCAGTACAGGAACGCCAAACGCTCAGTTCGCTGCTTGTCCTCCTCAATATCGCATTCGTCAATCGCCTTCCACAATAGCGAACGCAATTTCCTCGCTCCTTCGCCTTTGTAATGCACGTTAACCAGCATCTCATCGACGTGTGTAGGTGTACTCGAACTACTAGCGGCGAAGTTTTGGTAGGGGAGATACACCATTGGCCAGGTTGATGGATCGTTGCTGTCCCACGCAGAGTTGTCAATGACTGGGTCTGACACGAGAAACTTGGGTGGCGTTTCTGGTGGAGTAAAAAGGATCACTGTTGTAGGGTTGACAGAAGACTTCGTATTCCGCTGTGGAGCACCTGGCGGTGGCTTGGTAAACAGCGGTGACTTTTCTGGGCTACGTGGCGACGAAGGAGGTGGCGTTGAACAGGTGGGCGTCTCCATTGTTGTCAGTGCAGACACTGAGTGTCGTGGGGTTGGGTGTCGAATCAGTGATTTGAGTATCCACGGTTGGGTCTCGAGTTGTTCGCTTGACCTGGTGGTGAAACAGACCAGAAGGTACAGGAACGTGGGATGTACTTGTTCGCACCGGTCGTTGGTTGTCATCGAACAATTAGGTGAAAGTAGTCTTGACTGATACTCCACGTCGGTGGCTGCCTAGTCGTTGTTCACCCGTAAATTCGATCGGATTGGGTATCTAAATTGTGGTTCCAGCAAGCCATGGTAATGCTTGATTGTGTATAACAGGATGGTAAGCCAAACGGTGAAACTTTCTGGGATCAAATCTCCGCACTGCTCATTTGCCATCGTGAGCTGAAGATCGAGAAGAAACTTTGAGAATGAGCGACCACTACAAACTTTCTAGGACATATTGCCGTGCTAGAGTCGCCGATATAGGTGTAGCTGCATGCGCATATTCTCGAGTTCGATCGGATATTTGAGCGTCGGATCCAGTCTGAACCACCGACTCTCGTCTTCGTGCACCTTCTCCCACTTTGCTGCTTCACCATTGTCGTCCTCTTTCTTACGGCCTTCAGCCTCCTTTAGCAGTGTGTGATCCAACAACCAATGCATGGGATACTTCTTCTCCGCACCGTTCAAGCTGATGGTAGAGTAGCTACCGGGACTATCAACCACCAACAACATAGCACCAGCGGGCAAAGCGGTCGTCAGGCTTAGCAAAAATCCTTGAGTCAGGGATAGAGAGGTAGAGTAAAGTTCGTTGAGTGTGAACATCAGCGTTACGAGTGTGGCGTCTACGAGGAGCGGTGCAAGCGCACTAGAGTTGGTGTTGAGAACGTCCAGTTGATGGGGTGAGACTTTGAAAGTAGATGGATCGATCAATGCGACATTGGCAGCTTGAGCGGCGGCAGATGCGTATTTGGAGAGTGGAGGCGGTGTTGTGACGTGGTCGGCGAGGTTATCGACGACTGAAGTCCAATCCGCAATATCGATAGCGATAACTTCCGTCGTTCTCTGTTTCGCACCAGGCTGTCCCTTGTCTGCTGTTGATAGCAACTTTTTAAGTCCGCCCAAAGCCACAATCTCGGCGCCGGCTCCACCACCAAGACAAACGACCTTCCAGTTTTTACTTTCTGTTTCTGTTTGCTCTTGACCCTCGGTGGCAGTGTGCTGGTCGATGTGAAAATGTTCTTTCAAATCCCACAAAACATCCAAGTATCCTAACGCTCGGCTGGGACTCCACCTCGCCGCATACATATCCAGGTACTCATTCCTGCCGAAGGCGGTTGCGAAGTCGCGATTGAACAAGTGGCCTTTCAACTCCTGTAGTAGCGGGGTAAAATCCGATTGTAGTCTTTCAGTGAATGAATCTTTGAAGATATTCAGCAGGAGCTGCTGCAGTTCGTGAGGTAACGAAGATGCCGTGATATCCCCTTCAGCCTTCGCTTGCCGCTCACTGGCTTTTAGTTGTTTATCTTTCGATGCCTTCGCTTCTGGCTTCTTGCGCCCCTGCCATCTCATTCTTGGTGGTGCCATATCTTTAATTTTGTCAGTGATGGGCGCAGACCAGAGAAAGAGAGTCGAACCTTCCGCGTTTGTTTGCTAAGCGAGTGCTCGAGTGGGGTCTTCGATCTCGGAATCATTCCGACACCATGCTGACGAGTCATCCTGAGCGTCGACTCCAACACTCTATCATCATTTCAGCTTCCACAGTCAACATGCGTCTTCCATATGTCTCAGATCCTCCCGAGTTCGAAAATGAAGCCGACAAGGCCGTTGTTGGGCGAATCTTGCAACGCCGAGGTGACAAAGGTCTGATAGCGTTAGACCGAACGCTCCTCCATGCTCCGCCTGTAGCGGATGGCTGGTGAGTGCATATTGCCACGCCCGTTTCTCGTCATGTCGTCTTCTGTCTGGTGTCTTCTTTCCTGATTCAGCCTTATGTTCATATGTTTGGTACGGCCAGAACGGTCATCAAGACTACTACGCTCTACAAGCCCAACGACACTAAGTCGGATGATACTAATTTCCGACCTTCTATTCCTATCCCACCTGTCGACATCACCTCATATTTCAAGTACTGACATTCCAGGAACTCTTTCCTCGGCGCAATCCGTACTGCGACCAGTCTCTCGGCCTCCGTCCGCGAAACAGCCATATGCCGCGTCGCCGTACTAAACAAAGCATGGTACGAATGGGAATCCCATTCGCCCATCTTGCGCGACGCGCCAGAAATCTCCCCAGAGCATGTCGACGCCGTATTACAATCCCCGCCTCGCCAGGTCAAAAACAGCATACAAGACGAAAAACACGCAGCTGTGATGGCCTACACAGACGCCATGACACTCGATGTCCAGGTTCCAGATGATGTTTTTGAGAAATTGAAGAAGCATTTTAGCGACAAAGAGGTGGTGGAGATCACGGCGACGGTGGCGGCATACAACTGCGTGAGTCGCCTCCTTGTAGCACTCGATGTTGGAGAATGCAACAAGCAGGAGGGTCCCGCAAAGGAGTGGACGTTGTAAGGGGCTTGAAGAAGACGACACCAGTACATACCTCTTCGCAGTCAAATCAACATCCAATAGTACCCATTTCATGTATCCAATGCTGCCGCCTACCACCTCATTCAAAAACAAACCTTCATCATCGCTTCACATACCGACCCCCCACACTGCAGACCAAAACCCAAAACATCCCCCCGTCCGTTCATTCCTCACCCACTCACTCACTCATTCCACACAGCGAAAAAAAGAATTGCGACGTAGGCAGGATTCGAACCTGCGCTCCCGAAGGAACAAGATTTCTAGTCTTGCGCGATAACCACTCCGCCACCACGCCCGCAAATTGAGCCACCTGCCAGAATCGAACTAGCGATCTTATCATTTCGAGGCCTTGATTGCCCAAGGCGTACTAGTGATACGCTTTACCACTAAGCCAAGGCGGCCGTTGATTGGTTGATTGATGAGTGATTGTGAAATTTGGGGGTACATATTGTGGTTTTGTGGTGGGAATGGAGTAGTTGAGACGGGAAGGGGTGAGGTTTGAATGTGATGGTGGTGTGGAGTATGTTGAGTGGAGTGGAGTGGAGAGGGAGGGGGTGAAATTTTCAGCTTCGGGGGTGTGGTTCGGTGACCCACTTTGGGTTGTGAACATCAACGTTTCCAGACAAAATTCGAATGTGATCTTCTTGCTCTCTTGTAGTAAATCAAATAGACATGGGTTTCTCACAGCATTGAAAGACTTCTAGCAGAAGTTCATCCCGCACTATGGAACAAAAGAGTGGATCAACTCAGGCTGTAAACATTAATAGACTGTTTCATATCCATGTAATTCGTTAAATCATCACTTCTATCGTTTTGAAATATCCCATTCAAACTAATCCTTCTTTGATTTCTCACGTCTACAACACCAACATAGCCGCGCCCGCAACAGCACCCATCAGTGCACCTACACCTACCTTACTCGCCGCACCAGTGAACTCCCGAAGCGACGAACCAGTCCCTGTAGCATTGAACCTATGACTGTACGCACCTGTCAGCGCCACAGGACCCTGTACACTCTGCCCAGTCCCAAGGACAGTGATATTCTTGATGCTCACACCAGCATCGTAGCCAAAATCACCCGTCATGCTAAAAGCACCGTTATCGTACGTAAAGACAATATTGCTGGTAGCAGCCTGCTCAATACTGTCGCCGTCGTCGAGGTACAGAGTGCCGGAGGCCTGGTTAGTCGCATTGGGCGCGATCCAAAGGACGAAGTCTTGCTTACGCAGCTCCGTGGTGGTGTTCGCGGATTCGGCGCGCAGGGGCAGGATAGCGCCGCCGCGGATGTGCAGGGGAATAGAGTCGAAGCCGATGTTTGTGAGGTTGACGTAGGAGCCGTTTCCTTGGATGCGCTGGAGCGTCCAGTAGTCGTAGAAGACGGCGTTGGGCAGGTAGATGCTCACGCTTGTGCTGTTCTCCTCGAGAACGGGCGAGACGAGGATGTCGTCGCCGTAGAAGAATTGGTGCTCGATGGCAAAGGTGTTTGCGTCCTCGGGGTAGTGGAAAAATAGAGGGTTGAGCACAGGGAGACCGGTCTCGGTCTGGCGGTGGAAGGAAGTGTATAGATAATCCAGTAGACGGTAGCGGACAGCAATGGTTTTGCGCGCCGCCGCGATGGTCAGCGGCCAGCGGTAGAATTCCTGAGAAATGGAGGTATCGCCGTTGTGGTTGCGCATGAATGGATAGAATGCTCCCAAAGCGGCCCATCGCGCACAGAGGGTTTCGGTCGTGTTGCCGGCAAAACCGCAAATATCGGTTCCTACCATAGGTATCTGATAGATGGAGGCGAAGTTCAAGACGCCAGCAATGCTGAAGCGGTACTGCTCCCATAGACTGACGTTATCGCCGAGCCATTTACCTACATACTTTCCAAGGCCGACAAACTGCGGACATATTAGCACTATCAACTGAAGCTGGAGAGATGACATACGGTGGATCGCGTGATTAGCAGTGGGCGGCTCTCAGGGCGTCGCTTCAGCATGGATTCTCGAGAGGCAATAGACATCTGCGAGCCCCAGAAGTTATGGGTGTCATAGTGGTATGTGCCATCGTAGTTCAGAATATCAGTGTCCAAAGTGTGGTTGCTGATGCTTCCGGCAGCGTTGTCAATCTGGTACCCGGGGTTGATCAAATCACGACCTGGTAGGCCGAGAAATTTGGCAGTTCCGTTGGATTGGCGCGCAGAGACAGATCGCTTAGTGCTTGGAGCATACTGAGAGTTTATTGAGCGCTTTGCTGAAGATGATTGAGGTTGGAAGCTGGCTGGGAACCCTGGGATGGTGCGACCACCGGCGTTTTCACGGACCGCTGGTGGCTCGGGGGGGTTCTTAGATTCGTCCGAGTAAGCTAGGTGATTGTTAGATCATGCTGCATGTCGAATTTCAATCTGATCTTACCTTCAGGATTCACGCAAGGGTAAGGGCAGAAGTTGGCTGGCTCGTTCATGTCGTTCCAGAGTCCATCGATATCAACGCCTGCTGCAGGATCAAAGAAAGATTCGAATTGTTCATCCCAGTACTGCTGTGAACTGGGATTCGACCAGTCCGGGAAAACTGTTGGCCCGGGCCAAACAGCTCCCTCGAAGATAGAACCGTTGCTTCTCTTCTGGAAAACGTCGAGCTCGAGGCCTGCATTGTATGCGCTACCGTTGCCACGCCAGACTGCGGAATTTACCATAACAATGTAGTGCTGCTGATGCTGGTGCAAGTAGTCAACGAGTTCTCGCACCATTTCAAGCGGGTAGCGTTCCGGGTCCAAGGTGAAAAGTCTGCGAAGCTCCATATAGTCGATATCGGTCCACATTGTCTAGACAGGTCAACCAAGATTTCACAATCGGGATTTACAGAATTACCTCGAGCGCAATATCGGCCAAAGAGTAGTTGGCGACTGTCTCGGCAACGTCCCAAACATCGCGGTAGCCATACCGACATTGATGAAATCCGAATCCCCAGTAAGGCATCATAGCGGGGAGACCAGAAAGCTCAGAGTACTGAACACTGACTTCCTTCGGAGAGGAACCAGCAAAAAAGTACAAATCAACGATGCCACCAAGCGTATTGTACTCGAGATAAGTGCCATTTGAATCGTCGATTTTGATGTCCATGCCCTGAGAGCTAGCCAAAAAGACAGCATGGGTACCGTTCTCGCCTCGGTGGTCGAAGTAGACGGGATGAGAACCATACAAAGTGCTTCCGCCTGGTGTTCCGTAGGCATCTCGATTCCAAAGCTACTCAATGTCAGTCGCTTGCGTGTTGAGTTCAAAGACATCATACTCACTGTCCTGGTATAATTGGTGGTGTTCAATTGGAACGGATCCGTATGCTCTCCGAGACCGTAGAGATGGGCTGAATCAGGTAGACTGGTCCTAAGGCGAAGGTACTGGGATTCGAACACAAGGCTGGCAGCCGAGGTGTCAAAGAGCGTCTCGTTTGTTTCTCTACGAGTGATGGCAAACGAGAACGGGCTTGCAGTCCAAGAGAAACTCAGAGCAGAATTCTCTGGATCAACATTATCATCGCTATTAGGCCTTGGCCAGATCGATTCCTGGATCTGGTAGACTTGTTCGGCAGCATCGAAAATCTTGACGTGGAGTCGGTTTTCTAATTTGAGCGTCAGCGGTGTATATCAACATATGCGTTGTTATTTACCAGTCTGATACTCGACTTCCAGCCTCAGATCTGTCAAATCTTGCCCATACACGTTGCAAGCTGTTCCAGCAAGTGCAAGATCTGCTGTGACCCTAGCACCATCGTCTTGAACATTGCTGGCAGTGTAACCAGGGCATGCCTCAAGAGATGAACTCTGACGCACAGCTAACGAATCTGCAAAGACAGGAAGGGCTGATCCAAGGATGATGAGTCCTTTGGTGAGCATTGTGGATGTTTGTGTTCCAGTTCAATGACCTGGCACGGATTGACTTGGGCGGGAGTTGAATCTTCTTATACTTCGTAGACTCCTTGGCCCATCCTGATAGTGAGACTAATAGTAATCCAACATCCAGCAAAGCGGCTTGTAAAAGCTCAAATTTACCACTGGGATGACCACGGAGACTCCACATCAAGTTCCAATACCTGACCTGCCCGCAATTGCTGTCATCAGCCCATCGCCAAGATGGAAGTACGATCAATGCTTAGACATAACAAGTAACATTGCGGGGTTCACGTGTGGGGAGCTGCAAAAGAGGGTATGTGAATGGCCAGGATACGATGCACTTGAAATTTAAGCATACACAAGACAAGTAAAACCTGGGGAAGACGAGGTACGTAGAAGGCGCATATTAGAGACATTCATTGGTTGCATGACGGCCCGTGAAGGATCATTGCTGTTCATTGGTCGCTCGTCGGCCCGAACAGATGTATGTCGCTTGTATTGCAGTACCAAGAATACAAGAGCGCGTCTGATGGGAACCGTCGGTTGATGAATGTAGAAGCTGGAATGTATTGAGTGATGGTCGGGTACTGCTGCTAATACAATGAATATGTCGGTAAACTGGATGATATGTCATTTGTGAATGATAGCTCCTGGGATTGCACTTTGTTGAGAACAGTTAGGTCACTCTGGGGTTTTAGACAACGTCCAAGGCTCGCATAACGTTCATACATGGTAAAACTTTTTATCAGCGTTAATTACCATTGATTTGTATCAACACCGTTCGCCATCTGATCAAATTTCCTAGAAAAGTTCAAAGACAATAACAGTTTGCACATGGACAGGGCGAGAACAGATATGGGTAAAAGCTGATAGCGATCAACCGTTCAGCAGAGTTGCATACAGACTGTGTATAGAGTGTATGCGGGTGGCAAAGAAGAATAAGCAGATATTGTATTTGCTCAAATGATGAAAAGGCTCAAGATGGGAAAAGAGGTGAGAGCTGGAACACGGGACGTGCTGCTACCTGGTCTTAGCGCGACTTCCCTCTGAGAAATTCCAGTCGCGAAGCTCGCAACATTAGACCCCAGCAACACTCAACAATACCTTTACCACCACCACGATGCTCTGCGCGATATCCGGAGAAGCTCCACGCGAACCCGTCGCGTCGCGCAAGAGTGGCAATGTCTTCGAAAAGCGGCTGATCGAGGCTCACATCGCCGAACACCACACGGACCCGGTCACGGGCGAGGACCTCGCAGTCGAAGACCTCATCGAGCTCAAGTCGCCGCAGGTCGTGACGCCGCGGGCGCCGAATCTGACTTCGATTCCTGCGCTGCTGAGCGCCTTCCAGAACGAGTGGGACACGATTGTGCTCGAGACACACACGCTCAAGCAGCAGCTGGCGCAGACGAGACAGGAGCTCAGCACCGCCCTGTACCAGAACGACGCTGCAACACGCGTCGTTGCGCGATTGACGCGCGAAAGAGATGAGGCACGCGAGGCGCTATCGAACGTCACCATCAGCGGAGCCGCGGCAGGCAATGGCGATGCGATGGACGTCGACGGCCAGGGCCTGTCCGAGGAGCTCGTAGCCAAGGTAGACGAAACACAGCAACAGTAGGCATATCTTACGTTCTTAATGGATAATCGCTAACATGTGGTAGACTCTTCGCGACGCGTCGAAAGCGGCCCGTCCCCGAAGGCTGGGCTACCGGCGAAGACATCTCGACATTCGACGTCACCGCCTCGAGCGAGCCACTCTACCCCGGCAGCAGCGCAATCTCCCTCGACGAGTCTGGCGACCTGGCCCTCTTTGGCGGATCAGACGGCGTGGCAGGCGTGTACTCGACATCACAGCAGCAAGTTGTGCAAACGCTCAAGTGCGGCAGCGCAGTCACAGCAACAACATGGTGGGGATCGCGCGCAGTCGCGGCCACCTCTTCCGGCTCAGTCAAGGTGTTTGAGGACGGCAACGAAATCGCGCACATGGGTTCGCACGCTGGCGCAGTCACAGACGTCTCCGTGCACCCCAGCGGAGCCATTCTGGCTTCTGCAGGCAGCGACAAGCGCGTCGCCTTCTACGACCTCTCAACATTCAAGACCGTCTTTCAGATCTACACTGAAGCCGACATCACATGCTGTTCCTTCCATGTCGACGGCCTGCTCATCTTCGTTGGCAGTTCCGACGGCAAGATCCGCATCTTCGACGTCAAGACGGGCGCCTCCATGGTTGAACTCGATACCGCTGGCCCCGTGGCCGCCATCTCTTTCTCCGAGAATGGCACATGGTTCGCGGTTGCCCAGAAAGGATCAAGCAGCGTGTCGGTGTGGGACATCAGGAAGCAGGCAGTCACCAAGGTGCTGGAAACTGGAAGCCCAGTAGAGAAGATCAGATGGGACTACACAGGCCAGTTCTTGGCTGCGGCCGGTTCGGGTGGTGTGAGCGTGCAGCAATACGTCAAAGCGTCCAAGAGCTGGTCCGAGCCTGTAAGGAAAGCGGTTGCGGCAAGGGATGTGGCGTGGGGCAAGGATGCTGAGAGTTTGGTGGCACTGACCCCAGAGGGTGGACTGAGCGTCTTGAGCGCGTCTTGAGGTAGAGGAGGTCGAGCATTCGGACGATAGAGGATCAAAGGCAGCAGAGAGACTGTCTTGGGTAGAGTAATGACAAGCCCAGAGTAGTGCAGTCGATTGGAAAGAGATTGCGAATTGGCCTTGGACTGGCACGTGCCTGATGGGCAAAAGGGCGACTCTGGCGATATTCGTGCATATAGAGAGTGAACATGAGGCGCGCAAGGCGTCCACTTGTACCATAGGTTGAAATTATTGTCTGGACAAGGCGCACCTTTCTGTCTTTTGCGACACACAACACTCACCTTGGCATGCTGCTGGTGCTGGCAGCTCGAATGCGTAGTCGTCTAGTAGCCCCATGTCTATATTCAATGACGAAAGTTAGAGTCTATCCGTATTCGGATAATGATGATTTGATGCCGTTTATTGGAGTGAAAGCGGATCTCGCGCCGCCACCAAACTACGACACCTCGCCGACGTAACCTCATACACGACCACGCGTTTACGTTTTTACACCCCACCCCTTGCTCGCTCACCACCTGCTCTCCCACAGTACAACGGCAATATTCCCGCTACGCACTCGACCGGTCAGGCCATGGAAAGCAACCTGCCGTTCGGGTACACTCAGAGACACAAGGTGGGTCGTAATCGCCCCGATACGAAGCATTCATGCAGGGCTCTTCGACTGACAGACTTTGCAGCGCTCACACAGCCAGATGGAAGTCGGCGGGCGGTCTGCGAGCCCAGCATGGGGTCTTGGGAGATATTCCTCTGCGTATCGTGATTTGGGACAACCGGCCTATCGCGAGACTCCCCCACAGTCGTCTCGTCCACGATACTACGAACACACGCCACAAAGAGATTTCCCGCAAAACCCACCGCACCGTACGAACGATGAACCGCAGCATCCTAGCACGACACCGTCACCACCGCCTTCACGCGCCTTCTTCGCTCACTCGCCCTCCCACACCATCGTCAACTCACCACCACGTGAGCTCGCCTCCAGACGAACCGCCTCCGTCGAACCAGCCGCTCCATCTTACTTTCGTCGATCGCCGTCCAGTCCAGTGCCTCTCGACAACCCCCAACCGAATAGACCTGGGCTGCACCTTCCGCAGGTCGAACACATGGCCCCACAAGCGCCGAGACGGTATGCAGGTGATGGATTGGATTTCAGGCGGCCTGCAGGTGTGGACAGAGGGGACAACGACAATCACATCGATCTGAGCAGGGACGAGGACGACATCGTCATCGACCTCACGGCTGATGATTCGGCATACGGTCTTCACAATGCACCTCAAAATGATGGGGTTGTCCCGCAGCAGTCAAATCGCAGAAGGCTACCGCGAGGCATGGATATAATCATCGACCTGGACAACGGCGAAGAAGAGTGGCGGATGGCTGCACCACCAACTCCAGAGGCGAGGTCACCTGAGATTCAATTTATGGGCTCGCGTCGCATCGACCCGCCGCCCGCCCGCCGCGAGTCTGTCGAGTTTTTGCGTGAACAGCCGCTTCCGGAGGCCGATATACGCCAACGAAGATACGCAGAGTTGGACCGAGCTCTAGCGGCCATGGGCAATATGGGCGACCGCTTCGTCCATCTCCGTGCTCAAGTCGAGCGGACAATGGCCAACGTCAACCATACAAGAAACCGATTTCAACGCGGTCCTGTGCCCCCACCTGCGCGTCCTGGTGGACATATCCATATTGGCGCTTTTGCGATGCCAGCTATGGACTTTGAGTTGGTGGGCTTTGACATGGGTTTGGGTGGCAATCGCGTACCCGAACCCCCGCCACCGACATATGAAGCACCTCCAGAGGCACCGACGGGATATACAAGAAGTCCACAAGAGGAGGATGTACTGGTGTGTCCCAACTGTGAAGACCAGTTGTGTGAGGGCGAAGACGAGGTCAAGAGGCAGGTATGGCTTGTTAAGACTTGTGGTCATGTATGTATCCTGTGGAATGTTGTGTTTGACATGGCTGACGTGATGACAGGTCTACTGTGGCGAATGCACGACAAACCGAGCAATCAAGCGCAGCGCAAAGGGCAAGGAGAAACAGACGGTTCCCAAAACAAAACCGTTCAAAGAATGCGTGGTCGATGACTGTGGGAAGAAGGTCTCGGGCTCAAAGGCTATGATCCAGGTCTTCATGTAGTTCTCCTTGCCGTCTCCCCATCACCTCTCGAATTTCCTATGTTCGGTCTGCTGCGTTGCCTGGCATGCTTCAACGATACCCCCATGTCTTCCTCGACTCATGCATCATGAGAACCTTTCGGTCGTTTTTCTTTGAGAGCGCATTTCCTCTGGCTTGAGGCTGCTGTTGGATTTCCATAGCTCGGCGTTTTGATTAGCATCATTTAGGATGTGTCACTTTTCGGGGCTTCAGGGGAATAGCGCAAAGGATAATTGTGTATTGCACCTATATGTATATTTGATGAAATATAATAGTATGATCTCCTACACAGCCCGCATGCTGCTGCTTCGATCAAACCACTAACCCTCTTGTCAACTCCAACTCTCCTTACTATTATTGACTGTTGAGCCATCCAAAGCACGATGACACAACAAGCGATCCCAACCACGGACATAGCGGTGTTAGCCCTAAGCCAATCAGCATCCTTCCCCATTCCATCTCAATCCAGGTACGCGAGAACCCTCACAACCACCATCACCTACCCTCCCATCTCCACAACCACCGCCCATCCGCAAGCAACAATGCCGCCCAAACCCGCCCCCACCCCGCCCCCAAAATCTAAACCCCAACCCTCCCCCGTCAAAAACGCATACCTCCTCGCCTACAACGCCGTCTCCGCCGCACTATGGGCAGGCGTCTTGTACAAGACCCTCTCCATTGGCGGGGCAGAAGTGCTCCGTGCCGGGGAGAGCAACGCCCTGGGCCTTGGGGGAAGTAATGGGCTGGAGCAGGTGAAGAAGGGGCTGGGGAGTGGGGTTGTGTATGGGTCGTTGGAGGAGTATACGCGCCTGGTGCAGAGTCTGGCTGGGTTGGAGGTGCTGCATAGTCTTTTTGGTGGGTGGTGGTCTTTTTTGCGCTTCTTGTTCGATCTGCTGCGCTTTTTGGCTGTTTTTCTGGGGCTGTGTTGTGTTTAATTGGGCTGTGCTGACATCTTCAAGGCGTCGTGCGCGCTCCCCTCCTCACCACCCTCATGCAGGTCGCCAGCCGCTACCTGCTCGTCTGGGGCATCGCATACAATTTCCCGTCCACGACGCAGTATAGCCCCGCGTACACGGGCATGCTGACCGCGTGGAGTATCACCGAGGTTGTGCGGTACACGTATTTTGTGTTTGGGCTCGCGGGCGTGGGCGTGCCGCGGGTGTGGACGTGGTTGAGGTACACTCCACCCCCATTTCCCCCGTAATACGTATATGTAAACCTGCAATACTAACGCCATACAGATACAACACGTTCCTCCCCCTCTACCCCCTCGGGGTCGCAAGCGAGTGCTGGCTCGTGTATAGCGCTATCCCGGCTGCGAGTAAGATCGATGAGAAGCTGGGGTTTGCGCTGTGGGGCGTGCTGGCTACGTATGTACCGGGGTTTTACGTCCTGTTTACGCATATGCTTAAGCAGAGGCGTAGGGTGCAGAGGGCGGGGTGGACTGTGTAGGGGGGTTGGGGTGTAAGAGAATGGGAGAGGAAGTGTTTGAGATGGCTTGGTGATGATATTGGATTTAGCTCAATGGTGGATAGGGCGGAGATGCGATTTGGGACTCAGGGGTGGAAAGACACAAATGATAGAGCGCACGACTTAAAACAACAGATTGGAGACCAACTCTCTCTAATTTCTCGCTATGTATAATTATCCCGCCATGGACTTTTCTTCCTCACCTCCGCCGCCCAGTCTTCGCAATCAGACTCCTACTCTCCCCACAAAGCCATATATGCGGCCCAGCCTCCCCATCCTGCAACCCCTGCTCATTAATCGCCGTCTCGATCTGGCGCGCCCTCGCCCGATTCGAACTAAGCGTCGTCAAGCCCTCAGCCCAGCCATAGAAGAAAATAGACTGATTCAACGCGCTCATCTCACCCGTGAGCTTCGCAGCCGCGACTGGCAAACGAGACATGACGCTATCTAGCTGACTAGGCCTGACCTCAATAGGCAGCGCGAAGCCAGCGGGCGAAGCATGGTCAGACATACTCGACCACTCAGCGACGAGCTGCTCAGGGGAGCGGCCCGCGCGATCGCCCTGCGCGAGGAGTAAATCAGCGCGTAGTTTCTCTGTGTCCGTGGCGAGCGTCTGCACGATGAGATTCATTTGGTCGGCGGCCTCTTGCGTGCAGACCATTGCGTGTGAGCCGATGGCTGGGTAGAGATGTGTTGGGAGGAGATTCTCCTTTGCTTCTTCCTCGATCTGAGCGCGCACTTCGACTGGGTACCAGTCTAGGATCTCACAGGGCTTGTGCGAGATATCCGAGATGAGCGCGAGGAGAACCGTGCAGTCGATGTTCAGCGTGTCGGACAGCGCGCGGGAGCGGTCGACGAGCAGGTTCGGCAGTACGTAGCGCAGGGGGAGGGTGAGGGAGGCCTCGTTTACGCACTGCACGTGGGCGCCCGTAGCGCGGAGTTTGTCGAGGATGTTATCGATTTCGCGCGTCTTGCCTGGCAGGATGCGGGTGAGTACGAAGCGGACTTTCGGGGGGCGGCCACAGATGGGGTTTGCGCGCGCGGCTCTGGCGAGTTCGCGCGCGCTCTTGACGATGTCGACTTGGTCTTCGTCGTCTTCGTCTTCCCAGTTGCTGGGCTGGGGCGCGTCGGGCATGTCTTCGTCGGAGTCGGAGTCGTTGCACCATCCTAGTTTTGCTACGTCGAAGAGTAGGCGTTTCTCGGATATGGTCGAGACGCGCACCCATTCCCGGCCCTCTTCGGCGACGATGTCGACTAATGCGGCACTGTGGCCTTTTTTTGAGGTTCCTTTCGTCATGCTGATCCCCTGGGCAGTGCGCTTCCCAGCCTGTCGTTCATGTCGGTTCCAGAAGTAGTATTTGCGGAAAGCCTGCAGTCCGGACGACTGTTTCGCAGTGCCCCAAAGCGCCTCATAGTAGCGGAGGTTAGAACTAGTGATGTAATGTCTCGCCTTTTCCTCTGAGATCTTGGAGCCGACGATTTTCCTTAGGAAGGCGAGCTCGTTTTTGAAGTCGTTGCGCAGGTTGCGGTACTCGACTGGTTGTTGGACTTTTGTGAGCTTTTGCTTCTCTTCTACGGCCGCGACGTAGGTTTCGACTTCTTCGTAGAGTGTTTTGCAGCGGTCGATTAGGCTATGGATGGTGCCTTCGATGTCGAGACTGTTGGGGTCTGTGCCATCTGTGGTGAAGCTCTGGTTGCTGACACTTGTTGCATCTGTATCCAGGTCCAAATTGCTGAAACTTGATGCTATGGATTCGGCCATATTGATTGAAGTATGTCTGTTGGCTGTGACGATGTGGTGGGGTGTTTGCGTTGAGAGAAGGAATTTGAAGTGCAACCGACTTAACAGATCAAGGATTGTCAGGACTTATGGCCGATTCCAAAGAGATTGAAAGACTGAATAAGGAGAGGTATTAGAGACGCAGAAGCCATGTAGTATGTCTGAGTCAACCCAGTGATCGAAGCTTCGACGTTGTTCTTCCTTGCCTAGTGTAAAGTGCTGTTGTCTTTTGCGAAACACACCAGTCTTGTCAATATTTGCTGGGGAGATGTTCACCTTTATTCAGTTAGTTGATTAAGTGAGGGATTGATCCAGCACCAACCAAGTCGCGTGAGCATGGCAGAAAAGACACGTCCAGAAGCAGACTTACCCTTGCCAAGTGCTCAACCCCACCAAAAGCCACCCTAGCCAGGACGGCATCACACACGACGCACCGCTCCCACCGCCTACCCCACGTCTCTCCACACGCCAAAATGCCTTACTTCAAGACCATCACAGAATGGCACGAGCAATCTTCGCTGCTGCTCAAAGCCCGTCCAACCACCGTACGTCCTGCCCCACACTCGTCATCCATCCCGCAATCCTAACTCCCCTCCAGGCACGCATAACCTCCAAATACACCGTCCTCAAGCCCTCCGCCTCAAAAGTCGAAAAGCGTAGAAAATTCGCCGCAAACGCAAAGCCTGCAGACGCCTCGCGCGCATCGTCCCCACCGCCCGCCGCCCAGAACCCAGAGGAGCCCATCGCGACATTCAGGCTGAAGACGTACGACCCCGAGTCTGGGACATGTTTGCAGTACGAGACGAACAAGGCAGCAGAGGTGGGGAGGTTGATTGGAAATCTGGGGAGGCTGGGGAGGGGTATGGCGGCGCTGCCGGAGATCGAGGGTGATGGGGATTTGAGTGCGCCGGCGCCGGAGGGGGAAGCAAAGGTCGATGCGGGTGGGGATGTGAAGATGGGCGGTGTGGCAGATAAGAAAGTGGAGACTGGGACTGGTGGGGGAAAGAAGAAGAAGAAGGGGAAGAAATGAGTGGTGGGGTAGAAGCAGTGCCGAGGACGACACTCGAGGGCAGGACGTGCGGCGGCGTGTACAACAGCTTCAGGGCGGCTTGGAGACCCCGCTTGGGATTCGTCAATGAATTGGGAGGGACCATGCCAGCTTGCACGACATCACATACCACAACCATGTACACCACCAAAAGCTAGGAGAGGCAGCGTCGAATTGCGTAATGCCATAGCGCAATTGAGCTTGACGTCAGCCATGCGACCGACGTCTATCAATCATACACTTCATGAAATCGACATCAGTTTAAACTACAACACTAATGTTCATGGGCATCGAATTCGCGTTTTCGGAGAAATCCAAACCTGTCATCCTAACATGTTGCTCTCGCGAACTGAGTTCTGCCGATAGCTAGGCTAGCGACAGCTTGCAAAGAGCTTCCATCGATTCTAGGCCACTAATGCCATATGCCTCGAAACATCCTTCGCGAACCGACACGTGACAACGTGTCTTAGCGCGAATCCACGATGAATACACCAAACTTCCAAGTCCAAACCCATATTACACAAAACATACCTGCACATCCAGTATCCCGCCCACTTACTTCCAATCCCATCACAACATCAATACCTTGTCCGGAAAACATCCATAATGCAGGCAAGACGTAAACCTCCATATCAATTCTTCCCTACAGATGCTAAACGACGCTACCACCCAAGCCTCGCATGATTATAGTATATATCGTAGATAACGAGGTTTTAGAAAGCACAAACTTTTTCCGCGAGTGGCCACTCTGCGTCTCTTGTTCGCAGCGCAACCCCCTGCTCAGATATTATAGACGTAAGTCAATACATCTCCTCGTCCATCTCGCCTTCTGCGTCTTCATCTTCGCCGTCTTCGCCGTCTGCACTCTCCATCTCGATGCCCTGACTAGATGTATCTGCAGCGTTGGGATGCTGTTCGTTTGCTGCTGCATCCTGAACCGCGGTGTCATGTCCAGTGGGTTCCGTTTCATCTCGAGCAGCCGGCTCAACTTGGCTTTGCGACACTTGCGTGTCCGTAGTTTGCTGCGCCGTACTGTCCACATCGACATCACCATTGCCATTCACATCTGCCTGCGACACAGCGTGCGTCTGTCGTGCCGAAAACCTGAGATTATACTCCTCGCGCCACTGCTGCTTGACATGCCTCTTGATATTACGCTTGATATGTTCGCCAAACCAGTCATCTTCCTCGTCTCGCAGTTTATCCCCAAAAGCAGCCCAGAACATTGACTGGGCGATGTATCCCCCACTGGCTGTTTTGACCACCGCGTTGATGGACTCGAGCCATTGGAGTACGAGCTCCACTTCGAACATCTCAGTTGTGTGCTCGGGACAGTGATTGTAGATGTCTGTAGCTATCGCGCCGGGCCGGAAGATGAGCGGTTGCAGGACGAGGTTGAGGATGCGGTACCACCATGGCCATGTGACTGATTGGCCGTTGATGCTACTCCAGATGGGTAGTAACGTATCAGAGTTTTCCTTGCCAGGTAGAGGTGGCTCAGGGAGTGCTGTCCAAGCTGCAGGCTTACCAGGCTCGGGCAGCGATGGCTGGAGCGGATTGCCAAACCGGTACTTGTCTGTGGGCACAGCGTGAATGTCCCAGAACAAACGCTGCCTGTCGATGGCGCGATGGATGTAGTCGCCTTCGCAGAAGCCCCAGACGGAGAGTCGTGGGAGCGGAGCACCGAACTCGTTGTTGATGGGTGGAAGTTGTGGAACGAGTTTGATGAGTCCATCGCTGACCATGGATAAGATGGCCATGACTGAGCCGTCGTCTTCTGTGTGTGAGATGTTATAGAATCGGCTGTCTGGGTTCGAGGCAGTGAACGCAGCGTCCATGTCTTTCTTGACCTTGACTCCGGCCATGAAGTCGCTGAGTTCGAAGGGGCGCTTGTACTTCTTCGCAAACTTGACGGTGAAGTTGTAATTTCTGCCAGGCAAGTGCCGCTTCAGCTGCCTCATCTTGAGCATATCCAGCTTGACGTAATCTCCCACAGCGTTAACAAGGACTGATTCGCCGAGGTCTTTGAATTTGTCGTGAGCTTTGTTTCCGTCGTAAAGAGCCTGAGGTGTGGCTGTATTTGCGCGGATCCACGATCGAGCCTTGAGAACCTTATCTTCCTTTGACCAGCCTGTAGATTGAGACTTATGAAGAGGAGCAACGTATGAATATTGCAGTTGTAGTTGTGCTCGCGTTCTGTCCGCAATCTTCTCATTGTACCATGTCTTTCGGTCCAGGGCTTCATAACTCGACTCAACAACAACGTACTGCCGAAGCGCTTCTCGTTGGATAGGTAGCGGAAGCTCCGGGTAGGTACACTTCCGCATAGTCCAACGCACGAGATTACTCCAGTCGTAAGTTTCAGGATCCTCGATGGCGGCAACCTTTCCTTGCTCGTACGCTGAGAGAAAGCAAGACTGGAAGGTTGTTGACAGCTCGGCGAGCTGTACAGCCATGCTTGTCTGCATCCATGTCCAAAGCTTTTGCAATCTCAACAACTGAAAGCCTTTGTCACTGCCGTGTACTTTCTCGACAATGGTCCAGTCGACAACCCCATCTGTCACGGACATACTAGCCGCAATGATCAAAGTACAGCAAAGCTTCTTGAACTGGTCAATCGGGTCGAATACCTGAGACAGCTTCTGGCTCTTCTTCTTCTTCTTGTTACGCTGTCCCTGCTTTCTCTCGTTCCATGGCTTCGTCTTCGTGATCCTGTTGATTCGGCTAGGCGCCTTGTAGACCGGGTCGTTTGGATCTCCAGTGAGGCCGGTCAAACGCTCTAGTAGAGTTGGTGGCGGTAGACCCCGTTTGCCCACTTGCCGTTTTTCCTTCATCTTTCTTCTCCGCTTGGGTTGGACGTCGTTGGCTACTACTTCTTCCTGTTCTTCTTCGTCGTCGGAAGAGGCATGAACATCGCTCTCCTCGTCAGAAACGTGTACGAACTCGCTATCCAGCATCAGTGCCTTGGTAGTGCCACCCACACGAACCTTTTTCTTTGGACGCCAAGCGGGTGGTTCTACAATCCTGACTCGTTTCTTGCCTTGCGATGTGGTAGTAGGTTCAACAATCAAGTCCTCAACAGGACGTATGACGTGCTCCGAGGAGAAAGTACCGTTGGTAGGATAGAAACGGACGGCTGGACTGGTGAAGCTTGCGGTACAAGTATCAATCGCTGAAGTCTTCTGAGCCGAATCAGACGGGCTTTCATCAAGCTCATTCCCAACTTCTTCAGTTGCCTCATCAGACGATGAGCCTTCCTGTTCCTCGTCGGTATTGCGATCTACCTCCGAACCAGCCGAGGGTTGAGTTCCGAGGGGATGACCTTCGTCAGAATCACTGTCTACAGACGGCTCTCTGGTGTGACTCTCATCAACATCTTCGTCCACAATCTCAAGCACAGGCTTCTGCACCGGACCCAATCGAAACCGTCGGGTTTTGTCGTTCAAACTCGCGAGTCTCGTTCGTTTCGCGCGAGAATCATTCGTGCCTTGCTTTGACGCCGCTTGCTCCACCAGTGCATCTTGCACCATGCGTGCCTCATCTGCTGCTTGCTTCTTGGTCTCCTTCTTTTCTCGCACGTCCGCCCTCTTCAACATCGCTTTTTCTGCCAGCGTCTTTCTCTTCTCCTCAGCAGTCAGCCCCAAGCTGACGCTTTGATCTTTGGGTGCACTCGCAATAGGAGTGTATAGTGACCTGCCATCGACAAGATGTCGGATTTCTTCCGGGAAGAATTGCTGCGACTTCTCGGATGAGTAGTTTGCCATGTTGTACGCCAAGCGCATTACTTCGGTGCTTCTACCATCGAAGTGTGCGTACGCAACTATCTTCTTCTCTCTCGTTGATGGTCCTTGTCGATTCTTGACGAGAAAGGTCATTTGTTTCAATCCATTCTTAGGATCACGGATCATGTGCCTGAGATCGTAGAGTATGGTACTGCTGCTGGGTTTCTTGAGCGATAAGTGGGAATATCGCCGGTCCCAGATGACACTAAATGGCCGTCCTATCTCGCCGCCCATGGGGTACACGCCTTTGCAAATATCGATGATCTCTCGGATGATAGTATGCCGGCGTAGCACAGTACTACCACCTCCACGTTTGGCCCCTTCTGCCACCTTCCTCTCAATAAGGTCAACTTGTGATATAGCGCTGACAACGCCTTGAATGGGAGATACATTCTCTTGTTCTTGACCTTGATCTTGATCCCCAGATTCGGGCCCAGGCTCAGGAATTTCTTGTTCGAGGGTGGAAGCGACCAAGTCGTCGGTATGGTCAATACCATCCACTATGACATCTCCAACCGCAGGCGGTATGTCTGTAGATTGCGAAGCAGGTGTATACGGGCTTTGGTACGGCGATGCATTGGATTGTCCAGGTGTATTGATTGCAATCCATCCCGAAACGGGACGAGGGGTCGGAAGGATAGTCTCCAAAGGTTGTTGCTCTGGAGCTTCTGTCACTGTGGGAACTGCAGTGATGGGTTCCTGCTGCAAGGACGATTGTTCGAGATGCACATGCGTTTCTTCGGACTCTAAGGGAGCTTCCACAGAAGGACGTTTGCTAGCACAACCAAACCACTCAAACTCCTTGAGGCGATTGGACTTGAAGGTGGCGATATACGCATTCCGTGGACGACCTCTGATAACCTTGCGCTTGGCGAAAGGGTTGACGTAAACACCAGGAGAAGAACGGTTTGTATAAAGATCGTGGATTGCCTGGTTTGCAGGGTTCAGACCGAACTTATTTGCAGGAGGTGCAGGCGAGGGCACATGTACATCAGGAGCTTCTGCATGTGGTTGCTTGATCACGGCTGGTGAAGCCTGCGTCTCGACGTTTGCCACGACGGCGTCTTCTGTAGGCGCAACTGCAACAGCGTCTTCTGTAGGAGTACCTGCAACATTGTCTCCTGTACGAGTACCTGCAACAGTGTCTTCTTGTAGTTCTAGTTCTCTTGTCTGCATTAGAACAGGCGACTGACCGCTGGTTGCTTCCACAACATCCGCTGAAGGACCGTTTTGTGGAATGTTAGGCGTAGCCCCCTGTGACGACCTGGCCCTCTTACGCTGTCGCTTCGGAGGCTGGACAGTAGTCCCGCCATCAGCAGCTTTTCGCTTTCCTGCGGCGTTCGGAGGAGATGAGTGCACCTCTTGGCTCACAGTGAGTGATGGCTGCTCCTGTGCAGAAGACTCTTGATCTGTAACAGCATCCTGCGATCCCGGTGCAACGGGCGCTTGAGTTTTCAATCCGAGCCACTCCAAATAGCTTCGAAGCGATGGGGATTCTTCTAACGGGATGCCATCCTCACGTTCCTGACGCAAACCATCAATAAGAGCTTGAGGCATCCTACCCTTAGGATTGATGCCCAACTCAATCTTCTTCTCTTTGCTGAGTAGAGCTGGCCCTGGGGTATACCGGGGCCTATTCGGCTTCGAATCTGTGGGCAAGCCGCGCTCCTTTCGAATTTCGTCCTCCTTTTCTTTGCCTAGTCGACCTGAGGCTGGTAAACCTTGGGCTACACGCTGTTCTTTCGACATAAGGGGTGACGTCTTGCGTTCCTTGGGCTCGTCGACGATCTTCTCTGGCAAGGATGTAGGGTCACCGGTTTTTCTGCGGTGCGCTAGAATCTGTTGCTCTGCACTCTTGCTGAGACGACCTTGTCCACGCAAGCCCATTGCGATTCTTTGCTCTGAAGTCGGCCATGGACCATTGCCTAAGCTCTTGGTTGGCCTCGAGGTTCGAGATACCCTGGAAGGCACCATTTTATCAGACAACATATTTTGATCTTCGTCGGACGCAGCGTCTGGCTGAAGTTCATTTGCGAGTCGTGGTGTGATAGAAGTTCGATGGGCTTGACTGGCCTGCCGCGTAGGAGTCTCATATTTGTGTTCGAGACTGAATTTGACTTTGGGCACGCCTTTGAACTTGCCTTTGGACTGTGGTGTTGTGGGCTTTCCCGGCTTCTCATAGCCAATCTCCTCATTCAAAGCAATATCCCATCGTGGGCCGTTCTTGCGTTTAGGAGGAATAATGGCTGAGCGACATTCAGAAACAGTGCCGGAACCGTCTTTTCGAAGGAAGACCGTGACATCAAGCTTGTGAAATCCCCACTGGTCAAGTGCTTGGTTGTTTGTCACATTCTTCTTTGGTCGACCTGCCTTTGCCTGGGTTGCTTTTTCTTTTGCCTTACTGACACCTTTCCATAGAGCTGCGCCTTGGTCGACGACTATTCGAAAGTTGTTGTAAGTACGGTACACATAGTGGATGGTTTTCTTCTCGTCAGTGACGCGTGTATCTCGGATCAGAGCAAGATGTCGGAGATGAGGAATAGGTTGCATCTTCTCCCAGTTGTCTGTCATACGCGTCATGAAAGAATCTGTTGGCCGTCTCCAGAATTTTCCCACAGCTCGCTCGCGAATCGTAGTGCCGTCCCAGCCATCCGACCCACCAAGCGCCGCGATCTCAAAGAACGTATTCGCAAGCAGCCGATCGGGAGTCCATTGAGGTGGTATGCGAACATCATCATCAAGGCCTTCGTCAGCTTCTGAATCCGCACCGTCCATCATCTCTACATCAAGATCCCTCATCAGTGTATCGCCATCGATGTCTTCGTCCAGTTGCTCGTCGGTAGGCTCATCGATAACGGTCTGTCGACCACGAAACCCCAGGTTCACAAAGTCTTCTTCACGCGGCTCTCGTAGAACCTGTATGCATATGATCCAGTCGTTCTCGGTGCCTTTCTTGTGCGCTTGAAATCGCTTGATGAATCCGGTTTGATTAAGCCGAATGAGAGCGCCTTGAACAGCCCGCTTATTCCACGTCGCCATGGGAACGTTCTAAATAATGTTAGCACAAGCCTTGGTCTCGACCACGTGGACTTGCCAACTTCTTCCTGATGTCTCGCGTGGGAATGACACCAGCATCTTTCAACTTATTGAACAGCAAGTTTGCGAAACCTGGCACTACAAATTTCCCAGGCTGAAAAACGTCTTGCACGGTGCTCGATTTTGTGAAATGATCCTTGGTGACAAACTTCTTGTGAACGCAGAGACTGGTGCGTGTCTTGCCGGCATGAACGGGGTTTTTGGCGATATACCCCTTCCTAGCTAATTCGTCTGTCCTGTGTGGGACAGAACGCTTGTCTTGGCCACTGAGACTCACCAGGTCGGGTTGAGCAATCCCTTCTTGTCCACGAGCAGCGATGATTGACAAAAGCACAAACTCCATACTCGGGACCCTCTTAAGGTCCATCTCATGACCCGTCAATGCCTGCCAAATCTGGTTTTGGCTGGCGTAGAGACGGGGTGCAGTGATGGTAGGAGCAGGCTCGTCAAAGACAGGCGCAACTGTGAGAGTGCTAGTTGGGATGTTGCGAGGCCTCCGTTGCGTAATTCGATTTTCGGTTAATGCTATTACTTGATGACTGGAAGGTGACTCGATAGTCGGTGTTGTCGGATGCTCTACATTACGACCCTCTCCTAGAAGCCGTTGTCGCAAAGAACCTCGCAGCGCCGAGAGTGCGGGAGAAGGGCCAGACTTGACAGTGACGGGCACATTGAAAGTCTGGCCACTGACCGTTGCCGTCGCTGTTGCACATACTCCTGTCTCACTCGCCTCCGCTGCTTCGAACTCTGGGAGAGAATAATGACAGACTTTGCCGTCGTATGCAATGCGGATGTCCGGGTGAGTGCAGACCCAATTCCACACCTTTTCGTGAAAAGCGCGGCCAAGTCCTCCCGGCGGAAGGCCAGAGCCCCAGGAATGGGATACATTTTTAGTCTTCGAACGAACGTAAAAAGCATCAATAAAACGAAGGAAGTCTGCAGTACCAGCCCCTGCAAGTCAAGTGTGTTAGCAATGACAAGTAAATATGGCGAGAAATGCATTGGGTGAGGCTCGAACGCGTAAATGAAAAGATCGTGTACAGTAGCGTTGCCAGTCTGCTCACAGCATGTGCGAATGAGCAAATCAAAAACAACGACTGCAGTGGCTGACAACGGAAGACAAATCCGGAAGCAACAAATTCTTTCTTCGCGACAAAAAACCAAAAAAAAGTATAGCGAGTCATGCATACCTTGTACGCCGCAGAGCGCAATCTCCGACAGTAAGAAATCGATAAGTTCGTCAAAACCAGTCGCCATTGTTGTCCGCCCGTCGTCTTGCAACTACAAGAAAGAAGAAAAGAAAAAGATCGCCAATTTATCCGAAGCCATAAGGTGAGTGACCAGAGCGCGATTCGAACCTGCGCAGGTTGTTGGTCGAATAGAGTGTGTATGCGGAAAGGTGGGGTTACTGGCTCAGGATTTTGAGAGCAAAAGGCAAAACAAGGTGGGGGTTATGAACGAGTGGCTTGGCGAAGGCCTGAGCTGCGTTCGGCAGGCGCATTGCTCCCTCACCTTCGTACCCGCTCGTTTGCGCCTGTTGTCTCTCTCTTCGTGAATTCGAACGTAAGAAAGTTGCCGGTAACATAGAACGCATATTCTTTGGTTTTTGGTCCATCTAATCGCCATCTTGCAGCCCACATAATCCGAAAATGGCATACTTCCCAGTACCATAGAATGACAAGAAAACAACTTGCGTTCGTTTGAATTTCACCCCGACAACAAAATCACTACTGATCGAGGACACTGGAGTGCTTCATGACGGAGGAGAGCGAGACTGGAGGCTAGAATTAGCACAACAGTGACCCGACATGTCTTTCAAATCCCCTTTTGCCGCATCTTCGTCCAAACCCGGCCATGGCTCGATCGTTCTCGAAATCCTACCGCCCGGAACGCCAGTACTCCGGAACGTATCCTATCAGTATCCACTGAAGTTAGTTGCACCAGAACCATCGATACCACCAAATCATTCCTTGAGCACAGACCTGACCCAGGATCGAGACACGCATACACCGCGGTTCGTTCATACAGTCTTTCTACTCACATATGGCGGTGGCATAGTTGCCGGAGATTCTATCAACCTAGATGTCCGAATAGACTCTAGAACGCGCCTCATCCTCTTGACCCAAGGCTCAACAAAGATTTTTAAAACTCCTGATCCTCAACTGATCTCCCGACAACACATGACTGTCCGCTTGCAGCGCGACTCAGCGTTAGTTTATCTCCCAGATCCCGTGCAACCCTTCGCTCAAACAGCGTTCGCGCAGTCGCAAATTTACCATCTGGAAAACGGCGAGGGAAATCTATGTGTCTGTGACTGGGTAACCTCCGGGCGATCAGCGCGGGGGGAGAATTGGGACATTCATGAATACAAGAGCAGAAACGAAGTATGGAGCATAGACGCAGTGGGCAAGAAAAGGCTACTATTGAGAGACAATCTCGTGTTGGACAAACAAGGAAAAACAAACATGCAGCTCTCCGCACGCATGGACAACTTCTCCGTCTTCGGAACGCTCATTCTTCGTGGACCTCTCTTCTCTTCCTTGTCGAAATTTTTTCTGGATGAGTTCGAAGCGCTACCGCGTATTGGGGGTCGAAATTGGGATGACACGAAACAACTGGAACTGACACCAAAGGAGGAAAGACGCGCATACAGACAACAACGAGAGAAGGCAGATGGATTGATATGGAGTGCAGCGAATGTTCGGGGTTTTGTTTTGGTCAAGTTTGCGAGTCGAGATGTGGAGGGTTCGAGGAATTGGTTGAGGGATATGATTCGGGAGGATGGATCAGTCTCGAGAACTTTTGGAGAGAGAGCTATGTTGTGCTTGAAGTAGTTTTGAAGGAAGAATGATACCCGCAGAATATAAGTACATCGATAGACTGTATCATAATTCTTCTGTACGAATCCAGTGTTACTTGGTATATCTTTTCGAGTACGTCCGATATTCACAGTCTTAATGAAATTCGTAGGCCTTCCATAGATCTGCAGCTTCAGAATTTGTTTTTTCTTCTTCTTTCTAGCGGCCGTTGAAACGTCTTTGTCCATCCAGAGTCTTTTGGGATTCACCCACGTGGAGTGTTGGCCCGAGCGTCGTGTCGTGTTCCCTGTTGAAGTGTGACGTGCCGAGCACCGGACAACGCCAACGCCAACGCATATCCACCAAACCAACAACACAATCACAACCACAATCTCAGCGGCACCATAGCTTAAACCCTATGACACGCACACAACCCTCCAAACGACAATCTCCGCCATCATGAGCGGCAGGCTCGCGTACACACGTCTGGCCACGCTCGCACGCCGAACACCCATTCACACGCCACGTCTCTACACAACGAGCTCGCTACCCGCCGGTGGTCTCTTGCGTAACGAAGCCGGCCTCCGTCTCATAAAGCGCCGACCATGGCCCCTCGGGACCTACGCACTGCATAATCTCCCCGCTACCCGTTCAATCTCGTTTGCACGAGCCATACCAAAACTCGTTACCAAATTCGCGACCGTGGGGGCGGCTGCAGGAGGAGCTGTCATTGCGGGCGTGAGCTACATCCAGTACCAGGCTGGACAGGCGGGTAGCTTTGCACTCGACCTTTTCTACCGGACGAAAGATGGCGCGACTGACATCGCTGGCGGGGCCCTGGGCACCGTGAACGGCGTCTTCGACCAGATCTCGAGCGGGTGGGGCAAGACAAAGAACGACTTGGACAAGGTGGAATACCCGGAATGGCTGCAGAAACTGCTTGCCAGAGACGAGTCGGATGGTGCAGGAGGGAATGGCGGCGGTCGAGGGCCAAGAGAGCCCAAGCGCAGCGGGGCGGGTGTAGCTGCCGGAGCAGCAGCGTTTGGATACTCGCAGGAAGATGACGAGGACAGGCACGTGGCTGAGAAGATTGCACGCGACGAGCAGATGATGATGCTCACCAAGAAGATGATCGAGATACGCGGGTTGCTGCAGACTGTGGGGCAGTCAGAGTCGCTTTCGCTGCCGTCTATCGTGGTCATCGGATCACAGTCCTCGGGGAAGAGCTCAGTGCTGGAGGCTATCGTTGGACACGAGTTCCTGCCCAAGGGACACAACATGGTCACTCGTCGACCGATCGAACTAACCCTCGTCAACACCCCGGACGCGCATGCAGAGTACGGAGAGTTCCCTGCGTTGGGACTTGGGAAGGTCACAGATTTCAGCCAGATACAGAAGACATTGACGGATCTGAATCTCGCAGTCCCAGCATCCGCCTGTGTATCCGACGACCCCATCCAGCTACGCATCTACTCGCCCAATGTCCCAGATCTGTCGTTGATCGATCTGCCCGGCTACATCCAGGTTACTGGACGAGATCAACCCCCAGAGCTCAAAGAGAGGATCAATGAGCTGTGTGAAAAGTACATCAGAGCGCCGAACGTCATCCTCGCCATCTCCGCGGCAGACGTTGATCTTGCTAACAGCACCGCGCTGCGAGCTTCGCGAAAGATGGACCCTCGAGGCGAGCGAACGATAGGCGTAATTACCAAGATGGACCTTGTCGACGCCGAACGAGGGGCTAGCCTACTCAGCGACAAAAAGTACGCTCTCCGATTAGGCTATGTTGGTGTAGTTTGCCGTGCACCCCCCAACGCAACGGGCCCAAAACTCTTCAACCGCGGAAACGGCAATATCACGACCGCTATTGTGAAGAATGAGGCAGCTTACTTTTCTGCACATCCTGAGTTTGGGCCAGACTCGCAATTGAATGTGGGCACCAGGAACTTGAAGAAGACACTCATGCATGTTCTTGAACAGACCATGGCGAGCAGCCTGAAAACGACGTCCGTGGCGATTCAAAGAGAGCTGGCTGAAGCGACATACGAGTACAAGGTGCAATACAACGAGCGACCTCTGAGTGCAGAATCATACCTTGCCGAATCTCTCGATGCGTTCAAACACTCCTTCCGTGGCTTCTCAGATCAATTCGGCCGCCAGCAGGTGCGCGATCTGCTCAAGCACGAACTCGATCAGCAAGTCTTGAATCTGTTGGCGCAACGGTACTGGAACCGTCCTTTTGACGATCTGAGTGTGCCATTCCCCGAGACAGATCCGTTGGAGGGCCTACCCAAGGCTGATGTGGAGAAGGATGAGATCTGGAAGATTAAGCTCGATAGCTCGAGCGCTGCACTGACGAAACTTGGTGTCGGACGACTAGCTACAAGCGTTGTTGCGGATGCTCTCCAGACACATATCTCTCATCTCATCTCAAACTCGAGGTTCGCAGCCCATCCTTTCGCCCGCCAGGCCATCACCGACGCATCTACCTCGATACTCAAGGATCTGTCATATGACATCAGCGACGAGCTGGAGATCTGCATCAAGCCATACAAATATCGTATTGAAGTCGAAGACCACGAGTGGGCCAAGGGACGCGATAATGTAAGCAAGGTACTGAAAGACGAACTCAAGGTCGTCGAGACTGCAGCGAAGGGTCTTGAAGAGCAGATGGGCGGACGCAAGAAGGTCAAAGACGTCATGTCTTTCATCGATCGCGTGCGGGGCGGACAGGTTGTGCTGGAAGGTGATGGCGTCGGCGGAGCCGGAGGATACAGCTCAGCGCTATTGAACAAGGGTATGTCTTCTTTGGTCGTTCCCAAAGCGATGTCCTTTTCTCGGATCATGAAATCAATACTAACCTTCCCGTCTTAGGAAGAGAAGCAGTCTTCCTCCGCGACCGCATCTCTGTTCTTCAACTGCGTCTTCTCGCGCTGAAATCCAAACAATGCGCCACGCAAAAGAACAAATATCACTGCCCGGAGATCTTCCTCGATGCCGTAGCAGCCAAGTTGACAACGACAGCGGATCTTTTCCTCGACGCGGAGTTACTGTCAAAATTCTACTACATCTTCCCACGGGAGCTTGATCACCGCCTTGGACGTAGCCTGAGCCAAGAAGAAGTCGACAGGTTTGCGCGGGAAGACCCGAAGATCAAACGCCACCTCGATGTTGTACGTAGGAAGGAGCTCCTGGAACATGTGCTGAAGGAGATGGAGGGGTTGCGGCAGTTGGAAGCTAGGGAGAAGCGGCAGATGTCCCGACGTGATGAACTGGACGAGCAGAGGGATCGAAGGAGGGGAGGGAGGGAGAGGGTGGAGAGGGTGGACAGGGTGGACAGAAGGGGTGGAGGAGGATGGTTTGGATAGGTCGGTGGGACGCTTTCATGGCATAGATTGTATGGTGCTTTGGCGTTTCGAAAAGGTGATGATGATGATATGATGATATACCAGGATAGAATATGTGGAGGACTTGCTCGCTGCTCTACTCTGTGTTCTTTGGTGAGGCGTGCCTCGATGAATGAAGAGATGTTGTACCGCGGTTCATGCAGGTTGTTGTGACATGTCCCCAGTTGTTGCCGTGACATTATTGCCGGTAAGTCCGCGTTTCCGTGGACAGCTACACGCAAGGAAGCAGTAAGATGAACGGCCACACATGTATAGCAGAAGAAGAAGTAGAAACAATAAGAGAGCGGAAACTGCTCGTCATCAACATTCTCAGCAGTCGTTCAAGTAAACTATCCTCCCGTGTCTTGACCCGTTATCGATACATCACGACGTGCAGATCGGCCAGATTAGCGCGTCATGCCAATCACCAACCGCAAGCTCCAAACCCACCTACACCGCAGCCCGAACAACACCCAATGTCCTCTCAATCGGGCGCGCTGAAACGAAAGCACTCCGAGAAGACCATCAAAGAGCACTTTACCAACCAGCAGAAACCCAACTCTGCCCTTCGAGACGAGCTGTCGCCGACGAGCAAGACCAAGCGCTCAAGACTAGACAGCGACACAAGACCTGCAGACTCTACACCGATAAAGGAAGCTGCACGGAATACACCGACAGGCACAATGAGCACCGCGGATATGTACCATTTCCCCAGCAAGAGGGACGTCGTCGATATCACGTCCAGCCCGGACAACAGCCCCGCGAAGCCTCTCCAGCGCCGCGCAGCACCCAACATGCACGCCTCCAGCGGGCCCAAACGCTTGCTCGTCAAGAACTTCCGCCCCACGCGCAAAGTCGATCCGAAGCTGTTTCTGGACCAGACGTGGGCCAAGATCGATAAGGCACTGGATACGATCTTCGCGGGCGATCCCGTGGATTTTAGCCTCGAGGAGCTGTATCGCGGCGTGGAGAATGTGTGTCGTCAGAATATGGCAAGGGATGTCAAGGAGCGGTTGGTGGAAAAGTGCAGAGCGTACATGAGCGGGACTGTTCTGGGTGGCGTTGAGGAGAGCGCGGGGATGGGAGACGTGGGTGTGTTGAGGGCGGTGTTGAAGGCGTGGGGTGTGTGGAACGAGCAGGTGGTGAGTTGTCTTTCCCTTGTAAATGAGGGCGTTGCTGATTCAATATGCGGCAGAAATACCTCGATTGGATCTTTTGCTACCTCGACCGCGCGTACCTCCTCCCACGGCAGGAGTCCCTCCGCGATATATCTATCGACCTCTTTCGCTCGGTTATCTTTGAGCATGCGAAACTCAATCAGCGCATCGTCGACGGCGCGTGCGAGCTGGTTGCTGCGGATCGTGCTGGCGGAGATCTGGACAGCGACATGTTCAACAGGACGGTCACTATGTTCCACGACATGCAGGTCTACACCAAGCACTTCGAGCCGCGCATGCTGGAGCTCAGTCAGGAGTACGTTGTGAAGTGGGCTGATACGGAGAGCGCGGAGAAGTCGCTGCCCGAGTATGTCCGGAGTGCAAGGGCGCTTATGCAGAGGGAGGTCAAGAGGGCGGATATGTTTAGGCTGCCGAATTCGACAAAGAGAGATCTTCTCACTTTGCTTGAAGATCACTTGATTTCGAAGAAGGAAGCCAGACTGAGTAGGCCGTTCACACTCCTTTTCTGCGAGAATGTGTTGCTGACATGTGGTAGTCAACCAAGACGAGCTCGCCGACCTCCTCGAAGACAACGCGATAGAAGACCTTGAGCTCCTATACTCCCTTCTCGAAAGCCGCAAGCTCGGTGCACGACTGCGACCGGGGTTCATGAAGTGGATTCAAGATGAGGGCACGGTGATTGTCTTCAATGAGAAGGAGCAGGAGAATATGGTTGTCCAACTACTCAGCTTGAAGCGCCAGCTAGACACGATGTGGAAAACATCCTTCCACCGCGACGCCGAGCTTGGCCATGGCCTGCGAGAGTCCTTTGAGACGTTCATGAATAAGACGAAGAAGACGAGCGCGAGTTGGGGCACGGACAACTCCAAGACTGGTGAGATGATTGCAAAGTACGTAGACATGCTTTTGCGGGGAGGCGCCAAGGCAATCCCAGCGCAGTTGAGCAGGAAGACGGAGAAACCTGCAACTGCCGATGTGGAAGAGGAGGATGAAGATGTGGTGTTTGATGAAGATACGGAGGTCAATAACCAGCTCGATCAAGTGCTTGATCTCTTCCGATTCGTGCACGGAAAGGCGGTGTTTGAGGCATTCTACAAGAAGGATCTCGCGAGACGGTTGTTGATGGGCAGGAGTGCTAGTGCAGATGCTGAGAGGAGTATGTTGCAGAGGTTGAAGACCGGTAAGTCTCTATTAACCAGACACGCTATCACAACGTGCTAACTGTTCTATAGAATGCGGTGCTGGCTTCACATCCAACCTCGAAACCATGTTCCGCGACATTGAGCTCTCGCGCGAAGAAATGGCCTCGTACAAGACAATCTGCGAAGAGCGAAACGAGAAGCAAAGCGTCGACCTCAACGTCAACATCCTCTCTGCAGCTGCCTGGCCCACGTACCCCACCGTCCCTGTCATCATCCCCCCGCAGATCAAGACCGCAATTGATAAGTTCGAAGCGCACTACAAGCTGAAGCACTCCGGCCGCAAACTGGAGCTAAAACACGCCCTCGCCCACTGCCAGGTGAAAGCCAAATTCCCCAAAGGAAACAAGGAGCTAGTCGTGTCATCCTTCCAAGCCATCGTTCTGCTGCTCTTCAACGGCGTAAAAATAGATGAACATATCGACTACAACTACCTGCTCCAAGCCACCGGTCTCCGTAAGTCACTCTACCCTCCCCCCATCTAAACACAAAACCCCCGCACACAGTATACTGACATCCCCGCCAACAGCCCCCCAAGAACTATCCCGCACCCTCCAATCCCTCGCCTGCGCAAAACTCCGCCCCCTAACCAAACACCCCAAATCCCGCGAAATCAACCCAACCGACACCTTCACACTGAACCCCAGCTTCAGCACGCCCACCTTCCGCGTGAAGATCAACACCGTGCAGCTCAAAGAAACGCAAGCCGAGAACAAAGAAACCCACGAGCGCGTCGCCGCGGACAGGAATTATGAAACCCAGGCTGCTATTGTGAGGATCTTGAAGAGCAGGAAGAGGATTAGTCATGCCGAGTTGGTGGCGGAGACTATTAAGGCGACGCGCACGAGGGGCGTGCTGGAGGTGGGGGGCATTAAGAGGAATATTGAGAGGTTGATTGAGAAGGAGTTTTTGGAACGGGAGGAGGATGGGTTGTATGCTTATATTGCTTAGGTGGGCGGGGGAGGGTGTATATATGTGTATATGATGTTGTGGGTGTTGAGTCTGTCTGGATGGATGGTTTGTGTTGGTGGACTGCGTGATACTTGTGATTGTGGTCATGCGTGGTGAGATGTAAGGATTTGAACTGGATGTAACTGTCTTGAAGAAGTAAGGCAGTCAACCCATCAGTATCAACGATCCGCGTAACCTCTTCTTGCACAAACACATTCTCCACGCAAAAAGCCAGAGTTGAAGTGTCATCCATATCATTCATATATGCCGCTACCGGGTATCATCCACATCATACATCCACATAAGAAAAAGGAAATTCGTAAAACCACACAACCATCATCACTGCGTGCCCAACCACCCCGTATGCCTCTTCGCCCCCCAATCCAACCTCGTCATCGCCTCCAAATCATCCCCATTCAGATAATCAACGCCCTCCTCCACCATAACATCCCAGATCCTATTGCGCAGACCAATAGGCCACTGCGGGGCGCCCCAATACCGCACTTTAAGGCCGCGCTTGTGCGCGCCCTGGATCTGGCCGCGCATGGTGTGCACCTGGTGGTGGGAGATGTGGCCGAACCAGATGTATCCGATTGAGCGGCGGAAGTCGACGGAGGCGTAGAAGGAGTTTGTTGCGTCGAAGTGGGAGGTTGGGGAGGTGCCGACTGTGCCTTGGCCTGAGGTTACGATGGCCGGGGTGGATGTGGCGTCGTCGTCGGTGTCTTGCTCCTGTGAGACGTCGCGGAGGGGTGTGGGCTCTTCGTACATCCTGTCGAGGGGCGCGTCGAAGAAGATGTCGCGGTAGGTGGAGTTTGCGGTGACGAGGTCGAAGGGGGCGTTTCCTGTGGCGACGACGGTGATGGGGCCTTTGACGGTTGTGGTGCCGTTGAAGTAGGTTAGGTAGCCTTTTTCGCGCAGCGCGGTGAGTTGCTGCGAGACGACGGGGAAGATGTTTGCGCCGTTGTTTTTGAAGTCGACGAGTAGGACTAGGGTTTGGGCGGGCGCGGTGTCGAAGACGCCGCTTTTGTTTGTGGAGGCGCTGCTGAATGCGCTGGCGGTGTTTTTGCTGTCGAGCATGGCGGCTAGAGGGTCGACGTACATGGAGCGGAAGGTGCGGTCCTTGGTCAGGGCGTGTGTGTTGTGGCCGACGAAGAGGTCGTCGTCGAAGAGCCAGACGTCGGCTTCGACGCCGGTGCAGCCCCAGCGGAGTGCGTCGTAGAGAGGGACGCGGCGCCAGTAGTCGTTGTGGGAGTGGCATGCGATGGGGATGACATCACGTGTGATATCCAGCAGGTAAGAGGCGTCGTTTGTACCCCACCGGTCATGTCTATGCCTCCCGTGTGCGGGAGTCCTGTCGTCCTTGAGCATGGAAACGTAGCCCAAAATGACGTTCGCGATGTGAACTAATCCGCTGAGGAGAGAGTTAGCATATGTTACGTCAAACTCTGCACAAGACGATGCGGGGACTTACAAGAAGAACACAACTAGGAAGATGGCCAGCAGGCACCCCCAAGCAGTGTAGGTCTTTTTCGATCTCGGCTGCTTCGGTACTCTCTTTTCCCCTCGACCCACAGTCATGTTCGTCAAGTTGTTACCCCGTGACGCAACACTCCGTCTTCTTCTTACAGCCATCAGCATTCGCCTCCAAAACCCTGGCTTCTTTTTTGTGTCAACGTCGTTATAGTAGTCATCGCCATTCTCGAGCGAGCTTAATGTGGTAACCGTTATCAGTGGTTCAGACTTGACGGGAAGGCCATGATCGTACGAATGGTACATGTGCAGCAGAGGAGTCTTGGAGGGCGAGGCTGGCTCGGAGATCGGATCGGAAGACATGCTAGGCGAAGATCCCAGATAACCCTGTCGCAAATCTTAAGCTGATGCAGAGCCCTGGCGATCAATGGACTGCGGCTCGTAACGTCGAGGAATTGTTCGAGGCAGGCAGATATATGTATGATTGGAAACAATGGACCGAGCCGCGGGTTTTCCACTTCGTGGGGACCAGAGTCTTTGCGGCTCGACCTTAGCGCCCAAACACCTTCCGAAAACGACAGTCGGTAAAAGCGCCACAGTCTTCTGACAACGATCCAGACTTTCGACTACCCCAACCTTGGACTATGCTGGATTGGTCCTGTGTCCGAAACTCAATCAATCCCGGGAGTAATCAGTGGTTGGCCGAAAGCCGCGGGAGCTAGGGTTTAGTTGATGCGCGTGTCAAAAGGTAGAGCAGTTGGAGACACAGATTGAGTAAATATGAGCGTGCGCGAGGGTCAAGGCGCACCGGAGGTGATCTGCACAACGTCACTACCACCCACTTTCACACAGCGTCATGCTTATCACGGAATTCTATACACTGTTGAGACGGGATCGCGAGCGCCGAACGGCAACATGTTGCGCACATTGTTTGAGCATGCGCTCTGATTAGCTCCCATGCTAAGCACATCACTCTCTAGGCCCAGTAAGGGTAGCGGGAAGGCAATGCCAGGGTGCAGGAACTCGAATGGGTATTGGTTCGCAATTCGAGAAGCTGGCGAGCGACGTTAGTGAAGCCACTCAAGCTATCGACAAGGCACGATGTTCACACGGGAGTTCTGGTTCGCACAGACTCTCCGCCCTTACCACCTCCGCTTTCTCTCAAAATGACGCAGACAAGCCCAAAAGCCATGGGCGAATAACCACAAGCCCCATCCGTCATTGACTGACTGCGTAATGCCTGTGGTGGACTTATTTGTGACCACTTCCATACAGACGCCAAGGTGTGGGGTGTTCTCAAACTCGCTCCGGAATAGATTCGCAATCAGCCTCACCATCATCGTCAGCGCGTTGTGATACCACTAGTCTCTAGAAACGGGGTTCTCTCCGCATTTCAAATTCAGCGGCGGGCATAGCGGCATAGCGGCGGGCATTGCGGCGTCGCCAAACTGATTCTAGCTGCGCATCCATGGGACAGCTAGGCTCGATCCATCGTTCATATGAGGGCCTGGAATCCACCACATCAGAGTTTCTCCGTGGATCGTTTCCGTCAATTGCATCGAGCCCGACCTTGGGTCGCAGCATGCACGCCATCAGCGGCTATCTATCGCAATCGAGCGACGAGTGGCGGAAGAAGTCAAAGTGCAAAGCGCATATCCGCGCAGGATCGTGTACCGGCAAAGGGAGAAGGCGGGGTGAATGGCCGCGCCACGTGCATACAGTCGCCAAGAGATTGCTTAGCGGTTTATCGCCATGATCCCTGTACGAAATTCTTCGCGATTTCCGAGAAAGAGGAACTGCAGCCAAACCACATAATCACGCGTCTACAAGGTCACGATGCCGCACAAACATAAGCGCAAGGCTGGGGATGATGACAATGCACAGTACGCTGTTCAATCCCACACTTTTACCCCACAAGTCATGCTAATGGTGGTGTTGTAGATTCAACCTCCCTCCAACTGTCCGCGCAACAGCCCTCCCAGTCTCCAAGACAAAATCCCAAAACGACCAGTCAAAACGAAGCAAAAAGAGGAAGATAGCACACATCGAGGGCTACGGACAAGATGATATGCCCAAAGCCTTCCAGCGCCTCATGGCCTTCTCGGGCGGCGCGAAGAAACGCTCCGGCCTCGACGACGGCCTCGTGAAGAGCAAGAAGCAGAAACGCCAAGAACAACTACAACAGCAAGAGCAGCAAAAACAGCAAAAATCCCTCCCCTCCACCGAGGAAAAAGAAGCGAACAAACCCGAGCCCCAACCCACCGCAGCAGCAGCAGCAGCAGCGACCCCCAAGATCCTCCCCGGCGAATCCATGTTCGCCTTCGCACAGCGCGTCGACGCCGCCCTCCCCTTAACCGGCATCAACAAGAACGGCAAGAAAATCGCCGGCGTCAACGACCATCGCGTAACCAAACACGAGAAGAAACTAAAGCGCCTGCAGAAAGGCTGGCGCGAGGAAGAAGCGCGCATCCGCGACAAAGAGGCCGAGGAGGCCGAACTCGCAGAGGAAGAAAACGACGAGCATGCCGCGATGTGGGAGGACAAAACTGCCGACCTGCCCTCAGCAGCAAACGGGAAGAAAAAGGCCGCCGCAAAGGGCAAGAAGAGGAAGAAGGTTGTGGGTGAAGTGGATAATCATAGCGAGGACGAGTGGGCTGCGCTCGAGCGGAGTAGGGTCCAGAGAAAAGGTCTGCATGATGTTGTGTCTGCGCCGCCTGAGTTCAAGAAGATTCCGCGCGAGATCTTTAAGGTTAAGAATGGTGCGGGCGCGAAGGTGGGTAATGTGCCCAATGCGGCGGGGAGTCTGAGGAAGAGGGAGGAGCTGGGCGAGGTGCGCAAGACGATTATTGAGACGTATCGCGAGCTTATGGCTGCGAAGAAGGCGAAGGTCGAGGCTGGTGCGCAGGATGATTGATGTGTAGACCTTGGAGATGTAGTAGGAGATGCGAACACTATACCCCCTCGCTCGTGGACATGTGGGAGTTTCTGAGCGCTGTGTGACATGTTGGTATGAGACAGACAGGATGACAGACGGACGAGATGAGATGAGATGAGACGTGCGTACGCCTTCCACAAGACACCATCGAAAAGCCATTCATTGCACTACAAAAACAGACAGACATGCATCCATCCCATCCTATCCATCCCTCGTGAAAAACGCCGAAGCGCCAGACATCGAAGGTATAAAACGACCCGTCAAACCACTCCATCCCATCTCAACTCGTACATACATATCCCCCTCCGGTAAATAGTGTCGCGAGAAGTAAACGGGAATCCACAGCATACATAGCATAACAAGGGATAATAAACAACAAAGATCTGCACAACCTAGTCGCCGACGATGCTCTCCCCATCGACGCGCTCGTCGTCCTCAATCGCATCTACATCGCGTTCCTCCGCGCCGTTGACTTGTTCTTCAGCATCGGCGTCGGCCATCTCCTCGTCTTCGATCTCGTCGTGCTGTTCTTCCTCCTCTTGTTCCTCCTCCTCACTATCGTCTTCGATGACAATCGCTTTGCTCTTCTCTTTCTTCTCGTCCCTCGCCTTGGCGGCGGCGACCTTCTTCTTGCCCTGCTTCACGGCATCGAGATGGTTGACGACTTCGCGCCACGTCGGCGTGAGCTTCGTCTTGTTGCGCTCGAGACGCGTGCGCACTGCATCGCCACCATTACTATCCAAGCTACCGACTTGCACAGCCTGCACGATGCGCGCGCCAAAGTGGCAGAGGCGCTCTTCCGCAAGGAGGGTGCGGAGCTGGCGATCCGTCTGGTCCACGTCATCATCGTCGTCGGATTCAGGCTCATCATCAGGGTCGATAGGGTCGTCGTCCACGTCTGGTTCCTCGAGGCGCTTGCCAGCGAGTTTCGCGAGGTTAGTTTCCGTAGCGGAGAGGATTTGCGTGAGGAGTTTCGCGGTATCGTCATCGATGTCCTGACATAAAGACTCCCAGTCATCACTGGCATCGATTGAGGCACGGCCTTGGGTTTTCTTGGGCGTTCTTGTGATCTGGCTTTTCTTCGCTTTGAGGGACCGGAACATGTTGTATATGTCTAGCAGGAGGTTTGCCGCGTCGAGGCGCACATCGTCGGCGCCCTTGCGCGTTTGCATGATGCGCATGAGTGCTGTGATGCAGGCGTCTCTTCGCTCGGCAATCGCGGTGAGTTCTTCGTCGGGGATCGTGGTGCCTTCTTCGATGTGGATGCCACACGATCGGCATTTCCACATGAAGTAGACCAGCATGAGGGACATGGCGTGGCGGACGAGTGTGTCCTCTGGCTCCTGTAGTTCCGCATCCAGACGGTCGACCAGTACACCGCGGTCAAGAATATCTAGCAAAGATGCGATCGGCGGTGTGTCTAGGGCGGCTTTTTTCGATTTGCTTCTCGAATTGGCAGGGGCGTAGACATGGTCTAGCACTGAGGCGTCAGAGGCCTTGGCCAGCTGTGCCATCTTCAAGACGACGTTAGATACACCGACGACGATGTTCTGCTCCAAGTTGCCTCGTTGTGTGAAGTCTTTGCCTCTCCGAAGGGCATCGAATGTGTTGATCAGATCATCCCAAAGAGCCTGGATCTTGAGCCCGATCATCTCTTTCAGCTCGTCATTACCTTGAGCGTGCAGTATCGACCCTATCGCCTCACTCAGAACGCGCTCATTGTGATGGGTTAAGAATTGCTTGTTGATATCGTCGAGCAACGCTGTGAGTGCCGCGTTCTGCCGTAACTCCTGAAAGACATCCAGGTTGAGTTCACGCTCCAGGCGAAGACATAACGCTGCGGCCTCGGGCAGGGCTCCAAACTTCTTCAAGAGCTGAGGGATGAACGTCGATAGCTTCCTGGCCATCTCCGCCTGGTCCTCCTGGTTGCTTTCGCGTTGCGCTTTCGTCTTCTTCTTGTCGTTTTGTGCCTCAGCCAGGCGCTGCAGACGAATGCGGACCACGGCGTTCAAGATGTCGAGAAGAGCAGTTTCATGCTTCTCCTCGAGTTGGCAATTTTGGCGAAGCATCGTTTCAGGATCATCGCCCGCGCCATTTTGTACCGTCTGTGAGTGGTCGTAGAGAAGATAGCCAGCCAACACCTCCCATGATCTTATCTCTGGAATGGCATCATACAATGCTTGTGCAGCTAGCGAGAATCGCGACTCAATACCAGCAGCCACCAAGCCAAGCTCCGCACCAGACGGGGAAATACGCTCGATTTGCGAAGGCAGCTCGGAGTCCTCCTCATCGTATGACAAAAGCTGCTCAACCAGGCACTTCAGCTTCAACCACTCCAGTCGGGGGTTTTGGTACTCTTCATCGTCCTCGTCAGGAGGCGCTAGTGCTTCGTTGAGAGCTTCTTCACCACCCATATCCTCGACGGTAGCCTCGTACGCAGCATTCACATTCTCGGCAAAGAAGCCCACAACTGACTTGCGAACCTTTGCATCCGAGTCGAATATCAGCTTGCCAACAGAGTCGATATCATCGGGCTCGAGAAAGCCAGCCTCTCGAAGAACATCTAGCAGGTCGACCGCTGCAGCGCGAACGTTGTTCTCAGCATCGCGCGTGGCGATCTCAACTATTCGCGGGCGAAATCGTTCGGTGAAGGTCTTCAATCCTGCTAGCTTGTCCGTGTCGCGGAATAGTCTTGTAAGTTGGTGGAGGACCTCAACTCGAGTTGGTGGGTTGGGATCTGAGAGGACCCAGCCAAGATAGCGCAGATGGCTGCCGTCGAAGAATTTGTCTTGATATATGATGATCCAGTCTACCAACGCTACTACACAGTCAACTCTAATTTTGGGATCTACGTCACGGTATCGATGGATGTAGACCATTTCGAACCATTCGTTGAGATAGGTGTCGACAAGCTCCAGCTTCTGGTTGTATTGCTCGACCTCTTGGTTCGCCGCCGAGACACGTGTCTTGTTGACGCGCGACTTGTTAGACTCTGACTCGCTTTGCCGAATCTTCTTAGCTGTGTTCTCGACGATATCGGCTGCAACCTGTGCCAGTGATGTTATAATGGCGAGAGATGCGACGGTGCTCGTGTGACGGAAAGGACGATTGCCAGTGGAGGACATGGAGCCAATCCACACTTCGAACGTCTCGATGAGGATTGTGTTTTCGTACATGAGCCCCGACTGGGCCACGGTCTGGATGAGGGTGTAGAAGAAGCCATGTAGCGCTTTCCTGAAGGCCTGGCCGCCGCCATCCTTGGCTTTCGCGATAAGTGGGTAGTCTGTTACTTCTTGCTGTTTCTTGTCAGCGCGCGCAATACGTTCGAATTTGGTGGTTGCGTACTGCCTGGAATTCTTCTTGTATCTCTGCAACGCGGTTGTGCGAATTATCTGGATCTGCAATGTCGTCCTCGTCTATCTGAATGCCACAGCCAGCAGCTCGTAGTACCAGATTGACAATCTCGGCCACAGCCAGGCCCTCGTGCTCATTGAAGCGCACAACCCATCGCGCCGCAACATCCTCGAGTCGATCACCGCTAGCAAAAACGTCGGCTATGATGCGATTAGCTTCGTGATCTATTCTCACAACACGTGAGACTCGTACCATATAGTCCTCCTGGCGCATCCTCGGCAAGCGTGCTCTTGCGAACAGCTGCTTTGCGCGGTTTCTTGGTCGCCTTCTTCGATACACTTGTCGCAGGCCGAATCGCGAGACTGACGGTCTTGCCATTTGTTTTCGCTTTCTTAGGCGCTGGTTTCTTGGCGCGCGCCTTGCTCTTTTGTTTGCGCCTGCGTTCCCTCAGTTCCTCTTCGTCTGGTTCACCCTCGCTGCTTTCCTCATCCTCTTCCTCAGACAGGGCCTCGTTCGCGTCAACTCCGCTGTCGTCATCGTCTCCGCGTTTGCGCTTTGTGCTTGCGCCTGGACTCGAACCGGGCGCGTATTTTTGTGGTTTCTTCGAGACGCGTCCGGATTTGCGTCGCGCTGTCGATGAGGCAATTTCGCCGTCGGAGGCTACATCCGCCGAACTCATCTTGATTGCGCGCAATGATTCACAGCTGGTTGCGCTGCTAATTTCTTGGAGAATGACGCGACAATTGATGTTAAGGAGTTTCGGGCGGGGAGGCGATGATGGAGACGCGACTGCCTCGCGGACGGTTAAGCTTTGGAGCTAGGTGCACGTGCCATGGGCAACGACGACATCATCGGACGACATCCATCACCGCGACAGTCGATGATCATTCACTCCAACAAGCTTCTTAGAGTACCGCTTTTGCCATGTTGTATAATCTAGTAGCTGAGTAGTTTCGAAGATACTTGAACTTGTCCCGCAACAGGTTCGATAATTGCAATGTCCTCTTGCATCTGTGAAACGATTTGGGCACGTTAATCCATATCTAATCTTTCATGCAAGGCTGCGCGTCAAGGAGCTTCCATCCTATTTACTACATACAATGATAATCTCTTACCTGGCAACGTCGCCATTGTCTCAGATCTATATAAAAAGAGGGGTTTCTTTGATCGATGTCCCATAAGTTCAGCTAATGTTATACAATCTTAGCAACACACGCGCATCTTTCACCTCCTTGATTTTTTGATACATTTTGCCCAACTTAGCCCAAAGTAGAACTTGTTCAATCGATTTGCTTGGGAGTATTGGCCCCCAGTTCGTCTGGGGTGCACCCCACAATTCTATCAGCCCAACTTTGCCTATAAATCATGGAAAGGCCGCAAGTCGAAGGTGTTATCAGCGGCTTCTTTATTAGCACTGTTGATTTGGGTTCCATCTAGATAGTAGATTGCAAGTTTTGAGAACTTGCTTGTAGGGAACATTCAAGATGCACGTTGAGATATTTGAATGCACTTCCTATCTAAGACTTTGGATAAAACCTAAAAGGCACAGGGATTTTGCATACATAAATATAAATATTCTCTAACAACAACCCACAGCAAAAGAGTCCTAGCTAGTTCGTGCTTATCCAACTGGTTGCTTCACAACCTTCGCTCGCCGACGAACAACCTCCCCCTTTATAATTCACTCTTACCATTATTCACATCCTCAAATTTGAAATCTCGTAGCCAACACATGGCGTGTGGCATATGCCAGATATTCCGGCTCAGCTCCCTCACGCTCAAATTCCGCTCCATTGTAGAAGTCGGGTGTTCCCAGAGTGCAAGGTCCACAGTGCCGATTGAAGGGCGAGCAACACACACGACATGAACAGTGAGTTCGAGTTACGAGGTGACTCCACTCCTCGTACCACTCCTCGTCGTCGCACTGACCTGCACCGCCCCGTAGACACGGATCTGAGTCTTCGATGACGGGGAAGGGGTGTTTCTTCGCGTGCTCGATGCTTTCATCATTCTCATCAGTCGTCTCGAATGCAGACCTCATAGGCTTGGTAAAGGGCATCGACGCCTCGTCTTCGTGTGCAATATCTTCATCCGAGTCCATCTCCGAGTCCGCAATATATCCATCTTCAAACGGAGCGAAGCAAAACTCGCACCTGGTTCTCCGAGGGTCGAGGTAAGCTGCGTGCTCTTCGCACCCCTTGCCCTTGGGATGATGCCATTCCTTGATATGATGCCACTTGTGCCTACTGCTTTCCGCCAGCGGTTCCCCGAGATTCTGCGCGCCGTGGAGTCGCATTGCCGTTGGCCACTGCACCTCCCTTCTAATGTACTTATCAACATCGAAGATCTTATGTGCATCTGGGATACTTGGACTATCAGGTAATTCTGGACTGTCCGACGGACGCAAGTTCTGAGATAGCTTCGGACTAGTAGGAGAGTTGGGAGGCACATATGAGTTCAGATGCGTATTTATCCACTCAGCGCGCCGTAACTGCTGATGAGTCAACTGCAGCCCACCTACAGGAGTCACCGATGTGTCAGCTGCGGATTCGTCGAGAATGGAAAATCTGCCATCAGGAGGTGTTGAGTATTCGTAGTTGAAATTGCAGGAGCGATCGAGTTCATTACCTGAGGCGGTGGGCAGAGTAAGAGCTTTCCAGGGGTTGTGTATACTCGTTATGGGATCGTAGCCATCGGCGTTCCAGGGGAGATGTTGAAGCCCAGGGACTTTTGGAGTGGCTTTCCTTCGCAACGCTTTCCGGAAATGCTCCTTCTGTTCTGGTTCCATAGCAGAGAAGAGCCCTCTTGGGAGGGGTGATTGGACACGAGATGGAATCGGGGGTAGTTTTGGATCTTGGGTTGGGGGAGGTAGGTCTTCGTTCTCTTCTGGCTCATGATCTTTACCTTCCTCGCTCTTTGGTTCTTGAATGATGTTGGAATTTTCTTGGTCGTAGGATACCGGGGAAGGTGGAAAAGGCTCTTCATATCCACCGCCACGAATAGAGCCTAAGGATGGAGTATAGGTATTCTGTGTACTGAATAATATATCTGTCTCATCGACGGTACACACAGTGCATGGGCAGAAAGTCGGTGAACTCCTCTCACTACCTACTCTGATCCGGCCGTCAAAGGCATCAGATAAGCCGCCAATATCATGGTACCGGTCTTCGTCGTCACTGCTCGACGGTGAAAGACACAATCGCTCATCTTCAGCGTCGGAATGGTTCTGGCCGATGTCGAGGCGTTGTTCAATACCCGAATCGAAGGTCTCCCATGCTGCAATGCTCACATGATCGTCACACCAAACTGCGTTAGCAACGCCAGGAGTTCTGATCAGCACCGCCTCATCTTGCAAAGGGTCTGGTAGCCGGATACCCATCTCTTCTCGTGATTCCATGATCTCTCGGACTTGATTTGCGAAGGGGTCATCTTCGGTACCATGTGCATGGCGGTAATCTAAGATCTCCCGAATCTGTTGGAGTGTTGTATTCCTTGGCCACTGGAAGAGACGCACCGGTTCGCTGAGCAGGGCGATGGTCGAAACGCGTGGGAAGAAGTAAAAGGCTGTCGCAGATGATTGGTGTGTGCTTGGGACTTCGCTTTCGAGCTGTTCGGCGTCGATGCTTGTAGACTCCTCGCAACACGACCGATGGCAGTGCTCTTGCGGAGAAGCATTCGGAGAACCATGGCCGCCTCTGATTCCAGACTGGAAATGACCGCTATACCTACTTTCGGACTGCTCCTCGTTCATTTCAGGAGCTGGACTGTTCGGAAGAGACGTCAACAGCTCACTCACATGCGCCAGCCGAGCTTTCAGAGCCCGCAACTCAGTCACCGCCGCCGACTTCTCTTCCTCCACAGTCTTGAGTTGCTCCTCCAACTCTGTCTGCATATCGACTTGCCAGCGGACGTCCTGGACGAGGCTATAATTGATCTCCTTGTACGCTTCCAGCTCGCGTTCAAGAAAGCCGTTGCGCGCCTGCGCAACGTCCGCAACATTCATCCACGCCTTTGTGCATTTCGATGGGGGTGACTGACCACAAGCATCAACCGTTTTCTGGATACCATCTTCGTAAAGGCGATCAAACGCCTCGGTGGCGCCTTGATCATCAGGATGCCGAATCTGCATAGTTTCGTGAATTTCGTGGGGACTGTCGTCTTCACACTCACACTCTCCTCTCGAGCCTGGTTCATCTACGTTCTCATCTTCGCAGTCTCCGAATATGACGTCTCTCTTACTGATGATATACGTATTGCCGCTCCCCTCACCCTGCCAGTTCGCGTACAGATATCGCCACTCACCATGACGACCGAGGTTCTCCCAATACTGCGCAATAGCATTCTTAAGCTCAGACTCCACCACATAGTCGCGCACGCGTACGACATAGACACCTTCACCCGCATATCCGTCTTCGCGTTTTACGACACGCATTAGATGGTTGAGTGACGCACCGTACGGGAAGTGGTAGGCCGTCGCTGCGCCGAGGAACGTAATGCTGGGTGTAGACGGATCATGCGATGGAATAGTGAAGCCTGCAGGAAGAGGGATCTTTGAGTACCTCTCGACCACACGCCGCTCTTCTTCCTGGCGAAGCTCATGTGTAACGATCAATGGTATGTCCGAATGACGTTTACGGCTGTCTTCGCGGGTCGGGGGCGTGTCCCTGGTTGCCTGCGGTGGCAGAGGCGGATACTCATTCTCATCTAAGGCGCGTGAGGTGTAAGTGACATGGCTGTGCAGCTGCCTGTTTCCAACCTCACTGTCTACTTCAACGAGCATCGAAGTAGTGGCTTTCTTTTGGGATCTGCCCATATGCGGTTCCTCGTCGCTCGTAGATTCTTCGCCATCGCTAACATCTTCATAGGCACTGGGCGGATTTCTTGCGTCCGAACACTGCGAAGCCTCCCTCTCCTCCACACGTGCATGAACACGAGTCTCCGCCGTGAGCTGTCGAAGATCCGCCTCCAGTTCGCCTATCCTAGATCGAAGCCTGTAGATGACCTTCTGCGATTCACAATCGTCCTGGTCGTGGTTGTACGCTCCAGCCATCCCATCCCCGTCCCCAGCACTGTCAATCTGATCCCAATTCGTATACCCACCGTACTCGTACACAAACTCCTCATCCTCATCCCGTCCACCCATACCGCCCCTCAAGCCCTCCTTTACTTCACCGTCCACGCTCACCATGCTTGACCGAATACCGGCATCGTGAAGCTGGAGGACCTTGAAGATAGCAATCAGCGTCTCTCCCTGCTTCTTGACCACCTCCTCAAGGCCATCAGTGCAGTCTCCAATCGCCAAAACCTGGGTTCTCAGGAACTCGATATCGGCGTTGTAGTTTCTGATATCTGCGAATTGTTGTTCGATGTCCGCCAAATGTTCCGTCATACCCACATTATGCTGTTCGGCAATCGCATTGTGTTGATGCGCACGTTCATTATGTCGTTCGATATGCGCAACCCGTTGTTCGATATCCGCAACCCGTTCTCTCATCTCCACATCCTCTCGTTCCATCTCCGCATCTCCTGATCCCGCTCCCATCAACTCCGCCACCTCCCTCCCTAACCTCACATTCTCCCTTGTCAAAGCCCGGAAAACCTTTCTCGTCTTCTCCCTACTCGCCTTCCACAGCTCAAATTCCCTAACCCACATCGTCCACCCAGTAGCGCCGAGTTCCTCCAACTCATCCAGCCACAACATGACTTCTGGCCGGTCCCTCGGCGGCACGGCGCGTGCGACGACGTCCCGCATGATGTGGATGCCGTGCGTAGTGGCGGCGAAGTAGTTGAAGAAGTCTGGTTCGAGGATACGGGGTAGTATGGGGAGGAGGGCGGCGTAGGTGAGGTGTTCGGGATCATTGGGGTTGGGGCGGTTGGAGGACATTGCGTGGGTGCAGATCGTGTGTTGCTGGTGGTGTGTGGAAGTGGTGTTGGAATGGAGTGATGGCTAAATGGAGAGTGTTGATAGAATCTAAAGCCTGCCTTGGGTGCGAACTTATACAAAGTTGGGGGTTTGAATGTTTGGATTTGGAGTTTCCTTCACGTCTTCAGGGTGACATTTTGAGGATGTGGGAAGTTTGGAATTGAAGAGCGATGTGGAAGTGAACTTGAGGTCTGCCCAGCGGAGCCAGGAGTGACAAATGCACTACCCTACTCTGTGAAGAAAGGCGACATAGCCCATCAACCACATAAAGCACACCACCAAACAGCCCAGAAGCGTCCGCAGCATCACCCACGAACGCCCCTTACACCAAACGCAGCACGCGCAAAAACGAAGAAGAGTATGAAGAAGAAGAGGAAATGTCATTACAGCGCTATGCACGCATCCACACGTCTATAACCCCAGAATGAACCGAACCGAACCGAACCGTCTATAAATGTAAGGGTATAACCGCGCGCGTGCCGTGTAAAGAGTACGCCGAACAAGCCGCCCAGTCCACACTTGCCTTGGAGAAAGAAACGAATGCCGAAAAAAGCCAAAAGGTGAAGATGAAGGGAAAAAGATACCAAAGATATCCCCAGCGCGCCGATTAAAATCAAGCCATACAAAGTGCAAGTCATAGCCGTGACTGCGGAGAAAACGCTCAAATCGGTCGTGAAGAAGGGGCGTGATGAAACGCCGTGTAGAGACAAGACAGTTTACCGTTGGGTATCCAAACGCGACGGCCGCCGCCGTCCGTGTCGCGAAGCCAAACCGCAACGCAACGCAACACAACGCGCTGTCAGCAAACCCAGACGCCCGCTAAAAAAACACACACAAACTTTTCTAGTTCCCAGCTCGCGCAGCAAGCCGTCCCTGTGCCGCAGCGCGCACAGCCTCTTCCTGATCCATTGCCATGCGCCTCAACTTGACCCTCGCCTCCTCAAACGGAATACTATCATTGCGCCTCAAACTATTGCGACGCGAGTTATTCCTACTCGCCGACGCCGACGTCGAAGGCGACATCATGATGCTGTTTGACCTTGAGCCGGGCATGCTAGGCGTGCCTCCCGGGCCGCTGCGGAACTGCGTGCTCCTTGAGTCCTGGCTCTGGCTGTCTGCATCGCGCTCGCGCGAATTGCTGCGGGATTTGATGAATTTGGGGTCGTCGCCTTTGCGCATGTGGCGGAATTGGTTGGTTGCAGTGTCGATGCACCATAGTTTGTAGGGGCCGGAGATGAACTCGCCGTGCTCGTCCCAGCAATGCACCCAGGCGACGCCGTCGTCGAGGCGGAAGAATCCCACATCGATGTTCTTGCCGCGTGAGTTCTGGATTATGCCGTTTGCCTTGCGGACTTTGTACTCGGACTCCAGGAGATAGCGCTTGAGGACTCGGGACCAGTGTGTTTGGATAGGGCGGTCTAGTTTGACGTATTCCTTGGTTTGCGAGACAACGGCTGGCTGGACTGGACCTCCTTCTGCGATCTTGGGGCTGGCCATCTCGGTAGGGACGTCTCGGAGAGTTGCGATCAGATACCATCCACGGCCTGGGATGTACTCGTAAAGCCCTGGAACCGGTCCATTTTCCCAGTACTCAGTTTTCCTGGCCGAGCGCTCTGACTTGGATGTGCGAAACCATTTCTGCGGCGAGAACAGCGTCTGGGTTACGACGAACAGATTGGGCGCCATTGTAGCTGTCCACGTCGAAAGAATGTGAGTTGTGTTTTGCTGTGATTTATCCCAAGACTTTTCGAAACTTGCTCTACTTTTGATATTCAAGCCAAGCAGGTGATAGGGGAAAACCACCGATAAGAAGGTGTGCCGGTGAGATAAGCTGAATCGTAGTCGCTGTAGTGAAACAAGATGAAAGTTGCGTATAAACAACCACACAAAAGCCCCGAATATTTTTGTTGAAATTCCGTTAAAAAGGGGGCGCGACGAGGAGGGCTGATGATGCAAGCGGGCGGCCAAGCGAAGCGGCGGAACCACGGACAGCGTGCAAAGCACGACAAAGCCACCAGGAAAGCCTTCACTCGCACCTCGAAGAATCGCTAGAAAGCAAAGCAGTTGAAACTTGTCCAAGAGGCAGCACAACAGCAGCGGCACGCCGAGCCAAATGTACTTGTTCCAACGGGAGCTAAAGTTAGCCCGAGAAAATCCTTTCCCAAGACTTTTTCCCTTTTTCCCCAAGTCAGGAACCGAACCGGGAAATTGGAGACGTGCGTGCGTGCGCGTGCCGCCGCCTTGACCAGGAATTCTAGTAAACAAAGTGGACACCGATCTTTTTTTTTGTGGGATGAGAGGACGGGGACCGTTATTTTTGCAAGGGCGGTGGAATGGGAATGAAACTACCCAAGCAGAAACTCGTGTCAATGGGAATGGAATTATATGTGGATTCTGTTAGGTACGCTGACCACACCCTCCTCCAAGCTGCACGTCTCGCTGGAAACAGCACAGCGGGTATCCATCGTCAGCACACCGACTTGCGTTGATCAGCTGTGCCGATGCGATAGCTGCCCGACTGTCTCCTACTCTTGCTTTTCCATAGAGACGCGCAGAGCTGCTGCGTACCTCCCTTGGTCCCGCATCCGGCAAAATGTCCAATCCAATCAGTCACCATTGCGGACCCCGTGGCTGCGCAATGCAAGATAAAGCGACTGGCACACCAGACGGGCGATAAAGCATGTGAAATTGCAAAGGACAAGGCACAGACAGTCGGCGGTGTGGATTACTTGGCCGGCTGGTGTTGAGGTGTAACGGGCGGGTTTGTTTCGACAGGACGGTTAGTGAGGCGTGAGAGAGGCTTCTCCTTTCGCGGCTTCCCCTAGTGCATCCGTAAACGATCCGTAACACGAAGACACCACAACACTGGACTCCACACCTCAAACAAAGCACCTTGGGCATCCACAACATCCACGCGCAAGCAAATGCCTGACTAGGACCGGCCCACGCGGTCCTGACTATCTTGCGACACCGCCAAGGCAAGTTGACAGGACTGCCACGGTAATCAACCGGCGCAACTTGCATTGACCCATGGCCTTGGCATCTGACAGGTAGCTGTTGCATCGCCGCCGTTTGTGTCTGGTCAGATCATGCTACGGTGGTGCAACGATGATCTTGCGGTGAGCTGGGAACGGGATGGGATATGATGTGAGGGCGAGCGGGAAAACGCAGTGATGACAAACTCCTTGCCCGATAAACGAAGAAGGATGATCACCGAGCAATTGCGAGGCGGGCCCTACAATACCAAAAAGTACGTGCACTCTCGTAGAAATTCTAAAGCCTTTGCGTTTCTATCCGAGCGCTGCACGTAGCAACAGTCCACCCAACCAACCAACTAAGCAAACCCACTCCCACGTGCTTTATCTACATCGACCTCCAACTACCGGGAGTCATCCTTGTCTGAGTGAAGATCGTCCTCCCAATCAGCGCAAATACGTGTAGACCCAAAGACCAACCACAGCCATCGTTCGCGCTTACTATGCTGTGCTATAGCCACCACTTAATGCTTTGTTCTTCGAGCGCACAGTACCACCACAGATAAACTTAATACGACACGGAACCTTATCCACCCAACAAGCTGGGCGAACGTCGACGCGAATTACTCAGAAGAGTACACTCGGACCTTTCTCATCAAATAATCTAGCGAGTGTTCCTCCGACGACTTCGTACTCGCTGAAATGGTGTGAGGCGCTGTGCCGATCAACAACAAAGGCGTAGTGTTGCGTATGACCCGTACGCCATGTAGTCTGCCTGATATACAGTTGAAAAGCAAGTCAGATGCATACTGGTAGACAAGCCCAAATCCTGGCATGTTAGACGTCGTCTCGCTCACTTCCACATCACCACACAACGACACAGACCCAGCATGTGGCTCATTTTCATTGCATTCCTACTGCTCCCTTCCATATCATGTCCTCAGGTCGTCCCGCAGTAACATGTCGCAATGTCCTTTTTCACAGTACATGCCTCTCCTCTTGTCGATGGGTGCGAGCCGGAGGAGAGAGAAAAGCCTTCCCATTGAGATCGTAACTAATCAGAGAGACGCCTTGTATGCCCCGCCCAAGTGAAAATCCGCAATCGTCTACGACTCAGTCTTGACGCGAGCCTTGCCGTTGGTCACCTTGACACCGAGCTGCTTCGCCCGGGCGATGATTTCGATGCGCTTTCGTGCGGAGACGGAGTGGGAGATCCTGGTAGTAGTCAGTATCCAGTCTCCGAATTATCTCGAATATCTGTCTTGGTGACGTACTCTGCGGCGAAGGTGGTGTTGTGCATGAGGAGGAGGTCGACATCGTTGACTACAGCGCGTTAGTTAGAGGTCTAGTCTAGACTCGCGTCGGGTGAAGTGTGCGGTCGTACTGTTGGAAACGAGGAAGGCCTTGTGGCCGCTGGGCATCAGGTGACGGGTCTTCCTGTTGGAGCCGTAACCGATCTGTGAGTCGCATCCCGTCAGCCAAAATTCTCATCATGCTTTCCCCCCAATCCACAACTTCAATTCCAATGTCGTGATCCAATCGAGTCCCATGGGGTAAAGGCAATCCGTACCTTGGGCATAGCAGCCTGACCCTTAAACCGCCTGCGGACGCGGTTGTCGATACCCTTGGGCTTGCGCCATGAGGGGTCAACGCCTGTCCCATGTCAGAACCTCCTCCCTTCATATCCTGTCGTGGTGTATCTTACGCATAAAGCGGTCCGACTGGTGGCGGTTGAAGCGCTTCGTGTCTGTATGCGATGTCGTCAGTTGCGGAATCTCGAGGTTGCGGCGGGCGGTTCAGCGTACGCTTCTTGACGATCGGGACATGTTTCTTAGCGGCGACCATCTGCAACAGTTTGATCAGTATCTCAGCCGTCACTTGGGCGCGTGCATACGTACTTTGACTGCTGTGTGGGTTAGTTGTCGAGATGGCGGTCGGAAGTTTTGGCAAATTGTGCTGTGTGCGCATGCCGAATGGCGCGCCAAGTACGCTAATAAGCGTGCTTGGCACCACCAAAATCATCACGACGAACATCAAAACACAAACAGCAACGCAGCAATATTGTGAATTGTGGTATTTGTGTCTGTTGTAATTGTTCGCTGAGACAAGTGCTCTCACAGCCCAATTCAAGCACGCAAAAGACACAAAACGATGAACAAGGCATTCGAAGCCAGTGAAGTACTCATGCTGGGCTGATCTATCAAGTAGAAGATGCTCCTGTATCGACCAAATGTGCCTCAAAAGCAGGCAAAGGGTATGTAATGCTCCCATGAAACTCATACCATGCCGAAGTAATCTCGCCTCGCGAAGCTACAAGAAGCCTTGCTGAGACGATGATATCGGCCATAACGTCCGCCGTAACTCATACTCCTCAACCACATCAGGCCGCGTAAGAAGAGCTCAGTAATCCTCGACAACCTCCTCCTTCTTGTCGCCCCGCTTCTCCTTAACCCACTCGACAAACTCATCAATGACAGACGGCCACGAAGACTCCTCATTCCAGAAGCTCATGGCCTCGTCCTGCAGGGTGAGATTTGCAAACTTGAGAGTCTCGTTCCACATATCCTTGTTGACGCTCTTCTTCCACGACGAGGTGAGGAACTCCTTCCACCAGTCCAGCCACGGATTGTTAGGGCTCGTCCACTTGACAGCAGAGATGGGCGAGCTGAAGAGGATATCCCAGTAGGCGACGGCCGAGTCGAGGGGGACAGCCTTCTGGTTTGCGGGCTTGGCGACCTGGAAGCTGTATTTGTAGATCCTTGTGAACACTTCTTTGCTCCCGGCCATCTCTCGACTGAGGTTCTTGAGGTAGGCTTTCTGCTTGTCGACCGTTTCGCAGCTAGGACAGCGTTAGCACAAAGCCATTTCATATCAGGGCGCTGGCTCATGACACCTACCTGCGCTCTTGCCAACCATTCACGAAGCCTTCTCGGTTGATGTCACCCATTGTGGGAGCCTGGACGACCTCGAAAGCAGCGAGTGCGTCCAACCCTTCGAGATCAACGTCAAGCTCCTCGAAGTACTGCATTGTTCCCTCAACACCGACAGCATCTGGTTCGCCTGCCGCGTTTTCTCGATATTTGTCGAACAGCTTGTTGAGAGTAGACTTTGTAGCAGAGGAGCTGGCCGAGCCGGAGCCGCCACCGCCACTGTAGTATCTGTGAAGACTTGTCAGCATGCATTGTGATGAAGACTGAGTAAAACAAGCGCAGTGTAGAGGGTAAGCCAGTGGGAGCCAGAGTATTGGTACCCTTGTTGCGTCTTTTGCTGTTGTCCAAGATCTGGCGCACTTGTAGCTCTGGACATGGCCTGTACCGAAGGGTGGAATAGTTCGTTGGAAGTAAACCGGAGCTTGGTCTCTGGCGGATCATGTGTCGCTTCGAGAAGATATCGCAACATGACGGCAGGCTTCGTTGGATCGTACGGTGCGGTTGATGTATCATCGTGCTCCACGCTGACGCCTACGCTTTCTTCGAGTATCCGCTTGAGAATCTCCATCCCTCTCTCGTTGATGGTATCTCTGAACAGTTGGCGCTGCGCAAAACTGAGGCCTCGATAGAAAGGCCGTCGCGACTTCGATGCGGCAGCGGCCTGAATTAGCAGTAATGGACCCGGACCGAAATAGGTTTGGAAACAGATGAATTGAGTACTCGAGAGAGATGCGAGAAAGGCCTCGTAACATTCGCCTGAACAGATGGGAACCGCCCATAGAGCATGGCTCGATGTCGGGCCCACCCATGGGAACTCTTGCATGGACGGTTGGTGTCCTCTGGCACGGGGCAACGGGGTTCGATTCTCGTCCTCAAAAAGCCCGCCACCTCGCAGTGAAACAACGGTTTGTACTCGCAGATGATCGTTGTAATCAGGCTGCTGTAGAGGCGGAAGCATTGGTACACCCAGTTGCGTTTGCATGAACCCTGGATAGAAGCTCATCATTTGAGTAGGCGAGATGGGAGCGGTCATGTTGCGTAGTTGATGAGATATGGTCGAGTGAGACCCCAAGCTGCCATAGCGTTTGGTAGGGACGGGGAGCACAAACTGACTCTGAGGTGGGACCGGCATGTCGGCAATCGATGCATTATTGTAGAGCACTTGACTCAGATACTCGGCTTGGGCGCTGTGCTGTTGCGTGGTTGGGTATGGTTTGCCACTGGCTGCCAGTGGAGACTGATTTCCCACTGGATGAACAGACTGATCGTGATCCGACACCCCAGAAGTATGCTGACCGCTGGATATCCGGTCTTGGCGAATGCTCTCAGAAGTAGATGTAGTCTGACACTGTTGTGATACCGGAATCGAAAGAGTGGTCGAGCGATAGCTAGACTGCGAGCCGCCGGAGCTGATCCTCTGTCTTCGTGTGCGCGCGGCAAGCTGTCTGGCCCGATCCTCTGAAGAGCCGAACATGGAGGGCTATGACGATAGCAGAAACGTGGACAGATGTTGAGTATTTCTGTATGAGGCAGAGTGGTTGAGAAAAGAGCAACACGCGGATCCCGCTGTGTTTATAGGATGACCGTAGCGTGCTTGTCCATGGGGAAGGCATCATGGCAATGCTTGTCGAGCTCGAAGAAGTAGCAACACCGTGCAACTGGAAAGGCCGAGGGCGCCAGAGGTTCTTCCCAGTCTTCGGTGTTGAGATGCGGAAAGCCGACGATCGCAGATGCCGACTCGCGACGAATGCTCTTCTCTTTTCTTCTCTTCCCCGTAGCCTCGCGCCGCACGATTTGCTCCTTCCCTTGGGATATGATATCTCCAAGCTCGCGTGTCTTCCGTTCGCATCGACATTCCGCAGGTATCCAGTCGAGTAATCCGGTATTCCAATAATCCAGTTCCAGTCCCAGTTCCAGTCCCAGTCTCCATCCCAGTCTCTAATCGCAACCCCAATCCCCATAACCACCACAAACCCCCCCAAAGAAAAAGAAAAGAAACAAACTTACGAATTCACCGCATTCTGCACATCCCAGCCATGACTCTTCAGCACCCTAACCGCCGCACTGCGATCCATCTGCGTGAAATTGGTAAACTGCTGCAGCGCAGCCTTCTGCTGGGTAGTGTAGCCTGGCGGCATTTTGGATTAGTGGGTGTGTTCGCGCTGCGGGGTGGGGTGTGAGAGGTGGTGCAGCGGGTACGACGACAGAGAAGGGGAAGGAAGAATAGTGGGAAAAGCACACGGCCGTCGCGGGGAGAGACTCGAGTTGAGTGGTGCCGTGTCGTACAATGCAGTGTTGTGTTGTGCGGTGGACGATCGTGACGCAGCCTAACCGCCCCACGTCTACGGAGATAAGACGAGCGGAGGTAAGCCATGTTGTTGCGACCTCACCTCCCCTCACTCACCAACTTCTCCAAACTTTGACGTTGAAATGAAATGAAAAGAAAAGAATCAAGAAAAGATAGACTTACTCTCCTTAGCCGTCTTGCCCTTCTTCGCCACGCCCTCCATAGCCTCCCCGTTCTTCCGTTTCGGCGGCATCACGTCGTCGCCGTTGTCGTCGTTCTTAGCGTAGCGTAGCGAGCGTGGTTGGATGAGCAAGAAAGGCAGCTCACGAACTTTTCAGCGGTGCATATAGAACGGAGCGAGAACAAGCGTCGCGGTGAGGTAGATGGTGAAGGAGCGTAGCGTGGCGGGTGGTTCGTTCGTACCTTCCCCAGCGTAGAATGTTTGGGGGAGGTGAAGGCTTGATGTGATGTGTTTGCACTGCGTTTGGAGCGCGACTAGGCAGACAGACAGAGAGATGTGTTTGGTTTGCAAGGCAGCACTTCGCTCCTACCTGTACATGACGGTGGTACAATACATCCGCTCGCACCATACCCAAGTCCAGCCCAGTGCGCAGCGCCCCAGCAAGACTCCTCATTCATCGATAGAAAGATCAATAGCTAGCCCAAACCAAAATGCTCATCAAGATACGGTTATAAAAAACAAAACCCCCCAACCAACAGTCCACCTCTCCTCTTCAACCCTACCATCTTGTTCTTCCAATTACACCTCCATCTCCATCTCCATCTGCGACTGCATCTATGCCAACGCCACCTCTCCAACACGTAACGCCTGCATCTTCCTACCACTAATCCGACCCAGGCATACCCTCCACCTCCTCAACCAGCGCCCTCCAGCAATCCGCCTGCAACTCCGCATACTTAACCCTCTCCTGCGCCCACTCCTGATGCAACCGACTAACATGATACTGGCTCCTCTGAAAGAAAACCAGCTCATCACGAATACACTCTTTAATAAACACGCCCCGCGCATGTTGAGCAACGATAGAAGATTTGTCCTGCACAAAAATTAGCCCTTGCGCGAATCACCGTCACCAACGCAACGTAACGTAACGTACCTTGAAGATAGCCTCCTCGACCTTCTCCGCCTCGCCCGGCTTGAGTGTCTCCTGGGGCTTATTCCGAATATTCTGCAACTTGGTCTCGTTGTTTACGATTCTGCGTTCCAGCGCGGGGATATTGTCCTTTGCGTACTTGTCTCTGCGGTCGAACATGTCTCTTAGACTGACGAGCGCGTCTCGCTGCGTCTTCAGATCTTCCAGCACGCCCTCCTCCCACCCCCGCGCCTCGTCTTCCAGCAGCTGCCTGCTCTGGTCCAAGTGTCTCGCCGTAGCGTTGAGGCCTTCGTTGAGCAGGGGCACGTCGTTGGTGTCGACTGCGTATGTGTCGAGGGAGGATTCGGTCAGGGAGGTCAGGGCGGCGGAGAAGCGGAGGTTTTCGGCGGCCATGCCTTCGTTGCGCCGTGTGAGCCGCTCCATCATGGAGCAGAGGTTGATGTATGTTTCTGCGCTGCGGCGAACACCGGAGCGTACCGTGTCGAAGGTTTCGGTGAGCGTCTTGGGGAGCGAGTCTTCGAGGTCTGGGGGCAGGGGTTTGCCGGTGAATTCTTCCTGGGTCGAGAGATTGGCTTGTTTGCGCCATACTGCGAGTTCCTAATTCGTGTAAGGAGGACATCATAGCTAAGGGAGGGGCGGGACTTACGGTGGGCACGGTCAAGAACATGACGACGAGCTGCTCCTCTCTGAAAGTGGGGTGTCGTACAAGCGCATTCGTGAAGCGCACAAGCCCCCTTCTTCTCTTCTCGAGAAAGCCAGCGTCCGAGGCTATAGGTGTGCCGTTGACTAAGAAACCTCAACACACATCAAAAGTAGCAAGGACACGGTACTTACTGGCGACTCTCTTTGGAGGCAGCAACGGCAGCTGTCGGAAGGGATAGCGCTTGTGCAGGCAATCCAACAACCATACGAAATCGCTGTACCGACGGACAACCTTAGTGCCAGGGCGCCGCGAGCTGACGACCTCGTAGTTGCGATGCTGAAACATGAACATGCCCTCCTTCTCGGAAAGCGCGGTGATGGTGATGGTCTCCTCGACCCCGGTGCTTGCAGAGTTTCCTCGGCCGATGAACCTGCCCATTCCAGAGGTGACGTTGGGAGTCTCGCTAGCTGCAGGTGCGCCAAACCCTCCATCGCCGAGCGCAGGCGCGGGGAATGGCGGATTGGACGAGCCGTTGTAGCCGCCCCAGCCGCCCTCGCTGCCCAGAGAGCTTGGCTGAATGGGCTCTGGGTTCGACGCCGAGGCGGACGTCTGCGTCGTGAACTGGCTTGTCGTCCGCGTGGTCGAGGGCAGGGTCGCGCCGTTCGTCTGCGGTGGGACAGTCGTGTAGCTCGCGTGGCTGTGTCCTCTGTGCAGGTCCGGACTGCCCCAAGGATCCGCCTCCGGGTCGCCAAACGACGGCTTGCGCAGGGCACGCGTCCTCTCTGGGGCGGGCGTCTCCTGCGCAGGAGGCTGCTGCTGCTGCGCGGGAGGGGTAGGCGGCGGCATTTCTTGCGGCGGGGGCGTCTTTTGCCTCGCGGGCTGTGGCAGCGATACCGAGGGCACGGGGAGATCTGGCGCGACGTCAACACACTGTCCGCGGCTCACCTGCCCTGCACAGGCACAACTCACTCCTCTTGCGCTCGTCGACACTGTCCAGCGTCACGTCGTCGCCCTCTTGCGCCAGCCCAATCAGCGCGAACAGCACGTTGAACTCGCTCCTGCCCAATCCCGTCCCGTCCTGGTCCGGCTGCGACACAATCTCGAGGATCTTGGATTGCGTGTCGCTCGGCAGTCCGCTGTCGCCCAGGAGCTTCTTTGCGCCGTCGATGCTGATTCCGTTGCCCGTGCGGTCGCCGGCGTCTAGCAGAGCGTCAAAGGCATCGACGTACGAGTCGGGCACGTCCTCAGCAGGAAGGAGCGACTTGACCAGGGCCCCGCGGCCAGCTTTCTTGGACGACGGAAACGCCCAGGGTGAGTCACCGCTGTCCAACTCGTCAGCGAACAGGCTGTTCCCGCCTCGGGCTGCAGGCTTCGCGTCGTCGTCGAAGAGCGAGGACGACTGTTTCGCGCGCGCCGGCACGTCGTCATCGCCGAACAGAGACATGGTGGGCTACGTTATGCGCGGTGGAGCTTGCCAACACGCCTCCCAATAAGATATCGTCAGGAATAGAGGCGCAAGCTGCAGACAGCGACAATGGGTACCTGCAGGTACTCAACGTTATCATAACATGGATCCAACTCGAGCTATGGATATGCGGCGGCTGGGAGCTTCATCCGGCTAGATCAAGCCCTGGAAACCGGCCTACTATCACTTGGCACATCACATCACCATCGTGGCTCCATGCGACACGTCCAAAGCTTATCCTGGGAAAACCCACCCTCCAACCCTGCCCCACTATATCACCGCCTCGGCAGTATACGAGCCATGAAGTTCAGGTTGATCAAAATGCTTGTTTAGATTCTTAGCTAACAGACTCTACTCACAATCCTCAGATCGATCCTTCTCAGTATACTACAACATTCCAATAATAGATCCATATCCTAAATATCTCCTCTCCTCCAAATATCAAAGCTGAATCTCATAATCCAGCGGGGTATCCAAGAAGTACCTTTTGGGTAAGCCAAACAATACGCCGAGCCATACCATGCCAATGCTACAACAAGTGAGACATGTCATGCTTGCCAACGCTTCGTTCCACTCAATGCCCCATCACCAATGCGCCGTAAAGAAAGACGGGGTATAAGCGTGCTAACGAAGAACGCCCTCTCAAACACAGACAAAGAAAAACATAAAAGAGAAGATTTGGCCCACGTTATCTTTCGTGGCTTGTCGGTGTCCTGGCTTCCTCGCCTGGCGCCATCTCCACACCCAAGGGGACGAATTGTATGCGTGGAGTACGGGGAGTACGGGGAGAACTCAGGAGAGAAGAAGACGAGAGTTGGTTGCTGGAACCAACCGTCTCACCTGTAGGTGGTGGAGATGGCAGATGGTCCTCTTCCTCGATCGCAGTCGGTATTCTTGCAAGATGGATCCCTGCAGTTGCTGAGATCTCCTCTTGTCTTGCCTGCTGCTGTTGGTGTATGATCTCAGGCGACCATGTCTGACCCCGAGGCTGAGCAGGAACGATCGTTACAGGGAGGTCCATCTCAGATGCCGCTCCAGCTTTCTTCTTGGATCGAAACTTTTCTCCCTGGTGTGCGGCAAAGGTACCCAGACGATCTGACAACGCTAACCCGTTGTAATGGCGGGGTGGAATGTTCGCAGCAACATCCTCGACTCCAAGAGGTTCGATGACACGACCCCTTTGTAGCTCGGGTGGTGGCAAACGTCCTTTTCGCCGGAAAGGATTCGCAACTGCCTGCCATTGCCACTTACTCCTGCTGGGGATCGCATTCGAGTCTGAATCGCCGCCTTTCTCAGGATCCTCGTAGTTGGCTGGTTGATTTGTGGGTTCTTGTGGGTTGTGTTGCGCGGTGTCAAGTGTTGCTCGATCTTCAATAAGCGTGGGCTGTCTGAATGGAGGCGTCACACAAATAGGGTGATACCGAACAGTGTACACCGTCGAATCTGCGCTCGTAGTGTCGGTTCTACTGACGGGGGAAGATATGATCGGGACTGGTGGCGGGTTGGGCATGCGCATATATTGGCGCGAACTTCGATCACCAGGGTTGGCAGACTCAGATCGACGATGAACCGGCGCTGGGGCGGGGATGTGGATGCTCCGCTTCTTGCGTGCCTCTGTCTTCGGGGTGTCGTTCATTCTTCGTCCTAGTTTCCTTGTGAAATTGTCGAAATGGGTTTTATGGGCTGACGTGAAAGCGGCAAATCCACCGTCTCCTCCGTCTCCGCCCTTCTTTGTCTCCTTTTCGGGGAGTTGACTCTGGCGTTTGTGCGGCCAGTGTGAGTTGGAGGATGGTGTCGTCTCAAGCATATCGTCCCCATCGTAAACTTCTCTTCCCAGAATCCCGTCTTTTCGTTCTTCTCTTTCCAAAACTTCGATCCGTTCTACCCATTCCCACACAATGACGCTAGCTGCTGCAGCACCCACCCAGCGAAAGTAGTCACCCCAGCCGGCAATGGTATAATTTGCAATATCGGTAATGAAGAAAACAACCGGCGTAAGAATGGCCACCATGGCCAGAAAGGCGACGACAGTCATGTTCCACATCAGGGAGTGATAGAAGGCGTACCTACGCTTGGTGACGGCGTAGTACATGACCCAGGCGGCGTACAACATGCTGAGTGATAACTGGAAGAGGTAGCTCAACGCGGGAATGGCAGTGTCGAAGTGGGTGGGGCGTGTGTTGTTCTCGTAGGGACCAAAGCTGTTGAGGCAGCTGAACGTGATATCGAGCAGGATGAGGGCAAAACCGACCCATTTGATCATGACCTTCTCTTTGTGACGCGGGAACAGACGTATCAGAGTCTGCACCTGTGCGAGCCAGATGAAGACGTCGGAGATGATGCGTGAGACCTTGATCTCGATGCCGGCCACGACCTGGTCGCGCAGGTCCATGGCGTCGATGAAGCCGTCGTTGTACTGGCGCGCGGCAATCTTGAATGTGTCGGCGGTTGCGAGGGTCAGCGACACGGCGACAGTCAGGGCGGCGACCTTCTGCAGCCAGGGGCGGCTCCCCACGCCGATGATGGATCCCCCGCCTGACGCGCCACTGATCATGCCGCGTCGCCCCATGAGTCCTGAGCGTCCAGAGGCGTTCCCGGCATGGAAGGTGCGAGGCGTGATGATGAGCATGATGACGAGCATCCAGGCGACGACGGTCGCGGCGCCCGTGGCATAGGCCTGCGGTGTGATGGAGGCGTGGAAGGGGTCTCGCGTGTCGGAAATGCTAATCTCGCCGCCCATCTCGACTCCCTGGGCGACCGTGGTGCATTGCGGGCGGAAGACGGCGTCGGAGCTGAGGGTGATGAAGTTGCCGGGTCCTATTTCGACGGTGCCATAGGCGGGGAGTTTGTACGAGGGGCAGTGCTGGCGATGCGCATCAGTCACGTCGATGGTCGGCGTCGTCGTGGCCGTCGCAACACTCACGTAGGGCTGGCTCGAGTCGCGACGGTCCAGGAGGTTGGCGTCCCACGCCTCCGCTTCCCACATGCTCGGCGGCTATTCTGGTCCAGCAGCAGCAGCGCGTGTCCGGTGGTGTCGTCCCATTGATTGTCAGACGGGCGTCATGGCAGCCTCGCAGACGCTCTCGCAAAGTGGTGGTGGGCGGAGGACAAGCGTTCGAGGCACGAGAGGGAGAGGCAAGCCAAGGAAGCTTGGTGCGAGCGAGAGGGAAGGCGCTGCTGACGAGACGGCAGGTGCCCGACCATGGGCAGTGGGCGCCCCCGCACTGATTCGCTGATTTGCTGATTCGCCAGCCTCTTCGGTCCGCACGAGATTGACACCGACTCTGCGCCGCCATCGTATCCCGGAGCCCCTTCCGCTTCCAGGCCCCTTGGCCCCCGAAACGTTGGAATATTCAAATAAGCTTTGCGACACGATCCCCAAACAGCACCCTGTCGCTGCTGTCAGAAGTCGCCATTTCTTGGGTCTGTCCTGTTGGGGCACCGTGACGTACTGACAGGACCGCCATCTCTTAAACGGTTAGGACTGCCTCACCTCACCACAACTGCTCATTTAGCTGCTGCACATTCACGTGTTTGCAAATGCAGCCATCAAGTCAACTAGAAATGCCAATATGTGTTCTAGACCACGACCCAACGCTCCGAAACATCCGAGGGCGTTGAAACTTGCAGCTTGCTGTATTCCAGTGAGCACGTTTCTGACTTCATGTGGCGCAACAGCCAACGCCGAAAAAGATCGGCTCACAACAGCGCTGAAGCCACTACAGGGCAACTCAGCTAGCGTACGACATGGCATTTGACAGCATCCTGAATTTCGAGTGCTCGACTACGCCAGGGCGACTGCATACACGTGGAATTTGTGATGTTCGAATGGCACTACCGTGGTGAAGCGATGGACAAAGAAGATGATATCGTCATCAACTAAACTAATCTCACTGGTGTGACAAGCTACATCTCTTTCTATACAACAAGCGCACGATATGGTGCTCAATAGAGCCCAGAAACCTCTCCCATACCTGGCACTCGACCACTGAAGGAGGCGTGAAAGCCCTCGTCTGCCTTGCACTGAGACGCTATGCAACACGTGAGCTTGGTGCCATGCACTTCACCGAAGTGCCAGTGAGGCTCATCCAAGTCTTCACATCACTCAAGAACAGAGTACTCAGCAATGTTGACACAATGTACTTGGTGTTGGGACGACTCGAAGATGGGCACCTCTACCCTTTTCAAGTCAATACTGCAACCACTTTCCAAGCACTACTTTCACAAACCCCGAATCTCATCCCTCGCTATCCAAGTCCATCTCGTATTCGATAACCGACTAGACTCGACAGCGCCAGAAGTTGACTAAACTCGACATCCTATAGCAAACTCTCACACGCCAACGTGGCACGCAGCCGACTCGAAGCGTGTTTTCAATTGCCGTCTTTCCATGTGAATCACGTTCTGCCCAGCTCACTCGCTATCTTGCTGCATCTACGTCGTATATGTCTATTGGATACTATGCCTCACAACATGAATCACTCTCTATAACAGTTCAACGACATGTCTGAAAATGAATTTCCGGACATGAAGGTTGTTACTTCGTACACGCGGTCCCCGTGAGCCTTGCGTGTCTTATGCCATATTGCCCCTCTTCGTAAATATCATTCACCTACGTTGACTCCACACTAGCTACTCATCAAGCACTTCTACGACTCTGCCACCCTATCACTTCCAGTTTTATAGCATCTCCCCTCTCAAAATCTGCCTCCCACTATTCTATAAAGAATAGTGGAAGCGAGATATGAATTTTTCAGTACATTGCCGTTTTGCATCTATAGGAGTGTGGCATAAACCAGCGTTCATGCTCTAATGTGGCTATACCGATATCTTAGGCTTTCACTGATAACTCATTACCTCTACTAGGTCTGGTATGCTGGGCTTTACATCTATCTAAACCCCCTGATATGTGCATTGAGCTTTGAACTTTACATGAGTATGTCAGCTCCAAACGTTGAGAGATGAGTGAGTTGGTGGGAGTAAAGCATACGCTACATGTTGCCTTGGCAGTGTATCCACTCAAACTACGGCAATTGAGTGTGTCCCTGTAAGCGGACAATCGATGCTTGGATGGTGAACTAGTAATTTAGGTACAATATCAAAACGGTGTGGTGGTGACGACCTAGCCAGAGGGTTGCGATTCTTCTCTGTCACTATCGGTACCACTCGTTTGTTCGTCCTGATGAATGGCTATCTAATTTCGCAGCCGTTTTGCAGAAGATTCTTGGTCTGAACTTGGTCGAGTCTTGTGCCTGTGCTTTGTTTTTGGTATTTCATGTCCGTGTTGATTACTTGATAGTGGTAGCTGTACGCTCTATGAGAGTTGGGATGGTTGTGTGTCGGGTCGTACTCTTTCATAAGTCGAGGAACTAGACTTCAAATTGTACTGTTCCCAAACTTCCAGGGCGTGCACTTTCCAGTATAGTCGAATTCCTATCCGATGTAGCGATGTCTAGTACTAAAGCTTGGACTTTGTACAAAGTGAGGTTGAGTATACAATCCTTGTTATATTCTAATTGGCCCTTAATTCTCTGTTGGTAGGACAATGTCGTTGTAGTCCGAGTCAAGCTGAATAGTCCTAAGTTATCACTCCAAAGCCTTACTGTCTATGTTAAACACTTAATCTTACATGCTTGCAAGGTAGAATAGCAATGTAAGACAGGCTCGTACTATACTTGGAAGATCAATTTCACGGACCTTGGACTCTAGTATGGAGCATTGCTACATTGGATAAGGATCTGAGTGCACTGGATGATGCCGTCCTTCTTGAATATGCGTGATTGTATTGGTATAATGGGCAACATGCTGTAGGGCGAATACCGACTATTCATCACGGCGTACACATACCGATCAGGTTATGTTATCGAAACTATGTTCGAAATAAAGAAACTAATATTCCAAATTGCGTTATCCAAATTCTAAAGCTAGCATGAATACGTTTGAGCAGTTACTAACATTGATAATTCATGTCAATCTTGTTAACTGTTCTCTAGGAGAGTACACAGTCAGCTTCATCACGACCTCTGATCATCCTGGAGTCACCATCAACATGTCTGAATTAGTGTATCACGACTCAGTGTTAATCAACTATGGCATGATACTTTATGGTTGACTTAATATGGTGTGAGGACCTTTTAGTTTGGCTATGAGAGTAGCGATGAAGGAGATTAGGGAGTTCTTGAGGCATACCGAGCTGCTCGAGGAAAGAAGTAACTTTTTCACTTGAAGTACTGTTGCACTGACAGTGACAAAAACATGTAGACAGCAGGTCACATGTAAGTTAATTCTGCGATCTCACATTGAATCGACGCGCTTTTCACTACTAGAATTGACCGTCACTCCCCCAATTACAGCCTAGACCCTCTTACGACAGATCAAACCCAGTATACCCGTTCTCGGCAGCCTCGTTGATAGTCTTATAGTACGTCGGCACGCCCCCAAGATAGATCAGCGGTTCTCTCGTCTTACCAGGAATATTTGTGCCCATATACCACTATGCACGTGTCAGCCCACGGCCTCAAAAGTCCACAATGAAGGGAGCAACTTACCGAGTCCACAGTTGGCAAAAGCGACGAATTCGCGATATTCCAAATGAGCGTCTTCCACTCATCTTCACTTGATTTCTGCACATCCATCTTCTTGAAGCTCTTCTCTTTCATATGGTTCATAGCCTGGAGGATCCAGTTACCCTGCAGCTCCGCACACGTCGGGCCGTTGCACAGCGCGGTCGGCGCCTGAGGGCCGTACGTGAAGAACATATTAGGGAATCCGGAGGCGGCGAGGCCGAGATGTGTTTTCGCGCCGTCCTTCCAGTGTGCGTCTAGAGACTCGCCTGAGGGGCCGCGGATGTCGATTTGTGTCAGGCCGCCGGTGATGGCGTCGTAGCCTGTTGCGCAGATGATGTAGTCGAATTCGTGCTCTGCATCGGTGGTCCGGATGCCGCGTTCGGTGATCTCTTGGATGGGCGTTCCCTTGTCGCTGGTGTCTACGAGACTTACGTTGGCCTCGTTGTACATCTCGAAATACTTGTTCTCCAGAGAAATGCGCTTGCAGCCAAATGCATACGGTTGCTCCATGGGCGCGAGGATTTCGGCAATCTTGGGGTCGTTGATCTTGGCGCGTGTCTTGTCGCGCCAGAAATTGTATGCTTCGCGGTTTGCTTCCTTGACGAAGAGCATGTCGTAGTATGTCGCTAGCCAGAACTTGAAGTCGCCTTCGGCCCAGAGGGACTCGTAGGTTTTGACGCGTTGTTCGGGAGTGTCGTCGAAAGTTGAGCGGGGCAGAAAGTTGAAGGAAAAGCCAGAGTAACTATCAGTGCGGTGGGCGAAAAGATCGGGGTAGTCAGGTCTGGGAATGGCTTGCTCGGGAAGGTCGTAGTCTACTTGCTTCATCGGCATAGACATATTGGGGGTACGTTGGAAGACCGTAAGATGGCTGGCGACTTTACTGATCTCTTGGGCGAGCTGAATGCCAGTTGACCCTGTGCCAATCACGGCTACTCTCTTTCCTTTGAGATCGGGCTCTTCATGAGGCCAATACGATGGATGGAGGAACGTTCCTACGATTGTCAGTTCTCATCTACTCTAAGTATTGGCGGGATGTTACCTTTGAATGAGTCAATGCCTTTCCAATCCGGTATATATCTCTTCGCGGCAAACCCAGTATTTAGTAGGAGGAACTTGACTTTGTAAGTCTCGCCAGCCTTTGTCTTCACCGTCCATCTAGCCTCATCGTCATCCCAGGTCGCAGATGACACGAAGCTGTCAAACTGTGTATCCTTCCTCAGATCCCATTTGTCGGCTACATATGCAAAGTATGAGCGCAGTTCAGCGCCTCCCGGAAATCTCTGGTTCCATGTCCAGTCCTTCCATAGTGCTGGGTCGGAGAATTCGTAGTGCGGGATAGAGCTATCTACCCGTGCACCTGGGTATCGATTCCAGTACCATACGCCTCCATAGTCACTCCCGCTCTCCACGAGCTTGACTTTGTATCCAGCGTCCCGCATTGCCTTGAGCTGGTAAACACCGCCAAACCCAGCACCGACAATCAGAGCATCGAGTTCTTGGGTTGAAGCATTATTGGTTGCGTTGGTGTCTCTATCTAGAGACATACGCTCCTGTTTGTTGACAGAACCATAGCCGATGAAGGATTTGAAAAAAGCAAACATGTTAAGACTTTGGTATTAAATGAAAGCTTTAAAGGTGCTGTTTGAGAACGGACAAGGGGAAAGAGCTAGAACTGAGGACACAAAATATGGCAGGGGAGGAGATAAATACAACATAAGGTCGATCGTTGCATGCACGCGCTACGCGCCCAGTTCTGACAGAGTACTGTAGTTCCCTCCGGGGTACGAGCCGTTCGCCACATTGGAGGTCGTTGAGACCCCGCCTAAGAACGGGTGGTTATCTAGTGGCTGATGCTTGAGGATACCTGGTAAGCAGATCAGGTGCCAAGTGGGAAATTGATCCCCAACGGGAGATATGTGCGGGGAATGCCATGCTGCTACACTGCGGCACGCTCGGTATGTAGAGCGGCCGGGGGGTGGTAACCAGATCTGAACTTCATCCATATGTTTCAAGCTACACGTCAGCAAAGATAGGCCACCTACCCAAATGCTTCAATATACAGGACACTCTTGCATGCGGATGGTGAATGTCGTGTTGTGAATCTTAATCCGGCACATTTATTAGATATAAGGCACGTCGTAAGTCCTGGTATCTCTCGCAACAATTACCGCTCCATTACCGATCCCTGATCTTACGTGCATAAAAGATGTTGTGAGTTCTCACGGCATAGAGCTAAAGCGGCTTAGCAACCCAAGCCAACAGCTCGTGCAGCGTCTCCGCATCCCCGCTCTCGGAATGGAACGCACCTGCATGGTGGCGGGCACTAAACGTTGAAAAGACGTTAGAGAAATTTAGGTTTAGGCGGACTACGAATCAAAAGGGGGTTTCTTACGCAAGCTGAACAATTTGCTTTTTCTATTGTGTGGCAATCCAGCTTTTGTCTTTTTTTCATCGTTCCTAGGTGAAAATTGTTGAGCGATCGATGGTCTGACGTTTGGCTTGAAAAAGAACTTGTTGCACAACATCGCTTAGAAGCACGTAATGGTCAAATCGTACGAGGCCAGTTCTCTTGTTTCGGGATATTTACACACATGCCCCGTGGACCTAATCCATCGAGATCTAGCCTAGCGATGAACAACCATGATAAGTCGTAATTTTGACCAATGAGCAAGCCTCGATGAGACGGGAGAACGGGCTGGTAAGTGACGATCAGCATGTTCCCAATGCAGGAGATCTGACGTATCAATAAAGTAGGACCTGGGAACCTTGCATACTGGTTGGTGAGTTATAAATGTTCAAGGCATGGAGTAAAGCGCACGCGAATGCAGGAGAGCTCGTTGTGATGACGAGTCATGAAATTGACGGTTGACGTTCGGGACCAAAGTTAATTAAGTGGGTCGCCGAGGCTCTCCCGCCACCAGTGTAACCAAAACGAATGGTCCAGCCTTCACACTCCGCGTGGCCCTGATCCTTAAGTGAAACCCCACGAGGGGGTTGCAGCGCAAAAGACACTTACTGCCGTGTGCGTGAGACTGGCACTACATCATACCTGAAGATACCGGCAGGCACCATTGCCGGCGAACTACATTCACATCTGGCAAGCGCCTTGTGAGTGCCAAAGCGCAAAGAAGTCTGTGATGATATGCCCGGCAGTTGTAAGAATCCCCGTTGCGCTGAACTGGAACCTGCGATACACTCTAACATTCTGAGTATGATTTTGTTGTCGTTGAAGTGATAGAGATACCTGTCATCTCTAGGAAACGACCCCGCAGGAAAAGAGATGTGGATTTCCCAACTACAGCGAGGTACATGTAGACTTTGCCTGTCATATATTGAAATTTATTTTTCCTATTTGTTTTGATCGTCGATATCGAGCAGCATGCTTTTTCCTTCCCGTTTCTTGCTTCTGCTTCTTGCCCTAATCCCTCTTTTTAGGCCCTCTTTTCTGCTCCCTGGGAGGGTGTCTTTTCGTCTTGTTCTCTTTTCTGTTTTATGCAGTGTCGGGGATACCGGGTGCTGGGGTCTCTGCCCGAATGCAGCATCGTGCCGCCGTCGGAGGAATATGACCGTAGCCCCCCATTCGGCCCCCAGGACTGATAGAGAATCCTCAAAGTGACCATTGCACCTGAACAACCCGTTACGGGGATTAAGATACGGGAGATCTGCAGGATCTTATTTGCATCATAATTGCTGCCCCTGTTGTGGCTCACTGCGGGGCAAATACGTATACACAATTACGACGCTGTTATATACCTATTCACAGTCCTACTCTTGGTTAAAGTCCTCACATGGATCTATAATCTTAGTGCCATTGTTCCACTTCCCACTTTCCCTCGTACACATCGCTATCCCCTTACAGCAATGGCAGTGAGCCCTCTCGAGGCGGCTCTCATCGAGACATGGACCCTATATGCCTTCGGCACCATTATATTCATGCTGAGAATCTTTGTACGGACAAGAATGGTGGGAATAGCTGGGTTTCGCGTAGATGACTACACAATCTTCTTCGCATGGGTGAGTCACCTGCAGACGCATGAAGGCACGTGATTGACATCTACAGATTTGCTATACTGGCATGACAGTAGCAGCTCACTTCGTTGGAGGTACTGGTGACACATCACACCTTACGATGGAGCAGCGTCTTTCGTTCACCCCGGAGCAAGCAGCTTCGCGCCAGGCAGGCACGAAATGGTTCATGGTTGGGTGGTACACCTACATCGGTCTCATTTGGACCTTGAAGCTGAACATGCTGTTCTTCTACAAACAAGTTGTTGGTATCGTGTGGGTCAAAAAGTTGATCATGCCGGCGATGTCATTCGTTGCCGTGACTGGTGTCTCGATCTGGATTCTATTCGCGACCGCGTGTCGCCCATTTCACAAGCTTTGGCAGATACTTCCGGATCCAGGAGGTAAGCCAAACATGATCACTTGTCTCGAACAACCATAACTGACGAACCTGTAGAGCATTGCATACCGCAAAGTCCAGTTTTCCTTCTCACCATCCTTGTGTTGAACCTTTTGACAGATGTCTGCATCATTCTCATTCCGATCCCCATCATCATTCCCTTGAAGATCTCATGGGGTCGTAAGCTTGGTCTACTGTTCCTGTTCTGCGCGGGTATCTTCATCATGATCGCTGCGATACTACGAGTATACTTTGTCCTCGCAGTACGTACACACTTGCCCCCAAGCTCCACATTCTCATACTGACAGTTCTCGAAGCTTGAAAAGGGAGAAACAGCCGCTATCTGGTCCTGTCGTGAGGACATTGTCGCAATCACCATCGGTCAGGCTACTATGATTAGGCCCATCTTTACCCGCAGATTCTGGACCAACAAGCCTGGACATTCGTCTGGGTACTCATCGAATAAACCTTCTCACCCATATGAGTCACACGAGCTCTCTCATCAAAGCAACTCTCTTGCCTCTCGGCTGGGGCTCAGCAAGACGAAAGACACGTACGGTGTGAGTATTCTCCGGACCAAGGGGAACGACAGCGACGAGGACATCATGATGATGGACGGCGAAGCAGGTTGTGGGATTCACAGAGAACCGAGCCTGTCGAGCGATCAGAGTCATCGACGGTCACGGAAAGAAATCACTGTTAAAACAGATGTTGAAGTTTCGACAGACAGTAGCGCGAGGGGGTTTGACCGAAGTTGGAACGTTGTATAGTTGATGAAGATAGTTCTAAGTCGTACATGGAACAAACAACCATCTGAAACATGAAGACACATTGCATTCTTAACTCGAGTTGCGAAACGTACACTTCACAAACATTCCAAGTACGCTTACACAATTGATCGGCCATCCTTGTGCATAATCGCGAATAGATTTTGCCAACAGATCTACACTACAGATCTTACTTGTTTTACAAATGATGCTGCTCAGGTCGATGCGGACATACGGGTATATGGTACCACAAGAAAAGATCTGTTGAGTGGCAAATTTGTCGACCGAGGATAACTGACCAACGAAAGCGACTGTGACCGTATCCTCGTGTATCCATAACATTGCCCTCATTGATACCGGCTCCACTAGTGGTATAGTGATCGCTGCGAAGTCGCCAGCAGTGGCAGCTAGTGTAACCCCCCCGAATACTCCCGTTCTTTTGACGGGAATGCGGTAGGGTCTGCTGGATCACTGTTGTCCGTCACTAGGTTTTCTCCCGAACTCGATATGGAAGTCGTTACAAGATAACCATAGTTGCACATCACGTTTACATGGTCGTGCAGCATGTCTAGCATGTCTAGCATGTCTGATATGATGGAAGATGGCCTTGCAAGCATCAGATTTGGTCTCAGCTGGATTTGCCTTGACGCGCAACTCCGTGATGTGGGTTAAGCACGAGCTCGGAGCTGCCGCTGACTCGCTACCCGCAATAGATTATTGGAGAGTTCGCCGTGGAGAAGCTCATAGGTACTGCAGCCATGTACGGTTTCCGTTAGTAAACGATTACTAGGAATGATCAGGGAAGCAAGTGAGATAATAAATCAGGCTAGACATGTCGGGTTACCGTTGTAACGATCGTGGGGGTGATGTAGCTTTTCCACAATCTAGGAGAGCGGCGAGCTGCTCAGACTGCTCGACGGACAATTTCCCACTGACCCTCGCCTAGGATGCTGTGTACAAGACTGAGGCGAGTATGAAATTTAGTGCAAACTCGGTTGGGTAAGAAGCAGTGGAGAGATCCGGTGAGGTTCCATGACAATAGGCGAATACCGTTATGAAGCTACGCCAACAATGATATGGTGACCACCTGGGTTATCTTGTCGTAGGTATACGGCTGTCAGGGCAAGCAACGAGGTCGTCACGAATCTGCTTCTGTAGGATATCCAGATGCCAAGAACTAGACTAGGAATTACAGATGCAATTTCCTACTCGTAATTTGTAACTCGCAACCTCTTACTTGCACAACATAGCAGTGCAGGAACAGGACTTGAGAGGCTTTGGCACATGATTTTGAATAAGAGTGGCTGGATGTGCAAGAGTAGAGAAATTCACCAATATCCGATGAACGACTAGCTTTGGCCCTTGAGTTTCAGCCATGAGAGATGTGTAGACAGAAAGCTCCAGGGGTTGAAGCAGAACCATCCACTGACGTACTGATGCTATCTAATTAGCTAATAGTCGGCCCGAGGGTCCAAGTGCGTCAACGAGTAGAGCACATGCTGACGCGTGGTTTATCCAACAACTAATCTCTTCTCTGCAAAGCTCAGAGAAGGCTAGACGAAGCTAAGAAGACGTACATGCAATATTTCTTGGTACTTCGATTCACCGGGCAGCTACAGATCAGGCGGGATACTGAGCCCCGAATGTCATAGGCTAATCCTTATTAGAGAGTAGTTGAGAAACTTAAGGGATAGATCCCGCTCGGTTAACGGAGGACCATTGATCGTGGTAATCGATGATCATACCTACATGCAGCATACTTGCCGCATCCTACTCGTCAACGACAGAAGTTCCTATTGGATGCGGGAATCTTTGACTCCATACCAGATTCATCATGGCGGTCGCATTTCCCAATTCTGTTCAGATTGACCCTAACCTCTTTTCGTCAACTCTTCCGTTCCACCACCTACCTCACTTCTCAAAGCGGTGGTGGTAGGTAAAATATGAATGCATTCTATCGACATAAAAGACATTGCAATCCACACAAGTTCTTTCCGCATCATTAGCAGAGAACCTTCCTCATTCGACGACAATCACATTGAACTTGAACCTCAGAAAAACATCATCAGCAATGTCTTTCAACCTTTCATCAACGCCTATTTCCATCCGACCTTCAACCGTCGAGCTGAAAAACAGCTTCCTCAATCAACGTAACATTGAGATTGCAATCCGCGCGCTCTCTCGCGACGGCCTTGTGGTGCTCGAGGATATGGTTGACCACGCCGTTCTGGATCGGTTGAATGAGAAAATGGTCAAGGATGCATATGACCTACAAGCCAGAAAAGATAGTCCGTTCAACTACAACAAGGGAAACATCCAACAGGACCCACCGATGACGGCGGAATGGTTCAGCGATGAGATATACATCAGTATGTATCCACGATCATCGTCCTCCGCTTCTTGATCCCGACCTTGTTTGTTGCTATGAGAATCTAACTGGAATCTTCCAGATCCTATCGTTACCCAGGTCACATCTACTTGCCTGGGTCCTAAGCCATCGCTGCATTTTGTTTCTGGCAATACGGCGCTTCCTCCAACTGAATCTTCGCCTCCAGCCTCGCAACCTACTCATAACGATGCTGACTTTGAACACTCTTCAATTCCATTCGCTCTAGTCGTCAACGTTCCCCTGGTGACCATGACGCCAGAGAATGGTTCTACGGAGGTATGGCTTGGTACCCACAACGGCACCACCATTGCCGATCAAGAGGGAGTTCATGGAGATCGCGCCAGTGGCAGGATCAAAGCGCATCTGCTCGAGTCGAGAAGGGAGACACGACCACCTTCGCAGCCTGTCGTCAAGAAGGGCAGCATCATCATCCGGGATCTGCGACTCTGGCATGGAGGAAAGCCGAATCTTAGCACCGAGCCAAGAGTCATGCTTGCGATGAGTAAGTCTCCCGCACCCCTGAGATGACTTGTTAATCTTATTTGTGAATAGTTCATTTTGCGCCGTGGTATCGCAACCAAATGGAGGTGGAATTCTCAGACGAGCTCACCACGCGATTGACCCTGGAGAAAACTGGATTGCACGTTGCTGCCAAGTTTGTGACGAGCAAGCAGTTGCAGGACAACTACTTAAACCGGCCATATGGTAATGCGTACGACTTCAACCAGATCGAGCAGATTGAAGGTGTTTTCTGAATGTCAAGCGCTTAGCAGGAACCTCGTCGTCAGGAATTTGAAGATAGCCTTGGGGTCATAAACCAGTCACTACCGTTTAGACATGATGTCTTCTCCGTTCTCTCTATACATACTTAACAATCGCCTCAAAATACGGAATGCTCGTTCTTCCCCATGTCTGAGATCTCTAGATGCGTCGTATTCGTGATATGTGGGTATCGTTTTCTTCCCCTAAGCTTTGTCACCGCCCTTTACAACTTCATAGGAGTTCGTCTTCCACGACAGGCTCCGCTACCGTCGCATCGGCCGTTTGCTCTTCAACTACGTCTTTCGCTGCGTCCGCGTCCACGACCTCGTCATCCATCTCATCGTCGCTAACCCACTCCCTCTCCGCTTTATCGTCTGCCTCATCATCAAGGACGTCAAACGTCCCCTTCTTCGTCTTCTTTGTCGCGACTCCGTTGACATCCTCCCACCCCTTTGCTCTCTCCTTGACCTTCAGCTCCCGGCCAAAACTCTTGATGCGCTTCAGTTCCAGCTTATCCATGTTATCCGCGCCACGCTCCAATCCCTTTTGGTGTCGCAGTCTTTGCGAACGCTTGAGGTTGCCCTTCTTTGCCTTTTGGATTCCGGCCTTTTGTGCGGAGAGGACATGGTGTTTGGGCTCTGATGGGTCGGTGGTGGTTTTGGGTAGATCTTTCACAGTCTTGTCGAGATTTATGGAGGGAGAGACGGCGCGACGGGCGGCGCGGGAGTGGACCGTTGTTTCTGCATAGCTGTTAAGGAAGTGAAGAAATAGAGAGGTGAGAGGTCTTACGCTTCTTCTTGAGTTTTGCGGTTTTCGCCATGGTGATTCAAGGTGTGCGATTGTTGGAATGTGAAACAAACAGCAGCAAATTTGTTGGAACGTAGGTCAAAGACCAGACCTTATCGAAGTTTTAGGTGAATGTCTTGGAAGAATTCGAAAGTCGAATTGTTGTGTGATGTTTTTCTCGAGAGTTAGGTTTGGAACGATCCCCACCAGAATTATTGTGGGCCCGATTTAGCGTCATATCGGTGGTAATAAGTGCCGAGCGACCCTGAAATCACAGGCTTGCCCGCAAGATTGTCTCTCCTTTGACACCTCTATCGCCATCGCTCCGCTTCAAACGCGTCACTTTGTCTCTCATCTCCATGTCGCAGACAAACTCAACACAACGGCGTTTGTTCTGTCCAAGTCTGTCTATACGCTGGCCTGAGGGTTGAATGACCTTCGCTCTGTCTCATTCTTCCACCTTCCACACTATAAATACCTTTCCTGCCCCCGTCTTCACCGCGACAGATCACTATACGACAATTTGAAGCATGGGCTACTCAAACTACCCCATGTTCGAGGATCCTGTTCAACGGTGGAACGCTCCGGACTCAAATACGCTCTATACATCGGTTTTGCTTGCGACTGTTGCCGGCGCATACGTTTTCTTCAAAGCCTTGGAGCTCCTCGGCTATCCTGTGTGGCTGTGGGCTCATCAGCTTGTTCACATGTCTGCGGGTGTACTGCGTCTTCGCGGTACGTCGCTCAGCCAGTCCTCTGCCACGGATCCCAACGACGATACTATGCAGCGTGGGGGCGGCATCTTGAGCAGCATATTTGGCCTGAACAGCGGAAGTCTGCTACAAAAAGGTGTTAGGAGCATCACGGGCGCACTGTCTACAGGCCCAAGCGATGTGCCACCAGGATTGGGCAACTGGGACAACTCGTGCTACCAGAACAGTATTGTCCAAGGACTCGCCTCACTCCCTTCTTTGCGCGATTACCTCTCCAAGACTACCGCGGAACATGCGTCGCTCACCGAGGAAACAACAAACGGTGCGCTATACGACATGATCAGCAAGCTGAACGCTCCCGAGAGCCACGGACAGCATTTTATGATACGCGGCAAGCTTAAGTCTATGAGCACGTTTCAGCAGCAGGATGCGCAGGAATACTATTCGAAGATTTTGGATGCGCTGGATGAGGAGGTCAAGAAGGTTGCGAGCAGCAAGAGGCGAACCTCTGTCTCCTGGCTGGAGGCTACGAAGAGTCTGAGCTTGCCAGAGGCAGAAAGCGACGATGAAACAGGAACAACAAAAGAAGCAGACAACGCTCGAACCCCAATCGAACCACCAAAAATCATGCCAAATCCCCTCGACGGTTTGCTCGCTCAACGCGTTGGCTGCACGACTTGCGGACATTCGGACGGCCTCTCGCTTATCCCTTTCAACTGCCTTACTGTGTCGCTAGGGAGAAGCTACGGCTACGACATCAGCGAGTGCCTCGACGAGTATACGAGCCTAGAATACATCGATGGCGTTGAATGCGCAAAATGTACATTGCTCAAGCTCAAGGGCACGCTTACCCCAATCGCCAATGCGAAGCCTGGATCGCCCTTCGAAGCAAAGTTAAACGCTGTGCAGGAAGCGTTAGACGAGGACGATTTCGAGGACAAAACTCTTGTAAAGACATTCAACGTACCGAAGAAGAACTGGATACAATGCACAAAATCGAAGCAGGCGGTCATCGCTCGCGCTCCCAAATCATTGGTCCTCCATGTTAACCGTAGCATCTTCGACGAGACAAACGGTATGCAGTACAAAAACCATGCTGCCATCTCATACCCCGGAATCCTGGACCTAGGCAACTGGTGTTTAGGTAGCCAACCGAGCGGTTCACAACACCCTGACATGTGTCTCGAGGAGTGGCCGAGGGATCCGACCAAATCTATGCTTGCTGAGGGCGACCCTATGACTACGAGCCCATTTCAATACCGTTTACGAGCTTCTGTTACACATTCTGGTTCGCACGGAAACGGGCACTATGTTTGCTATCGACCACATCCTCAAGCAGCTGGTCGTTCAGACGCAGATGACGAAGGCGCAGAGCAAGAGAAGGAAGGATCGAGTGGAGAACAGTGGTGGCGCTTCAGCGATGATTCCGTCTATGCAGTGCCAGAAAGTCAAGCACATCGGGGTGATGTTTTCATGCTGTTCTACGAACATATCGACGAACCTATTCCTTCAGCGAAACAAGAAACGGACCCGATAGTAACGTCGTCGGCTATAAGCGAGGAGGCTCCTCTGCCCCCACTTGTACTGCTACAGGGCGACGAAGACACTGGTGCTGCGGAAGTCCCTCTTCCAGAGGACGACGATCTTGCTGATCTTGTTCCTCCTGCCTCTATATCTCCCTCTGTAACGCAAGAGCAACCTCTGGGTTTCTCGGGTTATATGATACCACCAGCTTCGCTCGACAATACAGATACCGAAACTGTGAGTGAAATGGGCTCAGAAGATGCGCCTTCCACACACTGTACCTCAGACTCTGAAGCCGACCCACCAACACCAAAAGACACATTACCGCAAAAATTCGAGGGGGTTGCACCACCGGTACCACAAGACATGGCTCCGCTGACGCCCAAGAACACACCGTCCTTCTCACCACATATGATGCGCACAGGTACTGCAAGAGGACAGGGTAGTGGGATGAGAATGCCGCTTGTTTCTGCGACGTAGAGTTTTAGTGGAGCGAAGACACGGAGACTTGATGTTTAGATGGAGTTTGGTGTTTTGAACATGATACCTGGTGCTGGAACAAGTCCAATAGGCGTTCGTTTCTTGTGATCTGTCGCAACAGACAAGGAGTGGGATGGTGCAGATGGAGGATATGATAGCGCCTATTAATTGAAATCGCATTGTTCAAGCTTGACATCGATCATCCTAGGTCGATTGAAATTCGTGTTCGTATCCTACGGTCAATTCTCAACAATGCGATTGAAATTAATTTGAAACTAACACTTCGCTCGGCTACCTTCCTTCCCCGAGTTCCTTCGTCCGCCCATCACTGTTGTATCTGGTAGCCAAACCTTATATCATGTAGTCGTCCTTGGTACAGTTCAGCCGCCAGACAATGGCCCCGCTAAGCAGGGTACGCCGGCTAGGACGTCCCGGATCAGCACTTAGCGATCCTGATCCGAGAACTCGTCCACTCACGTGCAGGAGATATTTCCGTGACGTCGATCGCGCTCGATTGGCCGTTCGGCGCGTGAATCTGGTGAACGACGGCGCTCTGCGCAATGTTTTTCGCCGAGGCGGTTTCGCCCTCTTTGTCCCCATCTCTATCTGGAATTGCGAAGTGTTTTGCCTGGGATCTGCTTGTTAACGCAGATCATCTCGCTGACGCTCGAAATTGCCTGGCCGACGCGGATCACCTTGCGGACGCTCCGGATCGGAATTGCATCTTGCTAACGGTTGGGTTTGGGGTGCGCTGGAGCGGCCATCGGGATATCAGACGGTGCAATGGCGTTTGAAGTAAGGGCAAGAGATGGAATGAATGGAGAAGAGATGGAAGTCAATGGAAATGCACAGGGCCAGGCGAGCCGAGAGACAACCCGAGAACAAGATACCTCAACCTCGCCAATTGGCGAAAAGCCCCAGGATGAAGAAAAGACGAAGACTAAGCCTCCATCCAAACTGAAAACAGCGTGGAGCTCGCTGGGTTTGGATGTGCCTACCGCGTTGATGATGGGGAAAGCAGCTCTACCTCCAACGATTGCGATTGCCATGTTTCAGGCGGACAAAGTTGCACAGTTCTATACGACGCTTGGGTATCTCGTGGCAATCTCTTCGATCATTGGATTCTGTATCATGCCGAGAGCGAAATTTGTCCAGACTATGCTTTTGAATATTACTGGACTTTGCATAGGATCTGCGTTGTCGCTCTTGATGGTAGGGATCTCTTTAACTCTAACATGTGCTTTGCTGACTATGTGACACAAGACATGGAGCGGTGTCAAAGCGCGGCAAAACACGACAGATCCGACTGCGCCTCCGCAGCGTTACAATTCTTCGCAGTCGGCTGTCCTTGGCGTCTGGCTCTTTTTCCAAACTTGGGCGATCAACACGACCAAGGCCAAGTTCCCGCAATTGGCATTCCCAACGATTCTCTATGCCATACAGATCAACGTTGCAGCGACAACCAGTTTCTATTTCTCGACTACACTACAGTGCGAGACGTTGGTTAGGAAGCTCTTGATAACGTTTTTGACTGGGTTCGCACTGGCGACGGGCGTGTCTTTGTTCGTCCTTCCGACGTCGTGTCGAACGGTTGTCAAGAAAGAGATGACGGGGTTCATCACGATATTGAGAGGTGCTCTAGGTGCACACAAAGCTTACATACATAGTTTAGAAGATACAGATGTGTTCAATCAGACATACATGCCAGAAGATGAAAACGAGGATACAAACAAGAAAGATAAGAAGCCAAAGGCGAAGGCGAGACCAGAGGTAACGGCTATCCAGAAAATGACGGGCGCTCTCCAGGAACTGCACGGAAAACTCGCCATAGACATACAATTTGCGAAACGTGAATTCGCATACGGCAAGTTGACGCCGGAGGAATTCCAATCTATATTCAAACACTTGAAACTAATTTCCTTGCCGGTTCTTGGCCTTTCTTCGGTCATGGATCTTTTTGAACGGGCAGCCGAGATCAACCACTGGGATGGAGACGTGTCAGAGGCGGACGAAAAACTGCATCAGAAGTATGTGCAAGAATGGAATGAGATGTTTCGATTCATCCATGAACCTCTTGATCATATCTTCCAAGCGCTGGACGACGGCCTCGCACACTCGCTCCTAAAGTTGCAGTTCGTCAAACCGCCAAAGAAGAAGAAGGGCAAGGACCAGACCGATGCGGAAGCCAAAGGGGACATGGTGAAGCCAGGAGACGACAACTTTGCGGAATATTTGAAACAACAGGCTGCTGTTTTCCTCGGCATCAAGGAGCCTACACTTCGTCACTGGGCCGAGAACAAAGGCATCAAACTACGTGATGACTACTTCACAGCCCCGGATGCACTCGACGACGACGAAACACTGAAACGTCTACCCAGCATTACGACTCGGAAACGCGACCAACGCCAGCTTTACACGGTACTCTACGTCATGTTCCTGCTCAACTCCATCAGCCGCGCGATCATTGATCTTGTGGAATTTGCAGACGAGCACGACCAAGCAGCAGCAAAAAGCAAGATCATCACCCCTGGCCCCAGACGACTCGCAAAATGGATAAAGTGCGTCTTCAAAAAACAGGACTCGTCCAACGGCGACGAGACGACAAACGTGGGCGTCGATTCCAACAACACGGTCGTGTACATGGGCGAGGCGTGGAATAGTAGGAAGGACCCCGAACATCTGCCGCCCACAAACGCATGGGAGAGATTCGGCAACGGAGTGCGTGGAGTGTCGCACTTCTTGCGCTCGTCCGAGTCTGTGTTTGGGTTCCGCGCTGCGTGTGCTACTATGACGGTGGGTGTTGTCGCCTTCCTGCACGACTCGCAGGACTTCTTCGTCGAGAACCGCCTCGTCTGGGCTATGATCATGATTGCCATCTCCATGACGCCCACGGCTGGACAGACGCTTTTCCAGTTCATCCTGCGTATTGGCGGCACCGTGGTGGCCATGATCTTCGCCTGGCTCGTGTGGTACATTCCCAACGAGAACACTGCCGGTATCCTTGTGTTGCTGTACTTCTTCGTCGCGCTGGGCTTCTACATTGTTATCAAGAGGCCTCAGTTTGTCATTGCGGGCATCATCAGTTCCATCTCCACCATCCTTATCGTCGGATACGAATTACAGGTCCGCAAGATCGGCGTCCAGGCCGCGACCGCCACGACTAACCAGCCTGCATACCCCATCTACCTCCTCGGACCCTACCGTGTAGCCGCGGTGGCTGGCGGACTTGCTGTCGCCTTCATCTGGACTGTCTTCCCATACCCGATCACAGAGCATTCCGCGCTGAGGCAGAAACTCGGCGGCGCATTGTATCTCTCGGCCAACTACTACTCCATCATGCACGAGCAGGTCCTCTCACGGATCCGAGGTAATGCAGGCGACGAGGAGAACGACAAAAAGTCCGCCGGGTATGCGCTGCGGAAAGCACGCGACAAGGTGTTTGCGAAGCAGATGCTTGCGCTGCAGGGTCTGAAGCAGCACTCTGGGTTCGTGCGGTGGGAGTTTCCGCTCGGGGGCAAGTTCCCGATCGAAGAGTACGAGGCGATTATCGGATACGTGAATAAGTACGTCTCCCTTCCCATCCCACAAGCCCAAACCAACGAACTAACCCCACCCCCCCCAAAACAGCATAGTAAACTACACCTCCCTCCTCGGCTACGCCTCGCAATCCTTCAAAGAAGACGTCCCCTCCCCCACGCCCTCCCACACAACCCCACCCCCCGCCTCCCCCGAATGGACAACCTCCTTCCGCCACCTCCTCACCCCCGCCAACATCACCAGCCACGAAATAACCTCCCTCCTCGCCCTCCTCTCCTCCTCCATCCAAAACGCACAGCCCCTGCCCCCTTACCTGCACCTCCCGCAGGCGTACCAGCTGAGCAAGAAACTCGAGGCTGTGGATACGGATATTCTGAGTATCCGGCATATTGCTGAGCCTGGGTATGCGGCGTTTGCGGTTATGGCGGTTAGTACGAGGTGTGTGCATATGGATGTTGAGAGGCTGTTTAGGTATGTTTCTCTTGCTTTTTGGGGGGGTTTGTTTGGGGTTGGGTGTGTGGGGGATGTGAGCGTGTTGGCTAATGTTTTGTGTACAGGACTGTACGGAAACTTGTCGGTGAGCTGGACTTTTCGTTTCATGTTGTGAGTACGGATTCGTCGGCTTCGTCGTCGGCGTCGTCGGTTGAGACGCTTGTTAAGGGGAGGAGGGAGGGCGAGGGTGCGGTGAAGCGGGATTAGTAGTGTGGCGTTGGGGAAATCTTTGTAAAAGCCGTTGTAAGTAAAGGATGTGTTGGTGGTCATGTAGAAAAAATCTGTGTAATAAGAGTAGACCATGGACACTGGCTACGATGCAATTCACTTTATTGAACATGAACATGAAGATTCCACATTGATAATTTTCCTTCTTGAGATACCTTCCACAGAACTGCGTGTCTAGTGATAAACCATCTTTCATCTCATACATACATACTCAACTATACACAGAAATGCCACCGCGCCAGCTCAAACAATCACCCTCTCAAAGCTATACTTCGGCACCCGCTGACTGATCAACATACCCATCTCGCGCTTACTCCTCTCCTCCTTCCTACCGCCCTTTCCATTCTTCATCTTCTCAACACCCATCTCGACCTTTGCGCCGAGCGGAAGCATAGGCAATTCATCGGGCTTCTCATTCGCCAAGAACGGTTTCCCCTGCTTCATCATCGCCTTGTTAGACGGCTTCTGCGTCTTCGGCAGCGTGGAGGAAAAGCGCAGGAACTCTGATAGCAGACCTCGCATGAAGCGTGCCTCCCAGAAGCCGTTGAGCGCCTCAGAAGTATCCGCGTGCAGAGCCTGGACAATGTCCGCGCTGCTTTCGTTGGCGGAGCGTGCGAGCCAGGCTCCGGCGCCGATTGCATCGAGCGTGCTGCTTAGCAGGGAGGCGACGATTGATACGGCGTGGTCGTCTGGATCTTCAGTCTGTGCTTCAACGGGCGAGGATTTCGAATCAATGAAGTCGTATGGCGATGTCCAGCCGCCGTTCTTGAGCTCGAGGTGCAGGAGTCGGATCAGGGATTCGAGATCGCGGCGCGGAAGCATGGAACGCAGGGTGGAGCTGATGAGTGGCGCGGGGAAGGTGTGGAGGCGGATAAGTGCAGGGCGGAGGGTGTGGCTGCGAATGAGGAGACCGTGGTCAAGGACCGAGAGGGCGTGGTCGATTTCATGGGAGGCGGCTTCAATTTCTGAGGTGATGTCAACATCCATCTCTTCTTCTGGCGCAGCGCCGTTCGTGAGAAGCTTTGTCGTTGCATCGGCGTTTGGTTCATCGTCCAAACTTTGCATGAGGAGCTTAATAGCCTGTACTACTTCGCCTACAGGAAGGAAATGGCTGTGGTTGAGGACGGCCGAGACGATGTGCAGCTCTGGGTCAAAGTCGATGAGAGCCTTGACGATATCTCCGTCAGCGATAGACGACACTGGGTGAGTATCACCATGAGCATCGTCCAGCTTCGATCTGCGAATCGACTCTTTGGTGAGATTGCCGGTCTGAAGTAGCCATTGGAAGACGTTTGGTGGAAAGAAATCGACTTTCAATGCGCCGCGTGGGCGACTTTCGCCTGCGTCAACTTCTACCCACTGGAAGATTCGGCTTAACGCATATAAAGCATGCTGGCGGTGTTGCTGTCGATGTATATCGGGGATGGCCTTGGGTAATATCCATTTGCGGAGTTGATCATCCGAGGGCTCCTCGTCGGGCTGGTCAAGGGCCATGGTATCCACGTCAGGAATCTTCGGGCCGACACCGTTTGTCAGAGGCCCACCGTTCACTTCATTTTCACGCTTCGCCTGTAAATCTGCCGCCTCTAATTCGATACCCAAGTCTGCGGCCAGAGTTGCTTCGAACTTGGCAATCTTCCCGTGTTTGACGTATCGATCGAGCTTGGCCTTTCTATCTTGCCACTTCTGCAAGTCCTTGGTCGCAATGCCCTTACCTAGAGCATCAACAAGTAGCGTACCCTCGGTCTTGACTCGCTTCCGTGTGACGGTCTCTCCAAATTGCATACCGAAAATCTCGTCTTCTCGGACAGCAACAACCAGACCAATGTCGGCATAGTAGGCTACCAGTTTTGGGGCACCAGACACTTGCTCGCCCGATCCAGGTTGGGTGTGCTTTCGCTTTTTCGTGGGGTTCGTCGTATCTGAGGCATTCGGAGCAGGATCCAAGGAAAGTAGGGCTTGCAGGGAATTGAACTTGGTATCAAATACACGGCATGTGTGTCCGGATGTTGTGAAAAGGAGATCCTGCGAAATGCGCAGAAATGAATCAATGCTTGATGCTGGAAGTTTCAGCTCCGACTGAAGTTTGGGCACGGTTCCAGAGAAGTCGTATGCAAGCAGAGCTCCTTCTGTCAGGACATGAAGAGAACCGTTAGAGGCATGTAAAGCGTAGTACGGTACGGAAGTAGTGGAAGTTGGTGTGCTTGACGTGGTGGGGAGGTCCCAGGAGAGCAAGTGCTTCAGAGGTGTTAGAGGGGCTGTGCTGAGATCCTGCGATCGTGGTTGGACCTGCAAAAGTCTCAGGATCCTGGAACTGTCCGGCTGCCGGCCAACAATACAAATTATCTGAGTGAGTTCCAGAAGATCCGATGTTTCTTCGGCTGAGGGATTCACAACGGCTGCAATGTCCTCTCTACTCTTAAGTAGGCCTCGTGTTACTGCTTTGGCAGTTGCCACTGCAACATGCTCGATCGCGAAGCCGGATGCTTTGGACGGGCCTACTGTTTTCAGGTTTGCGACCCATCTTACAACCTCAAGGTCTGCTGAAAGACAAACGACGTCTCCATTGTCAAAAGTAGCGAGCACATCGTGTGTCGCATCTTTCATTGAACCACCAGCTAGGACGGGAAGCGAGTCGAGGGCGACGACGTGCGCAGAGTTTGAGGGCGCATAGGATGTCTTGGCTGTGTGCGCATTGTCTCCCGAGATCTTCTCATGGAAGCAGACCAGCTGAGACTTGTCGCTCGACGTCGATTCTGTGACAGAGACATATGTGAAGCGCTGGGACGACGTCTTGGAAGAGCCTTTTCGGTAGATCGAGTAGGGCGCCGTGGTCAGGCAGGCGCTGGGAGGGAGGGCATGCGACGTCACGAGCTGTGGGTTTTGCAGCTTTGGACATGGTCAGCCAATGGTGGCGCAGACATGTTAGACAGGACGTACACTGTATATAGAGACACACTCGCCATCCAGGCCAACGACGATCTCAGTGCGCTTCCTCTTCTTGATGCCGCTGATGCTGCACACACCAGCCGCATGCGTGCGCCCGTTGGTCGAGCTGACGGGCTTTGGCAGCGACGCCAGCGTAAATGGAGCCCCGATTTCCTTGTCGAAAGACATGTTTATTTCCGGGCCAGGTGCTGAGGGTTGTCCGAAGTTTGCGTGAGCCGGTGCTCGAGCCGCGTGGGTGAGCTCCAACTTGGAATCGCCGACATATTTTTTTGGCACCTCGAGCTAGAAGATAAAAGTGGGGACCGATTCTTAGTGCGTGGCTTGACGTGTGGCGCAAATCGCGTCGCGTCCAGTCTTGACGTCGCGTTTCCGTGCTTTAATTGAGTCCATCTCTCGCGTTCAACGACTGTTACCGTCTCATCTCCGTCGTTGGCCCCTGCTACCAGTGTTTACATGCTCTTCTACGTTTTCGAAATCTAGTTTTGTCACAGCATGCACCCGTTTTCTCTCTCTTTTCGGTAAATGGCTCTTGGCGCTATACAAAGCGTTATGCATCTAGAAGAGAACAAGTCCTTGCATCCTTTCTTCTCCAAAGCTCCTAGTACGATTAGTCATTGGTTAAGTAGGCAACTATGCTCATACAAAGACAGAAGACCAAGCACCAATACACGAAACTCCCTGCGACGACCTAAACGATGACGATTACGAACAGCCACCTACGAGTGCACAACCTCCTAAAGAGCGAAAGAAACGGACACGGAAGAACGATGGCGTGAATGAAAAGAAGAATGGCACATCCCATACCAGGAACCAGGCGTCGTTGGATCGATTTACCCTTCGTACAAAGGCACAGGGCGCCAGTGGGGCGACTGACCATGGACATGTCTCGGAAGAGCCGTCTCATGACGACGACACAAACCCGGATGGAAGAAAGAGGAGGAAAACAGAATCACCCAACCCTTCCATTGCCCCGACAGCTCCTGTACAATCACTCCCAGTGAACGCAGATTGGCAAGAGCAACCACAGGCAGAGGCGGCAACAACTTACCCCAAAGACGTGGACCAGCCCTTAAATGTCACACTGCACGACGACACGGCAATGGCCAACTCAACGGACGTCCAACCACCGAGCGTAGCTCAGGACCTCCCGCGCCCCAGTACACCGCAAGCCTCCACCCAAACCGTTATAGACGCCAATAATACCGACACCTCTCTTGATACTGTTGAAAACCAGCCGAGAAAAGTTACACCAAAGAAGCAGATCAAAGTCAGCAAGAACGGAAAGCTTCTTTCAAGTCCACCAAAACCTATCACAAAACCTTCAAGTCCGCCAAGGAAAAGACGAGGTCGACCCCCAAAGGTCAAGATTTCTCCTACTGTGACGATCATAAGGTATGGCTCGGATGCTACGAGTCGATTAGTGATTGGCCAAAAGATCGAAGATGTCCTCAATAGCAAGCCTTCATCGAAGAGACGACAACCCAAAAAAGTGCCCTCGAAACCTGCCGACCCACCTAAGGTCACACATCCATTCTTTCTTGACAAAAGTGCCCAAACAAAAGACGACCCTGCTGCTAAATCTGCTCCCAAACAACCTCCTCCGACGCCGAGGAAAAGCGCTTGTACCCCAGGCAAGTTACGAGCTGAGACTCGAAGAGGCCAATCACCTGAACCAATGCCGACATTTGGAGTATCAGCCTTGGGCAGTCGAGTTGCGAAGCAGTCCGGGCTGAACGAAGCTTCATGGCCAACGCGAGAAACAGCCCACGTTCGCAACTCTGACGGGGCGGGCTCATATCAGTATGCTAAACATGAGACAATCACACATCTCCCAATAAGACCTCGGAAGATGAAAAGTACCGTAGCATCATTTCCCAAAGAGGAAGGCTTGATCGCGAAGCTGTCGCAGGAGCTTTCGCGGGACATTCACAAGAAGCATGATCCGCTTAGGTCCAACTTCGAACCGCCAGCAGATGTTCGCCTACCCGGTCGATTACTCGTCACCGGTTCTGAGTTGCAAAGAAGAGTGCGCAATCAAGTTCGTACGCGATTGCCAGTGGCTGGCGCACAAGATGTGAATATGGGATATGCTCATCCAGCTATCACTACGCTTTTCAGTGAAATCGAGCACACCCTGACACCTTTCGATGACGGAATATGTGAAGGCCAGGTATGGACTCAGAAATACAGTCCCAAATGCGCATCACACGTCCTCGGATCCAACAATGAGGCATCTGTCTTGAAAGACTGGCTGCAAAGCTTGACTGTCATGGCAGTTGGAGGTGCACAAGATCCTTCAAAGGCAGGTACCACCTTAGAAGCAAAGAAGCCGCCTAGGAAGAAGCGACGGAAGATCGAGGATGACTTCATTGTCGGGGACGATTTCGAGGAGAATGAAGAGATGGTAGAAATTACAAATGTGAATGAAGCCGGCGTTCATCGGAGCATATCCTACAGGCGGCCGTTCTGGACTAGGAATAAGAACGTCGTTCTTATCAGCGGACCGCACGGTTGTGGAAAAAGCGCAACTGTATACGCCGTAGCCAAAGAGCTAGGTTTCGAGGTGTTCGAGATGAACTCTGGGAGCCGTCGCTCCGGAAAGGATATCCAAGACAAAGTCGGCGACATGACAGCGAACCACCTGGTAAACCACCAGCGAGGTGGAGCATCAGCCAGAGAAGAACTTGTGCCGGCTGACGACACAGACAATGAGCGTATGAGCACCGCCCTCCAGAAAGACCTCGACAGTGGACGACAAGGCACCATGATGTCTTTCTTCAAATCTGGCCCCACAACGCAAGCAAAACCCAAAATCAAACCAAAGGCACCCGAACCAAAGAAAGCGCCGACCTCTGCTATCCAGGCCATGCTGCCAATCGCTGGACCGCAGCGCAAGTCTCAGAAACAGTCCCTGATCCTGTTCGAGGAAGCGGACATCCTCTTCGAAGAAGACCAACACTTCTGGTCCCAAGTTATAAAGCTTGCCTCGCAGTCTAAACGGCCAATCGTGATCACCTGTAACGATGAGCGACAAATCCCAGTACAGGACCTACCCTTGGCTGCTATACTTCGTCTTCAGCCGCCTCAGGTCGATCTCGCAACGGACTACCTACTCGTTCTGGCGGGTAGAGAAGGTCACATACTCGAACGACAAGCTATCAGCGACCTGCTCTACTCGAAGAACCAAGACCTCCGCGCTAGTATTGCCGAGCTGAATCTTTGGTGCCAGATGTCTGTGGGCGATCGGAAGGGTGGGCTGGAGTGGATGTATCAGCGATGGCCACCCGGGAGGGATGTCGACGAGCACGGTCGGCTGCTGAGAGTCGCCAGTGAGGGCACATATCAATCCGGCATGGGATGGCTATCTCACAACATTTTTGAGTCACACAACAACACTGGATTCGACAAGCAAGACGAGCTGCTCCAGGATGCTTGGCGAGATTGGGGCATCAACCCGACGGAATGGAGCAACAACACATCATCTCCGCTCACTCAGAACAGCCAATTGAAAGAACTCGAACGCCTCGAAGCCCTGACCGACTCCCTCAGCGCAGCAGACATCTACTGCCGCGTCGACCTCCCCTCCTACACCTCCAGCCACGACCAACCAACCGACCCCACTCTCCCGCCCATGCCCACAAAAGAGCGGCAAAGCTACACCCTCGCCGCCTCCCCGCTGCAAACCGACCCAAAAACCGACTTCCTAAACCTCGACACCTCCCTCTACACATCCACCTACCTGCAAACCCAGCGCGCCTTCCCCCCAGCCCCCGCCCCCCAACCAACACACACCCAATCCATCCTCACACACCGCTTCAACCAGCAAATAAACCGCCCCCTTACCCGCCCCGCATTCGCCTGTCTCGACGTCCTCGCCGCCCCCGCCGACCCCACACCCTCGTCCTCCTCATCCCTAACCCTCTCCTCCTTCGACCGCGCCTTCCGCGTCATCACGCTCGACCTCGCGCCCTACATCCGCAGCATCGTCGCGCACGAGATGCTGCGCGACGCAGAGCGCGTGCGCTTGTCCAATCTGCTGAGCGAGGGCGGGCGGGCGAAGCGGCCGCGCACTACGCGCGCGAGTCGGGTTGCGATGGAGGGCGGGGTTAGGGAGATGGTGAGGCGCGAGAGGTGGTTTGATGGCGCGTTGGGGGTTGTGGAGGTTATGCGGACGGGGGGGATGTGGGCGGGGTTGGGGTGGAGGGGCGAGGGGGATGGGGGTGCTGCGAGTGTGAGTGTGACGGGGACGGCGGAGAGTGGGGGGGAGGAGATGGATGTTGATGTTGATGTTGATGCTGTTGGGGAGGAGGAATAGGGGCGGTGAGATGGGTGGGCGTAGGAAGGGAGTGAGTGGGTGTATGTGCTATTTGGGAGTGGATGATGTATTGATGATATTGGACATTTGACTATCTTTTCGCCATATAGCTTAATACAATGCATATCGAAATCATCATTGAAGTTGACCTTGCCTTTCTAGGACTTGTCCTTTCTCTCCCGCAAGACGCGCATGACTTCAATCGGCTCCGTCTGGCCCACAATCTTCTGAATCTCGGGATCGTTGACACGCATGAAGACGTTGTGTTTCTGCATCGAGTCAGCAACTGCCAGTCACGCCCAAGCCAGCATAACATAACAAACATACCTTCTCATCTCCAATAGTAAACTTGCCCTGCGTCTCCTGATTCGCCTGGCTATACTCATCGAGACTCTTAACCGCAGCATCATTCACAATCGTCTTCGCGAACTTGACATTACCCTTCGTATACTCATGCCCGGGGTAGACTTTCGTATCGTCTGGCAGCGCCGCGAGTGTCTCATTGAGTGCTTTGTGCATCTCCTTGGGCGTGCCTTCGAAGAAACGGCCACAGCCACCGATGAACAGCGTATCGCCGGTGAAGACGGCGCGGTCGTTGCCGTCCTCGGCGAAGAAGCAGATGTGGTCCTGGGTGTGGCAGGGCGTGTGCAGCGCGGTTACTTTTATCGAGCCGATGTTGAAGGTCGAGTTGTGACTTGGCGTTTCAGTGACGTGGTCGCAGTCGCGGCCGCCGATTATGGGCACGTTGAAGGATTTCAACTGGGTAGTTGGTTAGTGGGGGAGGTTTTGGAGTGCGGTGCTTGGGGGTAGTACTATTTTGCTGTTCCCTCCGGCATGGTCGTGGTGGCTGGGTAGAGTGGTTAGTCACTGTAAACTTTCATGGGGTTATAGTGTCTTACTGGTGTGTGTTGATGATCTTGGTCAGTTTGAGGTTTCCGTCTCCTCTTGCCTTTGCCTCGAGGACTGGGAGCACTCTACCCGCAGAAGGTGTTAGTTAAGAGGAACGAAACCATACTCATGCATGTTAACGTACTCGGGTGGGTTGGCTGGATCGATAATCACAGCTTCCTTTGTCTTGTCGTCTGATACGAGATAGGCATAGTTGTTACCACTGCCCACCCCTAACAAGCATGTTAGCAAATTGGCATTGGCATCTTCATCATCAAGGTGCTCATACACATGGGAATTGATTGGATATGCATAGCGCGTGAAGTTACCGGCTGCTTGGCGTTAGCTTCTGGGTGTCTACCTTGGTGTCTACCTGCGACAAGGTAAAGGCATTTACCGTAGCGATTGGTCTAGAGAGTGACGGTAGCGAGAAGCGTTTGATAGCGGTAGCGAGTAAGGTCATAAGGATGGTGCTGTAGACGACCTGGCGGAATAGTGTGAGTGACATGGAGGTTGTGGTTCGTGGTGACATCATCGCGACAATTCGGCAACCACCTCGATTACGAAGCAACACGCCTACATTCTATTCTGTCAAATACAGCAACTCTCACGCGTACAAGGTCTCACGCAAGAAAGCTGGTTTCAAAAATATGTTTTGACAATCCAAAGAACTTCTCATTATACTTCGATCGCATCCAGATGCTAGCTAATCTACGAGCAGAGCGCCGTTGTCATGATCTCATATCTAAACACAATTGCGCCATATTCATCAATGCGTAAGGTTAAGTCGTTATTCTCATCTCACGTCTCAACACCAAATCCCCTACAGCAACGACTTTAATCTCCTCTGCAGCTCAGGCTCGCTCGATGGACCATCATTGCGAAGACGATGCTCTTGCGGATCGTACAGCGGGTCCGCTGTGATCGTGGCTTTGATTCTCTTGCCAAAGTATTCAATCTCGACCGAGTCGCCCTCCTGTACCTTGGTTGGTAACCATGCGTATGCAACAGGCTTGCGGACCGTGTACCCAAAAGCAGCATTGGTGACATAGCCTACAGTCTGCCCGTTATGGAAGACAGGCTCCTTGCCGAGGATCATGGAACGACCATCATCGACAGTCAGACATCTGAGTTGCCGTGTGGGCGCCTGCTTGGATAGTCGCTGGAGTGCAGCTTTGCCGACAAAGTCTTCCTTCTTGTCCATATGAACCGCGTAGGTGACACGGGCTTCGTACGGGTTGTATTCGGATGACATATCACTACCCGACGCTCGAATTCCTTTCTCCAGTCGCAATCCGTTGAATGCAGCACGTCCAGCTGCAACAAGTCCTTGGGGTTTGCCTGCTTGCCAAAGGACATCCCACAGGCGTTGCCCGTACTCTGGCGTGGTTTGAATTTCCCAACCGTGCTCTCCGACATATGATTTCCGGAACATTGTCACAGGAACTCCAGCGATACTTGTCTGCTTCACACCCATGTATGGGAGTCCCTTATTGCTAAAGTCTTCGGAACTTATCGAGCGGATAACATCTCGCGCTCGAGGACCCCACAGACCGAGGCAGCAGGTACTGCCTGTCACATCGCGTACCTGTACCCATTGGCCAGGAGTGTGTTTTTCTTGACGGCGAGCCTCACGTGCGAGGTAGGCGAGATCGGTAGAGGTGTTGGCACCTAATTGGAACGAATCATCTTCTAGCCTCGATACAAAGATGTCGCTCAGAATACCACCGTGGGCATTGAGGAGAAGTGTGTGGGTAATGGTGCCTGATGGCTTGGTAACATCGCTCGTGGTAATCCGTTGAAGCAAGTGGACAGCCCCTGGTCCGGAGACTGAAAATCGATGGAACGTGGACATGTCGTACATGGCGACTGCATTGCGCGTTTTCCAGGCCTCGGCTGCGGCGATTGGGGAGTAAAACTTTGACGACCATGCGTCTCGATCGACATGTCGCCACCCTGTTGGAAGAGTCTTGACCAAGTCCGTATTCGCTTCATACCAGTGTGGCCGTTCCCAACCCCCTACTTCGAGGAAGAATGCACCTTGCTCTCGTTGCCGGGCGTGGAAGGGGCTAACACGTAGGTTGCGCGGTGACTCTTTCGGGGCGAGGGGGTGAATTATGTCGTAGACCTCGACGAAATTCTGCTGGGAGGTCTCGCTGATGTATTCTGGGCTGAGCTGAACCTCCTCGAAGCGACTCACATCGCATTCAGCAATATCGATTCTTGATCGGCCTTCTGTCAGAATCTCTGCCACGGCTCGTGCTACACCAGCTGAGTGTGTCACCCAAACGGCTTCTGCGACCCAAAATCCATCCAGGTTGGGGGCTTGCCCAACAACGGACCCGCCGTCTGGAGTAAACGAGAAGATACCGTTGAAGCCATCAGCAATTTCTGTTTCCCGTAGCGCAGGCAGTAGCTCTTTCGTTGCCTTCCAGGCAGGCTCAAAATCTTCGGAGGTAAATTCGAGACGTGATGGCATATGCTTATCGTCCACCTCTTTCGGGGTCACGCCGAGTGACGCAGCAACGACCGGCATAGGTCGATGGCCATAGTATCCAATACCGTACTGCTCTCCGTGCTCGCGGTAGTACAAGTCCTGGTCCTGGTATCGCAAAATCGGCAGTTCGGCGTTCATTGCGTTTATTCTCTTGTTGACATCGCGGCCGACAAGACCTGGAACGGCTGTAGTTTTCGCATACTGATGCGCAAGCGGCAAGAGAGGAACCTTCAATCCGACCATGGCTCCGATTTCGACGCCCCAGAAACCAGCCGCCGACACGATGATGTCTGCAGGAATGGTGCCGTTATTTGTGGTGACGCCCGTTACATGGCCGTTGTCCTTCTCAATGCCTGTGACAACCGTGTGTTCATGGTAACGCACACCAGCGTTACGAGTGCGTTCGATGAGTAACTGTGTTGCTCGAGCTGCGAGCGCGAGCCCGTCGTTTGGAATGTACAGGCCGCCCAAGATAATCTCTCTGTTGAGAAGAGGATATCTCCTAACGCACTCGTCGGTATCGATGAGGTGCGCCTCGACTCCCCAAGACTGAGCATATCCATGCCTTCGCTTGAGATCCTCAAGACGCTCTGGTGTTGTCGCTATCTCGAGGCCACCCAGTTGGTTGAAGCAGCTTTGGCCATCTTGTTCAAGCGCCAGAAACTTCTCGATTGTGTATTTTGCGAATAAGGTCATCGTTTTCGAGGCGTTTGTTTGGAATACGAGGCCGGGTGCGTGTGAGGTCGAACCGCCTGGCATGCTCAACGGACCTTGCTCGACGACGGTAATGTTCTTCCATCCTCGCGAGACCAGTTCATCTGCAAGATTCGTTCCGACGATGCCAGCGCCGATGATGACAACGCGTTGTGAAGTCGCCATTGCCAAGAATACTGAGAGAATGATTGATTGGGGGGTTGAGCTTCCGGCAACGCTCTTGTTTATGAGGAGCTCTATCACAGATCATATCGGCAGTCGCTGCTCTCTGCTCTTCTACAGCCGCCACTAAGCGTGTCCAGAAAAGCATAAATCTTTCCGCACTCGGAGCATAATGGCATTGCTGGAATCGCAGTTCCCCACCCCGCATGCGGCTCTGATGACGTTTGGCGGGGAAGTATACCTACCATGGGCGAAGGGTCCTGACTGCCAAAACGGGCCTAGTCTTGATGTTATCGTGTCCTAGGACCCAAATCCGGAGCTACATGTCTTTCAGCGAACCCCGCCCTCGCGTCGACATCATCTTGCATCTTGTTGATTTCGAAAGTTTCACTCCTCCCAGGACTACCACTACTTCCAATACCTTTTATACTGCAATCTGCAATCAACCCACACAACATATTCTTGCAACGACAAAACTTTGCTCGGATGCTCTGCTTGGCAAGACTGGTAATCAACGTCTGCATCCGTTCTTGGCCATGAATCCCATGAACATATGGTAATATTCCACGACTCACAATAGTTCCTTCGTTTTACCCTTGCCACAGCAGCTGGAAGTGAGTGGTGCAACAATCCATTGCGATAAGCCGAATACAACAATCCATTGCAACAACGCCCACTCGAGATAGCCCATGAACAGTGGGTTCTTAATGCGTTCCCCTTGCCAATGCCCGTCAAAGACAGCTTTGAGTGCTCTACGACGACGAAGCTCATCCTTCAAGAGGAAATATGAGATGTCGTTTCATACAAAGCATCATGTCCTTTCCGTAGGACTCCCATTGAGATATGAATAGCAAGATAAGGCACCATTCGAAAACGAGTGTTGGCAACTAGACAGAATAAGACAGAAAACACGTCTTGTCAGCTATCTACCTCGTTCAATCAAGGATTAGTACGAAGTCAAGTCGTGAAAGTCCATGGCTTAATCAGAACCACTCGTGGAGAGACACGTAAGTGGTGGTACAAATCAGAGACCCAGTTTCCACTCGAAAGAGCACCGCGGACCATCGTGAGATGGAAAACGTGCAGTGAGGGGTATGGTCTCGAAATACGAGATCACTTGGCTCCATCTGGTCCGGGAGAGGCGTAATGGTAGGCTGTATCATACACTCGGTGTGTCCTTCCCCTCTGTCGCTAACGCATCTCAAGATCCGACGGATGCATTCATCGTCGAGGACATATTTGTTTGATTCAGACAGATTATAACGATCGTCTGCCGTCTAGTATGGTGAGTTTTTGCAACACACCATCGACACATATCCACATGGTACGAACTCAGCAATCCGATGCAAGGAGAGATTGTTGATAAGAGCTAGGGAAAGGCTCGATAGTGCGCATGCAACCGGTCCCATTGTCGTTGTAGTCGAAGATCAGCCGGGACTGGAGCTGGCGTTCGATGTCCAAATTCGGAAATCAGATCCATACCATAAGCTTAGGTCCGTGCGATTGCGAGGGGCACAGTACCAACTTTTGTTTTCCAACCCTGTCACGATAATATTCCACTGGAGCCACGCAAAATCAATGATTAAGTCGGGCTGCCGTTCGGCACACTAAGGGTTTGGGCTTCTGGCGCGCCGTCTCAGCCCCTGCCTTATCGTATACTGGATCACGATGGCAGACCTAGGAGGTGCAGCGGACGTTAGTAAAGGCTGATTGTATGTGGCGCTTGACTACCATTCGCTGTTCGATTACGTTCGTACGTTTCACTGGCTATCACTTCTCGTAAGCGTATGGAAGTGATTTCCCCATGGGGTGATAGGGTGTCCGTTTACTCGATAAGGTTGAGGGCATGACGTTGCCACATAGCCATATAATAGTACTTGAAGAGGTCTTCAGGTAACCACATTCAAGATCAACTATCCTTCTACCACATCAAAGACACTGTCTCACACTGTCTTCTTTGGAAAACCCTTCTTCTACGCCAACCATACACACATATTGCCCACAATGGTCGGATCATTATTCAACTACCTGGGCTTCGGTGGCTCAGCCGCTCCACCGCCAGCAGAGAAGACCGCTGTTCGCGCTCTGCCTGGCAACTGGTATACCTCCGATGAGATGTACCAGCTTGAGAGACGCGCCATCTTCTCCCGCAGATGGCTCATCATCACACACAAGTCAAGACTTCAGAACGCAGGTGACTGGCTCCGTTACAGTATCGCCAACTACGAGTTCATAGTCTCCAAAGACCGACAGGGCGAAATCCATGCTTTCCACAATGTTTGCCGACACCGAGCCTATCCCGTCGTAGAGCAAGAAGCGGGCAACTCGAAAATATTCTCATGCAGATACCATGGTTGGTCATACGGTCTGAACGGCAACCTAGCAAAGGCCCCTGGCTACCAAAACCTCCCCACCTTCGACAAGGCCAAGAACGGACTCCTTCCCATCCACACACGTCTTGACAGGAATGGCTTCGTGTGGATCAACATGGATTCGAAGGAGGTGCCAGATGTCGCTTGGGACGAGCAGTTCGGCGGTGCAGACGAACAAGCACGATATGATAAATTCAACTTTGACGACTACGTCTTCGACCACACATGGAACCAGGAGGGAAACTACAACTGGAAGATCCTCTCTGACAACTTCAACGAATGCTACCACTGCAAGACGACACACCCAGATATCGGTGCCATTGTCAGCGTCGAGTCTTACGACGTCCACTGCAAAGCTGATCACATCCAACACGACCCCGCAACGACACAGGAACAGCGCGACAACGGCCTGGAGATTGCTTCGACTTATTTCTTCCCCAACGCCTCCATGACAGTCACGTAAGTCTCCCCTCAATCTGCATCACATGATATTATCGTATACTAACCAGACGACCAGCCCGCACTTCATGTTCATGCAAAAGTTCCTCCCCAGCTCGCCCACAAAATCCGTCATGTACTACGAGGTCTGGCGCAACAAGAACTCTTCGGAAGAGGACTTCTTGCTCATCAGCCAGATGTACAAGCGCGTCATGCAAGAGGACAAAGTACTGTGCGAGCGCTCGCAAGAAAACATCTCAAACGGTGTCTTTATCAACGGCGAGATGCACCCACACATGGAGAAGGGCCCGCTGTTTATCCAGAAGCGATGCCGTGAGGTGGTCATGGAGCACAACAAGCGCGAGAAGGCGGCGGGTAAGCAATTGTGGCCTGCGAAACAACAGCTGGAGAACGTGGGCAACTCGGTGATTAGCAATGAGGATGTGGAGTTTTGCGAGGGCCTGGCGTGTGGGAATGATAACGAGAAGAGCGAGTTGGCTTGGTGAGTTGGGGATGTGGTAACGAATTATGGGATTGATGATGGTGTTTGGGAGTGTTTTGCTTGGGAAGCCCAATTTGGTTGTCCAGTTAGTACACTTTGGTATTGATATTGGACGGGTTTTGGCGTTCTATGTTCGGCATTGCAGCGCTTATGATGGTTTTTGGGCAGCAAACGTATATTCTTCACCAACGAAGCCACACTAGGTAGTTTGTGTGTAGTTACAGATCAACAACAGTCTTGACCGGATCCTCCTCCTCCTTCTCCTTCCAGCCAATGACGTCATTGGACTATACTGCTGCATTCAAAAGGCAGCATACTCGCACCTCACATATCCACAGCACACATCTACTACTCACAGCAAACTTCACCATGCCTCCAGATCCTAAAGCAAAGCACATCGTCTTCGACGTCGTCGGAACCCTTGTCTCCTACGGTGAGCAAGACTCCGGTCCAAATACTATTTAACACATTTATTAATTGTATCCTCGTCTCCAGAGCACTTCTTCACCGTCATCGACCGCCGTCTCGGCCCCACCCTCAGTGAACACAATATCTCCGCACGGATTCTAGGTTTCGCATGGCTCGAGTCGGCAGAGCGCGAGTACACGTATCTCTCCCTGTCCGGCCAATACGTGCCCTTCGCAAAAGTCTTCGAAGCAATCTTCTTCCGCGTTCTGCACTTTGCCGGCGTCGCTGACCCGAGGAGCATCGCAACAGAAGACGATGTAAAGTACTTCATGCAAGAGTACAAGAACTGCCAAGTCCGACCAGGTGTGAAAGAGTGCGTGGAGCGCTTGCGAGATGCGGGATGGACAGTGTGGGCGTTTACGAGCGGGGACCGCGAGAGAGTGACGGGGTACTTTGAGAAAGGGGACGTGCGGATTGAGAGCGGGAATCTGATCACGTGTGATGAGGTGGGCGTGGGGAAGCCGGAGCTCGCGGCTTATAAGAAGGTTAAGGAGAGGATTGGGGTGGAGCCCGATGCGGGGTTGTGGTTTGCGGCGGCGCATTCGTGGGATGTGAGTGCGGCTGGTAGGGCGGGATTTAGGACGGCGTATTGTACGGTGTTGGAGAAGGAGGTTTTGGAGGATGTGTTTGGGAAGACGGATGTTGTTGCTGATACGCTGCCGGAGCTTGCGGATAGGATTGTTGCGGCGGTAAAATGAGGAATTTACTGTGTGTGTAAAAGTCAGTATAGAATCTGACTTGTTATTGTTTCCACAAAAGGTATTCGTACTATTCGACATGCACCAAACCAACCCACTGGACCACAAAACGAGTGGCTCGCTTCATACACAACCACAACACTCCCCCAGGGCCTCACCCAGAGGTACACGTCACTCACCAGGACATACCATCAACACCTCCTTTTTCCCACGGTCAAAGCAAGCCTCGTCGCCATGTCATCGCCGCCCCCATCCTGCTTCGCTGTCCAGAGGCTGAAAACACAGGACCATATACGTGGCACAACCCGTTTGTCTTCCAACCACACACTCAGCCCCAGTCATCAGCCTCAAACTCAGCCACAACCACGATGAAACGACCAAGCACGTATAAAACACTCTCATCCTCCAACCCCACCCCATGACCAAAGAACCCCGGAAACCACAAAGAAAAGCATACATGTCTTGGACCTGATCGCCAATCGGAGCCCAATGTGCAGTATCCAAGTAACGCGCTTCCCGCAGTGTGGATGTATCAAGACTTTCGTGTCTGGGAGTATTGAGCGGTGTCGTGGGTTTGGTCGGGGTGCGTGTTTTGGGCATCTTGAGAGGTTTGAACTCGTTGGATGGGAGGGGGGCATTTGTGGGAGGCATTTGGGGGTCGGTGAGCAGGTATGTGGGGAGGGGGCGGGGAGGAAGGGGGAATAGATGGGTTGATGGATGGGGAGATGTACAGAAGGGGGGGGGGTTGTGAGGCGGTGGGGGTGGATGGACGACGTTTGGTGAGTAGTGACAGTACAAGACGGTGCAGCATATAAAAGGTTTTGTAGGAATGGCTAGTTTCTTCGAGAGAAGTACATGCGTGTGCTTTTCTGGAACTCGATGCTTGTCTTTTTTGCTATCACTAGTTGAGTCATGGATTGAATGATTGAATTCGTATACATTATCACCTCACTCCTGCCAAACTCTTTACAATACCACACTATCTCATACCGCCAACCCCAACACGTAAAGTTCAACATACACGCCCTCCGTTCTCTTAATCCCACACTTACTCAGCCCAGTACCGTGAAAAGAACACTCATCAATCAACCTTACCAAGTCTGCAGTTCATAGAACAGATGTACACATCAAAGCGATACTAAACTCATTAGCGTTCCTTATTGATTACAGTGTTGACTAATATTCTACAATCACTATCTATTCAGGCATTTAAGGAGATAGCGAATGAGTCCACAACAAGTACAACTCAGCTAGATATGTAGTAGTTTGGGTTAGAGCATCGACCTCGTTTCTACGGGGTTGAATTGCAGCGGTGTAGGCATGCGGCGGAGAGGTTGGAGGAAGTAGGAGGAGGTGGATTCTAGCCTTGGGTCTTGAACGTGTCGAAACTTGAAGTGCTTGTTGTTTATTTTTCAGTGACTGCAAAACGAACTGAGGCTGTACAATATCACGTGTGGGACTTGCTATCTTTCACTCAGTGTATGCTTGTACTAGTAAGTTGGTATGAATGTGATGCTCTGTATGGTATCATGGCACTGTGTACGAATCGAATCGAATGACATCCCATCTTCTCCCCTGCACTCCGTTTATTTCATCCCCCGTATCACTTCTTAAGCGGTCTCCTTCCACGACTCCAACAACAGCGCACCACCAGCGACAATACCACAACCCCCCACACCCCAATCACTCAGCACCCCCTCCTCAACACTCCAATGCAGCGTCATAGGCGCATACGCAATATTGGACGCAAGATCCTTCCACCAAAGCCAATTCTTCGCCTTCATCTCCTCCTTACGCAGTTTATCCTCCTTCTCGCCATCATCCACCACCCCCTCACCATTAGAATGGAAAGTCTCAAGCCCCAGTCTCGCAAGTTCAAGCCCCACATACGCAGCCCAGAACCGCGAGCTCCACACCCACCACTTGACCTCCCTCGCCTTCCCCGCCTCGCCAGCCCACCCACTACTCGTCAGCACGCCCTTGGAACTGAGATACGCGCCATTCTCAAGCACCTGAAACGCCACGCACGACGCAATCTCCGCCCACGTAACGCCGCGCAGGAGTTTCTCCCTCCCGCTCGCACCCGCGGGTAATGGAGCGAGATACGTGCCCCGCGCCCACGTATACAAGCCCATGCACCCCCACAGCCTTACGAAGATCCTGTAGTCTGCGATAGTGGCGGCGAGGGCTTTTGACGAGCCGACGGCTTGCGCGATGAGCTTTGTGGTGGTGGGCGCGGGGAGGGTCGCGATGAGGGTTTCGCCTGGGAGGAGGACGCCGTCTGCTTTTTCTGCGATTTGGGAGGCGATGTTCGAGAGTTTTCGGGCTAGGAGGCGCGAGAGCAGGGCGTGGGTTAGGGTTAGCGTGTAGCTGATTGTGCAGAGCAGGCGGTCTGCGCCGCTGGGTGAGGAGAGCAGTTTTGCGAGGCGCAGGAGCGTGTGGTCTGTTGAGTGGGCGGCGCTGGCGAGGCGGCGGAGGAGGAGGTAGCGCAGTTTTTGGAGGGTGGAGGTTGGAGGGAGTGGGCGGGAGGGTTTGTCTGGGGTGGAAGATGGGGGTTCGGTGGTGAGGGTGGGGTCGGATGGGATGGTTGTGCTGTTGGGGTGGGAGTCGTCCATCTTGTTTGGTTTATCGCGCTGGGCACGAGAGTTGGTACAAGTTTGATATAGTGAGGTTACTGGAATGTCGTGGATGATGGAGTTGAGAACGAGTGAAGTTTGACGCGTTTCAACCGAGGCTCGTTATCGGCTCTAAGGCGACGCGGCAATGGCGCGACATAGATTGATATGGTCAGCATGTGATGCTGGACCCTGCATTTCAACACGCTTGAACAGCGGAATGAATAAACAATACTCGAACTACTCCGATAAAAACAAACACGAAATGGGAGTAACCATAGCATTACGCCTCCCGTATCGACTCACGAAGCTCTGACCGCAAGTCCACAGACCTGAGACGATCGACATCCCTGTCGTATCAACGTCCTTCCCCAGAACCTCCCCACACGTCCAATGATCCGCCAACGCAGAGGCACGAGAGCCGGATCTCTCTCCTCACGTCTTCCCCCCTAACAACCCACCGCAAAAATGGCTCCCCACCTGCAAACACGCCGACCAACCTACCCACTCGCACATGCCTTCCGCCAGAAGCCCCGCCGTCTCCCCCTGGTGCTGCGCTTCGCAAAAGGCGCAATCCACGGCATCATCCTGGTGCCCGTAGTCCTGCACTCGCTCTTCACAGTACTAATCGTCTACCTCGACACCTACGTCGCAGGCAACCTCAACATCCCCTCGACCATCATCCCCTCACTCTCCATCGTCGTGGGCCTAATGCTCGTCTTCCGCAACAGCACATCCTACGACCGCTTCTGGACAGGCCGCAACTGCCTGACCACAATCAGCACCAGCGTGCGCAACCTAGCGCGCATCTGCCTCGTCAACTCGCGCAGCAAGGACGGCAAAGCGACGGAAGCCGAGCGCCGCGACACAGAGAAGATAGTCCGCGTGCTAATCGCAGTCCTCTACGCTATCAAACACAACCTCCGCGCCGAATTCAACATCCCCCCCGCTAGCCTCGCCCCGGCCTTCCAACCCGTGTCTTACGCCCGCTCGCGCCCCATGTCCCGTCGACCGAGCTACGTCGACCGCACGGCCTCCGCGCCCGCAACACCCACAGCCAGCACCCCACTGCTGGCCCGCAATCCCTCCGCCCTAGAAGCCGGGGACAGCCCCGTCCCAACAAAGAAAAGCGAATACGTCTCCCTCCTCCCCGACGGACTAATGGGCTACGAAGACCAAGGCCTCGGCCTCCCACTCCAACTCACCGTGCTGGTAGAAAGCTTCATCCGCCGCGGCGTGGACAGGTCGTGGTTCCACGCCCCCCTCGCCTCGCAAATGACCGTGCAAATCAACAACCTCGTCGACGCATACGGGCGCATGGAAACCATCCGCAGCACGCCCATCCCTGTCGCGCACCTCATCCATCAGAAACAGGTGCTTGCGCTGTTTACCTGCGTGCTGCCGCTCGCGATTGTGGACGACTACGGGTGGTGGAGTATCCCCATTGTGGCGATTGTGGCGTTTACGCTGTATGGGATTGAGGGGATTGGGATGCAGCTTGAGGACCCGTTTGGGTATGATAAGAATGATATCAAGATGGATGGGATTGTTGAGGATACGCGACAGGAGGTTATGGTGCTGTTGGAGGAGTGGAAGGCGACGGCTGAGGGGACGGCGTTGGGGGGGATGTTTGGGGTGAATGATTAGTGGGGTGTTTGGCTTTGTGGGGGGATGGATGGCTGGGTAGTTACTGGCTTGGGATAAATCATAAATTCGACAGTGGACAAATAAAGCTTAAAACACGATTCGGCTCTCAACAGAAAATACGACCCCCTTTCCAACAATCGTCCCGCCTAATAATACCACCCCCTCCCCCCTTCCCACTCCTCACCACCCAACCTCCTACCATAAAGCCGCTCAGCAGCCTGCGCCTGCGCCTGAGCCTGCCCCTCCCTAGCCCTAACCCTCTCACGCTCACGTTCCCCCTCCCTCACCCTCTCCAACTCTCTCAGCCCCTCGACCTCCCTAGCCGACAACCCCGCCGCACCACCACCCCAATGCCCCAGCGCCGGCCCGCCAATCAAATGCGTCTGGCGCGCAAATCCCAACGGCTCAGACGGGTAGCGCGGCGTATAAGCAGCAGTACCAGCAGAGAGAAGTCCCGACGGCGCCGCACCGCCCAGCCAGCCCTTGCCCGCGATTTCGACCCACGCCTTACGCACATCATTCTCCAAGGCGCCGCTCGACTCCACGGCGTCGAGGAAGCGGGCGCGGAAGGGCCATTGCTCGCTCTCCAGTTTAACGAGGTTAGGCGGCTCAGCGGCAGCGGTGTTTCTATGGAGACCAGGGGAGAGGTAATCCGGCGAAGAAGAGGGGGCATGGACGAGGAACTTCCTGGCCCAGGCTTTGAGGTCCGGGTCAGGTTCGCCGGAGTGGTAGATCTCGCTGAGCAGGGCGACGGGGTCTTCGTATGTAGCGCCGTAGGCGTTCATGCGGGATAGCGCGTAGGTCTTGCATTCTGCGAAGCACATGTTGGTGCCGAGGTTTGCGAACTGGATGTCTGCGAGGAGGGTGGGGAGGGTGTTTGTGCCGCCTGATTTTATGATTGGGGGGCCTTTCTTGCTGGTGCTTAGGCCCATGCCCATGGTGAGTGCGGGGGGGTCGGGGCGGTAAGAGCCTGTGTGTAGGAATTCGAGGAAGCGGAGGAAGGTCTTTTCGGAGACTTTTTCGTGGATTTCTAGGAAGCGCGATTTTGCTTTTAGGAAGGCTTTGCCGATGCTGAGGAGGTCGTCGATTTTTCTGCTGTCTACTAGGATGGGCTTGTCTTTGAAGAGGAATTCGACGGATTTGGCGGAGGGTGTGGTTCGGGAACGGGGTTTCTTCTCTAGCTCGTGGCGACGGTCGTTGTATATTTCGACTTGGGCAGAGCGCACTATCTTCGGCCAGTCGAAGAGTGGTTTGCAGACTCTACCGTACCACTTGTCAATGTCGCTTTCGGAGAGCTCTTCGACGTCAGGATGGCAATGACTGCAGTACCACTTATCCTTGTCCTTGCGCTCCATCGGCTTCTTTTTCCTTGGGTAGTAGTCGAAATGACGGAACTCGCCAAGATCATGCCCAAAGCTGAGAGGTGTGAGCTCTTTTCCGTGGGCAGCTGAGAGCTTTTTGACGACCATCATGATCTTGCCGAAGTGAACGCCGTGAGCCAGACGTCCATACTCCACCTCTTCTTCCTTCTGCGGTCCACATGCGACTAAAAAGTAGGCGTGGATCATGTGATGAATGAGAATGGCAACTATTTCCCTCGACCTAGCATATCCAAGTACATCGTTGTTGAGGATGATAGAAACACGTTTGCCCTCTGTTTTGGGTCCCCAGCCGTGCGTGTATGTGGCGCCAGATACATCCGAACCTAAGTTTTCGACATCGAGGAAGACGGCGTTCTTGAGATGTCCGGCAAAGAGAGTTTCGTCGAGCTTGTTGAAGATACGGTATGGTACTTCCTTGAGTAACCCCTCCCTCTCCAGCGCAGCAGCACGGATACGAACACTCCGTAGCGTCTCAGCAGCATCAGGCGAGTTCTTCTCGTCGAGAAAGTCAGTAATGAAGGCGACAGCCCACTCGATGTTCCATCCCAAGTTCTTGTTGCACTCGAAATTGGGATCCTGGAGCCGTGAGGCTAGGCTGGATAGCGGACGACTAAGGTCGAAAGGGCGTTGATTGTAATACAAGTCTGGCTCCGAGTCAGACTGGGACTGATATGAGTGAAATGGTGGTTGCACTAAAGCACCAGGTAAGTTGGCACGATACAGCGCGAGATGGTGTGGAGAACCGAACGTCATGAGGCCGGATTTGAGGAATGTCAAAACCTGATCCGTTTCTGCTGGGCGTTACTGTTGTCTGTGTCTTATAATTGGGATCCGACTGAAGCTCATGACGCTTGTCACCCGCCTGTGTAAACTCCGTCGGGCTGTGAGCGGGTTCGTGTTTCCCGTGCGGGCTTAGCATCAGACAACAACGATCGAGAGCGTTCGAATTACAAGTGAAAACGCGTAGTTGTTTGCTATCTGTAAACGGCATTCGTGCCAAATCAGGAGTGCTGTTCGAGAATCGTAACGTCCGCGCCAGCAGACCATCTAACGGACTGAACACTGGGGACTTCCTGGAAGAGGCCTGGCAATGTGACCCAACAAGCACATCTCGTTGCTCCAATACGCTTTGGTCATGCGGGTTATTGACAGCAATGTCCTGATAGCTTATCACAGAGGTTGGACAAATGTTACACGCACTTTAGAAGGAGCCAGTCTCGCCAATGATATACAACCGCCTTGGGCGAGGCCACGAGTACAGTTGCCTGACTGGTCTGCAGCTTTGTTAGTATCACCATGCGCGCGGCGGATATCAGAGAAAACGGCCAACGGCATGACGAAAGTGAGGCGAGAGCAACCAGCAGGATATAGTATATATTTAGTAAGCCCACGCGCAGCCCTCCAATCATTCAAAAAAAAAAACAAGGGATATACAAAGTCGTTAGCCGTGGACAAGGAGCGAAGCAGCCTCGTTCAGGCGACGAATGCTAAAGAAACATTAATGATGCATGACGACAACCGAGTGACTGAACATGGTTCAAGTTGTCACTGTGTGTTCCCGCCGTTTAGTAGCGAGGTGGTCCTGGTTGACCGGGAGGGCCGGGAGGACCGGAAGGACGGTCGTTACGGTCGTAATCGTCGCCGGGCCTGCCGCCGGCCTGGCTTCTCCCGCTGTTGTAGTCTCTCCCGCTGGCATCGCCGTAGTGCTTGCGCCTGAGAGCTGCCAGCCTCTTCTTCTTGGTGGAGGCGTTGATGTAGGTGCCAATGATGAATCCGATGATGTTGAAGAAGGGCACCCAGGTGTTCTCAGGGAGGAACTGCTGGGCGAAAGCCAGCGAGATGGGCGAGACGACCCAGCTGACCTTCATGACGGGCCAGAAGCCGGCCTTGACGGTGGCGCGCACCTGGTGGAATGTGCGGGCGCCGGCGATCAGGGCCATGGAGGTGAGGTAGACGCCGTTCTGGATGGGCGAGATCTGCGTACGTCAGCGGGTCACTCGCAGGCAACGTCTTGTCGCAATGACACTACTTACAATAAGGTTGCTCGCCAGGATCTGCAGGATCTTGGCCTTGAAGCTCTTGCGGCCCTGGAAGACCTTCTGCAGCATGCTGATGAGAACGTGACCGAGAGGCGCGCTGATCAGGGCGCCGTAGATAGCCATCTTAGGCACACGCGACGTCATGTAGGTGCCGTTCTTGCTCCTGTCGTGCGCGATCCACGAAGCAGTGAACTCCTGCAGACCCGACAGGGTGCCCGAGGTGAGCATCTTGGTGCGCAGCGGGTTGCTCTGCAGTTGCCCGAGGTACGCCTGCAACATGGCCCGTCAGTATGATGCGCTGCATAGTATGCTCTGCCATTGCGCGACACTCACTGCGAGGTATCCATTCAAGCCGCCGCCGCCTTTTGTCAGGGCCGCGCCTACTCCTTGCAGCAGGTCGCCCTTGCCGGCTGCGTCGATAGCATCAGCCGTCGTCTTCACCGTATCCTTCTCGAATTTGACCGACATGGTGCGTGGTCTCGTATGCGACGGTCGCGAACAGCAGGGAGACGCGTGTGCTGGGGTTGTCGGGCGCTTGTGGGGAGTCGTAGGATGAAATGGAGTCGTCAAGCTGACCTAACGATGGCTGGGGAGATGCGCCTGTTGTTGTTGTCCCTCGGGTTCCTTCCCAATCTGCCGCTAGCGCCGACATGTAGCTAAGAAAGGCGCACTGACACAATCGTCCCACGACCTCGGTCTTGCATCGCTCATACGCTTACGTGCCCTGCGCTGTGCGGAGTTCTGCGGTAGTCGGGCCAGGCAGTTGCTTGAGAGCCTTCACTTCCATCTGCCGTGCCTCCAGACTTGCTGAAACTGGCTGACGAGCATTTGCATGACGCTGATCGGGGAGGTTGAGGAACATCGTCAGCCGCAACTTGCCCTTGGCGTTTGATCAAATCTTTCCATATCGAGCACTGGTGCGCGATTATGTGCTCAATTCTCTGTCTTCTGGCTTGATTGAGAATCTTCAAGCGCCGTGGGACGGCACCAGATCGTGGCGTCGGTATCCGCCGGACGAATGGTGCGGGTGGGTACTTGCGCAGGACGCCACGAAGATTGGTCGTGTGTAGGGCCGAATTTGATGACAGCAATGACCATGTTACGACGTGGGAGCACTGGTAGTTTCACACACAGAAAAACGACCAGAGAACAGTCTAATATATACACTCTCTCATAAGACCTTGATGCGGTAAAAAGTCTTGAGTGAATTGCTCTCCATCTAGTCCATCTCCTGTATGATGAGAAGAATATATGCCAGTTACAACCCATACACACTGCCATCATGCATACTAGCAAATATAGTAAAAAGGTGTTCAGGCACAGTTCCAGCATGAGAGTAGTAACCGCCAGGCAAATCCATCGACGAGGACAGTCGTACTACTTCTTGACACATGATGAATTATCGGTTTGTGCTACGCCCATCTCGTCACTCTGTCAGGTCGGCACGTCTTCTGCTGAGCCTTTTCTTAAACCACTTTCACTCGTTTTCGCTCTTCGTAACAGTCTCCATATATCCCATACTCATCATGGGCGAACCTCATCCCTCATTGTGGACCCCCTTCAAGTACAAATCATGTTCTATTCTGGCAGCAAACACTCGAGGGCACTGTGCAAGGCATGCCAGTCTCGAGTGACGCTGATTGCTACCGACCTGGGCTCCTTCCTCTGTTTGACAGGTCTGGATCAGGGTCCAGTATCAACCTCACTATTGGCTTCTTCCACGTTCTACGCTTTCCCTCATGATTCCCCACCTCCACCGCCTGGCCATTCACCTCAACCCCACGCGACGCCGGACTATGCAAGTAGGTACAGGGCACATCAACCTGATCGACCTTGTTAATCAGATTCAGAGCCGTACCACCATGCCAAAGCGGCGTCTGCGCACAATGAACTGCACTCACGTCGACATGGATAGGATCTACGGGCGCGACCAGCATTGCTTTGTTTGCGGACGCTCCCCCTCAATTGGGTTCCTCTACGAATGCCGGCAGGACCATGATGGGGAGTCACTCTACGATATTCTCTCACCGAAGGAGGACAGGATTGAGGTGGTCAGGTCGACTCTGAGAGTGGAGCTGGAAGTCATTGGACTGAGCAAGAGCGTTATTCTGACTGCGGAGCAAGGCGACTATACTGCAGCTCAGCTGGAACTGCTGAAGAGCCAGAAGCGAGAACTCAAGCAGATCATTGCAGATACACTCCAAGCCAGCCAGATCAACGATGCGGTGGCAAAGCTGGCAGCGACTCCATCAAACCATGACGGCGCGTTGAGCAGCAAGCCGACTATGGACACAGTGAGTAGTCTCGACCGATATCATTCTCAACAGCAGCCACCATCTACCCTCAAAGACGGCAACACGCCATGCTAACAACGCAGAAGATTCCACCGATCTGCGCCTTCAAAGCTTGCCACACATGTCGCCCGTACTATCGAGATCGCGTGTACATCTCCTTCCAAGCCGTTCTTGCAGCCGACTTCGCGCCCATGAAACCAAACGACACACAGCTACTCCCCACCAAGTCCGCGCAAATCATGCGCAACATCGGCAACACCGTCCGTCCCTACAGCCCCACGCACCCTGCCTTACCAACCTCGTCGACGGGCTCCCCACAAACAGCATCCACCACCTCCGAATCAAGCGAGCTCACCTTCAAGACGACACAAACAGACCTCGACCAGATCCGCGCCCAACGCCGTCCCCGCCGCCGCTTCTACAAGATCGGCCACCGCTCCTCAGGCGAAATAGCACGCGACCTCTCCCGCCTCCCCCCGTTCCTCACCCCCCATGGCCTCAAAACAGCGATCCAGGGCATCTTCCGTCCGAGCAGGGAGTCGAGCTCCGAGGGCTCCAACATCACTCTCCCGCTGCCACGAACAGGCACAGTGCGCGATCTGCACGGCACGGAGAGCGTGGGCGAGTTCGACTTGGGGGCTTTGCGTCGGGTTCGGCGCCAGAAAGAGCGGAATGAGATTCGGAACGGGACGTATGTTGGCGGGTATGAAGATGTGGTGATACCTCCGGTAACTGGTGCTGCGCTCTTGGGAATGGAGGACACGGGCACGTCTGATTCATCGGACTTGTCTGTTTATTCGTGTGTTTCTGAGAGTAGCGAGGCGGATGGCAGCGGCGATGGTACGGAAGGCGCTGGCGAAATACATGCGCTTGACGTGCCTGGGAAGAAGAACGCACCGATGACTCATGTCGACGAAGTAAACGACGATGATGAAGATGAAGATACGGAGATGGGGGATGGTCTACAGAGCATCATGGCGCAGAGGTGAAGGCTTACATGGGAGTTTCTGGGGTAGAACATATGGAGATGGAATAGGGATAGGGGTAGGGCGTGATATCGCGCGTATCAAGTCGGTGTTCGACACCACTTTCTCGAGAGGTATTCGTTTGGAGAAGTGAAGAGTATAGAAGCTGGAAGGGGGCAGGGATATGAAGTGCCAGTAATGATTTAGCAATTAGCCCTTTTGCATGACTAAGTAGGAAAAAGGGGTGGTGCGTGTATTATATTTAATGAGAAGTAAATCCATGTACAATTTCCTTTAGAGTACATAGTTTTTATATGCATGTACTTTACACATACAATCATAATCCTATATTCTAATATCATACAGCAACCACCCAACCACAATATCATACACCCCCCTCTCACCTACCGCCTCCCAAGTTTCCACCTCGCAATCCTCCCCTGAATATCCTCCCAGCTAAACTCCTTCCTGCGCAACCCCTCCTGCTCACCCTCCTGCAACACCACCGTCGGCGCCCCACTCCCCTCCCCCACATTCCGCACCTCCCCACCAAACACCTGCCTCGCCACACGCCTCAAATCGCCTATGTTCACATCCTCAATCCTCCCACACATCTCCCTAACCCCCACCTTCCGCCCATGAACCTGAACCTGCCTCCCCAAATCCTCCAACTCCACCATCCGACTCTCCAGATTCATAAGCAACGAAGAGCGAAGCTGATTCTTCGCGCGTTGAACCTCGCCCTGTTTGAGCGCCGCATACCCCGTTTCATCGCCCAGGGACTTGAGTTCGCGACACATGACCTCGAGCATTTGTGCGACTTGGGCGGGGGCGCACGAGGCTGCGATGCCGAAGAGGCCGCTGTCGGTGTAGCTGTGGTTGAAGGCGATGCAGGATTCTACCCAGGCGTGCTGGTTGAGCACGTTGGTGTAGAGGCGCGAGTACATGCCTTTTCCGGGGCCGCCGGCGGAGAAGGAACCGCCGCCGCCGAGGAGGGTTTGCAGGGTGGCGAGGGCGTAGATGTCCGGGGAGGAGATGGGGAGGGCTTCGAAGGCGAGGTGGATGTGGGAGAGGCGGGGGAGGAAGCCGCCTGTGTAGTGGGAGGGTGTTGATGTGTCGATTGGGGGGAAGTTGAGGTCGGGGGTGGTGGTGATGGAGGCGTTGGAGGTGGCGGATGTGGAGAGGTTTTTGAAGAAGGGTATCTTGGAGAGGAGGGTGGAGGTTTGTGGGGGTGCGCCGGTGGGGGTGGGGTGGTCGGCTGTGAAGGGTTGTTGCTGCGAGGTGGAACTGGTTATTGTGCTGTCCTCGCCGGCGCCGATGAGCGATGGGCCCGTCCCTTTTTCCATGTCGCCAAAGTACTCTTCTGTGAGGCGCACGGCCTCGTTGTGGTCGACGCCAGCAAAGGCAACGACTATCCTGTCGGGCTTGTAGAATTCTTTGCGGTAGGCCTCGACGACGTCCCGGTTGATGAAGGGCAGGCGCTCCTTGGGACACAGCAGTGGGTTGCCCAGCGTGTTGTCGCGGTATGCGGCCATGTGTACCAGCTCGGGCAGGATCAGCTCGGGCTTGCTCCAGATCTCCCCAATCTCGTAGTCGGCCGTCTCCAGCTGCTGCTGCACCTCGTCTTCGGTGATGCGCGGGTCCCGTATTGTCTCAGCGAGCACGCCGACAGCATTGGGGACGGCCGAGTTGAAGGTGGCCGACTGGTACATGAGCGACTCTCTCGACGAGGCGCATTGGATGTTCCCTCCCAGCGACTCGAGCTTCTCGGCCATCTGGTCGCCTGTCGTCGAGCGCGTGGACTTGAAGGCGAGGCGGTCGACAATGTGGCTCACGCCTCGGAGCGCATCGTTCTCGTACCGCGAGCCCGAGTCGACGTAGACGCCGATGCCGGAGAAGTGACCGGGCAGGGCCTCGGTGGCGACGCGGATGCCATTGGGGAGGGTCGTGATCTGGTCGAGCTCGACGGGGTCCTGGCGCTGGTGTTAGCAGGGCGTGTACGGGTGCGTGGAGCTGCACACCTTTTCCTCGGCCACGGTCGATGCCAGTCTTCTACCGGTGCATGGCGCTGGGGTTGTGAGGGCGGACGAAGCGTGTGCCAGTCCGCGGGCTAGTGGGCGGACAGTGCGAGGTCTGAGCATGGTTGGTGGGCGCCGTGGTGAGTGCCCGCGAAAGTTGCTCCACGTTCGGAATTTTGGTTGCATGACATAGCACCGATCGACATCACGTGACCATGACAGATCTGCACATGCCCGCCAGCCAGGCGTGTGTCTGAGAGAATGCATGGGCCGGGGGTTTGGAGCTCGTCGACCATGATGCGAGTGAACGTGGTGCTGAGGGCGGAGAGGGCGCGTCTAGACACGGCCTCGAGCAAACCCCAACATTGACTGCCCAAGAGATCGATAAAGCGCGCGGCGTTGCAAGCATGGTTCTTTGCATGTTCTTCTCCTAGCGTGCATGCGTGTGTCGACGTCCAGACCCAGACCTCACCGGTTTGTCTTCGCCGTGAGGTTGTTAGTACTTCAGCCTCCTCTGCACGCCGCCTTAGCCGTTACCCCGTCTCTTGTCCAGCAGGCTGCTCGGCACTACCAGCACGCAAGGCTGTGCACTTGATGAACTGAACTGACCGTTTGGTGCTGCCCGTCCAACAATCACCGCGCCCCAGCATTCACAGCCGCCGCAACGCGCCTCAGGCCCCAGTCGTGTCCCGTGCCGTATTATGTTCACTGCCCCGGCCCCAGGTCCCCCTACCGTCTCCGCGACTGCCACAGCAACCGCCAACCCGCCTCCCCAGCGCCCCCACGGCCGGCGAGGCTTCAGTTTTCTCAGAGGCCTGCACCTGCACTCGGGCCCCGCTGACGATCAACCGCCACGTGAGGACGTCAGAGTCCCCAAAACACGGGCACGCGCTTTAACACACACCCCGCCCGCCTCGCCCGCCCACGCGCCTGTGCCCTCGGACGTGCCTGTCCCCCAGAGCCCCGTTACTCGACCTGCGCCCTTGTCCAGACGCCAGACAGCACCCACCTCGCCCGCACCCAATCCACCGCCGCCTACCCACGACGACGACAACGACGACGACAACTCCTCCTCCTCCTCTCCCCCTGCCACCCCGACCGCCGCCATGACGAGAAACCGCGCAGAGACGACGACGCCCCAGCTGCTGGTGCGCAACAACACGGGGCCGACACCGGCATCCGCCCCCGGCCTGTCTGCTGGGGATCCCGCCGAGGGCAGCGCAGAGGGCCCCGTCTCCGCCAGACACCTCCCCTCGATTCGCTTCATCCCCCACACCGACCCCAGAGCGGGCAGGCCCTCGCTCCAGTTCCCCACCATTACCCGCACACTACCCGATGAGTCGGCCATCATTCGCGTGGGTCGTTACTCGGAGCGAGACAACGCCCCTGAGATATCGTCCAACGTGCCCTCTGCAGCCGCCGTCGGCTTCAAGTCCAAGGTCGTCAGCCGCAAGCACTGCGAGTTGTGGTGCATGGACGGCAGCTGGTATGTCAAGGACGTCAAGAGCTCGTCCGGGACATTCCTCAACCACATCCGCCTGAGCCAGCCCAACGTCGAGTCGAAACCCTTCAAGATCAAGGACGGCGACATCATCCAGCTGGGCATAGACTTCCGCGGCGGCGAAGAGATGATCTTTCGATGTGTCAAGATTCGCGTCGAGTGCAATCGCGGCTGGCAGCAGGGGCTCAACAAGTTCAAGTAAGTTCTGCAGACTTTGTATCACAATCCAGCCATTGACCGCGCACAGCAAACAAACCCACCAGCGCCTGCGGAACCTGTCCAAGAAAAAGGACAGCGACAGCGCGTCCACACACACCTCCGAGTGCGCCATCTGCCTCATGTCCATCGCAGTGGGTACCCATGTGACGTCATTCCCCTACCCCAGACTGACAATTCCACACAGCCTTGCCAATCTCTCTTCGTCGCGCCCTGCTCGCACGTCTGGCACTACAAGTGCATCCGACCGATCCTCAACGGGCCAACATGGCCCAACTTCCTGTGTCCCAACTGCCGCGCCGTCGCCGACCTAGAAGAAGACGTCGATGACCCCGACGACCTCGAAGAATGGGAAGCAGACATGGCAGAAGAAAGCGGTGGCGACGCCGACGCCGACGCAGCACACACAGACCAACAGCTCACACCCCGCCCCTCAGCCGCCCTCTTAAACGGCAGCACCACCACCAACGAGACAAGCACAACCGACCCAACCACCCTCGCACACCTCCAACAAGCAATCTCAAACATCTCCCTATCAGACTCCCACGGCATCCCTGCCCCCCAAACCCCACACCCCCGCATCTCATCCCCCTCAGACAACCTCACCTCCTCACAACCAGTCTCCATCAACGTAAACGGCGCAAACGACTTCTCGGGCCTAACCCCCATGTTCGCAAACACAATGGACGGCCTGACCCCCGGCGGCGTGCACGACGGGCCCATGACCCCGCGGAACGACGCGGGACCTTTCGTGCTCGACGGCAGCGCGGGGCGCGCGGCGGGGGCGCGGCTTAGGGATGCTGCGCTCGCGGGTGGGGATGGAGATGCGGAGGGTGAGGGTGGGGATGAGCCGCCGAGTTTGCCGCCTATACGGTTTAATTAGTCGATGGACATGTCTGTCTGGATGGGCTGTTGTTCTGGTTTCGGGGGTTTTGCATCGGTGTTTCTTTTGGGGGCGAGGGGCGTTTGTTTGGCTGGAGGGGGCGTTTTGGGATGGGGGGTTGAATGGATTGGACGGGATTGAATGGATTGGAGTGTTGTGTGCGGTGATATCGTATATCTGGTGGCTTTGCTGGAGGGGGGGAGTGAAACGATGGATGTATTATGCGTAAATGTCACTTCTTTACTGGGCTCTTCTTCGTGCGCTATGGGAGGTGTCGTGGGGGCTTGTTGTGGAGTCACTTGGGTCTTGTTTTCTTTCTTGGGTTGTCTTGGTGTTGTTCTTATTTTGGAGCGCACTTTTCTTTGTGCGGAATAATACACACTCTCATATCCATGTATATGTGCATATTGATGTCTTGATGTCTTAATTAACTGCGCTATGCATGTCTTCCAACTTCCCACCCCGACAGTGCAGTGATCTAGGTACAAGTATAAAGCTACGGACACACTACGTTGCTTGCAGCATAACAACCACCAACTGCAAGGTTGGATACCCCGGGGACAAAACGCTAGTAGACGTATACCGATAACACCCAAAGCGAATAGGTTTCACACTATTCTTGTGTGTAGTAGTCAAGCAAGCTATTGCAACAATCTCTCTGCGTGCAATCTAATTCCTGGTCTTTCGATCACAAGACAAGACACGATAGCACAAAACTTCAATTCAGGAATCATATTCATGAGCTACCAGAGTCCATCCGCAGACGAACCAGTCCGCACCCACGCAACCCCCCAATCCCGCCCAGATCAGAACACCGTAGCATTCGTGAAACCCCGCTCATTCACAAGTCCGTAGCCTTAACGTGAGACGGTTTTGCTTCGCCCTCGTATGCCTACCTAGTACCTGCCACCGGGGGGAGGCGCACCGTACTGCTGCTGGCCGGGATATCCGCCCTGTGGCGGACGCTGCTGGCCGTACTGTTGTTGACCCTGTGGCGGGTACTGGCCTGGTGGTGGAGCGCCGTATTGTCCTTGGCCACCCTGCTGAGGAGGATACTGGCCTTGTCCTTGGGGAGGGTATTGGCCTGGTGGGGGAGCGCCATATTGACCCTGTGGGGGACCACCGTACTGGCCCTGAGGAGGACCGCCGTACTGACCTGGTGGAGGCTGCTGTCCGTAGCCCTGCTGTCCGTAGCCCTGCTGGCCGGGAGGACCGCCGTAGCCGCCAGGGGCTGGGTGGTTGGATTTCTCATCCTTGGAGTCGTAGCTGTGATCAATGGCACCGAGGAGGAGCTTTACAATCCACAGAGACGGGCTTAAATCTACCGGTCTTTGTCGTGTTAGAGATGCGTTGAGAATCAGTTTAACTATACTTACGGATTGGCGCGCATCATCTCTTCCTGCTCGTTCTCGAAGTCTATGATGGAGTCAGCAATCAAAATCGAAAAAGTGGAAAGAGTGAGCATACTTGATGTGCAGTCAATCTGTCTGCCTATCTGAGGATCCTCATCAAGCTTTCCAAGGAACTTCTTGGCCATCTCATCGTTTCCGACCTGTGCGAATTCGAATGCGATACCTCCATGACCGTACTGTGGGAAGCGCGACTGGAGGGTATCGAATGCGTAACGGATAGTATCGAATACAGCGTTCTGAGGCTCACCAGCCGGCTGACCATCTGTGACGGAGATGACCAAGACTGGCTTCTTGAGCTGACCCTGAGCGGCCTTGTTGAGTACTATGTCGTCAATGACCTTCTTTCGGAGCTGGGTACCCATAGGTGTAAGACCCTTGAACTGAACACCACGCATGATCTGTTCAATCTGGGATTCGTTCGTTACGCCGTCGTGGAGGGGTCGTCCCTGCTGGTCACGCATGCCAGCGAGATCAGTGTTCATGAAACGCAGAGAGATACCGTCGGCGTCGAAGAGTGTGGCCGCAAAAGAGACTCGCTCCAGAATAAGGCGCAAGTCCTTGATACGGCTACCTTCCTCCTCGAACTGCATGGAACCACTGTCATCTGCCTGAAGTTAGCTACCACAGTACTTCTTCCATCGTTTCGCATTTTGGATTTACCAATGTAGATGACAATGTCGTAGAGAGCCAACTTGACAATGTCGTTGGCAATCTCTTTTGCGATACCCCAGCGCTGAATGATCTGGTTGATTTTGGCCGGAGCTTGGTTGGCGATCTGGTCAAGAATCGGAGAGTTTGGTGGGTAGAAGTTCTGAAGTCCCTTCTCCTGGATACAGGCTTGCAACAACTGCTTGTAACCGGCAATCTCATTAGGACCTGCCTGGACTTGCTGTGGCTGAGGAGCTCCATATTGCTGTCCTCCCGGTGGGCCGCCCTACACAATTTAGTCAGTCAAGGCCCAAAAAACTTGAAATACATCGACTCGTGCTTGCTCTGCATCGTCATAAAAGAAACATGGTTAAAAGCGAAATATCATTTGGAAGTACGAACTTGAGGCGAGTATGGTGGTACCTGGCCAAAAGTTTGGCCAAACTGTTGTTGTTGACCGTACGGAGGTTGTTGTTGCGCCTGGCCCCACTGATTCTGCTGTTGCTGGTAGGGTTGCTGAAATTGTTGCTGTCCGTATGGTGGCGTAGGTGGTGGTTGGTTCCATTGATTTGGGGCTGCCTGTCCTGGGTATGGAGACTGGGGTTGCTGAGGTTGAGGAGAATACATGGATTGGGGCATGTGACCAGGTGGCGGTGGAGGAGGGGGCCTGTTGTATCCCATCTGTCCTTGAGGGTAGGGCGAAGATGTTCCATATGCGCTCGGGTTCTGAGGCTGAGCATACGGAGACTGTGGCGGCGCCTGGGAGCCGGGACGAAGAGGTTGCGGAGGTTGCGCGCCTTGCGCATAAGGTTGTGGTTGTTGTTGACCTGCGTAGGCCTGATAGCTGGCGTTGTTACTCGCCATCTTGCTCGAAAGAGGCATCGTAGTTGCCAAGAGGTGAAATGTGTGTCGATTCCTAGGATGACGTCTAAGAGATAGTAGAGGCGCAATAAGAATACCAACAGCGATGTAGGTCCGAGTGAAGTGCGTGCGACGACCTAGTATAGTGTGGCGCGGGTGTTCGGATGGTGATGACGATGCAGAGCAAGGAAGTACAAAGAAAGAGAACTGCTATGCTTACCTGAGGAGGTGCGCCGGCACCTGGTGGGCCGCCTGGGTAAGCCTGATATTGCTGCTGTCCGGGCTGCACCACGTTAGTGAATGCTTGGGGCAAGGGCTTTACGAACTTACGTAGCCACCCTGTCCACCCTGTGCGCCCTGGGGAGGGTATTGTCCTGATGTCGCGTTTGCTGCGGCCATCTTGCTTGCCAACTGACACACCTGTTAGAACTGCAAGCCGCGGCGCCCAACGATGACGACGCGGGGCTTTGGAGGGGCAGCCAAGAGGCCGGAGGTGGACGCTCAACTTACACCCATCTTTTGGAATTGTTTGCTGATATTTTAAGCTGTAAGGCTGTGTGGAAGATCGAGAAGGTTGATTTCCGAGGTTGGAAAATTGGAAGCAGATGCGGTAGGTAAATAACTGATGAGTAGGCACCCTGTTTGACGAGGTGAGAGAGCTGGAGCTGTCATCATGGCCTGCCTTATGTCTACTCAGCCACAGTGTGGGTCCACCTACTCGACGGACTCCACCAGCCGTCATCGGGTGATCGGCCTCATTGAGGTGGTTGGGCATTGCGCGTTTGTTGTGGTGTGGGAACAGGGTTGTGAAAGAAATTGCGCCACGCCGAACGAGCGGGGCATGCGCATGCAGAACGTCCAAACAATTATTGCGAACGCGTTGCGAAGATTGCATTACATTGTTATTGGTCGCAAATACCGCAGCTATGCGACTATGTTGGCACTGCAGTCAGCCAGTGTCAGCCGGGTTGCAAACGACCGAATTCATCTGGCGCATGCGCTGGTCAGTCAACCGTGTTCAGCTGAAGCTCAGCTATGCTGCTTGCGAGTGTGGTAGTTTTATAGCGTGTTTTGAAAGATATGTCTGATGGCTAGCGAATAGAATAACATGACACTTAACAAGCTTTCCGCAGCTCACGCATGAGCTGATCGTACCTCCTGACTGTCTCAAACTTGCTCTGTCAACTCGTCAGCACAGGCAACAGCATTCTCACAGAAATGCCACTATTGTAAACAGGCAGCAACCCAGATAGCTACTGTCATGTTCCTCAGGCAACGTATCTCGTGTCACCGATAGGTTCAATCTACACCAGATGATCTGTGGAAATTCATACACCGGGAAAAACATACCTGTCGAGTAGACTAAGAGTTAAAGCCTGGGGAAACGTGTGTTGGAGTGTTGGAATGCTATGTCGATTAACGATTCATATCTGCCATCTGGGTTTAGCCTTCTCGACTCTTGTGGGATCGTTCAACACTGGGTTTAACGTTAAGTCGAGTGTTTGTGGTAAGTCTTAAATTGATTGGACGTGAATATGTCACCATTTATGTTGTTCAGGAGTCTTGTACTCATGATAACGAGGAGAAATAAGACGGCTGTGAAGTGACGTGAATGGTGTTTTGATAGACACAGGTAGCTTTTCAATAGTATTCATGCACACCATCTCGCCATGGAACAAATTCCACGAAATTAAAATCAACAGTTAACTTGAGTCCAAGGTATCATAGCACTGAGGTACCAAGAAACATCTGAGACAGAACAAGACGCGAAAAGAAACCACGACTTATGCGCAGGGGCCGGCTCGTTCAAAGATTTCATTAAGGTATGTTAGTACTTCAGTTAGTGTGGCTGGATGAGACAAGAACGCAACCACATGTTGCATAGATACAATGTACATATTATACAAGCATACCGACTACTCGAAGTGATTCTGACGTCTTGGATCGGGCGCACAATATCCTCGTCGAAAGAGGAAGCCTTGTAACCGATCTTCCATTCTTGCAAACTACACGGAGGTCAGTAAGTTGTTCAAAGTTCACTTCTCGCGTTCACGATAAGCCTTATGATGATTGTAAGTTTAACTTACAAACCCAGGTGGCGTCACCCCATCTCTGACCCAAACTCCGTAGCTACCCATCATGTTCGCCATCATGATATCAGTGGATAGGCGATCGCCGACGACTGCAATCTGATCAGGCCTTGTTACACCAGAATCCGGATGCGCCTTAAAGTAAGCCATAACTTCTTCTTTGCAGCCAGGCTTCTTCGTGGAATGCCGGAGGACTTTTACACCAGTGTTAGCTTCCAGCAACACTGATTCTTTCTGGTCCTTATCGGAGTCCGTGCCTGCTGTGTTGGATACTATGAGTAATTTTGAGCCGGGGTAAGCATGCTTAAGACGTTGGAAGTGGTCCTGCGGCATTGGTCAGACAAACTCCTTGGATGGAACAGACTGCAAGGTAAGATTGGATGAAAAGAATGGTAACGTATAGACATTCAGTACGTATGAGACTATGCCGAGACGTAAAACGATGGAGCTGTAGCGAAGACTTATAGGTAACATCTGGGGCTTGCCCTACCTGATAAGACTTGTACACCTCATTAGTATGCGGAACAGCAAAACAATTGTCCTTGTCGATTACTACCGCCTGAATGTCCGTCTCTTTCCCGCTTCCTGCTGCCCCATCTTTTCTTGGAAATGCTCTCGACAAGGGAATTGGCAGCTGATTGAACGTCGATACTGTGTGCTGCGGGAGACAGAGAGTCGGATCACGTAGCAGCCGAAAGACGTTCAGCGTCCCGGAGATATTCATTGAGAGAGATGCGAGGTGCAGAAGGGTGACAGACGAAGTGAACGAAAGATTGGGGATGACTAAGCGATAGGTCAAAGCTCCCAATCCGAATATCCTCACCTTTCGTGAAGCGCGATGCTCCAACACGCCCGCGCCCCGCAACGACGTCACTCGCTATCCCACGTACCAAAGAACTGACCGCGACATCGACTCGGAAAACAACTTGTCCCGAATCTGTGACGCCTCTCCCTGTCACGATCGTGACCGAGCTCACCGCACTTTGCGACCACACCACGAAGCTTTTCCTGCACCTACGACAATTTGCGCATTATAAGTCCGAGGCTCTGTGGAAATAAGTCAGGTCGCCATCATGACAAGCACAATCGGTATTCCCATCAAGCTCCTCAATGAGGCAGCTGTACGTCCACCGCCTAACTCCACCTCATGGCTACGCTGACAGCGTCTAGGGCCATATTGTCACGCTTGAGATCACATCCGGCGAAGTGTACCGTGGCAAGCTCATCGAAGGTGCGCGATATAAGGATATATCCTATGTCGAGATTTGAAAGCTAACGGTATCACAGCTGAGGACAACATGAACGTACAGCTCAAAGACATCACAGTGACCGCGCGTGATGGTCGTGTCTCGCATCTTGAGCAAGTTTACATTAGGGGCAGCCATGTGCGCTATTTCATCGTCCCCGACATGTTGAGGTACGAAAACTTCTCTGGATGATTGGGGAGCATCATGCTAATAGTTTACAGAAACGCGCCTATGTTCCGATCGAGGGGTATCAGAGGACGCGGTGTCGGTCTCGCACGTGGCAGAGCGACTGTCATCAGGGCGAGAGCTAGCGGAAGGGGTGGACGTTGAGATACGAGACGGGGTATGGATACGATATAAAGAAACGAGAATCGCACACCGGCTAGGGGAAGACTCGCGCACTTGAGACTTGTCCAAAAGATATCAGGATAGGTATGGCGTTCATTTCTGTCTACAAAGGAAATCCGCTGAACTTTGAGATAGCAAGCTCTCCCAACTTGGTGAGCGCTGGGTCCAAAAACGAGGGACTTGGCAGCAAATTGAAACATGCAATAGAGTGAAGTAACCAAATTTGTGCATCTCCAATTGAACTTCAGGTAATCGTGCACGCATCTTGCTGGTTAATCGTGCAGCAATGGAACGAAGTTCCGAGAATGGTCAAAGACTAGTGGGGGATCGAGGACCCCCGAAACTCCGCAACTCTGCACTGCTCTCCCTTCACCACACGCTATGGAGATCAAGAACCCACGGCGCATCCTAGCTGTAGGGCCGCCAGACTCGGGCGTGCTCAAGGTGCTCAAAAGTATGTCTCATCATCCAAGTTTTTGGTCGATAATCCGCTGACTTCACTAAGCGCTCACAGGTTCCGCACCTGAGCCTACCGCAGAGACAGTCGCCGGTCTCACTCACGAGTGGCGTATCGAAACCAAATACTATACTGCCACCGTTCCGATCTGGATTGACGAGATTTCCAACGTCACCGATTGGCAAGCAGAGTTCACTAAACCTGAAGCGCGCGAAGTGGTCACAGCGTTGGGAGCATGGATGTATTGTTTTAAAAAGCCCGTGGAGGAGAAAGATGTGGATACGATCAAAGAGACAATGCAAGCTGTTGCCAAAGTGATCGAACGCGCGTGCGGCTTTGGAGGTGACATGGTATGTCTTGCTGTTGCCATGCCGCAGTCCACAACACCGTACCTGGAGAAGAGCGGCGAGGAATGGGAAGAGACATGTATGGAATATGGGTTCGAATACGTCGACTTTGAGGCTAAAGGGAAGAATGAGTTTGGCGAGGCGATGGGTGTGCAACGTGTAAAAGAAGCCTTGGAGGCTTGCGAGTGGGAGGGTGTTGATGCACTAGACTTCGGTGATGAGGAAGAAGGGTTCGAAGGCAGCTTTGCGGCAGAAGAGGCGGAGATGAACATGGAGCTGTTTGGGATGAAGGATGCATTGCATGGACTTGACAACGGAGATGGAGGAGACGAAGCGGGGGAGGACGACGTTGAGGAGTTGGAGGCGATGATGCGGAAGATGGTCGCTATCAAAGGTATGCTTATGCGACGCATCAATAGGATGTTGTATTGTGTATGGAGACTGACTTCGACAGAAATGGGTGAAGGCATGGAAGAGGCAGAACGGAAACGTTTTGCGGCAAAAGCGATCAATGACCTGATGAAAGATCTCTAGTCGTCCTGGCTTCAAAAGTACGCAAACATCGCCCCGATACATCTTGAGAACGAAACAGTCCCACGTACCGAGCTATTTACCCCGCAACCCCGCTACGGCTTAAACAATAAATACCACCCTCCAAATATGTAATCCCGCTTGTTACAACACCAACGCCTCTGTTTAGAAGCATAGCACCATAAGCACAATTCTCGCGCTCGAACCCCCATCATGGCATCGAATCAAGAGATAAGTAACGCTAGGTTCAGCGTAGAAGCGCGCGAATGGGATTCGAACAAAAAGCATGTGGAAAGCACCAATAATGCATTTGACGCCATCAAGCGCTATGTCCCCGCATTTCAAAACGGGAACAACAAAGGTACAATAACCAGTTCATATCGATCCATTGTGTTGAATCACGAAGCGGATTGTCAAGCAATTCGATTGGATGTGTGACTGACCCTCTCCAACAGACCTCGATGTGTTAGAAATTGGCTCCGGAACTGGTCTCCTCTCTTTCCTCCTCGCCCCCCACGTCCGCTCCCTGATCGGTGTCGATACAGCTGAGGGCATGATCAGCGCTTTCAACACCAAACTCCAAGATCTCCCCGACACGGCCAAGGCGAATCTCTGCGCGATAAATCATTACCTCGAAAGCGTCGAAGATGCACCACTCCAAGATGCCGCCGCTTACCTCGCGCCCCCTTCTTCGACGCCACCCTACCGCTTTGACCTCATTGTTTCGCATCTCACATTACACCACATCCCGTTATTGCCTAATATCTTTGCTACGATGCTTGGGTGCCTGAAACCCGGGGGTATGATTGCGTTGACGGATTACGAAGACTTTGGACCGGAGGCTGTGCCGTTTCATCCGATTAGTAAGAGAGAGGGTGTGGAAAGACATGGCATTGACAAGGACGAGGTTTGCAATTTGCTTATGAAAACTGGGTTTAATGAGGTGAGAGTTGAAGAAGCTTTCGTGTTAAGGAAAGAGGTTGAGGCTGAGGGCGGGAAACCTGCGAGGGAGATGGATTTTCCGTTTTTGGTATGTTTGGGTGTGAAATGAAGAATCCAAAGTGTTGTGCATGATCTAGGGTGTACCGTCGTCACCGGGTGTCGATGCAAAATGGGCAGGCGTAGGCGGAGATTTTGTATCGTCGGACGAGGGACGTCCGGAGTTCTGGCCTCATGCTTCAGCAACGGTACAAGCTAGTCATTGGCTGTGTTGCTAGATGCTACAATCCAGATCAATATGCGTGTAGCACTTAAGGCACTATTGTGTTTGTTGTAGGTGATGTGACACGCTCCCGGAACTCTTATGAAGTGATATGTGTTATTTGACCTGTGTCGGATCTTCACTTTCTTTGGCAAACAAGGTCAGCAGAGGTAATCAAGGGATACTGCAATAGATGGGACGGTTCTTGAGACAATCCATTGAGCAAATATGATCTATTCAAGTACACCTTGATCTCGAAAGATCAGAGAAAATAATCAAGGTCGATTCGCAATTGCAGGTACTCGTGAGAAAGATGATGCTGAAGTCGCACGGGCCGGCCGGCAGAAGATCGGAAAAGAGCTGCACTCTGGACCACCCAGCCCGTACTTTCTCACAACCTCACGAAACATCAACTCTTTTCCATGGATGGAGCACAGAAAATTCAGAGAGTCTCTTTCTGTTCGCACCTCTCCCATTGTTGAAGGCTTGATCCCGCTAACGTTGAACAGTGCGATCGATGTCGCCACAAGAAGTTGAAGGTTGGTGTTCCCTTGCAAGAGGAGTTCGTAGGAAAGCATCAACTGCTAACTTCACTTAGTGTTCAAAAGAGAAGCCAGTATGCAGCCCTTGCGCGCATAGCGGGTCGCCGTGTCACTATTCGGGAAAAATCGTTAGATCACCTCTTACGAGAGCGCGAGTAACACCACACCTCGACTATCAGCCTTTCCACTAATATATTTGCAGATATCTGACAAGTGTTGAAAAAAGATTGCATAGCCTAGAGAACCTTGTCGCTCAACTTTTGCCTGGCGTCAATGTAGACGATGTGCTTGCGTCACCTGAGCTTGCGAAGACCAGCCCATCATTTACCGGGCCTCGAACACCTGAAGTTTTGCAAAACGTTGTGACCCCAAACGCCCAAGATGATGCTTCCGAAAGCGACCCGGTTATTCCTGAAGCTGTCCCAAATAGTGCAGACGGTTTCAACTGGCAAGAAGAGAATGTCGGCGTCAGCGGGTTGACAGACGGCATGGCCGCACTCTCAGTGGAACCCACTGGTGTAGGCTACCTCGGTAATGCTCTCCATCAATTGCATCATTTGAAAATCTTACCTTCTTCCAGGGTCTACGTCTGGAGTTGTGTTCCTTCGGTGTTTGCTCGACTGGGCGGGTTTCCTACATCAATCCCGAGCTCAAACACAGGCACAACGACAGGAACCTGCAAATCGGCTTATGGGACTCCTTCCTTCATCGCAGATTTCACACGCTGCCATTACGAACCAACTTGCATCAACTCTCATAGATGCCTACTTTAACGATTACCATGGCTGCTATCCTTTCGTACACGAGGCCACATTTCGTGCTCAATACCACGAGATCGTTCCTCGCCCGCCTCAGAAATCGTGGAACATGCTTTATCATGCTATTTTAGCGCTTGGAGCCTGGTGTCTGAACAACGATCAGATCGGCTTGCAAGAATATCTCTACCGTCGCGCCCTTACTCTTGGCCAACATGATTCTGTCTTTGAGACGGCAAATCTTACGTCTATTCAAGCACTGGTGCTGTTGAGTAATCTGAGTCAGAAACGAAATAGTCCAAACACGGGATGGAACCTCTTAGGGCTTGCTGTCAGGAATGCGCTCAGTCTGGCACTTCACAGAGAGCTCCCGCATTGGAATATTAGTCTGATGGAGCGTGAGGTTAGAAGACGAGTGTGGTGGATGATATACATCTTCGACAGCGGCGCTTCGATAACCTTCGGGAGAGCGGTTATGCTCCCAGACCAAGACTCAATGAACGTACATTCTGTCTTGAACATTGACGACGAGGTAAGTTGTCTTGAGCGTCTTCGCCGATCGATGCTGACTGCTGCTATCAGTCTCTTACCCCAAAGACTGTCGAGCTTCCACCGGAAACAAACGAACCTACACTCTACTCTTCCTTGAGGGTACAAAGTGACCTACACAGGCAAACCAATCATATTTCCAACCGCCTACTTGCGGACCCTGGGCTGTCTGCAGAAGCCGCTTTATCCATTAACGCTCAAATGGACACTTGGGCTCAGACCTTACCTCTCTACTTCCAGCCAACATATGAATCTCCTTGTAGATACCGTTGGTTCTTGTTTGCCAGATCTCGTATCTGGTGGAGATTCTGGAACCTCAAAATCATCGCTTTTCGGCATATCTTGTTGCGACGAGCCATCTCTGAAAGAGGGCAAATACCAGACCAAGTCGTCCAAGCTAAGCAAGAAGAATGCCAAAGAATATGCATCGAAGCCGCCCATTCAACGATTCTGTCGATACATCAGTACTCAATGCAGGGTCTCACAAGATTGGAGGGTTGGTATGCTACGTAAGTATTGCAAGGCTTGAACGTAGTTGGTGTAAATTGGTTCTGATATTGATTATAGTTACTTCCTCTTCCACGCAGCCCTGGTGATTACCTTGTGTATCATCAGCTTTCCCCAGTCCATCGAGATGCAAAGTTGGTACGCAGATGTCGATTTGGCAAAGAATACGTTCCGCGAGCATCTCATCGAAGACTCGCTATCAGCACGCTGCGTCGCTATTCTCGACCAAGTTGTTTCCAGCGACGACATTGACTCTGGCCTGTTCCAGGACGTACAACTGGACCGTGAGGCCTTGAGTGCGTTCCCGTGGTCAATTGAATCAAACGAGTTGTTCAACTCATTCGACTGGGACCTGACTTCCAGCGAGTACTGAGCACAGGTGTCTCGGAGCGCCGATGAGATGACTTTTTTGAGCATACGGTCGCAGTAGTATGTCAATTCTCAATGGTAACATCAGGCTTGATAAGCATTCTTCGTATCAGCTCGCCATTTGGAATGTCGTTCTCTTCCGCTCTTTTGATGGCGGCCAGCGCTGAAGTCTCGATACCTGCAGCGAGATGGCGTTGAGCAAGGCGCTCTTTCACTACTTCTATAGGTGCGTCGACAAACCACCTAGAAGGCGTCAGCTCCTAGTTTTTCAACACAAGATTGGAACAGCTCAAACCTCTCGTCGCTAAGTTCTGCGATTTCATTCCACGGGCTCTGGTTGAGGAGCGTGTAATTTCCTTCAATAACTATAATACGATTACGCGAAGAAACTGGAATCGCATCCTGCACCGGATCTTTGACGGCGTGATCGAAGCTTGGAACATGGACGAGAATTTCTGGCTCTTCGCCTGTCGTTACTGGCGTAGTTTTGAGCGTCTTGACAAGCTTCACAATAGCCTCGGCGTCGAATGTGAATGGAGCGCCGCGTCTTCTGAAAGCTAGCTCGGGGGCTTCAAAAGTTGACAAGGTTGCTCGAGTGTAATGAAAACCATCCTGTTACATTTTTCAGTGGGTAATACATTTTTCAACGTTCAATAAGCCTTACCATTGGCACGACAGCAACATCGTGGATGTTACGCAGCGCAAGCTCGGCCAGAAGCGCGTGGGATACAGTCGATTTGCCAGATCCTGGCACGCCTGCAAGCGCGATGAGGATACGCTGACGGGACGCGGAAGCGAGGAGCTTTTCGATGCGCCTGACCAGATCCAGTATCGCTTCGAGAAAGGTATCCGCTACTAGTTCTTTGGTCATGGTTGTGGTTCACCCAGCTGCAATAACGACAAGACTCAAAAACGTGGGCGTTGACTTTATGAAGTCTGGAAGATGAGATGGAATGATAAATTTCATGTGAAGCTGTACGGAAGAACAGAAGGCCGTTCTGTGGGGTCGGACGACAGATGTCCGAAACACTCAAAGTCATGCATCTCTACCTCATCTCACACGTCGAAATAGGAATGAGGTTGGGGTAGATTTTTCATGCGGGGAAACAAGGGCACATCTGAGATCTCGTCTTTTCTATGACACATGGGAGGTTCGGGTATCTGTGCTCTGCAGGCCATGTCGACTCGCGATCAGTTCGTGATAAATCGTGAAAGACCCACGGATTATATAAGATATGCGTCCTATTTATCGAGTAGTACTTTGATGTTACATATTGTGTTTGAAGTCTCTGCAGTCTCTATTTGCAGAGTGATAGTCCTGTTACTAAGTCGACTCTGTTGAGTACCTTCCTGATCGTGGACTGTGATGGTACTCGCGAATGATGATTGGCCGGACGCGGTCGTCTTACAGTGCACGAGATGATCATATTTTGAAATGCATGACATGCATCGCCCTTGTTACCTTTATAGAAGCAGCGAATCGAGGGAGAGATGAGGCGCACCGCCAATTGAGTTGGGATTGAGTATTCATTCGCGTTGTCTGTAGCTTCAGCAAGACAAAGGTGATATTCAGGCACGCACGACGAGTCGAGTCGCCGCGATCAACAATTCGTGCGGATGCTCGACCGAACGCGTGGAGACACGCAGCAGCGGTAGCGAAGCCAACCTAGTCCAGTTCCCCGCCCTCCTCGTGATCAGGCTCACGAAACATCAGCAGAATCCTACGAGAGCGAATGGACACCGGGAGCTTTTTACACGAGCACCTTCCCCTAACCGTTACCGTCGGCTCGACCCATTACGTACTTTTTATGACGCGCCGAACCCTTCCACAACTGCCCTCTCACTCCAAATACCGGCCGCTCGCCGCCAGCACCAAGACAAAAGCCGACTGTATCCATTCTTCGGTTTCCTGCGGGCTTCCTTCTCTCCGACTTCGGTGCGACAGCGCTTCGTGTCTGCGGATATGTCCACTTCCAACGCGTCGCCTCCTCCGCCTCCGCAACACACGCGGACGTACCAGGCGTGCATACCATGCCGCCGGCGGAAAGTCCGCTGTGACCTGTAAGTGATAGATGAGGTACTGTGCAGGCCTCCAGGCGTGCGAGACGCGCCAGCCGCGCTTTATCGGCAGCCTTGGTAGTACATAGAAGCATGACCTCGCAGCACAAGAGGATTAGGATATGGCTTGTACTTTGAATAGACAGTGCGCGAGTGAGTAGTCGTGGCTGACATTGTGTAGAGGCCCTGTCGACCACCCCCACGACCCGCCATGTGTGCGCTGCCGGCGAGAGAGCAAGGAGTGCTTCTTCTCGGCTACGCGCCGCAAGAGGAAGCAGGACGGCGAGGACGAGTTTGATGAGGTCGACGACTACGAGGTGCGCAACGGCCGGAAGCGGATGCGCAGCGAAGGCAGCCTGCCCGAGCCCCTCAACATCATCACGGCCAACAGCGCCGCCTTTGTCTCGCAGCCGCTGACTCCGGGCGGCTCCGTGGGGCGGCACGAGCCTCTGCGCCGCCCAACGACGTCTTCGAGCCACACGCACGTGCCGGAGAACGAGGAGGACCAGAAGGTGAACAACGAGACGGTGGCCACGCTGCAGGCGGGCGAGGTGTACAGCGGGCACGACGCCCTGAACCTGCTGTTTGAGGCGGCGCGCAATGGCGGCGGCATGGACGACCACCATCGCACAAATAGTGCCTCGAGTCTCCAGCGCCCGACGCTGGGCAGCACGCCGGGCTCGCAGACGTTTGCCAGCCCCCAGACGAACGCGACACATGCGCACACCAGCTCGCGGCCCACTGCAGAGTCGGCCGTCGACCCCGCCATCTCGCAGCCCGTGATACCAGACCCGCCCAACGAGGCTGCCTTTGCGGACGCCGTCCGGTCCTGGTCCAAGTTCCGCTTTGTGCGCGCAGGCTGGCTCACGGCGAAGGAAGCCATTGCTTACATCGACTACTTCTACGCCTATCTGTCACCCCTGACGCCAATCGTGGTGCCCGACTACCGCGACCATGCGTACCATGCGAAGCTGCTGAAGGAGGAGCCGATGCTGGTCATCACCCTGCTTACCATCTCGTCGCGGTATTCGCAGCCCAGTGGATCCACTACTGTGGGTGCAACATCTCGCGCGTACCTGATCCATGAGAAGCTATGGAAGTTCCTCCAGGGCATGATCGACCGCATGATCTTCGGACAGGAGCAATTTGGCGGCGGCTTCTGTGGCGCAGGACAGCAGCCTGGATCTGACGTCAACCCTCTGTCACGCAAAGGCCTTCGAACGCTGGGTACCGTCGAGAGTCTCATGTTGCTCACGGAATGGCATCCTCGTGCCCTGCACTTCCCGCCAGGGGACGACGATGACGAACTCGTCCTTCCTGACGATGTGCCAGTCGAGACAGGGCCCAAGTCTGACATGTACAGAGGTGTTGGTGATAAGCGCATCGACAGCTGGTTGGAGCCGTGCTGGCGGAGTGACCGTATGTGTTGGATGTTACTCGGCAACGCCATGACGCTTGCCTTTGAAATTGGTGTCTTCGACGAGACGAGCGAGACGGAATTCGAGGAGGCAAACCAACATCTCTCGCACGCGACTGTGAAAGCGTACTATCGGCGGAAGAACCATCTGCGAGACCTACTCATCATATACGTTACCCAGACTAGTGGTCGACTCGGATTGACGTCAATGCTGCCAAAGATCGAGCGTGACGAGAATTTGGCTGGCGGGCTGACGCCCATCGAATTGTACCAAGAGCGTGTGAGCCGCATAAAAGCTCCTCCACCGCAGTTCGGCATGCGTTCAGACGGTCAGCGCCTTCCGTTGGAGTCAATCGCGCATCAAGAGCGCCACGCCGTTCAGGACCTCGTCCTTGACTTTTGGACGCGCATAGCGAAGATCATGGAGATGGGAAACCTGAAGCTGTTCTCGAATCGGCGCAAGACGCGGGAACTGCTCAAGTCGGGAATGTACGAGGAGATGCTGCGGTTCTTCCAAGGGCCGCTCACGGACTGGAGGAACTGCTTTGATCGTGCTCCCCAAGGTGAGTCCCTTCTGTATTCCATGCTCATGAAGTTGCCATGACTGACATGACCAAGTTCCTACGCAACTCCGCCACATTCTCATCATCGAGTTCGAATACACGCGCGTGTACCTCAACTCTCTCGCCCTGCAGGCGGTGGTGGAACGTTGTACGCATAATACACCCATGCAAACTCCCGCCCAGCCCCACGGCCGGCCTGCCAACCCCGATGGTGGCGCGATTCCTTTCTCGACTTTAACACGATGGTATGCGAACGATAGACACTACATCAACGAAGTCATCGACGCCTCTCGCAACGTATTGAAGATCGTCGTCGATGGCCTCTTCCCAGGCGGCTACTTGCGCCACGCCCCCGTGCGCACATTCTTCCGCATCGTAAGCGTTGCCATCATCCTCCTCAAAACCTTCGCTCTCGGCGCCACAGAGGAAGACGTAGCCGTAAGTCTCGGTCTTCTAAGCGGCGCCGTCGACGCCCTCCGCACCAGCATCGTGGATGACGTGCACGTCGGCAACAGATTCGCAGACCTCGTAGAGACACTCACCCACCGCATCCGCAGCCGCTTCGTCCGCCTCGCAGCCAACGTCTCGCGAGCCGCGAGCAGAAGTCCCGTCCAACCACCCACCATGCCGCCGCCGTTACTGCCACAACATCAACAACAGCACCTCGCGCCGACATACCCTTCCTTCCAAGGCCCCCCAAGCAGCGCCAGTTCTCCCGGTCTCGGCCTCACTGCCAGCGGCCGCGCAACCCCCATCTCGCAGTCGCTATGGGGAATCTCCGCAGAACCATACGATCCAACGTCGAATAGCATTTCCATCATGCCGCCTCCGGGCTTCTCATCTTACAATAATCAAACCCCCAATGTAAATGGGAATGGGACTTCAGGCGGAGGCTGGTCGCAGTGGAATTCTGGCGCGTGGAATGGCACGGCGCAAGATCAGGATTGGCTTGCCCTTCCGCTCGATCCCTTGCTCGATCAGTGGGGCGCGGAGATCAATTCTACGGCTATGGGGCCTGATGTTGGGGGTATGGATATGCTGGATATTCTGCTGAGTATGGGAGGGCCGCCGGGTGAGACGTAGAAGAGAGTATTACCCTGTGTTTGTTTTTATTCTTGGGCGCGGAGTCTCGATGGTTATCAGGCTTTGTTTTTGTTTGTGTGTAGGTGGAATATTTGCGATACCCAGCCAATGTTTGGCTTTGGCTTGTTTGGACGGACTGGGGTTATTTATGTGCGAGGTGTTTACGGCGTGGGCAATAGTAGGCTCTTACGAAGGGGATGAAACGTTCATGATGTAGAGCTATGTGTCTATCTGATCTATATATATACTTCATGATGACATCCCGTTGTTTGCTCAAGTATTTGTTCATTCATGATCTTCCCTCGTTGACCACAGTCAGTTGACCCATCCCAGGACTCTCCGCATGCATAGCCGTTGTTTGGCAATCTAGCACTTGAAGAAGCAGGTCATATCGGAAAGCTATGTATCGTCAGCACGTCGTCGCATACATCAAAGTCACACATACCCTATAGTTCACACCAGTCTGCTCATCACACTGCATCTCCTGCTTCGTCCAAGCCTTCACATCGCACAGGCCACACGCCCGGTCATCATGCTTAGTCGCCGTGTCCCAGTAACATTCATCGAAGCGAAAATACGTCCGGTCATCGGAATGGTAAAGCAGATGCAGGCCCGTGCCGATGTTAGTCAACATGATGTGGCGTTCCTGGATATCGCCAGCGCCCTCGGGGAAGCGAACAACGGTCTTGTGGTCGTTGTCTTCGATGCTAAAAAGCAGACCGAGCGTCTGGGTGTGCCAGTTCGCGGCGGGCGTGTGAATGCATTCTTGAAAGAGCTGCAGCTTGTAGGAGCAGACGCCGTGGGCGTAGGTCGCTGCAAGAGTGTTGCCGGTAGCCGGAGAAACGGACTCGATTAGGGGGGCATCGAGAGGGGAGGAGGTACGGGCTTGGAGATCCTGGGTGTTCTTGACTAGTTGCATCTCGAGAACTGCCCGGTCGTCGTTGAAGCCGGCATTGGCGATGTTCGGGGTGGATGCATACGCCGTGGCAGACTCGAGGATCTCAGAAGGAAACAACGAAACGCCTTGGGCTGGTGCTTGAGGATTGGAAGGAGCACCTGGTGCCGGAGCGGCGAGGACTGTAGCCAGGAGCACGCCCATGGTGACGCCGAGGAGCTGTATGAACATCATGCTGCTTCTGTCAGTGTTGTGGTTGTGGTGTGTTTAGAGGATTGACTCACTTGATGTAGGTATTGTGAGGTTTGTTGTGCTGTTGTCGAACTATGAAACGTCGAGGAAAAGGTTGTTGGAGAAGACAAGGCAGGATGAGATTGAAGTAGGGGTGGCAGTTATAAAGAATCCCCGAGAGTAAGAGCACGAGAGCACCTGAATGGCGTCACAAATGGTCGTGCGTTTCAAGATGGGAAGTCACCTCCAGACCAGACGGGAAGTCGCAGGGTTGAAGTATCACGTTAAGCTTACAACTCTTATCATAGCCGTGTCCAACGCTCTACCCGTGTGTCCTGTTTACAATTTCCGCTGGGATAGTATATGGAATAGTATGATTTCAATCTGTTGTCTGTAGTACTGAGCTTTCCCCTACGTCGCTCGTTCCAACAACGTTTAACCGATCTATCTCCACCCAAAACTATGCCATACAGACTTAAGTCTCCTAATGCACGAATCTAAAGTCCAGCCTCTTCATTCCCTCATCTTTAGTGTTGACGACGTAGTCTTCTTGCTCCTTCTTCGTCAGCGAGTTCCACTTCATATCCCTGACCTTGTTGCGCCAGATGTAGAACGCTTTGACGAAATAGAATAGTACGATGTTGAAGCAGCAAATACCCAACAGGATCTTGTTGCCACGGCGGTACAATGGCTGGTCGTCGTCACGATAGATATTTGAGGAGATCATATTGCCGCTCTGGAGGAAGTTAGTGATCATTCCGTCAGAGTGTACGTATCGAATTTTCTTACCTGAACGAACATATTATAGAAGGCTGCCGAGACAGCGCGTGTGCGAACCGAGTTGGAGTTCTCTGCATTCCAGCCGACCAGAATAGCGTGGCAATATGGGTAAGAAAGGAGACCAGTTAATAAAGCGTAGCGGATCCAAGGGTTTGCGCTTGCTGGAAGCACTACAAGAGCAATCAACCAGGGAAAAATCCAGATGTTGCTCAAAGACGAGACTATGCTCCTCTCCTTGGCCTTTGCAGATAGCCATGTGATGAGGAGGAGCTGGATGGCGAACAAAAACTGCGATGGAATGGCTAACATGTTGGCTTGGAAGGTTGAGTAGCCTAATTTTCGCAGGATGTAGGATAAGTAGTTTCCTGGTGGTGCAGGCCTAGAAGTGTGTGAGATCGAGTTTCATTTCACTTCCAGAGCTTTGCTGTTACTCACGGAATGTATGCGGTAAGTCCGATCAAATACAGCGGCCACTGTTCCCAATCGCAGACGACTTGCCACAGCGCTGCCAGCGAAATCGCCTGCCGGTTGTTCATATCGCCTTTCGAGGGATCGTCGCGGAGAATGCGGTTGACAAGAATGTGTTCTTCGTGGTCAGTGAACCAGCCGTTCTTGCCCCTGAACCAGTGCTTGGTTTGGCAAGCTCCCGGGGGCATCAGCCCGTATGCGAATATACCAATCACAAAGGTTAAAAGCCCCTCGATCAAGAACCTGAATCAGTCAGAAATATACAAGGCTAACACGACTATGAGTCTGCTTACAGGTATTGCCATCCAGCCCAACCGTTGAGGCCTCGCATTTGAAGTACACCCGCTGCCAGCAGTGATCCGACAATGTTGCATGTACTCAAAGCAGTCCAGAACCAAGCCAGACGAGTAGGCAGTTCGTTCCCTTTGAAGAAGTAGGTGAGCCACAACACAATATCACTAGCAGGAACTAATCAGTCGTCGCTCCAGATACACGGTCGGCTCCACTCACGGAATGAACCCTCCCATCAGAACACCAAGTAGACAACGAATGACATAGTAGTGTACTTTGGTTGTCATAGCGGCTTGTGATGCACTGACAATCGACCAGGAGCAGATGAGGGTGGGGAGCCATCGATCTGCACCAAGCTTCTTACTGATGAGACCACTAGGGAGTTCGGCGAACAGGAAAGATGCGAGAAAAATCTAAACCTGTCAGTCGAGGTGTTGTATCCACTAAATTCTATGCAACCTACAGTTTGACCATAGTTGAAATCGTTGGTGTTCATGTCTAGTCATTCGTCAGTACAATGATCATCAAGGACAAGACACTACTAACGTAAGTCCTTGAGCAAGTTATCCGATATTGCTCGATTGATGTTCTTGCGATTCAGATCCAGTGAACAGAACATGACCCACGCCCACAGCGTAACCCTCAAGTCAAGCTGTACAAAAGTCAGTCCCTACTCCGAGTCCCTGGAAAGCCGACCTACTCTGCGCACAAGCCTTTTCTCCTCTTCCGCAGTCCATGTGTAGTTTGGATCAAATCTGTGACGGCCTTCGTATTTGGCTGCTTCGTACTTTTGAGCCCAATACTGTGCCGTGCTGGGCTCGCTGAAAGGATGATCCTCATAGGAGCCATAATCCGGTCGCTTAATGCTGGATGCAACGTCCGAACCCGAGTCCGAAGACCTGGTAATTGGTACGCTCACCGGGTTGATGTCTCCTTTGAAATCAGCCATGGGGGTGACGGTTCGACAAGAATCACCGTTTGATTACGATTTGCCAACGAGAAGCAAGTGAATTATATAGGGGGAATCTGAGTTCGGCATCCCTCTGGAAATCTTTTAAAGCTCCAAGACGGATCAATGTGGCGTTGAATGGTGCAAATATGTGTAAAATTGACAACATCGCTAAAAGGCAGCACAATTCTTGTCGGGATGGAGACTTGGAGAATTAAGCTTTTCCTGTTCGGCACTATGATAAGCAATTGCGAGACAGCAATTGGATCGTAGTCTCGGATGCGCCGAAAGCACAACATCGGAGACGAATCCTTTGATAGGGATGCAAGACTTGTGTGAACTCCCGAGAACGTGGCTGCATCGTTCACCATCACGCAGCACCTACGCGAAACCATGTGCCTAGATAGCACTTCCATAGAATAGCATAGTCTAGACCCTGCTCGTTGAAACCCCTCCCTCATGCAAACTTGCGCGATAAGCAAGCCTTGGGGAATAGAAGAGATGATTTTCGTATATCTGTACTCGTTCCTTTGAGGCCGCAAATGACTAGTAGCTTGGGAAAGACAACAATCGACTATACACATTCACCACCCTTTGATCGGCTCTTTTGACCCCGCAACTTCATTCCGCGATCGAATTAGGTATCTTGGTAGACCATTCGATGTCAAATGACGATATCGTACCCATGCGGGCACGTCAATTCTTCTAGAATCACGTCAGGTACTACTACCTCTTGGCGCCGCAACAACTTGATGCATGGCAGAATTCTCGGTAGTTGGATGACTCGACTGTTGATAGACAAACCGAAATATAAAAGGCCAGAAGGTGCTACATTACGAACGTGGTGGGATTGTCACCTTGAACTCAGTCACTGTGACCGACGTGCATTGACACAGTCTTCAAGGCGAAAAGAGATGAAAAAGAGAGAATGCAGGTAAACACGAAGTACACTGAAAGACAAACGTTGAAGCATCAGGACACTTTTTTGTAGCTTTTCATCAAATCTTGACTGCCTATAGAAAAGCAGGATCATGATGATCCTGCGTCTGGCTTGCTACAATTCGTGTAAGACACGCAGCAGGCACTTACGTCTCTACTGATTGTGACACTCTGGTATGCAATGGCAAAGTGGTATTGTTAAGCAGAAGGGACCCTATCGCCTCGCAGCTAACCATGAATTCGTCTCCGTCCAGAGACTTTTGCTTGGTTCCGGTACGATACTGCCACCTGCTTTGACGCCACTGTAGATGGCGTCCCACAACGCAAACGCAGTCTGTAGGTCGCCGGGTAAGTCCAGGGATTGTGGAAAGTAACGCGTAGAAGCTGTCTCGACGACTCTCGACTTTGTTGATGGTGATGTTGGGTCCGCATCGTTACTGAGTAGCTCGTCCAAATAAGACTTTACGGCAATACTCAGGGCGCAGTTGTTGGGTAGAAGGAAGGGCAATCTGGTTCGAATAAGCGCTTGAAAGTGACAAAATGGTGGGACTATACATACTTCATAGCAACGACTTTGAGATCAGTCTTCCGATCGCAACAAGCGGTCAAGAACATTTGTGTGGATGCAACTTCGATCAGGTCACGGAGTGTCTGACGGACGACATTCACGATCGAGTTGTAACCGAGAAGGTGCTGACTGAGAGGCCCCGTAAAGCCGATCGGTCGGTGATGCAAGATACTAAGACCAGCAATACGAGATATGAGCATATTGGCGTCTCGGTCTTGCTCTGTGAAGATGTCAGCTACAGATGAATCTGACACAAGCAGGAAAACGTACGGCTACCGCGCATCGGTGCGCCATTGTACTCAGGGAACATGTTGATATCGCCGTTCAAAAGACCCAGACGAAGCATTTCAACAGCGAGTACAGCAGCGTCTTCAAGCTCGGCTCTGCCCTTAAGACTGGCAATGACAGTCGCAAGGAACTTGCCCCATGAGGTCAGGTTGTGGTTTGCGTCGATATAGTCTCGTGATGCAAGGAAGCGCCATATGGAGTTATATACAATCTCGTCGAGTGAGGATAACGGCTATGGAAAGTTTTAATCTACAGCACATTTAGCTGGATATGATACTTACGTTCTTGAGGACCTTCTTGCCGACTGTCTTGGGAACGAATTCAGTGTCTTGCAAGGCGAGAATGGCAGCGCCAAGATGACCACATCCCTTGAATACTGTCAGTACTGCGCAAGGCGATATGTCTCCCTGTCGTTTTACTGACTTCATGTTTTGCGACAACAGATTTGAACGTGGCTTCTTTCACGTTCCAGGTGTCGACAAGCGTGGAGGTCTCAGGTAAACCTTTCATACTGATAACGCTCGACTGAGGCTTCCCTGTAGAATCCGGGAACCAACATCTCAGGGTCAGATCCTTGTGTCTGTACCAGTTGTGCAGGGCGCTTGAGAGAAGATTGATGGCTGCTGTTCGGAGCGGACTGACTGTCAATCTCACAAGTCTACGATATTCCGGCGACTCACCTCCGTCCATCGGTGGGACTTCATATATTTCGCAAGTAGTGCGCCATTGGAGGATGCGCGCGTTGATGAGACCCTGAGACAGATAGTAATACACTTCGTTTGGAAGTCGCGCGCCGAGGTATTCGTGCGCATCGTTTGGCAGAGAACCCGAGTTCAGAGGCTTGTAATCGCCATCCGTTGTGAAGATTGGGTGGTTTTTGACGGCCAGGCGCGCTTTGCGATACCTGTCAAGGTAGTTCAGTTGTTCGAACCGTGGATCCTCTCGGTTGTTCATGACTACAGAATAACCTGTTCTACCATTACTCATGATCATCTTGATCGCGCTGTGCGGCTTCAGCAGCTCCGTTCGGTTTGGTGTGTTGAGGCTTGGCAGGGTTGGGAGAAATGAAGTCCCAGCGAGTAAGAGAGCATCCACGAAAATGTCTTCTGTGATCTTCCCATTGCCCGCAAACTTCTCGAGGTCGGCGATACATTTCGATCGCCGTGTGAAGTAGAATGTCTTTTCCTCAAAATTCCACTGAGTTATGACCTTCTCGCATTCGAAGAGGAGTATTTCAGAGGCGCCTGAGATGGCATGGACCTTGGCTTCTTTCTCGAGATATGCAAGCTATATTGTGTCAGCCGTCGCGACCGCAGAGATAACTGCGATCATTACCTGGGCCCATGCACTGTACGGCGCAACCTCGAACGATATATTTCTTTCAACAAGAACGGACTGTAGTGCGCGAAAGAGGTCTTCGGCTGTGACGTATTCTAACAATAATCAGCCTACGTCCATTGGCTCGGATATGCGTGTCTCTCACTGGACTGCCCGAACTTGTCGACAGCTGGTTCAGCCTGATGATTGTCGTACAGGTTCCAGGCCTCGGCGTTTGTGGCAGCCTCCATTTGCTTTTGCCGGAATGGATCATCTGGCTTTGCTATGTCTATCCCACTGAAGACGAATCGCGGCTCAATCTGGAGACTTGCGAACGTGTCCAGGTCCTCTTCGATATGTTGCTTCAACGCCAACGGGAGCCCTCCGAGCGCGGGGACGAGCGGCTCTTTTGCGCGAGGGTGGTTGAGAATACGGTGGTTAAGATAGTCAGCGGCTTCGATGCCCACGCGACAGCCGTTGAGCTCATGTAGATCTCCTAGCTCCTCAAAGTTGGCGTTCCATGCTTCGAAGTCGCGAATCATGGTGAGTGACGGGCGTATGTAATCTAAGTTGAGAGTGAATGTATGGCGGGGGTGGTGGATAGCGATGTAGGTGCGTGAGAGCGAGTGTGATCAGTCGCGTATGAGGCAAGCGGGGGACAATCGCGTATCGAATGCGGGGTGGTGATAAAGCAACGGGAACGCGAAAGTGGAAGCTACGATGCTCGCCCGCTTGGCGCATGATCCTGGTTCTGCTCTTACCGGATTCGACTAGCTCAGGTACAATCAATCATATCGCTTGGATTGCATGTGAGAGACAAGCATATGCACAACTCAAGTTGATCAAGCGGACTTCAAGTGTACGCCCTGTTACCCTACATCTAAGCTGTCCAGATTAATCCTACCAACCTACAGCTACATCGTAATATTGAAGGTATCTTTACACAGCGACCTGCGATCTTATCGTTCATCCGACTTTCTCAGTATCAGAAACAAAGATGGCGCACTCTGAGGGACGTGATACTACAATTCCAATAATCGACATCTCAAATCCGTCTGAACAGGTCGCTTGCCAAGTACTTGAGGCGGCTTCAGCGCATGGATTTCTCTTCATCAAGAACGATGGCACAACCATTCCACCAAAGGACATTGACGATATGTTTGAACTGGCAAGTCTATCCCAGAGTCAACGTGGCCTTCTCTTACAATCAAAATAGTCCAAAGATTTCTTCGCCTCCCCTGCCTCTCAGAAGTCTGAGTATGCAATCCATTCTCCAAAAGCAGGTGGCATTAATCGGGGCTGGGTGTCCATGCAGGGCGAGGCTCTCGACCCAGAAGGCACAAAACGCGGTGATCCCAAGGAAGCATTCAACATCGCCCCTCCATCCCGGGATGTCCCTCTGCAGCCCCTTCCTCTTCCCCTCTCCACTTCCAGCGACCTGATATCACGTTTCCAAACATCCTGTCACAAACTCTGCACAAACATCCTTTCCCTCCTCGGCACCGCGTTGCAGATCCCCGATCCCCAGTACTTCAGCATGCGACACGATCAATCCCAGGGAACCTCGGGCTCGATTTTCAGAATGCTATACTATCCCAAAACATGCACCAAGCCTGGAGAAGCGAGGGAGGGGGCGTCCATCAGAGCGGGCGCGCATTCGGACTACGGCTCCGTAACGCTCTTGTTCCGCCTCCCAGGTCAGGCAGGCCTCGAACTCCAAACGGCAGATGGGTGGATACCTGTCCCCGTAAACCCCGACCCTTCCCAGAACTCTTCTCCACCGATACTGGTCAATATTGGTGATCTGCTGTCTTTCTGGACAAATGGAATGTTGAAGAGCACAGTTCACCGCGTTACGTTCAGTGGTGGCGAGGAAAGATACAGTATGGCGTATTTCTGCCATCCTCTAGATGAGGTGAAATTGGATACCGTGCCCAGTACGGTTATTGGGGAATTTGGCGAGAAGGGGAGAGAGGAGTTGAAGGGCCAGAAAAGGAGATTGGGGCTAAGCGAAGAAGGGGATGGAGAAGTTCTGACGGCGAAACAGCATTTGGATCGGAGGTTGAAAGTGACATATGGGCTATGAGATGGAAGGGCCACACGTAGGTACCCCGAAAGTCTTAGATGTACCCCGAAAGTCATAGACGAGAGACGTCTAATGATACGCAGTATGGACGCCACGCTATGCAAACCCCATACAATACGCTATGCACGAAATCCAAAATCACCGCCATATGTAACTGATCGAGCTTCAACCTCTCCTCTTCCTCCCCACTCTCCCTCCAATTCCGCCTGTTTCACTCACTACATCCCTGACCTCCCCGATCCCCTTGACTAGCACATTCCTTTCCTCGACTGTGCCCCCCAGCTTCCTTATCATCTGCTCCCGTGCCTTCGCCGCACCTGGTGAATTCCAGCCCAACTCTTGGCTCGGTTGATACTCCTCTACCACCACGCTCTCCTCAACATCATCCTCAGCTCCAAGATTTCCAGAACTGTCCCCCACAGACGGATTCGAGCGAGTAGAGGTAGCACGTCCTAGTTGTTTCCGTTTGCGGCGTTTTTCACCGGCTTGGTCTGCGGGTGTGGGTGTTGCTTTACGGTTTGCGCGGAGTTTGGCGAGGATGTCGGAGTAGTCTTTTTCTTCTTCTGCACCTGGAGGTGGTTTCTGTTGGATTGGTACGACAGATTCAGGGATGGCGGAGACAGGTGCGGAAGTTACGGAGTCGGGTGTCAGTTCTTGTGCGGCTTTGGATTTACGAGGCGCAGATGTAGCTCTGATCAGAGATTCCGCTGATGAGCTTCTCTCCCTAGTACTTGCTTTGTTCTTGAGGTGCGTGCCTGAGCCTGTGGATGATGTTGAGGGCCGCCTCGGTGAGTTGGCACTGATGTCCCGCAGCGGAAGTGACGCTGCGCCATCAAATCCACCCAGAGGAGCATCATCGTCAAACAAACCTGCAGAATTAGTGCAATCGTTTTGGTGTATCGCTGAGTTCGTTGTGGAGGTAGGTGTCGCATCTGCCGAAGGAGCAAGATCGAGCGCACGTGAGCGCTGTGCGCCTTGGGATTTGGTTATCATCTTTACCACCTGCGCTTTCTTCTGCTGGAGCTTGGGCTCAGGAACGGACACAGTACGTCGGTCGCCATGAGACGGTCGGTTTTGTTGTTTCGGCCTCTGAGGTTGCGGTGGCGTAAGCGTATTCAGCATGTAGTCGCCGTATGGCTGCAACTGACCCGTGCGCACGCATTCCCAGAGCCATGTTGCATGCACAGCAGGTATGCGGTAGTCTGTAGCGAACTTCAACTTTTGAACGTTTGGGTTCCGAGTACTGCAGACCATGACCGAGACCTTTCGCGAAGTTTGCTCATCATACGTAGCACCTGCCAAAGTTTGTCAGACCTACATCAGGTGAGAGTAGTCAATATCGTACCCATAAGTGTAACCACTCTGGTTACATGTAACAATTCAATACCCACGAAGCCGGTGGAGTTTACCGTTAGGCCGGAGAAACCTGGAAAGCGCATCAGTGACCTAGAACTTGAAGCGTATAGGGACTATGGACTTACCGCTAACGCTCAACTTATCAAAGGGTCTGCTTAGCACGTCTTCCTCAGAGTCGACAAGGTGCTTTCCGTAAAGACAGCGCTCGACCCACCAATTGGTAACTAAGTTTAGACTCGATCGGGCGCGGTCTGGAAGAGACGAAAGATCAGCCCCTGTATCGTGAGGAACTACGAGATAACCCCGTCTCAGATCGTCAGACGAGACACTGTCAATGTCACCGCTCAGAATGCTGCGTGCGCCATTGCTGTCCAGGTGCTCTCGCAGGATTTTGGTCTATGGCGGTTGTTAGCAAAGCCCGAAGCCTTTTTCTGGTGTGACATGCCTTCTCTTCGTCGAAGCCGTGAGTAAGTACGATGCGCCCTCCAAACACCCCCTCGTGGGCATCGTCGCCAAGAGGTATAGACGGAGGCCCACTGAGATCCTCCGTAGAATCTGCGTTAGGATGCGACTCAGCATGCAAAGCAGCGGTCTCTCCTGCTAGTGTTGTAGGTGAGTGAGCTCGGGACACGCTTTGGTTGGCGGGGACGTTTTCAGTCCAATCGTCCTCTTCGTCTCTCGGTACCTCCAAGCTTGCCGACGTGATGCCAGCCCATAACGCTTGACTCTGACTCCCCATTTTGGTGCTCGCAGAACGTCGCAACTTTCGTCGGAAAGAATGGAGCGCCGGGCTAGGCTCTGCGTCTCGCATACGCTTGCCCAGGACAGGCGATGTGATTTGTATGCGGTCCCACGCACCCTTCCCTCTATCTTCAGCAGGCGTTGTAGGGTTGAAGAGGGCCTCCTCGAGGACCATACCTCTCTCAAGACTCTGCTCGAACCACTCCAGCGACACAATCTTCATGCGCCAATTGAGCGCATGCTCGTACTTCTTGCCCGTGGGTGTAGATGCAATGAGATGTGTGACAGACTTGGTCAGGTCGCCATGGTACTCGGCCCCGTTCTTGTCGACTGTCTCCTGAATGTGCTTTCGTTGCTCCGCTGTGCCCTGTCAGCAGTGACCGGCCGCGCGTGTGCTACTTCACGTACGGTTGTCAAAACCAGTGAGGCAAATCTTCAGCCCAAAGAACGTAGGAAGTCGATATTCTGCTTCCAGCGCAGCCATGTCCACATTATCGTCTCCCTTGATCCAGACATCTCGGAGCGCCCCGAGCCACGCTGGCGACAGCACCTTGACATCCTCCCTCGACTTGGCGACATAGCGGTATTTGGCGCTGTCGGTGTTGCCAACAATGAGGTGCGTTACGTCCGAGGTGAGATCGAGCTTGATGGTCGCGCCCATCTGCGCGCCAATGGCGGCAAGCTGAGCCTGTGCACGGCATCAGCAAGAAAGAATATTCAACTATATCTGCAGCACATACGCGCTGCTCGGGGGAGATGGAGGTGCAGCAGAGGATTGCCCCGGCGAGGGGCAGCTGGCTCGTTCCTGCGCGCTGTAAGTGCATGCTCGAGTGCGTGGGCAGAAGGCAAGCTGACCGTATCCTCCCTCTGGCGCGTCCATGGCATTCAGTGCCACATGCCAAAGTCGCAGTCGCGATGTCGAAAGCGCGTGGCAGTGGAGCACGAGATCACGTGGCAATGGCCCATCCACTCCCACTAGTGCACTCGGTCCAGATCTAGACGCGATTTGATCGTGTGCTTCTGCGCATCGGGAATAACTTCGGTGATGTCGGTTTCCAAATCACTCCCACGCTGCCACTAGCTAGCCGTGTTTTCACTGGTATTATGAAGCTGCCCTATCGTCACTCTGCATCGGGACCCCCGGAAGATGATCATTGTTGATGAGCCCGAAGCGTTGCTGTCATCTCCCAAGCTGCCATCATAGGTATGCAATCCATGCCTTGTCATCCGCTGCCGGGCCACCCGCTGGTCTTGCCGTGGGCACCGAATTTGGTGACATTTCACGAGGCTCGAGCTGAGATATGTCCTGGCCATGGGCATGGGCACGGGCATGGCCATCGAGGAAGCTTGCACTTGACCCACGCTATGGTGGTGAGGTGGTGCGTTGTTGACAGCTTGCGGTGGCTGAGCACTCTGGTCCTTGATCATCTGGTCACTACGCGCCAATGACCATGGCATCCACACATGCTCAAACAAAGTCTACGCGGCTTGTCGGCGATCACAGCGCCTTGCCGAGTGCTCCGTAACTCGGTCGCTAATCTGCAAGAGGCCAGACAGTGGAGGAGCCCTGCAGCGCTTCGTCCACATCTGGCTCCTCTGGTGCAGAACATGATGTAATGTAGCTGTCTTGAGAGAGCCGACATGACCAGATGGTTGGCATATGGACCGAAGATAGTCCTGTCCCCCTGTTCGTAATCATCTCGACGAGGGTACACTACTGACGCCGTCGTGACTGAATACTTTTGCCTCCTCGTTGCTGAATGCCCAAGGTTCTTCTTCCCGACTAGATTCTCCTACAAACCCCGCCGAGTTCCACCCACTGCTGCACTTCTCCGCGTCATCCGCCTCTGCTCCCTGCACATCCGGTCGGCGCATCTGCATTTGCGCACTGCCCTGCTTCTGAATTGCGACCGGGTAGCAAACCTGTCGGCGAGACTGGTCAAACTCAAAACACCCATAGTCCCTGTTCTGCGTCTGTCATTGTCCTGACAAGGCATTCATCAACAACGCCAACACACGCTTTCACCAGCAGGGGAATCCCGCACTACTCCGACACGTCGCTCCACTGCACTACTGTACTACCGACTGAGGTTTACTTGAATTTCTTGTAATACTCACAGAAGCCTCTTGACATACATTTCTGACGTGTGAGTCCCTGTCTCATCTCCCCTTCACCTCAAGTTCGGGCTCTTTGTTTCGCATGCCCAACCCCAGGTACGCCTTCCCAAAGCATCAATAGCGGACAAGGTTGTGTTACCTTGGCTGGGCAGTCCTTTGTGTCTTGTTTGTGATCTTCAAGAGTCGCACGGATGTATTTGTTGTCGACTGTGACATATCCGTCTTCGTTATAAATCTTCATATACTGCCCTGCCCCAGCGTGCCTTATCGCACCCTTCACTTGCAATTGACGTATACTGATTGCGTTTTTCGCCATGGCACAGTGTACAGAGTACCGCAACGTATACACTGATCGTGGACGCCTACGGTACATACCCGAACATCTTTTCGACTCCTCACGCGCCCGCCGCGGTATCTTCCAAGGACGACATCGACGACCGCATCGCATCCACATCGCACACGTAGCCCCTGATCCAACTCTACTCCGCTACCAGAGACGGAAGACGAACAATAAAACACAATTCACCGTAAAGCTGGCGGGCCCTCGAGACAGCGCCAAACGCTATCTGCGGTCGTTTATCGACACACATTTCACCGCGCCCAGTCCAGACGCGAAAGATATTGTGCCTCCGCAATCAACCGCCAACAGCAATCAAGACGACGCAGCAGTTCCTCTCGCAGGCGGGCGATCATCTGCACCCGGCGAGATGAGGTCCAGCCCAAGAAACTCCACGGGCATCTTGGGTACACACGCGGTATCGCTAGCTGCACAGGATTCGCACCGTCCTGAGCTTAGAGAGACATTCCAGTCCTCTAGAAGATCATCAGCGAAGAGCTTAGTCAATAGCGTGAAACCCTTTTCGGAGGATAAACCCGTTGCTTCTGGAGGAGGAGTCAACGTCAACATCGTTCTCACAGAGCCTGTTTTGTTTCTCCGCGGCTTCGAACAAAATGAATATTCTGAACGAAACACCGCGATGCTTCGTGGATCCCTGGTCTTGAAAATTACAAAACCAACAAAGTTGAAGGCTGTCACGCTGAAATTCAGAGGCAAGGCATTAACGAAATGGCCCGAGGGTGAGTTTCTCGTTGCAGTGCAGTTTGCTATTTATTGACTGGTCACAGGTATTCCACCAAAAAAAGTAGATTTCGAAGAAGTAGACATACTGATGAGCCACACATGGCCGTTTTTCAATGCTCAATTCCCAAATGCAGAAGCGGGTACTGGAGCACACCAAGTGGAGTTTTACAAGAACTCTGGAGGCATGGGCGGTTCTCCGAACCCTTCCTCAACAAACCTGACAATAAAAGAGGCGAAGCGGTTATCGTTGGCAGTGAACCAATCGCGAAGTTTTGGAAAAGGTGAAAGCCCTTCAGGCGGGCCGTCGGTAGCGCAAAAAGGTTACAGATCCTTCAACGCTGGCGAGTACATGTACAACTTCGAACTCCCGTTGGACAGCCATCTCCCGGAAACAATTGAAGTTGATCTCGGCTCCGTCAAATACGAGCTGGAAGCAACTGTTGAACGAGCTGGAGCTTTCCGTACGAACTTGGTCGGCACAAAGGAAGTCAAGCTCATTCGAGCGCCATCGGAAGGCTCCCTGGAGCAAATTGAACCAATTGCCATAAGCCGCAGTTGGGAAGACCAGTTGCACTACGACATCGTCATCTCTGGCAAATCTTTTCCTCTGGGTGCTCAAGTACCAATTGCATTCAAACTAACGCCCCTGGCCAAAGTACAATGCCACCGGATCAAAGTGTTTGTGACGGAGAACACTGAGTATTTCTGCAACAACAAGCGGGTACACCGAATGGAACCTGTTCGCAAAGTCCAGCTGTTCGAAAAGCGGGCAGATGGTCCACCGACAAGTACTTTCCCTGGAAGCACAATGAGAATAGTCTCGGGAGGCGGCGTACCGTATGACCAGAGAGCTGCCGCTTCCCGAGGCGAGGACGTGCAAGTGCAAGATCCCACAAATCTTTTAGGTAACCTTGCTGGGGATGCAAACGTTGGTCCCACAGAGATGGAATTCAACGTGCAGCTACCTAGCTGTCATAACATGCGGGGGGACAAAGACAAGCAGTCGAAGTTGCACTTCGATACAACATATCAGAACATTCAAGTACATCATTGGATAAAGGTATGTTGATGTCCTTATCGTCGGATGGTTAAGCAAGCTAATACAACAACAGCTCGTCATGCGCCTGTCAAAACCCGATGCGGTTGACCCCACGAAAAGACGACATTTCGAGATCTCTATAGATTCTCCATTTCACATTCTCTCTTGTCAGGCCACACAAGCGAACACGGCATTACCTGCGTACTCTGGCGCTGAGCCGGCTCTTAATGGAGCGCATGTACCCGAATGTGGCTGCCCGAATGCAGCCGCCCGGCGCACGTCGCCAAGTGGCTTTGTTCCAACATTGGACTCACTCGCCCGCTCAAGGGGTAATTCGAATGCTTCCGTACCACCCCCTAGCCTTGCACGTCCTCAAGCAGCGCACATTGGCGGCCCAATCAACTCCAACGTGCAACGACCGATCCATCTCATGCGAGTACCATCGTTTAACCCCCCAGCTTTCTCTGACGAAGAGCCACCGCCACCTTTAGAGACACCACCCCCTCTTTACGAGACTATTGCTTCACCAACGAGTGGTTTGGCTGACTACTTTTCACGCTTATCAGACGCGTATGACGAAGATAGCGATCACGAACGGAACGACCGCGGGCGTGTCGAAATTCCTCTGACGCCTGGAGGACGCACGAATCGGAGCATGGATGAGCGCAGGACATGGTTGCCGGTTGGATATTAACCAATGTTCAATTTCGTGGCTAGACTGTCTTCACGCTTGGACCAACCATTATGACGACATGAAAGAGATGGATTAGATTTCGGCATTTGTGGCTCGCAAGCGATCTGTGCATAGTCTGGGTAACAAGGTCATTTGAAAGACCAGGGAACGTGGTGTATATGGGGGAGCATCGTAACGAATTTCGTATTTTGGTTCTTGCGCGCTTGCACATTGGCGAACGGGCTTAGAATGCAATGATCGCGGTCTTAGTTGGGGCGTTTATGGGGGAGGATTCAGGTGCTTCTGATGCACCGGGAGTTGGACTTCTTTGTATATATGTTGCCGCGAGATCTACAACGGCACAGGTTTGTATATACAACCAACATATGTTGTTATTATGTTTTTCACTATCGATCGTCTCATCGCCAAATCTTTGACATGCCTTCCTTGCGCAGTGTTTACCAGGTTCCGGCCTTAGATACATCCTTGCTCGAGAGATGAAACATAAAAACAGCCGATTATTGCTCAGTGATACGTATGGAGAAGTGCATGTGGGCTGTTCTCTTGTAGTTGCCATGACAGCTTCCTTCATGGTGTAGACAACACAGACGACATTTTAATTTCAGACGGTAGATCACGTCACTCACCATCGCTCTTGAAATTCTGTATTGACAGGGGGCGTCTCGGCTCAGCTCAACCCGGACATATTGCGGGGAGTGATCCACTGATCCATAGAGGCTAGCTAGCAGTGACTGTTCAGCGAATACTTCGAGACATCTGTGTATTAGTAAGAGACGCACTCGCATGGCGATCGCGACGATGCCAAGTCCTGCATGAAAGGCGTTATTTGACAAGTGAGCTACATATTTGCCAAGTACTGCTGATACCGTATGGTGGTGCAAGGGTAGCGGTTGAGCGGGAACGAGATTGGCTTTACTTGAATTCTCCGGCACCCAAAGAGCGCAAAAGCTTCTCTCTCTAGGTAGAGAGCGCGTCGGGAGCTTGCGGAGCAATTGACCAAGCGTGCCATGTTCTCGTGAGGGAGTACAGGGTTTGCCGTGTTGCACGAAGAAAAGGGATGGTTTGCACGTGGCTTGCACCATCGGAGAGAATCAACCGTCACCCTTGCTTGAGGCCATTGTTGAACAACGACTGCTCTTTCAACATATTCGTTAGCGCCTTCTTGTTTGTATGTCTGCAGACGTGTGCTCTATCTCCAGGCTTCTGCTGGTCTCATCGGATCAATGCTCTATCGAAACGACGCGTGTCGGTTATGGAAAGTCAAACGATTGCGAGCCGTAGTGGCATCCGCGGCTGGCCATGATTGTTGAAGGATGGCGTCGGCCAAGAAGGTTTCCAAGACCTTAGCTACGATAATGATGCGCTAGTATAACATCGACGACTTCCACTCTCTGCTTTTTGCGCTGCCAACTCCTGCAATCTGCACCGAGACCGTCTCGGGACGCCCGCAACGCGCATAGAGGTACGATTGGAGCCGCAAAAGCGCCGCAAAAAGCGCCATAAAAGAGCAAGGGAGACAGGCTGAGCGTGACCCGCTCCTGCGTGTGTTGAGCTCCTCGCTTCTAAGCCTCGACTTGAGCCAGTGGACGCCGGGCTGCAATTGGCTTGGTACGCTCTTCTGCTTTTCTCTTGGTGCTGCTTGATTGTTTCTCTGCCCTCCAGCTCCAGCGCCGCTGACCCAGCACACAGAACGGCTGCACCCACCGCGCCTTCCCCACATCCCCAGGTTCCCGACCTCTCCCGCATCACCAGCTGCTTTGCGCACTCTCGGTGGGCGACTGGCTATTCTTCCTACATGTATCCGGCTTCGCGATCAGCTTTTCACACCGACCGCCGACTATTTCGATAGCCAGGACTCTGCGCATTTTCTCTCCCGCCTGCCTAGGCCGATCCGCCGCGCGCCGGACTACCTACTTGACTCTCGTCGACCAGCCTCTGCAGACCGGACGACAACACGAAACCCTCGTTTAGACGCGTCGCCACATAAGCTTTCGAGCAAGCGGACATAATATTTGGGCTGGGCACGTCTGGGCACATTACAAAGGACCCACACACACACGGATAACACGGATCCAAGCACATCAACATGGCGTGGGATCACCTTTCCATCACGAAGCCGCACTTGGTGTACATCATCCTGGGCGGCTTCACCAGCCTGTTTATGCTGTGTTCCTCGGTCATCAAGGAGCGCCTCTACATTGGCGAGGCTACCGTCGCAACAATCTGTGGCATAATCTTTGGCCCGCATGCCGCCAATCTCATAGATCCATCCACGTGGGGAAATGTTGATCTGATCACTCTCGAGTTCTCGCGCATCGTTCTGGTTGTACAATGTTTCGCCGTCGGAGTCGAACTGCCGAGAGCATACATGGAGAAGCACTGGAAGTCCGTCACGCTCTTGCTGATCCCCGTCATGACGTTTGGCTGGCTAATCACGAGTTTGTTCGTTTGGGGTCTCTTCCATACTCACCTCAACTGGCTCGACAGTCTCTGCGTCGCCGCCTGCGTTACTGCCACCGATCCTGTCCTGGCCTCGTCAGTCGTCGGAAAGGGTAAATTCGCGAAGCGCGTCCCAAAACATCTGCGAGATTTGCTTTCAGCTGAATCAGGCTGCAACGACGGCATGGCCTTCCCCTTTGTTTACCTGGCCATCTACCTTATTCGCTACCGCCCAGACTCTAGCAAGGTTGCCTATCACTGGATTTGCTATACTATTCTCTACGAATGTCTTTTTGGTGCTATATACGGAGTTGTCATTGGCTATCTCGCTCGTCGTGCTGTGCGTTACGCCCATGAAAAAGACCTGATCGACCGAGAGAGTTTCCTCGTGTATTACTTCGTTCTGGCTCTCTGGTGTGCCGGGACGGGTAGTTTGCTCGGCTTGGACGACTTGCTTGTTGGATTTGCCTGCGGTATAGGCTTCTCCAACGATGGTTGGTTTCTTGAAAAAACCGAGGAATCGCATGTTTCCAACGTTATCGATCTGCTGATCAATTTGGCTTTCTTCGTTTACTTCGGCACTATCATTCCCTGGGACTCCTTCAACTCCCCAGACATTATTGGACTCACGCCATGGCGTCTTGTGGTCTTAGGTCTCTTGGTAATTTTCTTCCGCCGCATCCCCATCATGCTTGCGCTCAAGCCGGTCATACCGGATATCAAGACGTGGCGTGAAGCGTTGTTTGCTGGACATTTTGGTCCAATCGGTGTCGGTGGCCTCTTCGTTGCCATCCTTGCACGAGCTGAGATGGAGACAGAGGAGACAACTCCCCTAGCTGTGCTCCCCGAGGAAGGGTTCGAACATTTGAACATCATCGAGATGATTTGGCCGATTACATGCTTCCTCGTCATCGTCAGTATCGTGGTTCACGGAAGTTCGATTGCCGTCTTCACACTTGGCAAACGCATCAACACGCTAACGATCTCTCTTTCATATACTCAAGCAAACGAGGATGGACCAAAATGGATGGATCGTCTTCCGCGCATCCAGTCTCGGTCGCGGACTTCCATGTCTGGCCGTGCACAGTCGATATCATCCATGGACGAGAAAGGGGAGTATGGTAACGGTGAAGGTTTGCTGCCGGCTACGGGCGGTTTCCTGCGTCGTCAGAAAGAGGACGACGATACCAGCCGCTCAAATTCTGTTCGCCCGTCAAATCGGCGGAAACGCTGGGATGCTGGCAAAGGTCCAGGTGGACCGATTTCTCAGTCAGCCATCGCCCCCTCCAGGCGCGAGGAAGAAAAGGCCCAGGACAGTGATGCGTTCGCAGACGGTAATGCTGTATCTAGCGATAGCTCGTCAAACGGAAAGGAGAAGATGAAGGAAGAGCCGGAAGAAGAGATCTACCAAGAGGGTCACAAAACCGTTGTTGAAGATGAAGAAGGCAATGTTTTGGGTGTCAGGGATTCGCATGGAGAGCATGGCGCGAAAAGACGGGACTCTGATAACGCGTACGCACGAAGACTGATGAAGGAGCAAGATGTTCAGCATGGTGTTTCGCAGAAGGAGCACGGCGGTAAAACTGAGGAGGCACCTGGCAAGGCAATGGACGCGATCGAACATCCTCAGAAGACTTGGCGGAAGCGGATGCAGAGCTTCACTGCTACCCACCATCATGATCACGATCATGACGAAGGAGTGGCCGAACCTCCCAAAGCTCACAAGCCCGCGAAGAAGAGTGGACCAGCTCTTGCGTATCAGTTTGGCAACACCATCATTGTCGAAGACGAAGATGGAGAGGTCATCAAGAAGTACGACATTCCCCACGCACCAAAAGACCAGCGTCCCGGCACACAGCGTGGCCAATCCATGATCGAAAGCTCGGGCCGTGCAATCCAGAGCTTGAAGAGAATGGGAACACACATGGGAATCCCCACTACCCATGAAGAGGCTGGGCCTTCAGGTACAAAGAAGTCAAAGAAAGTCGTTAATGAAGAGGATGACGACCGTCTCCGCTTTACTGTTAACGTTGGCGGCCGTAGGATGAGCAAGCTTGAGTTCATCCAGCAGATGTCACAACTGGATCCGAAGGCTCGTGCTAAATTCGTTCAGAACAGCGATGCGCCCGAGGCCGTGAAACGTGAAGCAAACCAGGAAGCAAAAGACCACAAGGATGCTGAGCGCCGACACGCAGCCTCAGAGGCGAATGTTCCTCCGGTTGTTGGTGAGGAGGGCGAGGCGGAGATTCAGAAGATCGAATCTCCTGCAGCCGAAAGGGAGGGACGGGCTCGTGGTCCTGAAGGGTTGACTCTAGTGGACAGCAACGAGGAAGACATTCCCTTCCACTCGATGCATGAGGATCTGGAAAACTACTTTCAGGATAACAAGGATGAGACTCCTGCACAGCGTCGACGTCGTCTTGCGACCCAACAATCAGCAACAGCTGTGCAGCGGGCGGATAACGAAGTTGCAGTGGAAGACAGTGACGATGAGACACCTGCAGAACGCCGCCGCCGCCTTGCCGCTCTTCAGGGATCAACCTCTCCATCAGCTAGTCACGAGCGACGTGCGATACCTCCAAGTTCTCCAAGTGAGGGGAAAGCACGAGGCGGAATTGGCTTCGAAGGCGAGACACCAGCAGAACGCAAGCGTCGTCTCGGTGCACTCGGGGTAATGGGAGATGAGACTCCAGACTCCGATTCTGAAGGCGAAGAGACTGGCGATCCGCTCGAGACTGGCCGCGGTACCCACAACAGAGTAGCTGAGCAGAAGCAGACGCAGATTCGTCAACCACCAAGGGCTCCGGGTATCCGATTTGCGGATCAGCCTCGTATACCCACCAAAGACGAGCGTGCCGCACAAGATGCGGAAGAAAAAGTAAAGCATGAAAGCGGAAAGAAGAGCGGCCTTGGGAGGCTGTTGGGGAGAAAATGATCGATTGTGACTTCAGCATGGGATGTCGTTTATGTGGGGATGATTTTGCTGTCTATCTGGCATGGCGCCAAGGCGTTGGAATGATATATGCTGCAGATGGAATGTTTTCATTTGACATGTTTGTATTTGCATATTAGCGGGCATGAGTATAGACACGGCACCAGTACAACGTGGGATATATTGAGTAGTTTTTGAACTTTGAATAGTAGTTGTTAATGTCAGTCATTCTGCATAGTACTCGTTGATGTTACACAAAATCTCACCGCATATGCAAGAGTGACATCACCGATGCTCCGTCCCACGTGCCTGCATGTCATCGGAACGGCTGTCCCAGATTGGAAGTTAAAAACAATTGGCGCTTCTCTTGGCGCCTTGGTAAATCTAATCTGATTGATAAAAATTCTCACGCCTGGCCTATCAGATCATGAAGCCCTTTGCTGTCCATCACACGGTATCAGCGACGTTGCTTGGGTGTGGAGGTGGAGTGGGTAGCATACGAGAGCCGATGACGGACCGTTTAAAGTATATTTCCCTCTCTGTTCCCCTCTTCTCTCTGCATCCCCTTCCCCCCACGGTTCCTCTCTTCCATTGCCATTCAAGATGGGTTCTATTGCTTACACACCCGAGACACTTAATAGCCTCGCGGCTAAGATCACAGAGCTCGCTGCTCGTATGACGAAGCAGCTCGAAGCAGAGAAGGTCTCGCCTGTTACGCTAGAGGCTGATAGTCCGATCAAGTATGAGAAGTTGCCTGATGGGTTTTTCATGGCGAGGCAGGAGTTGGAGGACGCCATGAAGGATATGTATATTCTCAGTCAGGGGCCGAGTGAAAGTGTGTACAACTGGGTTCATACGGTATGTATTGGAAATGATTTGTTATGTTCGAAGCTGTGTTTAGTTGTTTACGATTGTAAAAGCTGGGAAATTCTGGTGTGGGAGCGTCTGGTCTGTGTTTGATGCACATAACTTTGAGAAATTCGTCAGCAGCTTATGATAGGGGCAAGAGATATCAATATGGAGAGACGGGTTGGGGAGAGGATGGAAACACTTATTCGATTGCTCACGAGTAATATGCTGACGACTACTTAGACAATGCCAGACCTTGCTTGCCTGAACATCCTCAACCAATTCAACTTCTGGACCGCCGTTCCCGTCGATGGCTCAGCGACGTTCGACGAGATTGCCAAACGCATCAACTTGCCCGTCGAAGTCGTAGACCGCGTCCTCCACCACGCCGTCACACAGCGCTTCTTCACCAAGCCATCCCCTTCAGCCACGTCCGTCTCTCACACGTCACGCTCTGCCGCCCTCGCAAAGGACTCTGGACTCTGCGCCCTGGTCCAAATGGTTGTAGATGAAGCGGGTCCGCCAATGATGGTATTACCCGAAGCTCTGCGCCGATTTTCTCAGGGCAAGCCCGATCTCACAAAGAACGTCAAGGAGACAGCGTTCAAGCTATGCCATTCGGGCGGCGTGTGGGGCAACTTTGAGAATTCGTGGGACATGCTTGAGAACGACGGCGAGGGGGAGCAGAAGGGATGGCGGCAGAGGAACTTTGTCAACTTCATGGCGTATATCAAGGACCTGTTCCATACGGAGAATCTCGTGCTGGAAGCAGTTGACTGGAAGGCAGCGGGTGATGCTACGGTAGTCGATGTGAGTTTCCTACCCTCCCAACACTCACGTTTTACATACATATGCTCTTCTTCATTCTGTAGATAGACTCAACGCTAACGCACCCCAGATCGGTGGTTCCGCAGGCCACGATGATATCGCTCTCGCAAGGACCTTCCCAAATCTCAAAATCGTCGTCCAAGACCTCCCCACCGTCGCCCCCGTCTTTGAAAAGACATTCCCCGCGGACCTGAAGGAACGCGTCTCGTTCCTCACGCACAACATGTTCGACCCGCAGCCCGCACAGGCAGACATTTTCATGTTGAAGTGGATTTTACACGACTGGCCCGACGCGGAATCAGTCGCCATCCTGCAAGCACTGCGTCCCGGACTCAAGCCCGGAGCGCGTGTCGTATTTGTCGACTACGTGGGTAAGCAGGAGCCGAGCGATGAAGAGTTGCCACGGAGTGTGCAGGCCTATGGCACCGCGATAGATCTCAGGATGATGGCGCTATTCAGTGCAAAGGAGAGACCTGTATCGGCGTGGAAGAGCATCTTCAAGCAGGCGGATGAGAGGTACGATATCGTGAGTATCAAGGCGGATCCGATGACGTTTATGTGTGTGCTTGAGGCTGTTTGGCGGGGATGAGCGCAGGGAACTTGGCATCCTTGCTAGAAATCCAATTCCATCTCATCTGGTTTATTCTCCTTATCGTTCTTATGCATGGTATGGCGTGATACTCTTGATTCTGTCGTCCGACATCAGGTTCGACTAGGTTTGTTGAGCCCACTCTTCTTCAACTTACCGCCCGCGGCGATATGATCGATGGAAAGGTACACGGTCCAGCAAAAATTTCGCCGCTGAAGCTCCAGCAGGAGTATCATAGCAGCTCCACGCCCCAACGTACCATGGAGGCGAAGTTGCTAGACTGGCCGATAATTTGATCTCGGTGGTCGCAGCTTAGTAAGTGTGCGAAAAAAAAAGAGAAAATGAGAACCTAGAAAGATGACTTATATAGAGATAAAATGGGTCAGGCAGCAGGACACACGTGAGAACGCGTGAGGACACGTGAGAATGGAGATCTAGAAGGTCGCTAAAGTGGATAATAAGAGGGAGGACATAATCATATGTGGGTTTCGGTGCCTTGTGCGGCGTTCCAGACAGGCAACATCAAAGTCATGCTTCCAAGTGGGTCTCGGGCGCGTGCGGTGAATCCAAGATCGAGAGATACGAAAACTTTTGATATACTCGTTCGTTGTCGGTACGATACGTCTAGGTCTAACCTGGCTCGCAGGATCAACAAGCCCGCTCTCACCCTATCTCCTAACACCTGGACCATTCATTCGACATCCCGTTCAGACTTGTGGGTGTACCGCTCCTCTTCTCTCCCTAGGTATATCCTGATCTGCTTCCCTTGATGCTCAATTGTACGCTCTGCGCATCGTCGACGTCCCGCGTCATGAGACATGTGTGGAACAATGCCCGCTCAGCGCTTGATGCGGGCCAGTGTAGCAGATCAACGACCTCGAAGGGTTTAAAATCGACTCGCTTTTTTTCTGGATGTGCCTGATTGGTGGTTTTTTGTTTCTCGAAACGTGACAAAGGATTCATCTCGTTCAAACGGCGTGGAGGGAGCTACGCATTCGCTTTCACAATTTATTAGTCCATGTTTTACGTCTTATCGCATCTAAATCCAGAACTCACCTTGTGTTCTCGGTGTAGTTGTAGCATTCGACCGTGTCGGTTGCGACGCAAACGAGGTCACACTCGGTGATGCGTTGGATGCTGAGGTAGTGAAACGAGGGCTCAGAGGGTTTGATCCGGCCAACGCCGACCTGCGTGTTGCCGAGATGGGTGACGAGGGAGTCTTGAGGAAGACGCGGGCAGGAGGGAATTTAGCGATTGAAGGCATCTTGGACGGAGAATTGTCTGGTCGATCGGTCGAGTGCTGTGATGTTGATGGTTGTAGTTGTGTTTGGATGAATTGAATAGCTTTGTTGTAATCGAATACATCATGGGACCGCATGCTCTTATATATGAGCACCTGACTGGGAGTCACCAGGTGTGCCGAGGCGCCGGGAGGAGTCACAGCTGCAACTTGAGGGATTTGCTGTTTCGGGCAATCGGTCTATGATCTCGTGAGATCACGTTCGATCTGTATGGGTTCGTCGTAAAAGCACATGTAAAGCCGGACCGTTCCGCCGGGTTGTTTTCGTAATTTCCTGCATCGCGTCGAGAGCACGCGACTGCTTTGACAGCTCAGCATCCTTTGCTCCGAATTGCGTGTCTATCAGACGATTCGCCAGGAATCCCATAATAATAATAAAAAGACTGACAAGGAAGTGGATGCATGACTTTGCCAATGGCCAAGACATGGGATGAGGAGCTGTTGTGTGTCGGCGGAACTTTCTGGCGTCGCTCATGTTTGACTGTTGGCTTGGCTGGGTTGCATGTCGTGGCGCTTCATCGGCGGAATGGGAAATGCGGGGAACAAGCTGCTGCGCTGCATGAAGCAGGGATTGAGCTTCTTTTTGCTTCACATGCAAACGTATCAGAAGGGGTATCAACGCATCTGCCAAGGAATAGAACTGTTGTCTCGACGCCAGCAGACTGTTCCAGCATCTGAAGGGATTAGGAAGTCCATGCCTGCCTCTTCACAATCACAACGTCGGGCAAGTCGTGGCATCACCGCACAGCTTGGCCGTGACATGCTACGAGTAGACAATCGACGGTTCAAGTATCAGAGTTCCTCGACATGTTTCGTTATTACAGACTCGCCTTGTCTACTACAATCTTCTGCAGCCCCGTCTTCAGGTCTTCCGACATGCCAGCCTTCCCAGGGCGCCGACTTTCGCGGTCGACGAACACGTGAATAAACTCGCCGACTGCCTTGACTTCGTCTTGGCCTCTCACGAAAACGCCAATCTCATACGTGACAGAGCTCTTGCCCAGCTTGTTAACCCTTAACGCGAGGTCCACTACGGCCGGAAACTCGATGGGGGCAAAGTAGTCGCAGTGGGAGTGCACGACGAGGCCGATGTGGGACGACGTGGGCGGGTCGAGGGAGCAATGCTCGATGAGATAGGCATTTACCACCGAGTCAAAGCTAGGGGGGTCAGCGTTTGTGGCGGGGAGAGAGTCGAGACGCACAGGAAGTAGTAGATGCTGTTGTTTAGATGGTGGTACATGTCATTGTCGCTCCTTGCTGCCGTCAGCCATGGGCAGAGTGGTCACGCAGGGAGTGTGTCTACCATCGCGTCCTGTACTCGAGCTCGAAGCTGTAGTCAGTCCTTTGGCGCGCTTTCAGTGACTCCAGCGCCATTTTGCAGTGTCATGGCACAGTCAAGCTATTGGTGCTCGCGTCCGGGCATAGCGCGCACGTCTCTCGCCTCGGCTGTCGCACAGGTTTTCGCACGCCGCAGCTGCACCCCGCGGCGCACCATCGATCGAACTGTCCCCCTCGCCGCGCATCCTCGCGTACCTTGCAGCCAAAGGGCGGCTGCCGATTGCGAGAAGCGCAATGGCCCTCGTGCCCTCGTCGCCGCGCGACAAATACCCACCGCTTCCAGACGACAAATTTCCGTGGAAGGAGCCACCGGCCGTTGTCGTCACGCCCTGCATCCCAACGCCCTGCGGCCCATGGGGCGCACCTTACTTTCTCGACGAGGGCCTGCGCAAGGTCACCCCTTACCACTTCACATACAACACCTTCTGCAAGCAGCGCTGGCGGGGCCGCGAGATTCTGGACATCTTCGCGAGCGAGTTCCGCGACCGGCCCACCGAGTACTACGAGAAGGCCATTGTCGAGGGGCGCGTGGTGCTGAATGGCAAGCCGGTGCCGAGCACAAAGACGATTGTCAACAACGGCGACGTCATCTCGCACACGCTGCACCGACATGAGCCCCCGTGCACGGCGACGCCCATTGGCATCGTGCACGAAGACGACGACATGATCGTCATCGACAAGCCGGCGGGCATGCCGGTGCACCCTGCTGGCCGCTACAACTTCAACTCCATCATCGAGATCATGCGCGCTGACCGAGGCAACGGCTGGAACCCGCTGCCCTGCAACAGGCTGGACCGCCTCACCAGCGGCATCATGTTCATTGGGAAGCACAAGGTGGCGGCCGAGGCTTTGGGCGCGCAGATACGCGGGCGCACTGTCAAGAAGGAGTACATCACACGCGTTGTGGGAGAGTTTCCCGAGGGCGAAATTGTCTGCGAGAAGCCCATCCTTCAGATCAGCCCCAAGCTCGGCCTCAACCGCGTGCGTGCAGACGGCAAGGAGTCCAGGACTGTCTTCAAGCGCCTCGCATACTACCCGCCAAAACATGACGCTCCCGCCCAAGACGAGCAGACCAACGACGTCTCGCCAGACGACCAGCCCTGGAAGAAGCTCCGCGGCTACTCCATCGTCCGCTGCTTCCCCGTCACCGGCCGCACACACCAACTGCGCGTGCACCTACAGTACCTGGGCCATCCCATCTCCAATGACCCCATATATGCCAATCAGCGCGTCTTTGGACCCTCGCTGGGCCGTGGGCACTCCGATTCTGAGAACGACGAGGATATCTTGTCGCGTCTTGAGCGTATGGGCAAGGAAGAGGTAGCCGATGCTGTCGCCTACCATGACGAGATGGTGGACGCGTACAACAAGAAGAAGGCGGAACGTATGACGGGCGAGCTGTGTAGTATCTGTGACACGCCGCTGTACAGTGATCCTGGTGTGCACGAGCTGGGCATCTATCTGCACGCGCGGAGGTATAGATGCGAGGAGGGCAAGTGGGACTACCAGACAGCATTGCCTGCGTGGGCTTTACCGCCGCCGGGGTATGAGGGGCCCACAGAGAGCACAGAAGAGAGTGATCCATTGGCAGTAGATCTGGAGAAGTTGGGCCTAGGGAGTGAGACGCAGAAACAAGAGCAGACTGCTGCCAGCACTGCAACATGAGGTTTAGTGGAGTCATAGAGCATGCTGCGTTCACTTCGGACGCCCATATATTCAAGATACCCCAATGTCAACCCATCCCCGCAACCCACAAGTGGAGAATAGCCCCTGCGGTGATTGATAAGCGACTCCTCCCGGGCGAGCGAATGACGTGTGTAACCCCACATCTTATAAACCTCCACTTCATCATCGAATAGTCTCCGCTGCAAACCACTCTAGAGTGTAGCCTTCCATACAACCTCTTACTTTATTGCGCTTCTTCCGAGACCCAGCTCCCATCCAACTTCCTACAAAATGACTATCGGCGTAGCCCTCATCGGTAGCGGCATCTTTGCCAAAGAAGAGCATCTCCCCGCCATCCAGGCGACTTCAGTGTTGAGTTTGAAAGCAGTGTATTCTCGCTCACTCAAGTCTGCACGGACGCTTTCTGAAAACCTTGAGAATGTGGAGTTGTATAGCGACGATCAAGAAGGAAAAACGTTTGAGGACTTGTTGAAGAGGGAGGATATTACGGGTGTTATCATTGCGTGAGTGGTGTCAGGGCGCGGGAGCCGTCTATGAGACTGATGTCAGATAGTCTACCAATCCTTGTTCAGCCAGATTTCATCAAAAAGGCTATCGGTGCAAGAAAATACGTGCTTGCCGAGAAACCAATTGCAAAGGACACCCAGACGGCGGAAGAACTGCTTCAGTGGATAAAAAAGCACGGCAAGCCCGGACAATATGCGGTGGCAGAGAACTTTCGATTTCTCCCCAGCTTCCACCACGCCTCCCAGCAGATATCTTCACTCGGCCGCATTCTATCTTTCCGGGCACGTGTTACCAATCTAGTCCAACCCGGCGGGAAGTACTTTGAAACCGCGTGGCGAAAAACACCAGAGTACCAGGGTGGCTTCCTCCTCGACGGGGGAGTACATTTCGTCGCCGGTCTAAGGCTGATGTTAGCAGGCAGCGGGAACAAGATGAAGACGATCAGTGCGTTCTCAGCACAACTGCAAGAACATCTTCCACCTGTCGATACTTTCAATTCAATCATACAGATCGATAGCGGATCATCTGGAACTTTGACAATCTCCTTTGGCACGACAGATGGGGGCAGCGAGTATTTTGTTGCCTGTGAGAAAGGGACTGTGCAGGTTTTACGCGGAAAGGTTGTGGTTAAAAAAGATGGAAAGGAGGAAACACAAGACTTTCCTGATGAAGGAAGTGGTGTTAAGCAAGAGGTCAAGGCGTGGGCGGAAAGTCTGGAACAGGGAAAGAGCAATGAGATGCAAAGCCCTGAAGAGGCGTTGAACGACTTGAGAGTCCTGGAGGCGTGCTTAAGAAGCGGAGAGCAGGGTGGGAAGCCTGTAGAAGTGCAACAGTGAGATCGTTGTACTTCTTACTTGAACTGTTATAGCAATCAAGTTGAATGACGATGACAAAGCTCATGAAGGAGGTGCGACAAGATGCCGCCCTTTCCGATGAATTTCTGTGGTCTAGTCTGATCTCCGACGAGAACCACCCGGTCTTTGATACTGACGAACTCGTGTTCGCCAGGAAAAGAAAATGCGACATCGCGCAACGATCTGCATTATCGTGCCTAACTCGTCACATCACATGATTTCGCGTCGCGAAATGGCCCCACATCCCAACCCCACAAACTCCGTGCAGACAATGCGGAGTAAGACGATACTAAAATCTTTCGAGCAGCTTCATCTCGTCTAGATTTCAACTTCCTCGACAAGGTAGTCGGCGAACAGAATAACCTACTCCGAATCCAAAGATTTCAAGTGAGACGCGCGTCGTCCGTGTTTTGGCTTATTGACCAGTTTCCTCACCAATCTCACGCGTCATGGGCATTCCACAGTATGCTTACCGCGGTATACTTAGCGACGAGAGCTATACTGACACGCGCATAGGCTGTTCAATATCATCAGAGATCGAAAGATTGAAAAAGTCGTGTCAATCGCACAACTTGCTGAGGACCATCACAAGCAGCATGGCAGGCCGCTGAGGATTGCGATAGATGAAGCTGATTTCCGTTTTCACAACCTAACTCAAGCTGAAGTAGACATTATCCGAAAAAGTAAATAATGTTTCTTTGTATCGCTTTCTTGCTAACACTTAACAGAAACACCGGCGGCCAATCCAATCGAGAAAGCTATGTTCTACCGCATGTGTCGCCTCCTTACCTTGCACATCCAACCTGTGATAGTGTTCGATGGTCCTCATCGCCCATTGAAGCGGAGAAAGCGATATTGTGCCAAGATAGATTATGACAAGAGGCAGCTTCTTAAGGACATGTTGACATGTCTCGGTATTCCACACCACGAAGCCCCTGCTGAAGCGGAGGCCGAGTGTGCGCGTCTACAGATTCTGGGTCTTGTCGATGCCGTTTGGTCTCAAGATTCCGATTGCCTTATGTTTGGGTGCACGTTCTGGCTTCGTGATGATCGAGTTGCGAAAGAGAAAGGAAACAACAACCGGTCCAAGGGAAACACGAAAAAGAACAGCGGAACTGCTCGCGTTGTTAAAGCTCGTGATCTCGGTCTGAGTCGTGAAAGCTTGGTCCTCTTCGCTATACTCGTTGGCGGGGACTATAACATCAAAGGTCTTCCTCGATGCGGCGTGGTCCTAGCCATGCGTGCTCTCAAACATGGGGGGCTCGCCCGCAATCTTTGTTCGTGCCGAGACCAAAAGGATTGCGATGCCTGGAGTATACAACTGGCGGAATTTATTGAATCACTTCCTGGCGCACGATCTGTCCCTATTCCAGCGGGATATCCATCGTACGAAACCTTGCAAAAGTACTACCGTCCAACGGTATCTAGTGACGAAGATCTGCGTAACAATGCACGGCTCAATCTAGAACATGTTTGGCTGTTCAAAGAACTTGAGCTGCTTAAGTTGACGAGTTCGCGCTTCAACATATGGGGGGACAAGTACATGAACTGGATTGTACCTATTCTGCTTACAAGACACCTGTCGAAGAGAGACACATCTTTGCCGCGAGAGGTCCTTGCTAGCATCGAAGTCAACACCCCCGAGAAACAGCGCATAGAGCGCGAATTCGAGCGTAAGGTTTCATTCTCGCCCTTCGGTGTAACCAGCCTGCAAAGGGAATACTTCGAGAGTCGACGGGGCTCTTGGGATGGTAAGAGATACGGTGTACGATTTGATCCCAACCATGAAGTTGTATGCGAATTCATGCCGGAATACTGGCTGCAGAAAGGTCTGCCCTTAGAAATCTTTGATCCTCCCCGTACTCCTAAACGCAAATCGCCAGACCCTACGACTGGGACGTCGCGGCCAGCGAAGAAGCAACGCAACCCTCAAAAACCTGCGAAGAGGACCGAGAGCGCAGTAACGCGTGCCTCGCCGTCTCACAATCACACGAAACCCTCGCAGGGTTCCAATCTATCAGTTTCTCCGACCAAAGAGCATAGCCAGCAACCGCCCTCACATGGACCCCGTAAAGGCACAGGGCTTCCAGATTCAGAGAAAGACGATCCAGAACTTCGACCGCCTCCGAAAACACTCTCGCGTACATTATCTTCGATACAGTCGGCAGTATCTAATGTTGTTGAATCGAGCTCGCCAGATGACCAGGAAGGTGTAGGTGATTCATTTGAAGATGTTGGTGCCCACAATAAGATACCGAACTCATCCAAATCTTTGAAGCGTCTTCCTCTGCATGATTGGCCTGACGAAGAGGACGATGCAGATCTGCAGTTGGCTTTACAGTTGAGCTTGCAAGAACAACAACCCGTCGCAGGCCCTTCAGCTAGAAAGCCAACTCATCACACTGGTGGCTCCGTATGGGAGGAGGTAGAAGACAACGCCCAAAGTTTGTTTGTGTCTGATGAGTCACCGCCAGTAGTCTCTTACCAACAGGTGCAAACGGGTGTATTGCAAGGCCAACATAGCTCTGCGGGGCGTAATGATACTACGCGGGTCGCGCCTCCGGACTTTTCAAAGACATCAGAGAGAACAGTGCGTACGACTCCAAAGAACTCGAGATTATCCGATACCGACGTGGCAGAATCATCGGCGACGGGAATCCGTGCTGCTCGTCTTCGTCACTTCGGATCCAGTTCTGCCGTATCTCCTAAAGAAGTCACCCACAAACCTCAGCCATTGCCTGTCATGACTCCGAGAAAACTCAACTTGACACCTTCTAGGGTCCCGGTGGGTGTCGAGTGTATTGATTTGACATTTGACTAAATTCCCGACGGATGTCGCTCGCGGCGACGATACTGTGAACCGTTAGTTCGAGGCCTCTAGTGACCAAGACGCTATAGACATATATAGTGCGGTAAGTCACTCTACCAGTAACTTTCTGTTGTGTACCTTGCTAAACAATATGAACAGAGCTCGCTCATAGAAGCACAAAGTTGGCAGGTTCATGAGATCATACATATAGTCTATAACTTGCCTCAGAGAGGGAAACCAGCACTCAAGCTGTCCTCCTTGCAGTCATACTGGCAGAAGTAGTTAAGCAATTTGAAACATCAACTAGTCCCGCTGCCTCATGATATACGCACCACGTATGTAGGTGAGATCATATTTGCAATAGAAGAGTAGCCTTTGGATACCCGGCCCGATGGTCCGACTTACGTATACTATGACCTCGCCAAGTAACGAAACGAATATGCGGGGACCCAACAAAACAAACACGTCCTTGACATTCAGATTGGGTCCACGCAAAAGTGTGAATATGTCTTAGCAACGGAAGATCACCTCCCCAATTCCTCTTGGCGGATGGCTTGACAACCAGGATCTGACCTTTGAGAACTTTCCTGGCGTGAATTTCTCGATCACCTCAATTTACCCAGAAAGGTTCAGTGAGCCTTATCCTTCTGTATTTACGACACGCCTTCAGTTTGCTTAAACAAACATCCGCACACATGATCGGGTTCATGCGTATAGCTACCAGCGGCCGCATAGAGGAGAACCTCTAGTATATGAATCAATGTTCGTAAAGTTTGCATACCTTCTACAACAGATGTTTGACCGCAGGTAAGATATACAGAATGACAGTCCGGAGCCGACGAGATTAATTGGGAGGACGATGAGTCTAACGTGGACTTAGTTTGAGCCTTACAACGATGCTAAGTGGGAAGTTCAGATTGGCTCTCGGTTTCACAGAATATTGTTATGTATAGAAACAATCATGCCAAGTCTCTAAGTAGGAGCATACGAAGGAAGTAGATAGATGGATTCGTTCCGGGTAAACCTCATTGTATGCTCTAGAGAGGATTGTAGAGTATTATCCCGCACTTGCACATGTATCTTGTGGACCCCTGATCTTCTGTCTCTGCTTCTCCCTCTCTTCAACACCGATGTTTATGTTGAAGTGCTTGCCTCTGATCTGCTCATACATCTTCCCAACCGTAATACCTTCAAGCGGCTCATCCCATGTTCCTGTGATGTTTGTCTCCAGGGTGGATGATTGTATGAGCAGAGGTTCATGGGCGCGCAGCACAAAAACGATGCTGAAGCGATATCTCTTCTGTTCCGTTTGCAAAACGGAGGGCGAGATAGTGGGAGAGGGACCAGAAGGTGGAAGTCCGTACGAAACTACACGATGGCCACCCGCAGGATACCGGCCGTTCGAAAAACGCTGAAGTTGACGGCCAACAAGTATACTCGCACCTTTTCGACCAGACCTCTCCACCTCCCTCTCCACATCAAACCAAGCGTTGCCATCCCAGACTTCCAATCCAGGAACATTGCCTACTACAACACTCAGCAGGCCCAGGTCGGCGTGCGGTTCAGCGACTTCTTTGGCCTCCCAGCCCTCATATCGGAATAGGCGGAGCATTGTCGCCGTCTTTTCTTCTTCCTTCTCCTGCATTGATGCACATGGGCCAACAAATTGTCGCAGCCCTGCCTGTTCGTCGTCCGGTAGGCCTAGGGATGTGGATATTCGACCGAGTGTCTTGGACAAGTGCTCTCCCATGAGATCCCAGTACTTCTTCGCCGGCTGCCTCAAGACCTCGGGGCAGTATTCCAACGTCCTCAGTGTAATGAACTCTTTCTCCCCAGGAATGGCAGACCAGCCTTCTTCCGATCCGAGACGGTGTTTCCATTGCTGTTTTGAAGAGTCGGGCTGGTTGAAGAAGGCTTGGCTTGCTGCGAATAGGTCTTCGTAGGCAACTTGTAGAGGATGTAAGCCAGGTATTTGTTCCGTTGTTGATGCGTTTGGAAAGTGCGTTGTATTTGAATTTGAATTTGGCAGAGATGATGGCTGGGGGAACGTAATTGACGTCCAGCCAAGGTTTGGTAGAGCTTGTTGATGCTTGGGGAGGACGAGTGGAAGCGGTGACGCAACAAGTGGTGGTCTTGAGTCTCTTTGAGCACGTTCTCGTTCCGGGGAGTTGCTTTTATTATCTATTTTCTTGGTTCGAAACCGCGAGATGAGTGTTGTAATGGAAAATTGCTGTTCAGGTGGCTTTGACGAGGGGGACAATTCGACCGCCATAATGCCAGTATTTCGGATATGTTCCTTGGTATGTAGTGAAATACAGTGTTACAGCTGCTTTTGCCAGCAGAAGATACTGTATAGATGATGATGCCTAGAGAGTAGAGGATGAAAGGTCTTGTTGAACTGAGGCCGATGACGTATGCGAGCTAAGCCACACTCATGTGAGCTATATCAACTCGTAAGCAACATAGCCTCGCTCCAGCGACGACAGTGGGCGACCATGTGTATTTCCATTTGATTCGATATTTCACAAGAGTACTATATGCCAGAAGACCTCCAGTCCTAGCGAGGTAGTGGTATCATTACGATTCTGAGATTTGCGTGACTATGGCATCATATAAGAACTTGTTAAATGTATACGAGTACACTTGCATGTGCAACCAAACAACTCCATAACGTTATATCCTGGTCCGGTTCTTATCCCATAAGTCCCTCTCCTTGACCAAAAACCAGTCGTGCAACGTCGCTCGCACCCCAGCTATTTCATCCCCTCCTCCTCGCTCCTCCCCATCTTCTACTTGTGTCCCGAGGCTCACCCCGAACTTCGTCCCAGGTTTCCAGCTCCCACCTTCAGCACTAATCTTCATTGGCGTCATAATCTCTAGCCGACAAAGCGCAAGCCCGACATTCCCAACGCCGGCAATGAATTTCCCACATGCGCGACCTTTTTTAGGCTGTCCGGCCGAGTCCAGTGGCTTGATATCAGCGCCTGGTGGCAGTTCGGGGAAATCCGCGTTGAAAGATAGATCGACGTCTTGTTCTGGGGAAATGCTGGTCTCTGTGGTGGAAGACATGGTATAAAGCGTCACGGGTAGCACTCGTTTCCTAACGACGCCCGTGTGTTTTGTGCGGATAGTGAGCTCCTGACCAACGTAACAACCCTTTTTGAAGTCTATACCGCTGGAAAGGTCGATGTTATGCTCCATAGGTAGTGCGGTTTCTCGAGGGATTTCAAGGGGTCCTTCGGGGATGCCGAGTTGGTATCTCTTTATACGGTACTGCACTTCATCCACAACATCCCTTTCCCCCAAAGTGGTCATGTTATCTTTAACCAAGCCCCTCCAAAGGCCTGGACCCCTTGGATCGTGCATGCTCACCACAACCCCCTCGTTATCCATCTTCTCACACATGTCTCCCCATGCAGCCCACACCATCAGCCCCTCCGCATCTTCGATATTGATCTTGCTCCGCAACTTGTGACGTTTCAGATGCTTCTTCAAGCTTGCCGCCTCCTCCGCATCAACCTCGATATAACACGCCCAAGCTCCCTTCTCCGCGACGAGCTCGGGGTAAACCCAGATGAACACATCCCAGAGCACCCTGCCACGAGCATCGAGGAAGGCGGAATAGAAGGGAGTCGGGGAAGGGTGCTGAGGATCGACGTTGTTCGTTATTAGGCCTTGGAGAAACTTGGCGGCATCGGGGCCAGAGAGAGATAGCAGGCGGCGTTGGGGAAGCGGTGTGGTGCCCGAGTTGGTTGGACGAGTTGCAGAAGAGTAAGTACGCTGTTCATGGTAGGGGCGTGGTGAGAACCTCAGCGTTGGGAGGTAGTTGGGTTGGTTGCGTCTGTATTGTCGTGATTGCCATGACGCAGTGGTCAAAGTTCGAGGTACAGCAGATCGGGCATTGCGTTCGAGGCGGAGACTACTTCGACATGTGTCGCATACAAAAATGCGAGTCCGTAGTGGGTTGGAGGACAAGAGAGACGCCATTGATTGCGTCTGACAGGTGCATGCGGCATTTGCGATGGAGGAGACAAGAAGCTGTCACGGAAACCTCGGCGTTTACGGGATTAACAAATCCTCTTCAGCTGTACTTGTAACGACTTCATTACGTTACAAACTTTCAATGTAGCACAAGATACTATCTAGGAGCAACATAATACATGTCTATTTTGTAAATTGAAAACATGTCTTTCCAGCCATACAATACATTGACACCAGTGCCAGTCAAACGCCAACGCTGATCAACGGTAAAACGTATCAGTCTTTAATACGATTCCAGCAACGACCATGCACCTAGTCGTTCTTTCGACTCGTCAGCCGTGCTCGCTCGTGGCCTCCTGCTTTTGAGCTTGATGCCTCAGAATCGTCATCGTCGTCGTCATCTTCGTCGTCATCCTCATCCTCGTCATCGTCGTCGCTCCATTTATCGTCCTCACCAACTGCGAAAATCGTGTCTCCGTCAAGAGATTCCCGTGGGGGCACGATAGGTTTTTGCGGCTTGGGTGCCGGTAATGGTGAGACATCACGCGCCATATCAGCCCGTTGCCTGGGCGCAGGGTCGTATGAAGGTAGATGGTCCGACCCGCCTTCCTCCTCATCAAGAGAGTCTCGCAAAGACGCAATCTCGAAACCTTCATCGTCTTGGGCAATCTGAACTCGTATTAGCAACAGGACACAAACAATATCTTCTCGAAAGACATACCTCATCACTCATCGCAAATCTCCTGTTGTTCGCTGTCGGCCGCCACATGTATGCGACAAAGCAGACATCTGCCAAGTATACCAGGTTGAGCCATCCATCTAAAATGAACCATCTTGTTTGCCAATGCGTTGGCGCGAAATCTGGGGTCGAGGCGCCGGCAAATGTGAAGCTGTTGATGAAGAAGAAACCGAAGATGACGATGATGCTTGTCAGAATGCACCACCAGAGCTTCTTATACATGGTCGCTTTGACAGTCTGCTTCCGCTCCATGAGGTCCTTCATTGTGAGATTCAACGAGTTCAGTGTCCAGATATAGAAGGCGGTCAATGTGGCGGAGAGGGGGAGGATAACAAGCAGTACGAGAGGACCAGCGTCATCTGGACGGACAGTGAGTGAGGCAATGGCATAAATAACGCCAAAGATGAAGTGTGCAACAGCAAGCCAGCGGACAATGGTCATGTTCTTGCCGAGTGAGGGTTTGACGACGCCGTATCCCATGCACACGATCAGGAGCAGGAAGAAGGAGAAGGAGTTGCGGAACGCGTTGAGAACGGCGACAACAATCATGAGCACCTTGGTCCCTACATTGTTACCATGGCGGTTCTGGTAATCGTAGAAGCCCCAAGTCATCAGCATCTCAACGACTAAGAAGACTAGGATGGCTGTGATATAGTTCTGGACGGCGAGGATGTCGTGCCTGTTCTGGAAGTATAGGAAGCCCCAGAAGCTCAGCACGACAAAGTAGACGATTGTGATGCCACCGTAGAAGGGGAGCTTCGCGATCTGGGCTGCCGGGAGCTCTCCGTATGCGTTCCTGAAGGTCACGATAGCCTCGTACTCGACGTCATTTGACAGCGCTGCCGTGGCTACGCAGTAGTAGCCCGTCTTGATGGACCCCTTCTTGTCGCCGGTCGCGACGGGGTAGTTGATGGGCTTGGGGTCGTTGAGGTGGACGGCGGTGGTGCGAATGTGCATCCTGGACAAGGCGTCGGCATCGTCGGAGAGGATCCACTCGCCCTTTTGTGTGCCATTGCAGAGCTTCGCGTCGATTGTGTCGTCGTTGCAGATGTACTGGCGCTGTTATACTTGTCAGCCTGCGCAGCCCCGTGACGCCAGAGCCCACCTACATCTTCAACGTCCATGTCCGAGGGCTTCCCCAGCAGCAGCGAGTCCTTCCACTCCCACACGACCACGGCCACGGTCGGGTCCTGCACCTCCTTGTTCAGCCCGTCCTTCTTGAGGAACTTGACGAGGATGAACGGCTCGACCTGGCCTCCCCAGCTCTTCTTGCTGTACATTCCGGAGCATTTCTGGGCATCGTCGCGCGTCTGGCCGCTAGGTCAGCCATGAGCTTGCGATACGAGTGAGCACAAATTACCAAGGTGACATCGATAGCTGCGATGCTGTTGCTCAAAAGCAATAACAACGCGATCGCGCTCTGCCAGGTCCGCATATTGTTGGTAGGATGCAAGGCCAGACAGGTTGGTTAGTTGTCGCGATGTGAACGTGTGAGGCCTACGTAGCGCGGTTTCCCGAATGTGGCGCAGGGACTCTTGGTTGAGTGGTAGCCAAGCTGCAGCGCAATCTTCAACAGCTTGACGACTACATATAGGTTTCTTCTATGGTTTATGCACCTCTCATGCTACTAGTATATATCTAGCCTGCTATACTTGTAGGATCTAGAATTGTCGTGAAGTTGCCACACTGCCCTGTAAAGAATCTACCTTAACGCCGGGTATTTTGACAAACCGGAAGGCACAACACCACCATCCATAATTCCACACATCAGACATCGGATACATACAGCATCCAACCTCAACCATAGGACATCATGCCAGGAGCAACAGATACGTGCAAGAGATGCAAGACGAACACGTCGGTGCTCGTGGTACGCTCAGAGCCACTTTGCCAGTGAGCATCGCCTCACGACGTCGATGTGATTCACAAGACTAAAATTTCGCAGTGATTGTTTCGCGAGATATGTGCACACAAAAGCCATCAAGCGCCTGGAGACGTTCCGTGTAAATTTTGCGGCTCCGGCTCAACAGCGCAGAATCCTGCTACCCCTCTCTTTTGGCGTTTCATCCACCACGCTCTTGCACGTCCTGGATCTGCACCTCAAAACTCAACAAGCCAAAACCGGCCGTACGGGATTTACCATCAGCGTAGTACTCATCCAAGATCTCGAACAGTCTTTTCCTGTTGATCAACTACTCAGCAAGGCTCGGGAGCAGTATCCAGATCATCAGTATGCGTCGTTGCCACTGCACGATGTGTTTCGACTCATCTCGGACGACGCTTCTCTTCGAGGCCTGGCGCCAAATCTAGTTGCCCAGGAAGGCCTCACTCATCAGGAGCAACTCACCCACATGATCAGCTCGCTTGTTTCGGCTACGGCACGTGCAGATGTTCAGAACACACTCAAGACCAGGCTGATTGTCGAACACGCCAAGCTGACCGGTTGTGAGAGCATACTTTGGGGTGACAGTACCACCAGACTCGCCGAGAAAACACTGGCCGAGACAGCAAAGGGCCGAGGGTTCTCCTTGCCATGGCAAATATCAGACGGCGAGTCCCCTCTTGGCGTCAAGTTTCACTATCCGCTCCGCGATGTTCTCAAGAAAGAGCTGGTGTCGTACACCAACATGGCAGACCCTGGACTGAGGCCACTTGTGTATGAGCCATCATCGGGCGCGACGCAGGCTTCTACGAGCTCGAAAAACACCACTATTGATGACCTTATGAAGCAGTACTTCGAGTCTGTCGAGGAGAACTTTCCTAGTATCGTGTCGAATGTGGTTCGAACTACCGGTAAGCTTCAAATGCCAACAGATGCGACTTTAGACCCACCCTGCAGTCTATGCGGTATGCCTGTATCTGGTGGACGGTTTGGCATCCATGGTTGGGGCGGCGACCAGGAGGATGGCATTGACGATTTGCCCGTGGATGCCGCGAGCAGGATCTGCTATGGTTGTACGAGATCGATGTCTCGACCGATCACAGCTACGAATGGGACTTGAAGATGGCCATGTGTCACTTATGATCTCCAAGACTCATGCGAATCCATCCGTCGATCGTCACGCTTCACAGTCTTCTGATCAAGGGTGTCGAGACAGCCGGACAAAGATTGTAGAGAACCCCACGATCACCTCTATAGGATCCAAGCTCTAGAACCTCACGCTCCTACACTCGAGATATTACGCAAGCTCACACCACTATCGCAAACGTGAACAACATGGGGAACATTAGGCTTAAGGGATGTACACTTGGCGATGAGCATTGTGGAGTTCACGTATTATCGGAAGAGGCGTTAAGAGTAGATTGAGGAGATTAGGTCAATAAACGAGAGAATATTGTAAATTAAACCATGTAACTACAAAAGGGAGACAGCCTCGGTTGCAGAAGACAGCTCCTTCGCGTGAAGCCAAAATTCAACACCATAGCTCATTTCAGACGATGAATTGACCCTGCATCGAGCTTCATGTGCGACTCAAGGACATCTTCGAACGTGAATCAATTATCTGCAGACTGGTACGAAACAGAAGCATCAGTATACAGGTCTTGAAATGGTAAAACAGCTTTCTTTCACACGGCCACTAGCATACTGAACCTTACTTTCATGATCAAAATTCATGCTCTCTCGTATCGTTACAGCATACAGTATTTTGTTCTGCTACTTGCTTTGCATGAGTTTCCGGCTGCCAAGTGCGTTCTGATGGTGTTAGGTGGTTTCTAGAAAATCCACGGAAGTTCGCTTTCTTTTCAGGTCTAAGCTGACGAGCAGAATAACTCTTCGTTAACGGCTGAGAGTTTCGATGCTGGCAAAGCCACCGTAGAGTGTGTCATGCATCGTGGCGAAATCCATAAGAAGTTGGCCGTTGTTAGTCAGCCAATCCATTGTTATGGCCGCCACTTTCCAAACATCCCATCTCCAAATTTCATCATCTTTCCACGAAAAGGTGATCGGCCTTTTTCACTGTTCTAGGGGAGCTATCTTCGCTGGAGTACATAATTGATTGTCGACGCTATACAAATCGAACGAAGCCATGGGACGTACGGAGAAATCTCAAGGGTTAGCACCACCTGCCGTGCGCAAAGTTGTTCGAGCGAAACAAGCCCGGCAGATCATCAACACGCAGGTCGTCAAGATTTTGGCCTCAAATGCACGGGCAAAGAGAGGGGCAGAAGGGAGTATTTTGATAGCCGATCCTGGGCCAGTGATATTCGGGGCGAGTGAGAAGGAAACCGAGGATGGCGAGACATATGTTAAAAGGAAAGGCCAAGGGCGACGAAAAGTCAGGGATACTGAGCCGATGCTGGGAAATCAGGATCATGGCAAGAGAAACACCAAAAAGAGAAACGATTCATTGGACGACCATATCCCGGATTTGACTTCAGCTGCGGCGGTGTCAGATTCACCGAAACGCGAGCTAAAGATTCGTATCATAGCAACAGATACACTTACTGCAGCACACATGCTGGCCTTGCCTTCACAATACGGCGAGCCCGACATCAAACCCACAAAGAAGTCTCCAAACGTTTGCGTGCTAAACCACGCTTCTCCTTTGAGACCAGGCGGTGGAGTCTTTTCAGGCGCAACGTCACAGGAGGAATTTCTATGTTCTCGCACCACTCTCTACCCCTCACTGAAAGAATCTTTCTACCGTCTCCCAGAAATCGGAGGCATCTACACACACGATGTTCTGGTGTTTCGAAACTCGTTGGGGCTAGGCTGTAAGGAAGGTGAGCTGGGCCATCACCACTCATACTGGATCGATGTAGTTTCGGCTGGCATGTTGCGCTTCCCGGAGTTGGAAGGGGAAGAAGACGAAGTCAAGAGATTTAGCAAGAAGGATATGGAGCTCGTGGAGGCAAAGATGCGCGGTGTACTTCGCATCGCGACGTCCAAAGGGGCAAAGAGATTAGTCCTCGGAGCCTGGGGGTGTGGAGCCTATGGCAACCCTGTTGCAGATATAGCAAGATCGTGGAAGAAGGTGATCAACGGTGGGAAACCAACTGGTAAGAGAAGCCGGATCACAAAAGACATCGAGTCGTGGCCCGATCTGGAAGCCGTCAATTTCGCAATACCCAATCGCAAGATGGCAACTGAATTCGCTTCCGCCTTCGACAATAGCCTCGAAGTTGAAGTGGGGCCGCATGAAGCTGACGAGGACGAGGAGGAAGAAGAGCAAGATGCTGTAGCCTCTGAGCTACGAGACAAGATACAGGAAATTGAGAGTCAGTTGAGTAGCGTGTGGAATCCAGCACTGAAACACAGATTGAGTGCTATGCTCGATGGGTTAAAAACACAATTAGGAGAACGAGTTGGTGAAGTGGAAGTGGATGATACAGACGAAGAGCAACAAGAGGGCGGTGTGCCTGTTGCAGGCGATAGTGATGACGGAATCTGACACTTCCTACGCTATCGTAGTCTTTGAAGTGGGGCCACTTTGTACCGGATGAAGTGAATCTATGAACGACCAAGATGTTATCATCGTTAGATTCCCAAAACATCGTCATGCCACAATCTCCACCACTCGTATACTGCAATTCCTCCTGCTGTCTGCACATTAAGGCTTCTTGTAACGCCCACAGTTCGTATCTCTACACAGCGATCTACAACTGCAAGAACCTCAGCTGTGATTCCTCCTTTTTCACTTCCCAGTACAAGCACACACTTCTGGGGGAGTGTGCCCGAGTCTTTGCGGCTACCAGTCGTATAGATTGCGTCTTTCGTGTCCGCATCGCTGTCTTTCCCCTCATCTCCAAGCATGCCACTCCGATCTGTCTGCTCGATACCAACAACTGCGTACCCCTTCCTCTTCATCTCCAGCAGAAAGTTTGGTACTCCATACGCCTTGAGCTCATGGATTGGAAGATGCTTTTCTGACGTCACGCTCGTAGCCTTGAAATCTTTATGCCCTAGTTTCTTGAGATCGTCAATATATAATGCTTCAAGGCCAAAGGATTCTGAGATGCGTGACAAGCCACCCAGATTAGTAGGATTGTCAATGAGCGATGCGATGAGTATGACAGATGCTGGTCGCTGGGATTTCACATGTGGGGGCCCAGAATGTGGGTACAGTGATGCAAAGTCGAAGCCGGACTTCGTTTGAAGGAAAGTTGGTGCCAGTGAGGATTGTGGTGAAGCTTGCGTTTCTGGATCCTGAAGAGTAGCTACCGTCAAAGTAGGCGACCAACCAAGGGCTATGCGAGTCAACGGTAGGTTTGTTTGTAGTGTTTTTTCTTTGTCCTGAAGTTCTACAAAATCTTCGTGTGCGACACGCTTCTGTTCCGGCGTCTCGATGGACAGGTATTGACCCTGGAATATACCGGTGAGTGTGAAATCCTTCACTGAGTCTAACTTCAAAGTTCTAATACTCCAAGCCGGCGCACCAAATTTATCCATCCCACGAATGTGCTTGTCCAGTGCCACGAACGCCGGGTTTCCGGTAATAGATTTCCAATCGTTCGAGGTTGCCAGGTCAAAGACGATGGGAAAGCACCAATGTGCTTCGTGCCGAATGTGAACCTTGGGACTTGCTGAGAAGGGAATTAATCGGATCAAAACGTTGAGTGCGAAATTTTCCGAGTCCAAGTACGGGGCAACAAGCGCTGCCACTTTGACCAAACTAGCCACGTGTATCGGACTGCCCTCGTCTAGCTTCTCCAAATCGTTTAGTATCCGGATCGCCTTACTTGGGAACCGGTAATAGATACGCGCAACAATCCATTCAAGCAAGAAACGGTAACGTGGCCATTGTTCGACAACCAGTGCTCGAGTGAAAGCATCCAAGTACATGTCAACCTGGGTATCTGGGATACAGAAATCTGTAAGTAGCAGCATAGCTTGTAGCTGAAGCACATCTTTCCATTTGCTGATGATAGGTATGGGAGCTTTCTGCTCTTTCCAGGGCTCAAGCAAATGGTCCAATATGCGCTTAGCAACCTTGGATTGGTCCTCTGGAAAGCGACACAAAAGGTCTAGCACGGCAGCGTATGCATGCCACTCGCGTTGTCCATAGTAGAACGCATAGTCTCGATGCGGTACAAACTTTTGGAGCTTTTCTGCAGCCGCAACCTCAAATAGGAATTCAGTCTTGACCGTTGGTGGATGGTTTACAAAACGGAGAATGTATTCTTCGAACGGCAAGATGCTCGTGATTGATGGACTTGAGAACACAGCTTTTCGAAGAGACATCGCAAGTACAGAAAGAAGATATGGCCTGCTCTCAGAAAGCCGTTGAAGACACTCCATTGCTCTTGTGAGAAGAACTGTAAGACTTCCATCAGACTCCGACTGCGCTGCGTCCTGCAAAATGCAGATCTTTATGCAAACCGGATGGAAGAAGAGAGCTGGCATATTGACAGCTACTGATCTGCTGAACTCCCGTCTGTCTGCCTCTTCCCATAAAGCATCCAACACAGCATACATATCATGAGACTTTATGAGTGTAGCATCAGCTCTGTCCAGTGTCTGTATCAGGGTTTTGCAAGCTGATGCGTAAGAATCCCCCTGGATGGAGCAGTGCTTCGTGTCGTATAGCTGCTGCAGAAAGCTCTGCAATGGAGGTAAGCCATCAACGGCACATGGCGTGAGTTGGCCGCTGGCCAGGGGGTGTGTTTCGAGATGTAATATCTTTGTATAAAGAGATTTATAACTGGCTGTCTCCTTCTGCGCCGAAGTATCTTGCGAGACGTAATCGCAAAGCTGTTTGCAGTAAAGACCATATAAGTCGCCGGCAATCTCTGGTAAGCCAGTGAGACGTGAAACTCGCAGTATGAGGTCCAGATCGGCTGGCTCCAGGGAAATATGTGTTGTTGTACGCAACGCTAAACCTTTGTTTAGTCCCTCCAACAGGTACAGAATGGAATATTGAAATAACCTTCCACCCGCGTCCAGAACAAATTGTAAAATCTCGAGGATGAGAGAACGACAAAGCATGTCTGGCGAATTCGCTACAAACATTGCAATGAATTCTGCAAGTGTTGCGCCATGTATACAAACTGTTGTAGTTCGCGTCGCTGTAAGTGTCGAAGTGAATAAGCTTCCCTGGGTGGCCCAAGGGAGAAATCCCTTTACGACAAATTCTATGTGATTTGGGGCGAGTTCTCGATGCTAAGAACAGAGAGTGAGTTAGCAATAGCGATGGTGTGAGCAATGGGATTAGAGGCTTGAGGAAAGGGATTGTTGAGGATCGCAGTGTGCGAGAATTGGCAAGATGGTTCGAATGTATCGAAACTCTGACTTACTTTGATCAAGTAGCCCATGTACCAGTTCCCGATGATCTTGCGAATGTTATCCTGTACCCTAGGGTTCAATGCAGCGGCAAGTAACGTAGTTGCCATGGCGGGTGTAACCTTTGAATCGGTATCAATGAGAGTTGCCAGCTCGGGCAGACAGGCTTGTACTTGGTTTGAGTATCGATCTAAAACGATAGTTTCAAACAGTGTTGCATATTGTTCGTAAGCCTTGTACACAACTTTGGAATCGTCGGCGATGGAAACCATGACAGGGGTGCGGATATCTTGTGTATGAGGAAGGTGCAGAGAGAGCCGAATGATGGCTAGGCAGTATTTGCGCTGATCAGCGTATCCGACCAACAAGCCGGCACGAAGTGTTTCCCAATAGAGACAGTCGTATACGCCAACAAGTTCAGTTTTGGTTCTGCTAGCCTGTACAATCCACTGATACCAAACCTTGTAAATCTTGTCGGAAGCAGCAGTAAAATCTGTCGTTCTAAGTGTCTTCAGTCGATTCCACCATGACTGGTCTACTAATGGGTGGTTCAATACATGGCTTTGCAGTGCATGATCGTATTGCAGCCACAAAGGAGCGTGGTTTTTGGGACAAGCCACGAGAATTCCAGTCTGCTGGTTCTGGACCAGCAGCGAGAGAAGAGCAGACAGGGCATCGAGCGCGGGTTCATTGATACGGTCGATGCCAACAAAACGCACAAGAAAACCCAGAGAAGTGGGATCAATAGCATGTTTTGTCTTTGGAGGAAGCCAGTACGAATATTTGAGGAGGTTCAGGAATGCTACAGCATTGCGGACGTGATCTTCCCTGGATGTGATGACGTCCTCGTCGCTCGTCTCTTGTAGCGTGGTGCTCTTTGAGAGCTGGACTAAGGCAGCGTTCAGGCAGGGCTTGATGTACTCCTCGACAAAGAAATGCACGAAAGCCTCATTGCTGTGGCACAACTCGGCGAGCACAAAGAGATGTTCTGAATCATGTGGTTCCTCGGGTATGCGTGACAAGAGAAGACGTCCAAGCGCTTGATGTTGGGGCTGATAATCCTGCAGCACCTCAGCAAAGTCGTGGGGACGAATCACAGCGAATGTACATTTTCAGCGTCGACTGTCGGCAGCAGGCGAAGGCAGAGGGCCAGGGCGTCGAGGTCAAGACGGCTCGACGGCGCGTGCAGTCTGGCCCAGTTGTGCTCAAAGGCCTTTGCCCTAGAGGCGGGGTCAAGATAATGGTCCATGAGTGATGGGCGGTGTGGAGGCTCAAGGAAGACGGCCCTGTATCGAGCGTGCCGTGGGCGCTATCAATGGCTGCCACGTCGCAAGCGTTGGACGCGCTGAGGCCTCGTCTCGTCGCCCTTTGGTTGGTGCTGGAGGATTGGGCAGTGCGCCAAGCCCGTGACGTCGCTTAGTGGCTGCACGGCAACCGCATTGTTGACATTTCGCCCGTTCGGGGAAGCGCGCGAGCTGTGGACGTCGAGGCACCTGCGCAACATAGCCAGTGCGGTCGAAGCACCTCTGCGAGCACCCACTGTTTATTTTCCACCAGACCGTATTTTTGGACGTGCGAATGTATCACCGACAGCTCACTTCGACTGCTTCGGCGCCCTCGCTGCGCGCATCCGAGCCGTACGTGCCAATGGCCCCGCTGATGGCCGACGACCCGGGCAACGTCAAGGTGGTGGTGCGGTGCCGGGCCTTTGTGAGGCGAGGTATGTCTGGCTGTGTGTCTGCGGCAGCTGCCCGTGCAAGTGCTGACCCAAGGCAGAGAAGGAGCGCGGCACGCGATGTCTCGTGCGCATGGAGCCCTCGACGCAGAAGACGACGCTGTACGCGCCCGACGAGGGCGGCCCCAACTCGCGCAGGCACGAAGACAAGGAGTTCACCTTCGACCGCTCGTACTGGTCGCACGACGAGGCCGACCCGCACTACGCCCACCAGGAGGACGTCTACCGCTCGTTCGGCGAGGAGTTCCTCGACCACAACTTCGAGGGCTACCACACGTGCATCTTTGCCTACGGCCAGACGGGCTCGGGCAAGAGCTACACCATGATGGGCACCCCAGACAACCCGGGCCTCATCCCGCGCACGTGCGAGGAGCTGTTCGACCGCATCCGCCACGAGCCCCGCCCGGACACGAGCTACCACGTCCAGGTCTCGTACTTCGAAGTCTACAACGAGCACGTGCGCGACCTGCTCACCCCGCGCACCAACCCGCCCATCTACCTCAAGATCCGCGAGAGCCAAAAGGACGGCGTCTACGTCCAGGGCCTGACCGAGGCCGAGGTCAAGTCGTACGTCGACGTCGAGCGCCTGATGCGCCTCGGCGACTCGGTATGTGTGCTCCCTGAGACGGCCGCATGCCCGACTAACGCCTAGCAGAGCCGCACCACGGCCTCGACCAAGATGAACGACACGTCGTCGCGCTCGCACGCCGTCTTCACCATCCGCCTCAAGCAAATTACCCACTCGCTGCTCTCCGACGAGACCATCGAACGCACCGCCCGCATGCGTCTCGTCGATCTGGCCGGCTCGGAGCGCGCAAAGTCGACCGAAGCCACGGGGCAGCGGCTCAAGGAAGGAGCGCAGATCAACAAGTCCCTCACCACCCTCGGTCGCGTCATCGCTGCGCTTGCGGACCCACGGCGCCACGCAGCCAAAGGACGGCGACCGCGTGAGGTTGTCCCGTACCGCGACTCGGTTTTGACCTGGCTGCTCAGGGACTCTTTGGGCGGCAACAGCAAGACTGCCATGGTGGCCTGCATCGCGCCTGCCGACTACGACGAAACCCTGTCCACTCTCCGCTACGCCGACCAGGCCAAACGCATCCGTACCCGCGCCTCAGTCAACCAGGATTGCATGTCCGCCGCGCAGCGCGATGCCGAGCTCAGCGAGATGGCCGAGCAGATACGCAGTCTGCAGGTCAGCGTCAATGCTGCCAGCCAGCGCAAGCGCGAAGAGGCGACCGAGCTGGAAGAGTACCAGAGACAAGTTGCCATGATGCAGAGACTAATGCTGGAGAACCGCGAAGTCTCAGCCGCGAAGATCAAAGCACTTACATCAGAAGTTGAAGAAATGCGACCTGTGAATGTAGCCCTACGCGCTGAAATCGACACTCTGCGCCGCCATCTCGCACTGGCGCTGGGAGAGCTCAAGAATCCCATTGTGCTGCCTCCGCCGCGCGAGTTGGGTTCGCCAAATTTTGAGCAGGGAGAGTGGTTAGAAGACGGAGAGACCTCGGTCCCTGCACCCTCTGATGGAGAGGGCAGCGATGATGACTCTGATTCAGGATACGATGAGGGCGATCACAATGAGTTGGCACACGAGTTGCAGGGCGAGGCGGAGGAATTCTTAAAGACTCTTGGGCTGTTCCGGAAGAAGGTGGGGAGTGATGTTGAGCGCTTTGGCGTGAGGGAAATGATCGCTGACCTGTCGTGATTGATGTTGGATGGATGGGTGTTTGTGCACGAACTTGGGCACCTTTGGTTTTGAATGCATTGAGCGATGGCGTTGGGTTTTCTCTGGTTAACAGAAACGGCACGGTATATAGTAAATAGCTATAATGACTCCAATGGATCTTGCGTATGCAGACGCCTATTTGTTGGACATGTGAGGTCGCGCCTGAGCTAGGGCCTCTCACACATCCATGTCAACCTCCGATCCCCAAGCTCAAGCTCAACCTCGACCTCTGCCTCCACGACCACGGCGACGCGCCATGATCCCCCGCTAGGCCCGTCAACCATGTCAAAGCCAACCGCCAATTGGGAAAAGGTCGGCGACAAGTTCTACCGCAAGGTGCAGCTGTACACGGCCGTCTTTGATCAGGACCTGGAGCTCGAGAAGTACAATGTGGTGGGGGCTCCATACAGCGGTGCTGTAGGTAGGTACGCGTGCTGCCATTGTGCTCGCGTCGGAGCAGCGGGCTAACAACTGCAGCCATCTACCGCGATGAGGAGAAGCTGCACACATATCGCGGGCCCGGCGTGTCCAAGTCCAGCATCGACATGTACAGCTGCGCAGGCAAGCTGATTCGAAGCATCACGTGGGATAAGGGCACCATCAAGGGCTTGGGTTGGTCCGAGGACGAAAAGCTACTTGTCGTCACCGCCGACGGCACTGTGCGCTGCTACTACGACCTTCAGGGCGACTTTGTCCCCTTCACGCTGGGCCACGACTCTGACGTGCACGGCGTCGTGTCATGCAAGTTCTACGGTACAGGCTTCGTTGCGCTGCTGGGGAACAACCATCTCATCTCGGTGGCTTCGTACACGGAGCCGCGCCCAAAGCTCCTCGCTATCCCGCCCTCGGAGCCTGTCGTGTCGTGGAGCATTATACCACCTGCCTATTCGCTCTCACGCTCCGTTGAGGTCATACTCGCCATTGGGCATACGCTATATGTCGTCGATGCGACTGAGGCTGAGGATCGCAATTTCGACGCGGGACCCTTCCAACACATCAGCGTCAGCCCCCGGGGCGAGTTCCTTGCTTTCTACACCGAGGACGGCAAGGTGTGGGTGGTAAGCGGGGACTGGAGTGAGAAGCTCAGCGAGTACGACAGCAAAGTCCAGACGGTGCCAAAGGACATGCAGTGGTGTGGATCCAACGCTGTTGCCCTGGCCTGGGAAGACGAAGTGCACCTGATTGGACCCAGGAGCGCAGCCACCAAGTTCTACTACGATGCATGGGTTCACCTTCTACCAGATGTTGATGGTATAAGGCTATTGACAAATGACGTTTGCGAATTCATTCAGAAAGTACCTGATGAGACAGTCGACGTCTTCCGTTTGGGATCTGATTCTCCTGCAGCAAACCTTCTGGAAGCGTCTTCTCTGCTAGAGCAGAAGAGTCCGAAAGCAGATGATCTCATCCAGCTCATTCGACCCAGCTTGGCAGAGGCCGTGGATACGTGTATCAAGGCGGCAGCACACGAGTACAATATACACTGGCAAAAGGCCCTTCTCAGAGCCGCCTCTTACGGAAAATCAGTGCTTGACCTGTACTCTTCTGACGACTTTGTCGATACTTGCGACACACTACGCGTTCTCAATGCTGTGCGATTTTATGAGATTGGCCTGCCACTCAGCTACGACCAGTATCGTCGCATGACGCCCGAGAAACTCATCGAACGCCTCACAAATCGTAGTGAATACCTTCTCGCATTGCGAATAGCAGATTATCTGCACCTACCAGCAAGCCATATACATGGCCACTGGGCGCAGCAAAAAGTGCGCGTCTCTACAGATCCCGAGGAAGAAATCTGCAAACTCATAGTAAAGAAATTGCATGGCAAGCCCGGCGTGTCATTCGAGGAAATAGCACGAGCAGCTTACGATGAAGGGCGTGTTCGTCTTGCAACCTCGCTTTTGAACTATGAGCCTCGGGCAGGAAAGCAAGTTCCCTTGCTGTTAAGTATGAAGGAAGATACCATCGCCCTTGATAAAGCCATAGAGTCCGGTGACACAGATCTCATTTTTCACGTCCTTTTACACCTCCGCAAGGAAGTTCCTTTGGCGTCCTTCTTCCGTGTCATCAATAGTCGACCCGTCGCTACCGCGCTCGTCGAGTCCTCAGCGTGGGAGCAAGATCGTGAACTACTGAAGGATTTATACTATCAGGACGATAGAAGGTTGGACGGGTCAAATCTTCTCTTATCTGAAGCGCTGGCACAAAAAGACCTAGTTGGTTCCTTGGATAAGCTGAAGCTCGGATCCAAGTATCTACAAGACTCTCGCGATACTGCTGCAACATTTCAACGCAGCGCCATCGACGATGCAGCAAAACTTCTTCGACTGCAGGAGACCTTTGAAAAGGAACTCAATGCCGCCGAAGGTGCTGCGACATCTTCCTTCATCGGCCTTAGTACCCACGAAACCATCTTCCAACTCATCCGCCAAGGCCGTTTCAAAAGAGCACAGAAAGTTCAATCCGAGTTCAAAATTACCGACAAGACATACACATGGTTGCGCCTCCGTGCACTGGTGTCTGCACGCCATTGGACTGAACTTGAATCCATTGCATCACAGAAGAAGAGTGCAATTGGATGGGAGCCGTTCTTCAATGAAATCCTTGCAGCAGGCAATACGCGGGTTGCATCTGTTTTCATACCAAAATGTACGACGTTGGTTGTTGCGGAAAGGGTGGATATGTGGGTAAAGTGTGGTTTACTTGTCAAGGCTGGTGAAGAAGCTTATAAGGCGAAGGATAGAGTTCTGTTGGACGAATTGAGGGCTAAGGCTAGTGGGAGTGCCGCGGTGGAAATTGAAAGGTTTTTGGGAATGCTGGGGAGTGGGAGGAAATAAGTAGAAATAATGCAATATGATCAGATTCGCGCAACGACCACACATTTACCAGTGCCAATGCCAGTGTTCACAAATTTGGTTAAATATATTTCTCAACTTTGGTCAGCTTTTTCCGCAACTCAACGCCAGGTTTTGACGACGTTCTGAGGAGCGGATGACGAGTAGGCTAGACATCTAAGTTACATTGATAGTTTAGAAGGACTATACAGAGGCTTGAGTTGAGTATAGTGTCAATTTCATGAGACTGATGGTTCACCCTCGATGTGTTATTTTAAGCATCTTTAAGGATCTTCTTCATGTCTCCTGGATTCTAACGTTCCATGTGTGTTTTCCAAAGCGGTGCATGTATAAGGTACTAGCGGTTACTCTGCCATCCGTCTTGCTCTGCACTTTGGCGAATTGATAGTATGCGAACATGGTATGGTTTCACAAGAATGTTGTATCCAGGAAAGAACGATAGTTAATAAACACACCGCTGATGACTTCAAGACGTTACGAGTAAAGTGCGAAGTATAGTTCACTTTCAACCAATCATAGTATTCGGAATCTTGGCATCGCTAGCGCCCACCACTCCGATCGCAAAAATACAGCCCACGCGCCTCTGGTCTCAGCACGCCCTCACAACACACGCAGGATATCCACCTCTTTGCGCTTTCACACTCACACAAAATGGCTCCCGCAACCGTACGTACACCGCTTTGCTGTCCGCTGGGCTGAGCATGCGCGCTCCCACAGAACAGTAGGCTAAGGTACATTGTAGAAGAAGTCCGCCGCCGGCGCGAAGAAGGGCCAGAAGGTCACCAAGAAGGTACGCATACTCAATACTTACGCGCCCGCGATCGCAGTCGTAAGGTCTCAGTCTAACCAAAGGACTAGTTCATCATCAACTGCTCGCAGCCCGTCAACGATAAGATCTTCGACATCCAGGCTTTCGAGAAGTTCCTTCACGACCGTGTCAAGGTTGAGGGCCGCACCGGCAACCTTGGCGAGACCGTCCAGATCTCCCAGCAGGGTGATGGCAAGATTGAGGTCATTGCGCACCAGGAGTTCTCCGGCCGCTACTTGAAGTACCTGTACGTTCTCAAATATTTCATCCAACGAGAATAGGGCAACCAACTGACAGTCGTTGTAGCACCAAGAAGTTCCTCAAGAAGCAGCAGCTCCGTGACTGGCTCCGCGTCGTCTCCACCTCCAAGGGTGTTTACGAGCTCCGCTTCTTCAACGTTGTCAACGATGAGGCGGACGAGGACGACGAGTAGATGTACCATCTCAACTACCAGCATGGGTTGTATGGAACCTGAGTCCAGTACAGGTCGCGGATGGTGTTCCACATGGCATATAGCGCAATCACAATGAATTGTTGCATTTGTCAAACTCGCTGTTTTATTGCCGGCTGTGATTATTGTGATGGCTTCACTATGCCTTTCAAAACTCACCCGTTTAGCGTTCCCTTTGTAGAGATTCTTGTTTGATATTTCCAGCACGTACTTATCGTGCAACACATGCAAAGACTGCCATACCCTTCTGCATGTCATTCTCGGTCCAAAGAGAAACTACATGGAGTCATCTTGCGTTGCATGATGCGGTCTGCGGTCAGTCCCGCGATAGCTTCGACAAGACAGGACATGGGACCCTTGTCTGCTGCTGCTCAAGCATGTAAACTACAAGGTACTTGGCTGTAATGCGAGATTCTTATGGTACGACTTGAGCACGTTTTGCATCAATGTGTGCGAGAAGTCATCGCAATTTGATGCACAAGAAACAATCGGATGAGTCTCATGTAAGCCTCCTATAGGCTTGAGCTGCCATCTGAAATTGGCCGACAATTTCTGTCTTCGGGATGCTCAGTACACGGTTTCCAATTATGGCCGTAGGTAGTAGAACGTTGTATCCGAAAAGCCGAAAAGGCAATTAGGCATTTAGATACTACTTTGTTCAGAGCGAGAATAGATGCGGAGGCCCAAAAGACTGGTTGTGGATCTAGGTGTGATCGTCTTCGCCAAGTGTTGCGTGAACAACGTGATGATCACGTCGGAATGGTTAAGGGAGTGTGTCCGGAATACATTCGGAGTAAACGGGTTTCAAGGATATGATCCGAAATAGGTAAAAGATATCTCGAAGATCTCGACAATTGCGGAACGGGGAAACGGAAGAAAGCCGTTGCAAGAGTATTTAGTCTCCAACGAGAATCGTTGAGCAGGGTATCGAATTGTGTTCGGTGTCGACAGTATGGCGACATGGCACGTTTTGCAAGGAATGGAGTCGTACCCTCGCACGCAAAAATTCATCATACAGACACTGCAACGCGTGGCAGCTGCGAAAGCCCCACTGTGGTTATGAGACAATCATTGTTTGATGCCCAAGGATGGGAACTTCGTTGAGGAGTTGAACCACACAAGTAGATGCGATATCCGTGGTCTTCAAATGCAAGATCTGCCGATGTACTTCCCAATTGAGAACAGCGTGACGAAGTGTTCTCTACTGCATTGCGAACCTGATCAACGCGTCCGTCAGCCAGAACAAGCGAGGTATCGTGGACTTTTCTAGTGGTTTGTCTGGTAGTGATGTCGGTGTTGTGACGTGCAAGACCCATCGGCCGTCTCCGATGGACCTCGCAAAATGGGATTCAGCGAGAAGGCCATCAGGATCGACTATGACATTCGACGCTGTGATCTATGGAATAGTCTGGAGCTCTCGACCTGTGGATGCTTCTGAGACGTGGGCCTGTCAGGCACCGTATAGAGTGGGCCGATCGACCAAAATCTGCAAAGAAGCTGCAAAGACTCTTGGGATCATGTGGAGATCAGTCAGGCCACGGACACCAGGCAGATCGCTGCTTGGTTCATGGCTGACTGTCAAATACAAATTTTCTAGCATTACCTAACGCCGGTGGCTTGGCATATAAATCGCGATGGTCTAGCCGATGACTGTGAGCTGGCAACGTTACACAATTAGCAATGGCCGCAGTCAGGTATGCCGGAGCACGTCAGGGGCTGTCGTATTCCGTCAGGTGGCCACGGGGCGGTGACGGCACTCAGCTTTGAAATCTGGGGGAACTGCTCCGGGACGGCAAGCTTCCACGGAGATGCTGAATGTCCAGCCCCAAAGTCGCCATCTGCCACAGTCGCCAACGCCAATTTGCGGGGAAATGTGCGCGATGGAATAACGTTCAGCGGCGGGCGCTCTTTCCGTGGCCTGCGACGCGAGCACCCATAGTCCCGGCGGTGGAGATGGAATTGTTGTGATGCGTATGCTCATTCTAATGGCCGCCGGCGAAGGGGCATATATCAAGCCACGTCGTGATGGCGTGTACACATGAAAAAACGCCCTAGATTTGACCAATAGGACGTTGAATGCTGAAGTAGACGCTGGATTTTTGATCGTGTTGTCGAGTTAGCGGTCAACACAGACAGCACATGTAGTTAGGCAGCCTTGCAAAGGGCGGAATGACACAGCTGGATCATGGCACGTTCCAGGGGCTCGGCGAAATCTTCAATGGCAAAGAATCAGTCCCTGGTCATGAGTGCACCTCCTGACCCAAAAATTGCAGGAGCCCGCAGGGATTGCTTGCCGCTACTGGCCTAGCGTGACATCAGCAAAAGCTTGCCTTCGGTCGTTACTCGATGGCATCATGTCGAAAGTGCACGAGGCACCCAGTCATCGAGTTTCTCTCAGGTAAAAGTTCAAAACGCTCTGGGAATAAAGACCTCCTTCACCCCAGCACCTTCGCTTCTTTGTACAGCCCATCGGAACATGTTTCTGCCTCAAGAACATCTACATCAACTAAATTCGCACAAGATCAATTCCTGAAGCCGTTGTTCCTATTCCACCTGCATATCGCTTCTCCGGACCTGCCTCGCATCGCCATTGGATCCTGCTTATCATCCCACGCCCAAAAGCAGACTCATCCACTGACCTTATCGGACGTCAGCCCTACCCCAGATTCTATATTCGTTATGCCCGGTCGACTGCTTTCGACCCTTGTCAGAGTGACGCCTACGCCATTGGTTAAGTCGGAACATCCCAAGGCACATCAGCAATCCCTATTTCCGCCAGTCTACTCGCTCGCCCCACCAGTCAAAGAGAAGGCAAAATCCCAAGAGTCTTTGGTCATGGATATTTTCAGACGCCACAACCAGGACAAACATGTCGAGAGCAAGAAGAGCCCCAAAGTGGAGGCTCAGATGGCCGCCTCCATGAAGATGAACGTCGAGTCGCCACCCATCGTCTTCTACAGCAGCCCGCAAACGTCAACCGGAGCTATTTTCTCTGGTCAACTCGCCATCGACGTTCACGAGCCATACGTCACCATCAACAAATTCGAAATGCGCTTGCTTGCCGTTATTACAACGAAAAAGCCTGTGGCTCCACATTGCCCAGACTGCACCACTCAAACCACTGACATTCACACGTGGGAATTTTTGACACATCCTGCGTCTCTACGTCATGGTCTGCATAGCTACCCATTCAGTCACTTGTTGCCGGGACATTTGCCCGCCACTACACATGGCAGTCTTGCAACACTAGACTACTATCTATCGGCTGTGGCTACAACCTCTACCGGCGAGAAGATCACTTACAAATGTGGCTTGGACGTCAAGCGTGCCATCTTCCCTGGAAATGAGAAACACTCCATCCGCATCTTCCCTCCTACGAACCTGACTGCCGCAGTGAAACTGCCACCGGTCATCCACCCTATCGGCGACTTCCCTATTGAGATGCGTCTATCTGGTATTGTCCAGAACAAAAACGACTCCCAGACTCGATGGAGACTGCGAAAGCTTAACTGGCGCATTGAGGAGACTCAGAAATTCATCTCACCAGCATGCTCCAAGCATGCCCAGAAAGTCGGGGGTGAGGGCAAAGGTGTCCTCCACGAAGACGTTCGTGCGATTGCTAGTGAGGAGGTGAAGACCGGTTGGAAGACAGATTTCGAGCGAGGCGAGATTGACATAGAATTCAATGCCGCCTGCAACGTCGCACTGAAACCTCTCTGCGACGTAGACAGCCAAAACGGCCTCAGTATACGTCACAACCTGGTCATCGAGATGGTCGTTGCCGAAGAGTGGGCGCCACTAAAGAAGCTCAGCCAAGCAACACCGACCGGTGCAGCACGCGTTCTGCGAACGCAGTTCCATCTCGTTCTCACTGAGCGCTCCGGAATGGGCATTGCGTGGGATGAAGAGCAGCCCCCCGTCTATGAGGACGTACCTGCTAGCCCGCCCACCTATGTTATGGATTGCGAACCAATCTCTGGATCTTCCTCTCGCTCATCCAGCTTCAGTCTTGCGTAAACCTGTACCATTGTTTCTTTGCTCTTCTTCGATTCCTTACAGATCTTCTTCAGCAACCTATTCGATCGAGTTTCATCGAGTGTTTTTGGCGGAAGGCGTAGGATATACCCATTTGCTTTATACCAGAATCTTGCACGAGCAATGTTCTAGGCGTTGTTTATTGTTTTATCACCAACCCTACGCATGCAGCAAGGTGTTATTGGTCTAGGGCGGTACTCCATCCTGCATTGCAGCGATGTCGATAGTCGTTTAGTTCATCATAAAAAGTCATTCAGCATTTCAGGTCAGATATCAGTATATAGTAAGCGCATGATACCCGTCGGGGAATCGTAATCAAGTTATTCTACATTGAACTCTTCGATCTTGCCCTCCCGCTCTCATTGTGATGATGCTATTAATCTGAGTGCCATACGATTAGAAGCCTAACGATCTATTGAGCACCTTTCGACACTTTGATAAACAGACTTTCTTCGTACGACCCATTGAGTATGTTAAAGCTTTTGATCGACTTTTCTAGTGTTTCGTCAACGTTCTTCCTGTCAGAGGAATTTTCTTTCCAATTTATCAAAATTGGAGCGGTTTGCATATTGTTCAATATCCCCCTCCTATGTTACTAATTTCTTGCTACATGTACCGTGACCAGACTATGATACCTTTCGAGATTTGCAAGGCAAGATGTATACATCTGAAGACGATGACTCTGTCTATAGAAGCTTGTAAATGGTGTCTGATGGATGATCTAGTACGGCCAATTTGTAAGCTCGATTCTGATGCGATGAAATGGCTCATGTCGGTGGCGAGGATTACGATATGAGTGGTCAGGCTGCATGACAAGATTGAATAGCAAATAAATTACATATCATCGATTTGTAGATCAAGACGTGCTCAGTATGCGATATAGATATGCATCATCGAAACGAGCGGTCGTTCGGCAGACAGGCTTGTGTGCTAGTTGTGCCATCCCGGCTTACATATCAGATCACCTTTGTCTTTCCAAGAATTGCATGGCGACCAAAAGAATTCCAACCAACGCCAGCCATATCTGGTCTACCTTCTAAACCTGTGCCTTGTAAACCATTCCCATCGTCTTCGTGTACACCTCAGAGCCACCAGTAGCCGGCCCCGCCCAGCGCCTGACACTCTCTTCCCGTTCTTTTACCTCTTTCTCATTCGAGATGGCTACGCAGCAACAACAGCAAGCGCCTCGGATACAGTCGCCTCCAATACTACCCTCGAGTTTGTAGTTGTGTCGGATTCTCGTCCGTTGCAGCATCGGAAATACCCACCATAATCCACACGCTGCGCCCATCAGCATACAGTGTTTATTTGTCGTTTTGTGACTAAGCATGTCTGTAGGGTCTTCTTTCTTGCTTTTCTGAGACAGGCGGTAGGATGTGCGTCCGTAGAGGATGCACGGACAGAAAAGCCCTATCAGACATGTCGATACATCACCACTGCAAGCGCAAAGAGAGTGTTTCCACTCATGTGCAGCGCCTTTGTTGGAAAGATCCATGTTCGGGTGGGCTATCTGACCTGGCTGATGCAGAGTGAAATCCAGACCGTTGGGACCGTGGGCAGAATCTGGAGAGAAGACGGCGTGGTGATTGGCTGTCTGGGTTGAAAAGCCATGTGGTGAGTAGGGTTCGTTTGCGTGATCTGGTTGCAAATTGAAGTCTCGCTTAGAGCTCGCAGACAGAGGCGTTATTGGCGCCTTGTACGGTAATGGCGACGATGTTTGTGACGATGGTGTTGGTGGTATAGTAGGCATGGGTTGATGCATCAAAGCTGTGTTTATGGGTGACAGGTTGCTCATTTGCCGTGCATGGTTGCTCTGCCATGTATTGGCATGCTGAGCTGGTGCGTTTCGCGCGTCTGGAATCGGTGAGACGGGCGAGAAGGGTATCGATTGTGTGCCATCTTGCGGCGTTAAGGGTGAGATGGGGGGTTTCTCGTCGTATGGGTGTGACGAGGGTGTATACACCTGTGTCTGGTTGGGTGCAATGTGTGGGTAGTATGACTGTGGGCGGGGATCGATTGGCGTGTACATGTCAATCGGCGAGGAGGTATCGGAGGGCACACGATGTTCAATCGGGGTTTGCGTGTAGGACAAGATTCGGTTGTGTTGTGGCACGTTGGTGTTGATTTGCGGTTGCTGGGGCGGTTGATAGGATGGCGCCTCTTCTTGTAGTGGCACTTGCCACGAGAATCTCTGATGCTGTTGTTGACTCATTTGGTCTTGTGTTCGGTATACACTCCCGGGTACACTATTGTATTAAATCTGGGAGATGAAACAGGCTCGAGATCGCGTGGTAATGTCAAAGATGTGAGCTATGATGCCGCTGTATAGCTTAGGTGCTATATCTGGGGACGCAGACAAGATGTTAAGTTGCAGACGGGGACGGAAGGCTGAGACTTTGCTGAAAGAGTTCACACAAAGGAAGATGCATGGGCGAGAGGAAGGGGTGTTGTTAAGGAAGACCGGCCCTGCGTCCCAGCGTCTCAGCTGCCCCGAGCCCTGCCAATCGCTACAAAGATCGTGTACATCTTTTAGGGTCGCAAACGTCGAAGAGCGATTCGCAGAGCTCCCGCCGCAGGGCGATGATGGGTTGCCTCTCTTTTGTGAGGCGCGGTCGTGACCAATAGATGTTGACGATGAGGTGTTACAGACATGTGGAGAGGAGCCGGGCGCTTAGCGATGAGGCGCATGGACCAATCAGCTACGTGGTGGAACCGCAACCTCTCCCTGAGCGAAAGCCCTGGCTAGGCATGCAGTTGCTCCATTTTAAGGTCTTGCGATGAGTGGTGGTCTCTGATGATCACGGAAGGCTCTAAAGGGTAAGCATGGTGCCAGCAGTGACCAACATGACGTCACAATCCAATGGGATATGCAGATATATGTTTTGGATTGAATAATGGGTGGTTGTATTCTAGCACAATGCACACGGAGGATGAGTCCACTGTCGCCTTCGGGAAACAACTGTAACGGGCACGGTCCCAGGCCCTCGCATCGGTTGATGATTTACTCATCCTTGTTCTGCTGGTTCTTGCCGCGTTCCTCTTTGTTTTCAGCCTATTGCTGGTCAGCACACGTGTGATGAGATGTAGTTGTACACTCACGCCAGGTCGGTCTGTCGAGACGGTGCCCTTGAGTTTGGCAGTCTCAGCAACACCCTCGCCCTTTTTGCTCTTCTCGTCATGCTTGGAAATCTCCGACGAGTGGTGGGTGTCGGCGTTGGACATGCCCTCCTGCTTGCCCGACATCTCGTTGGAGCTCTTGGCGTCCTTGCGAGGGGAGGCCTGGTACTGTCAGTGTCTGATTCCCCGAGGCATGCTAGACTGCCCACCTTGTCGCTCTTGTCGGGGGAAGCCTCCTTCTCGTCGCCAGGGTTGCCCTCTCCGCGGCCGCTCTTCTCGGCCTTCTTGTCCTCTGCCTTTTTCTCGCGGGACTCGGAGTGGGTGATGTCGTTGGACGACTCGTCCTTGGATCCGTCATCAGCCACGTGCTTGGGCTCGTCGTCCTTGTCCTTGGAGCTGTCCTTGGAGTCGTCGCTCGATTCGTCCTTTTCCTCGGCGTCGTCGGCGGCCTCCTCCTCGGGCTCGTCATCCTTCTCGGCGTGGTGGTCATCGTGGTGTTCGCCGTGAGCGGCGCCGTGACTTGTGTCTTGCGTCACGACAATGTAGAGACCTGTGGCAGTGCCGACGGCGGATGCAGCCATCCTGCGGGGGAAGTGTCAGTGTCGTGGCGCGTGGCCGTGGCGGGGGGGGGCGTGACCTACCAGGGGACGTCGCTGCTCGGGGCCTGGCCGTGGGCACCGTGGCCGCTGGCATATGTCCTGCGCTGGAGGGCGCGCTGCCATGGGAGCTCGGCGGTGCGGATGCAGCGCGCTGGGCGGGCGGCGCGTGCGATTGAGGACGCGCGCAGCGTCGTGGACCTGATCAAAGACATGGTGAAGCTGGCGGGCGGCCAATTGAGGCGGGCGCAGAGCGGTTGATGGCGATGTGGGACGCGGAGGGTGCTGGGAGAGAGGTCAGGTCAGGTCATGAGTCGGATCATGGGCACGTCAGCGGAGAAATTAGTGCGGCTCGCGCCCGCCGGGCTGGTCACGTGGGGGTGGGATTGCAGAGGAAACGCATAGGACGGGGAAGCCATGGGCTGGGGGATGGACGGGCATGTTTTGGTTGTTTCCATTGTTGCCAGGCAGAGTCTGCTTGCACGTGGTGTCGTTCACGTCCTTCACGGCAGGGGTGCCAAGGCAGGTGGAGCTCTGGTGAAGGTCTGATGGAGCAGTGAGCGTGCGTGAGTGAGCGAGGTGGGCAGGCAGCAGTGGTCGATTCCTGCCTCTCTGTCTCCCCCGACGCTCCTTCCCACTGCCCACCCACTGTGACAGCGGCGTGTCGTGACTGCCCAGTGCGACGACCACCCTGACTGTGCAGCTCACCCCGTCGCCACGCTGGACAGGTCGCCCACAGCCAGCCAACCCCACCACCGCGAGCTGCCCCGCCCCGCCAAACACAACAACAGCGCCGACACAACAGCGCCCACACAGCCCACGGCGGCCACGCTCTCGTCCGCACCACCTCCACCATGGCGCCCTCGTCGGTCCCGGCCAACCCGACGGCGCACAACGTCGCGCAGCTGCTGCCCAAGCTCAGCAATGACGACCCCGACTTCCGCTTCATGGCGCTCAGCGACCTGCACGACATGCTGCTGGTCTCGCACGCCGGGTTCCTGCACCACGACGACGTGACCTGCGCCAAGACGGTCGACGGCCTGCTGGCCACGCTGGTCGACAGCAACGGCGAGGTGCAGAACCAGGCCGTCAAGTGCCTGGGGCCGTTTGCCAACCGCGTGCCCGACAAGATCCTGTGCCCCATGCTCGAGAAGCTGTCCAACCTGCAGACGGACAACACCGTCGACCACTCCATCCCCGCCCTGGCCCTGCGCGAGGTCGTCGTCTCGCTGCCGCGCCCCGTCGCCGGCCTGGCCCGCACCAAGCCCGTCGCCGACGCCTACACCGCCGTCAGCAAGGTGCTCGTCCCGCGCCTCGTCGGCCACCACGTCATCCAGCCCGCCCAGCAGGGCCTGCCCAAGGTGCCGCGCGGCATGCTGCAGGCCGACCTCGACACGGGCGCCGACAGCAACGCCATCGACGTGCTGACCGAGGTCGCCCGCTGCTTCGGCCCCATGCTGCAGGACGTCGAGATCCACGCCCTGCAGAGCATGACCTTCGACGTGCTCGAGAACGACCGCGCCAGCTCCATGATGAAGAAGAAGTCGGTCACGGCCATGGCCACGCTGGCCGCCTACTTCACCGACCCGCTGCTGAGCAGCTTCCTCTCGCGCGTCATCGAGCACCTGCGCGACGCCCACCTCACCCGCACCAAGCGCCGCCTGTACATCACCATCCTCGGCTCCATGGCCCGCTCCATCCCCCGCAAGTTCGGGCCCTATCTGAAGACGCTGGCGCCCTTTGTGCTGAGCGCCCTGAGCCTGCAGGAGCAGGACGAGGACATGGACGCCTCCGACGACGACGGCGAGCGCGACCCCGAGATCGACGAGGTCCTCGAGGCCGCCCTCATCGCCCTCGAGGGTTTCCTCGCCTCGTGTTCGCAGGACATGCGCATGTACACGGACGAGACCATCGACGCCGCTACGCGCTACCTCAAGTACGACCCCAACCTCGCCCAAGACGACGACGACGAAGACGAGGACGACGATGCCATGGGGAGCGACGACGAGGACGCGCTCGAGGGCGACGACTTCGAGGAAGAGGCGGGCTACGACGACGACGACGACGCGAGCTGGAAGGTGCGTCGGTGTGCGACAAAGGTCCTGTACACGCTCATCTCCACGCGGAGCAACGGTGATTTGCTGGCGGATGGCACTCTCTACAGCCGCGTGGCGCCTGCCCTCATCGCGCGCTTCAAGGAGCGGGAAGACAACGTGCGGCTGGAGGTCCTGGCCACGCTGTCCAACCTCGTCAAGAGGTCGGGCGATGGGCCGTCGCCAGTCCGCTTCTCCGACGAGCAGATGATGCCACCGCCCAGCCGGAAGCGTCGTCGCGGTGGCAGCGATGCCAGCATGCTAGACCTGCAAGCAGCCTCGTCCCTGTCCATGGGCTACACATCCCCCACGCCCGCCGCGACGCCGCCAGCCGGCCCTCGCGCAAGCCTAGCTAAGCTCAGTCCTGACCTCGTCAAGGGCGTTGCCCAGCTTCTCAAGCAGTCGACGTGTCCGCCCAGTACGAAACAAGCATCCGTTCTCCTGATCAAGGACATTGTCATCACGCAGCGAGGCGGACTGGACAGCTACCTCAGCCAGCTCATTGAGCCCGTCGTCGAGGCTGCCAAAACGAGTGGTGGATCCACCAGCAGCGCCTCCACAACAGCCAACAGCCTGCGTATCCACGCACTGCAGCTCATAGGCGCCATCGCCGACACACACCCCTCCCACTCTATCCAGCCCTATCTAGAGTCGATCGTGGATGCGCTGATACGCGGAGCAAAGGACAAGTACAGCAAGCTATCTATAGAGGCCCTGGCAGCTACGGAGCAGGTCGTCAAGTCGCTCACACCCCCTCGCTCGGCTTCTTCGGGACCGCAAAACCAGCAACATCTGGCCCAGCTCTACGATACTCTGGTCAACCGAATAGCAGCAAACGACGCTGATCTCGAGGTGCGCCAGAGCGCCATCCACGTTCTCGGCCTCTTCCTCGGCAGGAGCTCGGGAACAGAGGACCTAGTGTCCTCGGAACATCGAACCGCTGGACTGGAGCTGCTGGCTGACCGTCTGAAAAACGAGCTTACACGCCTCGCCTCTGTCCGTGCCATTGAGTCTATCGCTGCGCATACACGGGCTCAGGATGAACTCTCGGCAGAATGGGTCCAATCTGTTGCTTTGCAACTCGGTGCTCAACTACGCAAGTCTAGTCGCGTGCTACGTGGTGCGAGCTTGACTGCTCTTCGCACTCTGGCCTTGAATTCGCTGTCTAGAAGCCAATTGGACGCCAAGACCAAGGCGCAGATTGTCGACTTGTTACTGCCACTCCTGGACTCTGCCGATCTACATCTTCTAGGGCCGGCTCTCATCATCTTGGCTACCTTTGTCAAGGACGATGCGCAATCTGTGATGACGCCCCAGCTCAACTCAGCACTGTGCCAGGTTGTACAGGGCTCCATCAGTGGGTTGTCGCTCGATGCACTGCTCAAGCTGGTGCGTACAATTGGTGAACAGCACGCTGGCCAAGCGTTGATGAAGTCTCTACTTCAGGATGTCGGCGTTTCTGGGCACCCTGAAGTAGTTGGCAAGGTCATCGGAAACCTCTTGGTGTATGGCGGTAGTAGCGTGGGAGTCAAACTCGAGGCGTTTGTGCAAGAGCTTGAGACGGCTCAAGACGACAAGCGCAAGTGCCTGGCTCTCGTCGTGCTAGGGGAGTCTGCGTTACGACTGGGATCAGAATCAACACTCGACCCAAACATGTTCATCAAGCACTTTTCCGTTCGCTCCGAGCAGGTACCTCTTGCAGCTGCTGTCGCCCTTGGACGAGCAGGTGCCGGAAATGTCAGCAAGTACCTTCCGGTTATTCTGTCGACAATGGGCCAACCATCAGCTCCTCAGTACCTCCTCCTGCACTCTATCAAGGAGATACTTCAACAAGATGATTCTGAGTCCGAGATCATTCCATACGCATCGACGTTATGGCAAAATCTGGTCGTGGCATCCCAGTTCGAAGACAACAAGGCGATTGGTGCAGAGTGCATTGGCAGGCTTACCATCATCGATCCCAAGACATACCTGCCACAACTTCAGGTAAGTGAAGTCCTTGCTTATCACACGATTCGTTGGCTAACAATCTCAGACATTCTTGGGCGACCGCAAAGGCAGTATTCGAGCTATGGTCATCTCGGCATTGCGATACACTCTAGCCGATACTGATGAAGCATACGACGGATACCTCAAGCCAATTGTCGTACCTATGCTGGTACAAATGCTTCACGAACCAGATCTGGAGAACCGACGGTTAGCCCTCACGACGTTCAACTCCGCCATGCACAACAAGCCTGATATCATTCTACCGGCATTGGACCAGCTGCTGCCACTGGCTATGCGGGAAACTGTCATCAAACCCGAACTTGTCCGCGAAGTTCAGATGGGTCCATTCAAGCACAAGGTCGATGACGGCCTTGAGATTCGCAAGAGCGCATACGAGACGCTATACGCACTCCTCGAGACAGCCTTTTCCAGGTTGTCTCCAATTGAAGTGTCCGACTGCTTCGACCGTATTGTTGCTGGTATCACTGACGAACACGACATCCGCATTCTCTGCAACCTCATGCTCACCAAGCTTATGGTCATTGCCCCTAGTCAGGTTCGCTCACGTCTAGAAGCCATTGCTGAGAATTTCCGCACCGTCATGATGACTAAGCCGAAGGAAAATGCCGTCAAGCAGGAGATTGAGAAGATCCATGAAGGTGCCAAGGGCGTGCTCCGAGTGTCTGTACTCCTGAACAAGCAAATGGGTACTGATGGCACTGTAGGCCAGGATGATCCCCAACTCAGAGTATGGGCGCAGTACTGGGACTGGATCAGTAAGGAACATGCTCAAGGGTTGAAGGCTGTAGTGGATGAGATGAAGGAACGCGATCGTTAGACGTAGTGAGGAGACAGTCAGCGACATCGGACGACGTGAATGATTTATGAGCGAGTATGACGTAGCATTTTCAGGGTAGGCGTCTGTTTTGCATGCAATCGGGCGATATAGCCGATGGTGGTAACAAAGTTGATAAAAATACCTTGATAGAGAGGTAAAACTATATGCAACAACGCATTTACAGAAAAACGAAATAACAAGATACTTTGACACACTGATAAGCTCGATTGCATCAAGTCGACGGGCGTATCAGTTCGCTGATGATTTGTCGGCTCCACTGGCTCTCCAAATGAGGCCTCATCCATTACACCATCAAGTTTGCTGACGTTGTATGTCCATCCCGATCATCAGCGGTAGCGGCAGTATGTGCGTTGTCACCACCACCATTGCTTGCATCTGTGCTCTTATCATCATCAACTTCCGATATCTCGACAACTTCGTCAGCTTTTGCGTCGATCGCAAGCTAGCTCGCTTCCAGTTCGAAGAGCGGGCTTTGAGTATTCGCGGCCTTGAATTACTCGTGAAGAGTGTTTTTCTATGCAAACTTTGCACGCCGCCATCCACCGACCTTCCATATAGCTAGAAATTTTTTACCGTCTTAGAAAACCGCGGTCTCTCTTTTATGATGTATATTAACATAATTTGAGAACTTCGCAGCGTGTTGTATCGAGTGGTCCAGCTATCCTGCATGTACTACCGTAGTGGGATTAACGGAGCACACATCACTTTCTTATCCCCTTGTTGCGATTTCATTGAAGTCGAAGACAATTTTGTGCTAACACGAGTGAGTACTGCTGAAAGCTCCAGTCGTTACTCCAATTCCCAATCATGGCATATCAGTTCACTTCCTGCCCAGCCCTACTATGCGTTGGCGATACATTCCTCATACTATTCTCACTATTCGCATCGCTCTTCGCACCATGCAGGCCCTTTCCATCGCCACTTATAAACACCATGTTTGTCATCCCATCCTCGGTACAGGTTAGTGGATACTCGTCATGTTCTGCTGCGAGCTGATTCCTCAACTTATGTCTGGAGTCAATACCATGAGAGTAGCCCGCACGGTCCGTTGCATTGCCTTCGCTAAAACTCCAAAGACGAGAGGGCGAGATAATTTTGAGGAGGGGTCGGAGCGTGGCGACACAGCAGTTGATGATGGCAACGGCGGGCTCGGCGACTGACCAGAAAACAGCGTCGGGCATGGAATAAGAAAGATCGGTGAAGTCAACGTTAAGGAGAACGTTGATGCGAATTACTGTTATGGCTGTCACGCTGAAGGTGTGTCAGTTTGTTTCGTGGCAGATTGCCATGGAGCAGAGTGGATACGTACAAGAGGCCGATTCCAAAGATGGCTGCCAGACCAAGCTTCGTCCCAACGGCCATCTGCAGCTTGCGGATGAACGGAATAGGTAGCAGCATGATGATTAGATCGGTAATCATATTGAAGATACCGATCGTTACAAAGGCGATATTGTAACTGGCGCAGTGTCCGTCAGAAATCGTCGGGTTCCAGTTCATCTCAAACGGTGTGCAGATGAGAAAGATCTGGAGCATACTGCCCAGCCAGTAGGCGCCAATCAGGCCCATGCATATCCATATCCATTTGCGGAATTCTGGCTGTGGGAATATGCGCAAATAAAACCACAGGTAAGACATCTTTATACTGGCCATGGCTGCATAGTATACAGCTTGGTAAGCTACCAGCTGTTTGGCTATGAAGGTTGTATTGGCTAGCGGGATCTCAATCATGTGATACCGCATCCCATGGTTTGCGTACGTGATATGCATTGCGAGCATGCCTAAGTCACCGATTAGTGCGTTCCAGTCAAGACCTGGGAAATCCCATGGCAGTTTTCTGGTCAACGGCTGACACGTACCAAAAGTAAACATTAACGAAACCACGGCGGCGGCATCATCCCACCTGTGAACCAGTCAGATTTACGCTGCTACATCGTACTACAAACTCTCAAACTGCACATACCATACTTTTGTCTTGCGGATCCGTCTCGCAAGAAACCGCAGCGCAACTAGTGTGGCGGCAAATCCAACGAGGAAAAAGTTGGCCACCAGCTGCTTAGTGACTCTGGGGAACTGAAAAATGTATGTTTTGGTCGAGGAATCTGTGGATAGCATATCGCGTGGTTTACTTCAGTCTGCATTCCTGGTAAACTGCTTCTTGGCCGCTTTGCGCGCTACTCGTGTTTTAACGATAACTTTTCACGATTTTCTGCGGTCTCCCGCGCGAAGGAACGCGCGTTCTTTCCTAGGATCATGTAGGATTCATTATGAAACAACTGAAGCCGTCTAAGCGCACCCGAGGATTCCGGTACGACAATTTCCAGCCCTCGATCTATTCCATTCGCGTACTGGTCTTTCGGGGATGCTATGGCGCGGCTGAGATGCCGCTGTCCGTACCTGGGGCTGGACGGGTCGGTTGCAGACCGTCAAGCGCCCGACGAAAGGGGTGTGCCCTGACCGTTGAACGTGGAGGGGACTTAGCAAGGACATGACTCAGAAACGGTATGTCAAAACCACTGTTGTGGAGCTTTTGTCCATAGCCCATGCGCGTTGGGCCGTTATCAGCCACTCTCGTCTAGTGTGGTTGACTTACTTGTCTGTCCAGATCAGCCCCTCTCGTTCTTTTGTCGCCTCCTCGTACGGTAGTTCCTTTGCTCACGACCGACGTTCAAAGCAATTGTAGCGACACACTGTTCGATCACAAACAACATGGCTGGACATACTGGGTGCGTGGCATCCTTTGACGCGCTGTCGATCAAGGAGCCAGACTTCATTATCATCGGTGGCGGCATCGGTGGGTTGGTTGTTGCCAACCGTCTGAGCGAGCATGCGAACAAGAAGGTGCTGTTGATCGAAGCGGGAGCCAACCGTCAGGGGGATCCAAAAATTGACACCATGGGCATGCTGTCAACGCTTTATGGGGACCCTGATTATGATTGGGACTTCATGACTGAGCCACAAGTGAGTCGAGAATGGCGTAATGATATTCTGTATTTGTAGAAATCATAGGCCAGATCTGACAATTTGACAGACGCACGTGAACGGCAGACAAATCCCGCATCCACGGGGAAAAGTGCTTGGTGGATCCACAGCCATCAACTTTGGCGCAAACGTGTATCCCTCCAAGGCTAACTTTGAAGCATGGAAAGCCCTCGGTAACGAAGGATGGGATGCTGCCGGGCTTGCGCCGTACTTCCGCAAATACAGTCGATTCACTCCACCAAGTGCTGAAACCAAAGAGCTCCTCAGAATCAATTACATCAACGAGGAGCTACATGGTAAGGATGGACCTCTGCCAGTGACCATGCCAGACATCTATGGACCTTTCCAGGCGTCGTGGTCCAAGACACTCGACAAACTGGGTTGGTGCAATTCTGATGACCCCATCGAAGGCGAGAAGCTGGGTAACTTTGAGTGCGGGTTGACTATCGACGCGGAGACCAAGACTCGTGGTTATGCTGCGTCAGCCTACTACACCCCAGTTGTCGCGAAGAGGCCCAACCTCCAAGTATTGACAGAGACATTTGTTGAAAAGATACTTACCAAGGACGTTGATGGCTCTATTGTAGCTACAGGTGTGCGAGTCCAAACAAACGACGGTGCACACCACGAAATTGTCGCAAAAAATGAAATCATTCTCTGCGCGGGAGCCATCCAGTCGCCACAAATTCTCGAATTGTCCGGCATTGGACAGAGCAACCTTCTTCAGAAGCATGGTATTCCCGTAGTTCTCCACAGCCCTGGTGTTGGTGAAAATCTTCAGGACCACGCCATCTCAGCTCCTTGTTTCGAGATCGCAGATGAACAAATCTCAGCAGACATCATGCGCGACCCCAACATCGTGCAGGCCGTGCTCCAGCAATACGTGACCACCAGGACTGGTCCTCTCGTCGGCATACCCATCAGCGTGACTATGCTACCTCTCGTCGACTCCAATGGCCGCGTCAGCCGTGACGATATTGCTCAACTAACGAAGCAGTACGTCGACGACGCGAATTTACCCCTCTGGCAAAAGAAGCAGTACGAACAACTCCAGGAACAGATTCTGGGGCCCAAAGAGGCAGCCGGGTACGTGATGATGCTGCCGCTCCAATTGAACATATCTCCTGGAAAGACGGAGATGAAGAAGCTGCTCGCACCCACAAATCCCAAAAACTACATCACAATCATGGCGGTCAACAATCATCCTTTCTCACGTGGCATTTGCCACATCAGATCTGCGGATCCGAAAGATAAGCCGATTTTGGACCCGCGGTATCTCTCTCACCCACTAGATCTGGAGATCTTAGCGCGCCAGACGCAGTACATTGAAACAATAGTCAAAACCGAGCCCTTCGCTTCGTTACTCAAACCAAGTGGGCGGTTACCCGATGGCAAAGAAGCGACGAGCCTGGATGCAGCGAAGGAAATTGTCAAGGAACGATTGCTGAGCACGTTCCATCCTACGGGCACATGTGCTATGATGCCAAAGGAGATCGGGGGCGTGGTGGATACCAGACTAAAGGTACATGGAACAAGGAATTTGAGGGTTGTTGACGCATCTGTGTTTCCTATGGAAACATTAGGAAATATCCAGGCTACGGTTTATGCGGTAGCCGAAAAGGCAGCAGATATTATCAAGAAAGATTGGGAATACGCGTAAGAAAAGGAGTTGATAAAACAAACCTAAAAAAACTTAATAAAAGATACAGATCTCTCTAAACGTGTTAATAGACATAGGACAACAGACAAGACAAATGTATTTTAAAAATCTAATATATTAAATCTTTTTAACTAGATTTAAACATAGTATACAAATACATCTAGATTTAGATTTATACTTTAGCTTAGTATATTAAAATAACAAATCTCTTATCTATATAGTAAAGATAGTAATTATAAAAGGTAGTATTTTTATCTTATTTATTTTAAGTTGTTTTTTAGAATAACAAAAGTTATATTTTATTATATTTACCTATTATTATTAGATAAATAGGCTAACTTTATAGGATTTTAAGATAACAATAATAAAGTACGTTAATATAATATAGGTTTAACTAAGCTAAGGATCTAAATAATACTATAGATACTTTTAAGCTTATAAATTATTAATTAGACTATAAGACTTAGTTCATTTCTGTAGATTCTATTAAGACTTACTATTTATTTAAATAGTGTAGTATAGCTGCAGATTATCTTTTAACTTATGTTATATTATAAATTTATTATAACCTAGTAGTTACTATAAATATTAGTAAAATTTAGAAACTTTTATAAGAATACTATAGCTATTCTTCTTTAATATCTAATCTTTTCTTAAGTACTATACTAGTAGTTTTAAGTAGGATAGTAATAAGTAATTACTATTAAGAAAGTTTAATTAGCTTTAGAACTTTTTAAAAAATAGTAATTAAACTCTTAGATTCTAATAGGCTAGGCCTAGTAAAACCTTAGTAAGTAAAGCCTTAGAGCTTAGCAGCTCTAATAACTAATACCTACCCTTAGCTAGCCTACTAGAGATAGCTAGTACACTACTAAAAGAACTATTAGTAGAGAAAAGCTAGTAATATAGATTATTAGTAAATTTATTTAATTTATACTAGTATCTAGCCTTAGAGTTAGCCCCTTATATAGATTAGTATATTTCTTAAAAACTTTTTCTTCTCTACTAAGTAATAGGTTTTAATATAAAGATAAATAATATTAATTTCTAAATTACTTTACACTAATTAAGTAGAAAGGTATTTAAAGAGAGATTTCTAAACTCTAAGAAATATAAGAAAGTAGACTTCTTAGAGAAGATTTAATATAACTTTTCTAAAAGAAAGACTATACTAGCTATATCTAAAATAGAGATTTAATAATTATTATTATATATTAGAAGTAGATATATAGTCTTAAGTAATATATTAAGCTATAGGTTAAGAAGAAGCTTTGTAGGAATAGTTTTAAACTATAAATTCCTAAGCCTCTATTCTTAAAAAGCTTACTATAGATTTCTTCTTTAGTAAAAAACTATTAGTAATTATTAAATTAATAGACTAGGCCTTATAATAGAAGTTTTATAAAATCTCTTTACTATTAAGAAGAGTTAAAGAGTATTAACTTATAAGTTACATAGCTTACTAATACGCTCTATAGAAATCTAAAGTATATTAGTACTTCTAATATAGAAGTTATATAATAGTAGGTTTTAACGTAGAAACTATATATTAAGCTATTACTTAATATTTATTATTTTAGAGTTTTAGCGTATTTATACTTATTACATAAGTAGATAGACGCAATATAGTAAGATTATATTATAGTAACTTAGTGTAGAAGCTAATACCTAGCCCCTTTATATATAGTAGATATTAGTAAGAGTATATAATAATAGTATTAAAAAAGTAGATTAATAAACTATCTTTTAGTAATATTCTACTTAATATACTAGTACAGATATATATTTAAGAGCCTAGGTAGCTGTTAGTTAAAGTTTAGTTTAGTTATAAACCCTAGTATATATTATATACTATAGCTAGGTTATAAAAACTCTTTAATTAACTAGTTATTTTAAATATATAATAGGCAGCTCTAAAGAAGGTTTAGGTAATAATAGTTTATATAGGTAAGCTAGTATATAAAGATTCTTTACACCTTAAGGCCTTTTAACCTATTTTTTATTCTATCTTTAATCTTATCTTACTATAACTAAGATTATATACCTATAGTATAATACTATTACTAAAGCTTAGACGTTTAAGCGCTGTATCTTATAGTACTTTAATTAGGTGTAAATTACTATATATAATCTCTAATACTATTATAGTATTCTAGATATTTATAGTAAAATTTCTAAAGACCTAACTAGATAGTAAAAGAAGATAGAGAGTATTACTTAGCGTAATAGTAATATATTCTATATAAAGGATCTAAATATTAAGCAGCACCTTAAGCTTAATAAGAGGCTTAGGGTAAAGCTTAATAAGGTTAAGGTACAGCTTCTTTTTATATAAGTTAATAAAGCTAATAGGGCTTTTTTTAATACCTAGCTCTTTTAACTTAATTAGCTTACTACTAAGTAGCGTAATAACGCTATTTTAACTCTAAATAAAAGCTACTTTAAGTAAGCTTATATAAATTTTAAGTATTATAATTAGAAGATAAAATTAGTAAAGGTAATTAGGTAGGTATAGTACCTATATATACTATTAGCAGTATAAGAACTAGTAACTATTAGGGTAATAGTAATAGCGCTAGTAATAGTAATAGTAATAGTAATAGTAATAGTAATAGTAATAGTAATAGGAAGTAGAAGGTTATTACTAGGTTAAACTTTAGCTTATAGTTAGTGTAAATATATAATAAGAACTAATAAGTAATTAAAACGCGTGCGTAACTAAAATATAATAGTAACGTAATATATTAATCCCTATTCTCTAGGGACTTAATATTTATAATAGTTAGAAAAGCTATAACTAAGAAAAAACTACTCTAATTGCGTTATTAGTAATCTTATAATCTATCTCCTCTCTTATAAAAAATTATTAGGTTTCTAAGAAATAGTAAAGTAAATTTAATAATTTAATATTTTATAAAGTAGTTCTATAACTAAGAGTAGTAAGTATATAGATATTATTATTTAACTTAAGTTTATTATTATCTACTTATAAAGGTTTTAAGAGTTATTAAAAACTCTAAAATATAATATAAATTTAGGTTAGTTTTTAGTTAGAAGCTATACATAACCTAGTTATTATTATATATTTATATTATAATATTTACTTTAAAGAAGTTATAAAAGTAGTAAGAAAAAGAAGTTTATTACTCTAAGAATATTTTTATTTATATATTTAGTAATGTGTATTATAAAAGTAATGTTAAGAACGTTTAAAATACAATATATAGTCTTATAGCTACTATAGTAAAAAGCTATTAAAAAGAATGTAAAAAATAAATTATAATAGTTTTTTATATTTACTAATAGTAAAGACTTAGATATTAGACAATAATAGTAAAGTAATATAAAAGAAATATACTATAGCTATACTTAATTTAGTTTAATAAGATATTAATAGTATAGTAGTTCTATAGTTAGTATATATATAATATTATAGTAATTATAGATTATAATTTTTTTTTTAGATTAATAGTAGTTAGTAACTTATAGTTACTCTAAAATACTATAAATTACTTATTTAAGACAAGAATTTAAGTAAATTATAATTCTTAAAACTATTTAAAATATTTAGATTATCTTTTTCTTAAGCTCTTATTAAAAGCCTACGCTAGCTCTCTATAAAGCTTATAATTTTATTTTAAATTATTCTATACCTTTTATTACTATAAATATCTATTTTAACTTTTATATTTTTAGAATTCTATAGAAAAACTATTCTTTCGTTAGCTTATTAATTAAAAGTTTTATATAATCTTTTCTAAACTATTTAATAATTTTTTTAGAATTTAGTATAGTATATTAGAGTAAATAAAGTAATACTTTAATATAGATTCTAGGTTTAATATCTAAGTACTTAATATCTTAGTAATAATATACTACTAAGAGTATTTTCTCTTTTAAGAGTATTTTAAAGTAAATATATAAGTTCTATTATATAAATAGTTAACTAGCTTTACTAGAGAAAACACGTAACTAAAATACTTAAGAGTATCTAGTATTCTCTAAACTTAGTTTCTAAATTAATATAACTATTAAACTGTAATAAAATTCTAGTTAAGATTTAGTTAACTAATAACATTAACGTGTTACTAAGGTACTTAAAAGATTATAAATAAAAAATCTAAAAGTAATCTCTAACCTACACAAAAACTATTAATATACTATAAATAGTAAGAATTTTCTTTTTTTTTAAGAAATAGATTATATTCTAAGTATAACTATATTAAACTAAGCGTTATACTATTACTGTACCTATAAAATCTTTATAATATAACTTAATATAAACTACTAACTTCTAAAGTAAACTATTCTTCTACTTATTATATAAGTAAATAGATATAATTATTTTAGGTTTATAACGTAATTATACTTCTAGTACAAGTAGATAAACGTGATAAAGTAAGAATCTAATATAGTAACTTAGTATAGAAGCTATTACCTAGCCCCTTTTTACACAGTAAATATTAGTTAAAGTATAGAGTAATACTAATAGAGAGCTAATTAGACGTCTCTTTAATAACTAGCTACTTAATATACTAGTACAGACGCGTATTTAAGGGCCTAGGCAGCTATTAGTTAAAGTTTAGTTTAGTTATAAGCCCTAGATTATATTATAAACTAAAGCTAGGTTATAAAAACTCTTTAATTAACTAGTAATTCTAAATATATAACTAAGGCAGCTTTAAAGAGAGTGTAGATAATAATAGTTTATATCCCTAGAGAATAGGGATTAATGTGTTACGTTACTATTATATTTTAGTTATATACACGTTTTAATTGCTTATTAGTTCTTATTATATACTTATACTAACTATAGAAGCTATAGTTTAACCTAGTTATAAGTTATTAGCCCTCTACTTCCTATTACTATTACTATTACTATTACTATTATTACTATTACTATTACTATTACCCTAATAGTTACTTCTTATACTCCTAACAGTGTATATAGGTACTATACCTACTTAATTACTACTACTAGTCTTATCTTTTAATTATAATACTTAAAATCTATAAAAGCTTACTTAAAGTAGCTCTTATCTAGAGTTAAAGTAGTATTATTATACTACTTAGTAGTAAGCTAGTTAAGTTA